TACATCCTCAGGACCGATGTCCGTGACCGTGAACACCGTCTTCTCGACGTGTTCTCCTATTTGCATCTGCAGCACTGCTACTTCCGAGATGTTTCCGTCTTTGTTAAGGGTGCCGTCAATATTGTATAGCGGAATCGGCTCTTTGAGCTTCCGCGTCTGCACCTTATTTTCTGTGATGAATCGCTTATTGATAAACTTTGTGGTGGCTCCGCTGTCCACCATAGCGATTATGTCCTTGTGCCGTCTTTTTCCTCTAAGGCGCACCGGGATGTGGAAATGCTGGGACCTGTGGTCCAACTCATACACATTAGCGGTCGCCAATACATTGTACACATTGTTATTACGCGGCCTGACGCGTGCAGCACGAAGCGCGGACCGGATCAAAAAGACTCCTCTTTGAGTGCTCGATAGTGCTCCAGTTCCTCGCGCATCGACTTCATCTGTGCTATTAAGTCCGCCAGCTCGGAACTTTCCGATTTCGCTGAAGCGGCGCTTATACTCGCCGAGGGTGAAGCGACGGGGGCGCTTGTCGCCGCCTGGGTAGAGCCCGAGGCAACCGTAGCCCGCGTGTCGGCGCGTTTTGTGTAAGACTTGTCCTTACAGTTGGGGCACTCGAAGCGTTGGTACCCTTGCTTCCCGCAGCCAAAGCAACTGCTGGGGAAGTCACCTTTTCCGACGGCCACATTGATGCTGGCCGAAGCTCCTTGTGGTTGAGGTGCACCACCATGTGCCCCTCCGTGTCCTCGGCCTCGAGTCGAGAAGAAATTGTTTAGCTCGGGCCGACAGGCCCGGCTGACATTGAGGATTTGCTCGACCTCGGTGGCGCGCTTGTCAGCGGCTTGCCATGTGGCAAAGGTCTCGAGCTCAATTTTGCGATAGACGCGGGAGGGGATACCGCTCAAGTACTTGTCACGTAGTTCCAGGTCCCCATACCCGGAACGGTCCGCCGGACCCTTGAACAGTGCAGAGAATTCTGCGGCGGTGCGCTTCTCGCGCACAGTTTTGTCAGCGTAGAGCTTGGTGAGCTCTACCTGTGCAGCGGCGGCGTCGTCGAGATTTCCAAAGCAAGCCTTGAACGCCGTGAGAAAGGCTGCTTCATCGGTGAATGGAGTCGTGGCTTCCTGAGTCCCAATCTGGACAGTGGCAAGCTGGGCAAAGATGGGAGTGGCCCAGGCTCGCGCGTCACCATCGAGGAGGCTGAGGGCAACTTGGACCTTCAACTCGACAGTGGAGAGGGTCGTATTGATTGCCCAGTAAATGAGCAACTGGGAGATGAAGCGGTTGCACTCGACGACCGTTTTGCCATCATATCGGAGAGGAAGGAGAAGCTTCAACATCTCCTTATCGGGAGGGGGTGCTGGCGACGACATTACCGGCGACGAGGGGGACGGAGGACTGCCTGCGGACGAAGGCGACTGTTGTGACTGTCCGCCGGGCAAACTTCGCGAGGAACGAGTGCTTGTGCGGCCTCGCGGCGGCGACGGCGGTGGAGGCGATGGAGGAAGCCCGGGGGCGGGGTTACATAAGATAGGGACTGAAGGCGAGGTGGTGACCGCTGACGACGAGCCGGTCCAAGAATGCGGTGGAGTGTCGCTGGGCTCGGTCTTGGGAGGCCTTTCCAACCGCGGCCCCAAGGAGGGCTGGGGGATCGCTTGAGGGGCCGCTGAAGGCTGTGCGACTGCCTCAGTTCTTCGAGGGAGATCGGGGTCTCCTCGCGCTTGACCTGTACTGGTGACAGGTTGGGGGATGCGGGTGCCTGGGGAGGCGGGACGCGATGCGACGGGAGTGACGTGGCAGGAGACAGATCAGGATGCGTATTTGAGATCTGGTCCAAGGGGGTGTTGGACTCATCGGATGGGCACAAAGCATCCGTCTTCAACAGTGATGGAGCGCGGGGTTCGATTAGGGCACGGCTGCCAGTCACAGTTGAAGAAGAGGGAGCCGGGATCGTCGAAGCATGCGACGTCAACGTGATCTTCGGCGTCGAATGCGTGCTCAAGTCCCGCGCAATTGAAGGCTTCTTCAGCCACGATGGATGGAGGGAGGAAGGGGAGGTGCGTGTACTACGAAAGGCCGTTGTAGACTAGCTTACACCTACGGCACCCGAGGTGACACTAGGATTCGCGATTCACGTGGGGCCCAGTACTGCTTTTGGCTAGTATGCAGCAGGAACCTAGTCCACGCGTCCGGTTAAGGACAAGCACCGCCCACTGAAGTGCAGGTGCTGAAAGGTTCGTTCCCTGAGTGTTGGCGATGTAACGTAGGCTCTACGTATCGTATCGTATCGTAAGGGTGCGCACCACCCGACCTACAGGAAGTGAGTGTGGGTTGTGGGAGTCTCAAGGGATGCTGGCAGCAGTGGGGAGTTTCGACCTAATGTCGTGACTTGGGGTCAAGCGACTGGGGAAACCTAAAAAGCTGGGGGCGTCCGACTAATTCTCACCGAAGCGATGGTGAGCGAGGCTCAAACCTAAGGCTAGGGACAAGAAAATGTATTAGTTAGTATGAGTAAGAAAGTGGTGCAAAGGGATGCTTACTGACCTAGGGACAAGAGGTCGAAACTAAGGTCCCTAGGGCAGCAGAGGCCGGCTTATATACATGGGGAGATAAGGGCAGGCTGTGCGCGCTGGTCCATGCGCAGCTGGTCCGTGCGCAGCATGCCGACGCGGCCACGGGGGCTGGTGAGTCAAAGCGGCTGTGTCAGCGGAGCCCGAGCTGTGCCGTGCACTGCCGCCCCATCTAATCTAATCGTACAGTAGATAATAACGCGTCTGTATCAGGCAAGTAGTACAGAGGTCGCAGGTTCGAGCCCGCAAAAAGGAAAAATTAAAAAAACGGCTAGACGCCGTGCCAACTCGTGACAGCTCCGCTGACACAGCCGCTCTGACTCACCAGCCCCCGGGGCTGCGTCGGCATGCTGCGCACGGACCAGCTGCGCACGGACCAGTGCACACAGCCTGCCCTTATCTCCCCATGTATATAAGCCGGCCTCTGCTGCCCTAGGGACCTCAGTTTTGACCTCTTGTCCCTAGGTCAGTAAGCATCCCTTTGCACCACTTTCTTACTCATACTAACTAATACATTTTCTTGTCCCTAGCCTTAGGTTTGAGCCTTGCTCACCATCGCTTCGGTGAGAACCAGTCGAACGCCCCTCGCTTTTTAGATATTCCCCTGTCGCTTGACCTCAAGTCGCGACAAGAACGGACTCCAGCACGGATCTGAGTAGATTTCAGCTCGTATTCTGCGCTGAATTTCGTGCCTAGGTCGAGTACTGAGGGTATGCGGCATTGTCCATGCACTGCTCAACGGCTCACACAATGTGAATAAAATATAGGTCTCAATGTACCGCCCACTCTCAGAGGAAGGGAGGTTTATACCGGCATGGACCCCAATCAGAAATACTGAGTTTCCCCGCACATAGAATTATAGGTCGCTACAGTCCATATCTATACAGAGCATTAATGCCAAGTCTGTGAGAATGACGCCGGAAAGACCACCGGCAGCCAACGTCCTCGATGGACAGGGATCAATGGTGGATAAGGTTACAAACCGATGGGGCTACCTACGGCGCGCAACGCCTACATAAGTCCTATTCCCACACCGGCGCACGACCACGTGACCCGGGCCGGCAGCGACGCTTGCCCGACATACCCAAAAGTCAACAAAGTCTGCCACTGATAACTACCAAGCACGTCCGCGCCATCTTCCCACTGGCGCCGCGCGGTGGTCCCCACAAGACTCCCAGTCCCAGGGCGTCGGGAAAGATTGGTTACCACCAACAAAGTCATGCAAACCGCCGGCTGCAAACCGCCTGAGCAGGACATGCCGGAGGGCTGACGCGCCTGTGCATCCCAGCGCAGATAGGCTCGCCGACTCCGCCACCGCAAACGCTGTGGCGCACCTGAGGGTTCGAGAGAGCCCGGTAGGACAGCTTCGCACACAGGAGAAACCAATGAGTATGGGAGAGGGCCGCCGGAAGGAGTGCACGCGTGCGCAAGCGGAGAGCATGCACGTCATTTACGATTCGTAGGCCCAGTGGGTACGAGCAGAGACGTCTGATAGGGGCGCGGGTGTAGCGAGAGTGCGATAGGCCTTCTATGCTTGTCAAAGCATCCGGCAATTGCATGCTAAGGTTCTTGAAGTACTGATGAAGAAATATTGTTGTTGTTAGTAAGCTTATGTCAAGGTGAAGACGGCAATTAGAGTCCAAGTGCTAGTAACTCTCGTATCGGATGTCGTGGTCACCTGACGGGCATTTTACACGGGTAACGCATTTTTGGCTTGCCAGTACTTGTTCTTGCCTACATAGAAGACTAGCTGTTCTTTCGGAATCGATCTTTGAAATAGAAGGCACTCATGGTCAATACTCTCATTTGAATCCTACTCACTTTGGTATTGCAGGCCAAGAGCAACACTGCGCAATTTCACCTACGCAGCTCTGTCGTAACAGTCTCTACACCAGATGTAATCGTCATGTGCGTCATCTGGCTATTTCATTACCTGTCGATTACTGACTTTATTTCATCGCTGCACTTGGCCCTGGTAGGCCACACAATAATTTAACCTCACCGTCGTCCGGCACGGCGTCAAGTTCAAAGAGGTTACATCCTCCTCCGAGAAAACGAGCTCGTTTATCGGAAAAAACTCATGAAACATCGCCCAATGGACAACAAGCTGAGCTTAACAACTTCAGCCGCCATCAGCGACTTTGGTGGGAAGATGGCAACGTGATTCTCGTTGCTGGCTCGGTCGGGTTTCGCGTGCATAGGAGCATCCTAGGTCGCCAGTCCTCAACACTGTGTAATGTTTTAGTCTCTGGTTATGACACAGCTGAGCGTACGGAGGGCTGCCCCATTGTGAGGCTCTCGGACAACACTGAGGATGCGACGGCACTGCTTTCGGCGCTGTATAACACTGACCCGTATGTGTTTCACACATCGTTAGTGTAGTTAAGGTCCCCATATTGACCATGCACATAGATATCGTGCGCACCGGCAAAGAATGTCACTTTCATTCGCTGCTTCCCTGCTTCGGATCACCCACAAGTACGATGTCGCTGATCTTCGCCAAGATGCATTGACTTGTTTCAAGTCATTTTATCCGATCACTCTCTCTGCTTGGCTCAACGTTGAATATGTCAAGCCCGCCCCAAATGCAGTTTTGGCAGTAAATTTGGCGCATTTCGCCAAGATTCCGTCAATACTTCCCGCTGCACTACTCCATTGTATGCAATTGGACCCTGATGTGCTGATCCAAGGGTGGCATCGGCCAGATGGTACGGTGGAATTTCTGTCACCAGAGGATACGGTGCACATACTGCAGGGGCGCGACTCGATCTGGTCGGATCGGAGAACTGCTCCGTGGCTGCTCCATCCTCAGTGCAGCAGCAAATGCAGTGACCAAACCGGATGCACAACTGCGCTGTCGCAACTCCCTCAAGATGCATTGAGGGAAGGATACTTCCATCATGTATGGGACTTATCGAACCCCTGCGACTCTCAGTCGTGGCCTAGTCTCAAGGTCCTATGCAGAGCCTGCAAGTGCATGATGAGGGCACATTTCAATCGCATAAATCAAGCGACTTGGCGTAACTTGCCTGCTTATTTCAATCTCCCACCCTTACTAGACTGGGGGTAGCAACAACCGTTCAAGGTATAGGTTTCGACGTGCCTATTTTGTGACAATCTGATAACAATTCCACACAGTAGGTATCAAAGCTCCTCTTATGGACTATATCACATACCTATGCGCATCGAGACAGATTACGTATCCGCTTGGCATGTCTAACCATTTGTATTGTGATCTTTTGTTAGCCTCACGTCATGCGTATATGATATACTGCCAAAGGGCCAGTCATTTCTGGAAGATAACAAGCTTTCTGGGTGCGAGCCTGTGATGGTGGTTCAACGTATCCGAATCTCGTGGAAGATGTTCTCTTCCGAATGCTTTCTTGACTTACTCCAAGTGTCTGCCGCATTTGCTTGCTACTCCGGCCTGCCTGGTGCAACACCTGTGTCCTACACGGTCATTCGCGGAGTCATGAACCGTGATGGCACCACGATCGCGTGAGATGTAGGCACATAACGCCTGTCGACTTCGGACGCGCATCTTCCTCACGGATACCGCAGCACAGATCAAAACAAAACTCCGCGCCGCTGTGACGGACCCGATACCAGCTGGTGTGACCTACAACCCGGAGATAGGCTTACCTGCAGAGTAAACTGACCTCTTCAGGCCAGAGAAGAACGTCCGCAAACTGGAGGCTGCGGCGGACTTAGTTTTAGGAGATTGGGAATGTAGTCCGAGTCTCTGGGTCGTGCACCTCGTAAACCTTTTTTTGCTTTCGTGTCTGCGTGAAGACCCGAAGACATCAAAACGTTCAAATCTCACATTATCCATGTTCCATCACATGCATACAGCCACACCCAACATGAAAACAACCCGGAAGGTCAAAACATACATCGAGGCAATCCCACCATTCGGCCGTCCACATTGCCCTCACCTGTCGTCAACCACATGGTCCAGCTTGCTCTCCATCCTGGCGCCGCTGGTCGCAATCGCGCTTCCTATGTTCGGCGACAGTGGCATCGTCATTGTCGTCCACGTCGCCCCCGGGCTATGTCCCCCGCACGACGTCCCAACCCGCCACCGCCCCGTCTGCCCACACTTGCCCGCCTGTTCCATAACCATCACATACAGCCCCTCGTTGAATCCGATGCACTGCAGCCCGATACACCCCACCTTCAGCGCACCCGCCGCGTACAGCTGTCCTGTCTCGTAGACGTTCTGCGCCGACGTGTTCTTCCGCCCAGCGAGCGTTTCTTTGATTAGCGCTTGAGCAGTCTATGCGTCGCATCCTGCCAAGGAAAGATCAGGAGTAAGCATGCAGATGTGCGTCGTACCTCCGTCGAGAGTGCATCCCACTCCTGCGTCGACAGCTGGGCCAGCCAGAATGCCTTGTAGACCCCGGCGTAGTACCACTTGCCGTCTTTGTTGTAGAAGCATTCTGCATAGTATCGTAGCGTCAGTTCGCGGCTAGCACCATGACTAAGACCACCCACCGGTTGGCTTGTCCAGCTTCGTGTCAATGTCAGCAGCAGTCCACTGGTGGGCGGTCGTCACACGGGGATTGGTATGACATTTGTACATGGGCGTAAGGAAGTACCCGTGTTCCTCACGCTCAGGACACCAAGACGTCGTCGACTCCTGGAACACCCGGTAATTTCCTAGCCTTCGCCAGCACACATGTCCATGAAGTGAACGACCACAGTTGAGAACAAGGTGGCTCACTGAGTGCGCAAAGACTGGCGTGCGTCAATTCACCCCCGCGTTCGTTCCCTGTCAGCCACCGACCAACATCGGATGGACGACCTACCACAGTGGTAGTGCCGAGGAAATCTTGGAATGTAAATGGAGAAGGAATGACGATAGGCATGAGGATATCAGGAGGTGTCTCCGAGGGCAGAGGAAGAGCCGCTAGTGTTGCGTTCCTGGCTCGGATTCTCTCCATTGCATCTGGGCCGCCGGCATGGGCCTGCTCAACCTCAGGAAAATATCATGTGTAGATCAGGAGAGAGCGTATAGCGCACTGTGTGGTCTGCCCGCGTGCTGTCTTCAATTGTCAATCTATGGAATTCCGTAGCCAGTTCTGCCTGTGGCGTCCGGGGAGACCAAGTCATCGCCGGAGAAGGGGACATTGGCGACAATAAGCTTGGTCCGTCGTTGGTGGCGTCGCGCAGGACGCCGAGCGAGTGTGATTCATGGAAAAGAGACAAGATCCTGTGAACGGAGACCTCCCAGTCCGGCTTGCTAGTCTGACGCAAGATCAACGAGATGGTTCAGCGGATGCGGAGGGGCGCATCTGACATACTTGGCACGCATTTTCCGCCTCCAGCAGAGGGGTCCTATGGCCTCTTGCAGAACCGGGTATATGCGCCTTTCCTACCTTGGCGATCTCATCTTGCATGCCGCGAAGGATCTCGGCTAGCTTGGCAACCTCGGTCACTAGCTTCCGCTTGTCCTCGGCAATTTGAGTGGTCGTATTTGGCGCATGAAAGGTAGCTTGCCTGCCATTCAAGAGCTTCAGCTGTTTCTCCAGGTCACCCTTCTCGTATTGCAAGCGCTCGATGGCTGCGGTCTTCTCCCGGATCGAGATGCACGCAGTGGTGAAGTGATTGGCGACCGTGTCGCGGGCGCACAGTGCTTCTTGGAGACGCAGCCCCTCCAGACGGATTTCCATTGCCAGCTCAGACTCACGGGTGCGACACTGTGCGCCGGATACTAAGTGTTCCTACACGCATATAGTCACTAACACGTGCTGTGACGGTAGTACAGGGATTGATACTCACTAGTTCCTCTGACCAAGGCCCGATTCCACTCTCATCTGGGGCGGCTTGCTGTTTCTCGCGTACGTGGGCGGTCATGGTGCAATAAACAAATAAGGAAAGGGGCTATTCTATACCGGAGTCACAGCGAGTTCCAAGAGCGAGTACTATGAGCAACTGACGTCAAGCGCTCATGGACGCCCACAAAGTACGCGTACCACGTGAGCCTTTGTCGAGGTTCAAGACGCAAGAGTCACAATATTAATCACCGTGAGCGGCTGCTGAGCAGAGGCTTTTTATCCTAGAGGTCACAGGGCCATCGCTGAGTCGTGAGGTGCGCAAATATGGTCCAGCAGACAATTCAGTATGCAAGGGATTCAGGGAGAGCCCGTTAGACACAGAGCGATTTGCGAACAAGGTGGACAGACACCATCACAGCAGCAATCCTGCGAGTAGTCAAACATAATATTTATGGCAGATGGACCAGCTTCACCGAAGTCAACTGGCACACAGTACTGATTGTACCATCTTAGCAGCGCTCCCAAATACGTCCCATCATCAAACAATCTTGATCGCTAGTTGCGTCTCGAGAGTGATGAGAGGCTTGCAAGGTCTCACCTTGGTAAAAACGTTCACTAAAAACGCTTCAACAGCCACTTGTGCATATCCCGTATCCGAGCAACTGAACAATGTAGGCACCTGTGGACATAAGGAACAAGTATCTCGCCAACATAAATCACCGCCTCCTGGCCGTTCTCCGACTGTCGGCTATGGGGCGTATATGTTATCACCAGCTCGACTAGCGCTGATAACAAGCACACACCTTTTGACTTCGCCTTCTTCGGAGCGCCTTTTCCTCTGCGTTTCTTAGCCTCAACGTCTGCTAGCCTCATATCCTCCTGTGGGTCGACAATTCTCCAGTCTCCTCCGGACATTCGGTTGAATTGAGCGATCGAGACCTCGGGTGGGTAGTATTCGACCATCGAAGGCCCGCGGAGGCGAGCGCGAAGGTACTTGGCACCCGTACGTATCGAGGTGGGATTATATGATGTCTGAAATATCGAGCATCGTAGGCGGGTGAGCGTGGCGAGTCGTGACGGCGCAATGGCTGCCATGGTCGACTTTGACCAGCTTGAATATGGAAGCGCTGGTTAACCGTATGAGCCGCTGGGTATCACGTGCATGGATCTACAAATTCTTCGCATGCGCGTCTTTTTTGCCTGTCTGACCTCTCTTCGACCTCGATGTCGTTCGCTCTAATCTCTTGCAGTCATTGAACTTTTGCAATTGACCAAATAAGTGTGAGTTTTTTGCCCATTGTGTCCTTCGTGATGAGAATCGTTGCCGCCCCAGTCGTAGCTGGCGCAGCCAGCTTTGACGAGAAGGCAAAGCAATAGCCAAACAATTTGCACCTCTGATATGTTCGCGTCTAAGGTCAGAACTAGGTCGCTGACTGTTCTCTTTCCCCAGATGTTTACTAATATGCATGCGTGTCCGTTTTTTCGAGGACTGTTATGACACGATCGTTTCACTTTATGGTGAGTCTGGACTCCTGTTGGATGGCTTCTTTCTCTATCGGATGAATTACAACCGAATGCAATTAGGAAGTGCCGTCTGAGAGCACTCCTCGTAAGAGGAGTTGCGCTTGTCGAGACGCGGTTCTCTGAGACTCATCTGGCTACTGAAGTTGTGAACGGATTGCTAATGACTCCTTATTGGCGCAGGTGTAGTATGTTCCCCGTGGTCGGTGCAGTCTTCATGGTAAGATGTATTCATACTGCCGATGATTGGTGTAGACCTAGCTTTTGTACTTAAAGAATCAATATCAATACCCGGTCTTTTTAAAACCCATCTGCGTGAGTGTGCTGAAACCTACTAACCAATTCTTTGCGCCGCTAGCCAGGGTCGTGAGCCGCTCGATGGAATCAGCTCAGACTTGTCTGCCACTCAGCCAGGTATTTCTGCCCGCCAGCCATCTGGTAGATGGTAGAATGGTTCTCGAAGGGCGGCAGATGTAGTTCCAAATATGGTATGAACGCGTTGTAGCCCCTATTCTAGGGTTCACACAGCAGGTGAATTCAACTGTATTTGACTTGGCCTCCAGCGGCATAGGCTATCTATGAGGATAGCCTTTCCACGATTTGCAAACGATAGCTTAGTTCACACTGATTTAAGTCGTCGCTTGACCTCATACTTCACCCACCGACTTTCATCTTCAACAGTACGCCGCCATGGCGCAATGGGGGCAGCAGGGCTACCAATATCCTATGCAAACAGGTTATAACCCTCAGTTCCAACAGGGATTCCAACCAGGCGGCGGCATAGCACCGCAGCCAACTGGCTTTCCCGCTCAACGACCCCAAGGCTTCCAACAACCGCAGCAGACCGGATTTCCAGGCGTATCGAGCTTCCAGCAGCCTCAACAGACTGGATTTCCTCAGCAGCAGGCTCTATTACCCCAGCAGACAGGCTTTCCCGGTGCTGGCAGCGGTTTCCAGCAGCGGGCCCCACCCCCGCCTCCGCCAGTCCCACCGATCCCGTCACAATTCCAGCAGCAGAATGCGGGCAGGTTCATGGCTGCGTCGCCGCTCACGGCGCAGCCGACTGGCTACCCTGGCGCAGGCGGGATGCGCCCGCTCATGCCGCAGATGACAGGCTACGTGGACCCACGTCTGCAGATGATGTCGAGTACGTTCCTACCCGCGAACCCTTCAATGCCGTACAATCAGGCAGGCGCGCCGCAGCTGCCATCAGCACAGCTGCAGGGCGGTATGTCACTCCAACAGTCATTCCAGCAGCACAATCAGGCCCAGCGGGGGAACACGACGCCGAAGGTCCCGTGGGCGCTGTCCAAGGCGGAGAAGAAGAACTATGACCAAATATTCCGTGCCTGGGACTTGCAAAGCACAGGGTTCATCAATGGACAGACAGCACTCGAAGTGTTCGGACAGAGTGGATTAGACAAGAACGATCTAGCGAAGATATGGTGCGTTCTGTTCTAATAGTTCTGTTCACGGGCTATTGCTGCGCGTTACGTTTTTCTCTATCACCCTGCCAAGATGATGTGAGGCCATTCCTGCCTGTCTGAGCGTGATTGGCTGCTGCGCGGAGCTTAAGAGCGTCAGTACCGCCCATATAAGCCAGACAATGGCGTGCTGAGACAGGCAGGTTCAGTAAAGCCTTGTGAAACGCACTTTCTTGTCTCCACAAATCTCATAGTGGTTGGGCACTGACGACAATTCAGGGCGTTGGCAGACGTCGACAACCGCGGGAAGCTCAATCTGGCAGAGTTTCACGTTGCTATGGGCCTCATTTATCGATGTACGTGAGAGCGATTGTGTACGGGTTCAACCTCTTATATTCACACAGGTCTGAACGGGAACGAGATTCCTGACGAGCTCCCTGCCGAGCTTGTACCGCCGTCGCACAGAGATCTCGACACGTCGGTCAACCTGCTCAAGGACATCTTAAAGAATGATACACGCGCGCGCTCACCATCAGGTCTAGACGCACCAGTTTCGAAGCTGAAGGAACGGTCTTTCAACAGCACGTCTGCACCGGGTGCTGGCGGGCGTCAAGACGCGACGGTCTACAAGTATAAGGATGAGAGCCCGCCGGGAGGATTCTACCAGCCCCGATCACGCCATGTGGATCGTAGCACAGTTCGCACTGCGGCCGAAAGCGAGAACCCTACCGCAGATCTCGATGACATGAAGCGGCAGCTGGAGAACACAGCGAAGATGCTGGATCGATCCGCCGACGAGAACGCGTCGCGGACAGCAGAGGACGAGGCACTTGAACGCGAGATGGAGGACCTGCGCTACCGGGTGAACAGGGTGAAGGACGACCTCGACTACGTGTCTCGCGGCCCCAGGAGCGTTGCTAAGGACGAGGAGCGCCGACGGCTGGAGCGTGAGTTGCTGAAACTTATGCATGAGCGCATACCGGAGGTGGAGAGGAAGATCAAGGACAGGGAGGAGAGGCGGGCGCGGGAGAAGCGTGAGTGGGCACGCGAGCGAGATAGGCGCAACGAGCGTTTCGGCAGATATGATGACCGGGACGACCGTCATTCGTCGCGCTACGACGACGATCGGGATAGGTATCGCAGGAGCTCGTATGACCGGGACGAGAGGGATCGCGACTACGACCGAGACCGGCCCTACTCGCGTAACAGAGACAAGGACTATGACCACGACCGCGACCGCGAACGTGACCGTGACCGCGATCGCGACTACGACAGACCCCGCAGCCCGTACGCCGCTCGCTCTCCTCCGCCGGCGCCACCGTCCGCTCCTCCCCCAAGCGCCATCAGCAATCCGCCTCCTCCGGTGCCGACGCCGAGTAAGTCCCCTGCGCCGAATGTCAGAAACATGTCAGCAGAGGAGCGCAAGGCATTCATTCAAGCAGAGGCCAAGCGCCGCATGCAGGAGCGCATGGCTGCTCTAGGTGTCTCCAATACTCCGTCACCGTCCCCCAAACTGGATAATACCGTGGAGGACCGCTTGGCGCGCGAGAGACAGGAGGCAGAAGAGAGGGCACGTCAGGCCGAGAAGGAAGCGGAAGAGAGGGAAAGGGTGCGTAGGGAACGGCTGCAGAGCGAGAAAGCCTTGAAGGATGGTGCGGCGTCGCCTGCTCCTCCTACGCCCACTGCAGCAACATCCGCTCCGCTTGCACCTCCCACACCGTCTACACAGGTGCCGACACCAAAACCGACGCCACCGCCTCCTAAGCCGAGGGCACCTGCCCCGCCCCCTCCGAGGAAGGTCCCCGCCCCGCGCGCACCCGCTACTAGGCCAGCCGCTCCGCCTGCGCCTGCGCCTGTGGTCGCTGCTCCAAGGCAAGATCCCGAGGAAGACCCCGAGGAGCAGGAAATTCGCAAACGCCAGGAGGCGCTGCGCAAGCAGCGCGAACGCCTGGAAAGGCTGCGTCAGTTGGAGCAGGAAGAGGAGGAGGCGAGGCGTGCGGAGGAGGAATATCAGGCCAAACGCCGTGCATTCCAGGCGAAGACAGCTTCGCCAGTGCCAACACCACCTGCTGCAATTACACCTGCCCCGCCAGCACCTATCGCACCCCCTGCTCCCGAAATCGCTAGCCCGCCGACGGCCCCAGCACCTCCGCCGCCTCCTCCTCCCCCCGTTGCCAGTCCGCCTACTGATAAGTCCGCCACTAATCCGTTCAGTCGCATGCTCAAGGAAAGCCCTGGAGCCGCGAGCTCACCGCCGACGCCGGCGACAAACGGTAGTACCAACCCCTTCTTTAAGAACCAGGTATCATCACCATCGGCACCTCCCGCGTCTACGCCTCCTACGTTCTTTACTCCTCCGGTACCGCCTGCGTCTGCTGTTCCCCCTTCATCAAAGAGCCCAGCTCCACCTGCAGTCAAGACGACATACCACACGGCACCTGGGGAGAGCGAAGGAGAGTGGGATGAAATTGAAGAGAAGGATGATGACGATAGCAGTGATGACGAACTAGACTCATCTCGCGACACTCGCAACAAGTTGGCGCAGGCGTTATTCGGTGGCATTCTGCCCCCGTCACGCCCACAGTCGGCTGCGGCCGCGTCTTCCAAGCCACCGCCTCCAGTTGAAGCCTCGTCGACTCTGTCCGCACCCCTTCCTCCGCCGTCTGCTCCGCCAACTATGGATAGCGCGCCTGTCCCGCCGCCTCCGCCCATGGCGCCGGCTGCACCGCCCCCTCCTGCAGTCGCTGCTCCGGCTCCTACCGGCGATCGCAGTGCCTTGCTGAGTGCCATTCAGATGGGTGCTAGGCTGCGCAAGGCACAAACAAACGACCGGAGTGCCGCGCCGGTATCTGGCAAGGTAGTGGGCGATACGGCTCCACCCCCGCACATCAATCCTGCTGCTAGGGCACCTTCGCCTCCTGCTCCCAGTGAATCGATTCCTGCTACTTTGGAGATGCCCACGTTGTCTTCGCAAAGGTCCAGCAACAGAGACTCTGTTGATTGGTATGCTGGTCTTGCTGCGGATAGTGGGGCAGTACAACCAGCACAGCTGGAGCATTTACCGTCGACGCAAGAAGAGGACGAGCCCGATACCCCCGTGCCTGAAATCAAAGTCGATACTGCTGAAAATGATCCAATGTCTGATGTCGACAAACTTACTGGTGATGTTCTCTCTCGCTTAAATGACGACGATCCGCTAACCATTGTTCCGTACGCTAGAATACCACGTTCGCTCCTTATATCCGTATGAAGGCCAACGAGCCGAAGATCTCTGTAAGTGGCCGTATTCGTGTGCAGGAGTATCGTAGCTCATATCTGCCACCTGTCAGCATTTGCAGAAAACCTAATGCTAATAGCGCATCCCTCGAAAAGTGGGGGCGAGTGGTGGTACGGCACGCTTGTTCGCGACGGGAAATCTGGTTTCTTCCCGAAGACATATGTCGCGCAAATTGAACAAGGTACATTTTGAGCCTTCTCGCTCGTATCAAACTCTGCATTTACGTTCGTCTTTTAGTGAAGGCCAGAGCACTGTACTCCTACACCGGTAGCAGCACCGACGAACTTCCGTTCTCTGAAGGAGACGAACTGTCTATTGTCGACCGCAGCGAAGCCGATTGGTGGAAGGCCGAGCAAGGCGGAGTTATATTCATCGTCCCCGCTGGATACCTAGAAGTTATGGAGGGTTAGTTAACAGTCCGTCCTCTTCGTGTTCTGTTGTTTACGTTGCTGGCAGGCTGAGTAATCTTTCTCATTTTCTGTTACATGTATTCACCATTTGGTTCTGGACAATGACAATTCACGCTCGATACGAAAGAAGTCTCCAGTCAACACGAGAGCCCCGCGTCGCCGGAGGAAGTGTCGCATGCAGAAGATCCCCCTAGTTCGCCGATTTCGCCTGACAATAACGATGACGGCAGAGAGATCGTCGAATCCGATGAGGAGTCTGCTTCTGGATCTGACTATGATTCTTTTTCTGAGTCAGACACAGGAGAAGACGAGGAGATGAATGAAGAGGTTCGTGCTGTTGAGCGGGAGGCACGAGAGCTGGAGCGTCAGCGTGTCCTTGAAGCTGCCGGTTTCATCATCAAGTCCGATGTCAAGCCACCCCCCAGGCCTGTGCGAACAAGGAGCCGTCGCAAACGTCGCCCGCCACCTGCAGTCCCAAGACCTCGATCCACTTCAAGTCTTCCGTCGTCCCCAGGGAAAGATCTACCTGAACCTCCCGAACCTGAGGACGCAGACCATTCATTACGGCTGGATGATGCATTTGAGCGCTATGAAGCCTTCAGGCAGGCGAATCCAAACGTGAACAGGCTCTCGATCGCCTCCATGGATAGCAACACGTCCATGCAGACGCCGACCACGCCGATAACACGCAGTGCCTCGACTGAACCTGAACCTCGCGTTCCATTGCTCTTCTTTAGCATATTTGGTCGCAAGACCCCCGCAAACGACGGCGAGGCGCGTACAATGCCTGTAATCTCCGCCCCTATACTCACGAAGGACGCCGGCACACCTACAATGGAGGGCGACAGTGGATTTGGTTCAGTATGGTGATTGACATATTGCTGTGACATGAGTTGACCTCGTGGCATCATAGTCCTGGGGAAGTCTCGTAGACAGGTCCGCCCTCGAAGAAATACCGGTAAGGGAACGCCGTCGCCAGGAAGTAAGTTTCCGGAGCAGCCTGCACGTTGACCTAGCTGATGATATGCGCCATAGGCCATCTTCGAGTTGATCACTACAGAAGCCGCCTATGTCAGAGATCTGCAGCTCATCGTCGAGGTAATCTGGTTCTTGTCCCTGTGAAGTGTATGACTAACGGCAAAATCAAGTTGTTTTATACTCACTTGCTAGAGATACTCGATGAAAGGGCAGTCAAAGTTATCTTCGCCAATGTTGAAGAAATCCTATTAACAAATACGGTGCGCTCGCTGAACTTAGAATAACATATCCCACACTCATTATGTGCAGACGCTTCTGAGCTCTCTCGAAGAGCGTCAGAAGGAATGTAGGCTTTACATTGACGCGATTGGCGATATTCTCAGAGCGAATATGCCTGAAATGGACAAATACGTGGTGAGCGCGGTAGGAATTGGGACATGCCAGTGACGAGCCTAAGATGCGCACAGGTATACTGCGTCAATCAAGCCTATGCAATCAGGGTTCTACAATCGTTGCGTGAGTCTAACCTCGAGCTGTCTGCTCGCCTGCAGGTGGGTCGCTGTTGCATTGCAAGAAGACAAAACCTGATGTTTTATCGTAGCGCCTTCGGGATGACCCAGCAGCCCGGAACCTTGATCTTTCGAGCTATTTGCTTGTGCCGAGTACGTTGCTCTTCGTTGCCAACTGGACTATGCATTTTGACACAGCCTAATCCAGTGCAACGAATCACCCGTTACCCGTTGCTCATCAAACAAGTGAACAACTCATCCTAAAACTTTGCGTGCTTGCTAATATTCGACTAGATTCTGCACTACACTGAGATGAGCGATGATCGCAGGCAGATAGAGAATGCTCTCGCGATCGCGGAGCGGATCCTCGAGAACATCAACGAGACCATCAGAGAACAGGAAGGAAGAGAGCGTTTGAGAGTAATTTCGAAGGATTTATGGCTTGGGCATGGGTGCGTCTGCTACTCTGGCTCAGCACGGACAACTCTCAGATTTCCAATAGCCGTCTGGACCTGACGGCTCCGACCCGTTATGGAAAGACTCGCAGACTACTCAAGGAAGGTACTCTTATGAAGGCGAAGAGTGGGCGCCGTCTTCGTGCGTTCCTATGCAGTGACATCCTAGTCCTCACAGAGGACACGGCGAAGAGGCTGTATCGCACGGTACGTGATCTATCTTCGCTATCCATCCCCGCGCGCTCACAGAAAACCGTCGTAGCCTATTCCTCTCGGTGAAGTGCGGGTGAGAGAGATGCCGGGGCACAGAGGTATGTGACTCGCTCGCGAAGGTCTATGTCCCGCTCAATGACGGCTCCTTTACATAGACGATCTCGCATTCCAGCTTGTGACGGCCTACCCTCGCGGAGGAGACACCATTGCCCTCCGGGCTAACTCGGCGCGCGACTGTCAGCTTTGGATGCAGGCCATCGAGAATGCTAGCAAGATGTGTCGCGAAACCGAAAGAAATGTTGCTTCACGATAGTGACGAGAGTTTTTGTTTGCCATGTGTTATATCTCTTCGCGATGGACTTGGACATATGCTGCACTTAGACTATCGTTTACTTACTTGTCTTGCCTGAGATTATCGTCCTAGGTCATACTACCTAGTTTGGACTCGAATGATATTTTCGTTCTGCTAATCAGTAGTTTCCTCTCGTCACCTGCTTGTTTCGCGATCAATGGGCTATGCACGATGCTGTCTTTAGGAAACAACATACTTAGACACGTATCGTGCTGAACACGATGTCCCTGAGCCCCTGTATCATGATTCCGATATTCACTTGTTCTCCTGCTATCTCTGTTTGCCCCCATCAACACCATTGGCCTAGACCGTGTTTACTCAAACGCAGGCCTGTTACACCGCTGTAGTACGATGAAAGAGGGTCCGGAAGCGTGAGTGATGACAATCGCAAACTTCCAGGTGGCAAGATTTCTGAAGTCGGCTCAATCGGATTATATTTGCATTGATTAGCACTACTCCCGTAAGAGATCACCAGGACTTTCAGGCCGGGGTCGGTACATTGCAAGCACCCAGGCGACATGTCGGCTTCTGGTTCGACGATGGAACAGTAGTTCTTCTTGTTGAGAACATAGCATTCCGCGTGCACGCGGGGGTGCTCGCCCGACATTCCCCAATTTTCCGTGATATGTTCCAGGTCTCCAACAGTTCTGAGCTGGAAAGGATGGACGGCTGCCCGACAGTACGGTTGTACGACTCCCCACAAGACGTTGTCGCAATACTGACTATAATGTATGATGGTACAAGGTAGGTAAGCTGCAACGGTGTCTTTCAGCGTCTTGCATGCTTATTGGTGCTCTGCCAGGTTCTTTGGCCCGTCCCCCCCAGTGACTTTCTCTTTCGTGGCGTCTTTGATACGGCTCGCACACAAGTATGAGATGGATACAGTCATGGGCGCTGCTGTGACGCGGCTTCATTCCTGTTTTCCAGACAGCATGGCCGATGTAGGCCAATTCCTGGCGAACCGCAGTCCACTCATGGCGATGGAGGACGACGACGCGTTTACAGCTGTTGGCCTTGCCCGCTTGACGGAGACGTATGGCATCCTTCCCCTAGCGCTGTACCGCTGCTCTCTGTTTGAAAATGACATCCTCCTGCGCGGCATCCGCAAGGTCGACGGTATAACAGTCCAACTAGGCGAAGAGGACATCATACGCTGCCTTAACGGCAGGGAGAAGCTGCGCTCCCTCAAACTTACCGCCTACGCCTGGCTTTACGACGGGACCTTGCGCTGCAGCTTCGCCTGCCGCACCGCACTGCTGTCATGCCAAGAAATCCTCAAAGAAATCTCCCGCGATGCGCTGACCAGATCCATTTTGACCAGCCCGTCCGTGCTGGAGTCCTTGTCGGTGTCCATGGGAGGGTTCGGTGACCTGTGCACTTTTTGTACTACAATGCTGGAGACGAAAGACCTGGAGTCGCGACGAGAGATCTGGCGCGAGCTTCCTGAGTGCATGGATGTCAGAGTGGACAAGTGGGGACTTTGAAGCCAAACAAGTAGCGTCAGTGTGCCTTCTACCTCATATAGGTTCCTCTGATTGCTGGGCTTTCAGACTCTCCGTCAAAGCGCGGTGGCGCCATTCAAGCTACGTTCTGTGCCGCTGCCGTGAGGCTGAGACACAACCCGAGTACTGGAAGATATATCCTGAGACTAATGTGCTTCCTTGCACTGGCATTAATTACTCGCACTGTGAATTTTCTATCAATATTCACAACGTTGTGGCATTGTGGCTATGACTCGCTGAGAGTTGAATTCCCTGATGAGATATATATCTCGGGATAAGCCGTAATTCTGAGTGTATAATGATTGAGCGCATAGATTACATAAGCGGGATATCGATTTTTCAGGCTGGCGGGGGCGGAGAGGAGTCTCACCTTCGCACCGCCGTCCACCTCCGTGAAGCATTCACTTGCTTCTTCCTCCGTCTCCTCTGTCCCAATGGCTTCCTCGCCCTCTCAGCAGTACGCCTGTGAGTGGTCATTCACTTTGCTATTTCACTCGTTTGACCTCGCCTAGTCCGTGCACAGAAGTCCTTGGGTCTCATAGGTGGTACCCCAAACTATGAGGCCGTAGACAGCTTCCAAGGACCCGACGTACCCGCACGTACATATCATTACAGTGCGGACGGCCGTCTCTTCGCCTACGCGGTGCCGACCGGGGTCCGCATCTACCAGGCAGAGAGCGTGCAGCTGCTGCAGGAACTCGCGCTCCCGAACATCGTCGAGATCAACTTCTCGCCGCGAGGCACCTACCTCTCGACGTGGGAGCGGCTAGTTAAGCTCGAGGATGGCGCCCAGCACAAGAACCTGCGAGTGTTCTCGGTTTCGACCGGTGAGGAGCTTGTGGCCTTTACTCAGAAGTCACTGGAGGAATGGGATCTGCAATATACCATAACCGAGTCGCATGCCGTCCGGTTGGTAGGACAGGAGATTCAGGTGTTCCGCCCTGCAGAGTGGTCTAGCGGTGTTGTGGACAAACTCAAGGTTGAGGGCGCGACAAACATTGTGTTGAGCCCGGGCTTGAACCCCTCTGTGGCTGTCTTCATTGCCCAGAAAAAGGTCCGTCAACTCATTCATCTTAGAAGGTTTTAAACTGATCGTGAAGAAGGCTGCACCTGCTAGCGTGAAGATCTACGGCTTGATGGGCCTTGCAGGGGCACCCACTTGTCAGAAGACATTCTTCAAGGCTGACAAGTCCACAATCAAGTGGAACACTCTCGGAACACAAGTGTTGATTCTGACGCAGACCGAGGTCGACCAGGCCAACAAGAGTTATTATGGCGAGACTGGAGGGATGTATCTCTTGAGTGCAGCGGGCAATTTCGACTGTCGCATTACATTGGACAAGGAGGGTCCGGTGCACGATTTCGCATGGAGTCCGAACTCGAAAGAGTTTGGCGTGATCTACGGATGTTCGTGTCTTTTTGTTCTCTTCATAAACTCCGTATTGACCTTGAATAGATATGCCTGCGAAGGCCACGCTACTTGATCAGCGTGCACGTACTCTTCACGACTTCGGAACGGCCTTCTTCAACTTCATCTCGTTCAACCCGCAAGGGCGTCTTCTTGCTATGGCAGGGTTTGGCAACCTTGCGGGAAGGGCCGATATCTACGATCGTCGTACGTTGACGAAGGTCACTAGCATTGACGCTTCCAACACCTCGCACTGCGAGTGGTCTCCCGATGGCCGTTTCCTCTTGACTGCGACGCTTTCCCCGCGGCTCCGTGTCGACAATGGTATCAAGATCTGGCACTGCACCGGTCCGCTGGTGCATGTCCACCCTGTCGACGACCTGTATCAAGCGTCGTGGCGACCAACGCCCGTCGACGCTGCCCCACCTTTCCCCCAGAACATCCCAGTAGCTCCTGCACCGGCCCTCAGCGTCCAGACGCACGCGGCCATCGCGAAACCCGCAGCTGCCAGACCCGCCGGAGCCTACCGTCCTCCTGGCGCTCGGGGTCTTGAGGCCTCTTTGGTCTACAAGCGAGACGACGACTCGCCGAGCGCGCCCTCGACCCCGAACGGGCGGTACAGTCGGAGCCCCGCCCCAGGACGCATCAATGGCAACGGTCGTAAGCACGTCCCGGGTGCACCAACATCGCCTTCACCGGTGTGCAATGGGGCAGCCGAACCGGAGAAGCGTGGCCGGAAGAAGAAGGGCCCGAAGAAAGACAAGGAAGGCGGCCCGGCTGGGGAGGACTTATCACGCCCGTCCATTGAGATCCAGGTGAACGGGGCGCCGGAGCAGCCCCCCAGTCCTGTTGACGCGTCGGTCCCGCCAACGCCTGGTGTCGATGCGGCCGTACTGGATCCGATCGCTAAGAAGGTCCGCAATCTGAACAAAAAGGTTCGTAGATGCTGTGTTTGCGTTGATGTTGTCCTGTGCTAATTTGCCCGCAGCTCAAAGCCATCGAGGAGCTCAAGGAGAAGGCCAAGAAGGGCGACCGGCTGGAGGCGACACAGCTGAAGAAGATCGAATCCGAGGCGGAGATACGGAAAGAGCTCGGCGCACTCGGTATCTCGTAGACCGCTTATCCTCCTTCCTGTGCTGTCGGTCGGTTTGTTGGGGGCAGCGTTGTTTAATGTTAGACGCACATTTGCTATGTATCATTGCGCACATGGACATTGTTATCGTCACTGGAGGTGTTTAGCTAATCAGGACCGCTTCCGGCACGGCCCAAAACCCAAAGCCTGATTGTCCGAAGATCCATGGGACGGCTGAAAATGACGAATGCGTAGCGCAGTCAACCGTCCGCTGCAATGAGTGGCTGCATTTTGGTTCTGTGATTTTCATGGGTCGGACTGATGTATGCAGCTGCGCTACTTCTATCGACCGCGCAGGAAATGTTCTGGTCTTCAGAACGCGGTGATCGTAGCATCCTGAGTGAGGAGCAGAACGATTATGAAATGGGGTTTTATCCACATATAGGGTCCGCGTCGATGGTGACGTCCTTGCATGCTGAATTGATGTTGGTCATTGATATTGTTTGGTCAAATCGAAGATGAAAATGATCAGAATAGCTGACATATAAATAGCGTACCCTTCCGTTTTTCTCGTAAGGATGGGACTTGGTGACGGACGTGGAGGAAGACCGGAGCTTGGTCGCGACCCCAATGCAGTGTGTGATACGGTCATGTGATCGCGTTCTGCACATTATGTCCGTACGCGGAATCAGCAAGTACAGCCTGCTACATAGGTAGAAATATGCAGAGGCAATGTGATATTGAACGAAGCGTAATACTAAGGGGAGAGTATGTAAATGGATGGAGGAGGGGTGGCGGTAATAAGTAGTCAATAATATAAACGCGAGCGTAAGAGACATGCGCATACAGTCATTTGGATATCCGCAGAGGCGACTGCTTCGCAACGAGAGCCCTAGAGCTGGACTTCAATTTCAGCAAGCCAGATATTGCTTAAAGCGGGCGAAACTGAAAGAAGCCAGACATTTTCTACCTTGATCCCCCTCCGACCGATTGTCCACTCCCTAGCCTGGCTAGGCCGTCGTTTCTAGGTGTGATGAATATAAGCAGTTGATGCCGGTGGTCGGTAGGACATCTAGAGCAAGATAGACTCACTGAGGCTCTGTTCATGAAGCGAGCTATATGGAGGCAGATGAGCGTCGCGAGCCGTCCACGATTGATGTACCCGCCGTTACTCTGCACTGGTATGTATGTGCCCGAGTTTGAGTAGCCTGGCCACTTTGCGTAATTTAGCATGCGGCATCCTTCAGTCACAAGCGGTCGGACATACAGCAATGACAAGGCGGAATTGGCGAACTCCGACTGAGTCGAAGACACGCTCCGCACTGCGGTCGACGCGAACGCGCTCTTTCAGCACATCGCGTATACGTACACCGCAGGAGCCGCCGACCTGAAACTCAACCGAGTAGAAGGGTCGGCTGTTCTGTGAAGCCTGTATAGTCTGCGGCACTCGCAGACGCCGCAGCGGTGTGACCGGAGTAGACTGACTCGAGTTTCTCTCTACTTGGGGTTGCCATGTTGCCACAGAGTTCGTAGGTACTGGATTCAAGGGACTAGGATGAGAAATTTCAGGTGCCGTCCGAATAGTAGTCTGTGTCGGTCTCGTACCTTGTAGCCGCCTGTGATGAGTCATACGGACTGTAGTACACGGGCAGAGCCATCTGGATGGCCGTGTTGTACTAACGCTCAATGACTAAACTTGACAATTTTGAGATGAGACCTGAATGACATTACCTCTGCGGCATGGTTGCCTTCTATGAATGAAGAGCCCGTGTTCTAACAATGAGATTTTCATCAGTATTGAGCATTGAAGGTGGGCGACAAAGTGACGAGCTTACCTGGACCGGTAAAGTCACAGAAAAGTCAGCAGGCGATGGCCAAGGCGAGAAATCCGCGAGAAGACCGTACTCCGCTGGTGCTAAGAAATCATGGTTTGGCTGGGACATAGTCTTCCGGAGACCCTCGCTTGAGTACAATGTGAGAGGAACAGTCTCTTCGTTATAACTGTTGCGAGGCAGCCTTCTGCATGCACTAACCGGCATGGCTAATGCGATGCAATGACTCGACGCCGACAGAGACTGTATATGCTGCGGATAAATCTCCGGGCCATGAACGTCGCAGAAAGTCGTACCAGCGACATTCTGGCGAGCGTGACAGAATGCCTGGAGCACAACCATGACGTGGACACGCGCAGAAAGACCGGGGATCCGACGTTTGCAGAATTCCAGAATGCACAGCCAGACCGTGGCCAGCTACTATTGCTTGCTGAGCTGGTGTTGGGGCCAGAGCAAAGAAGTTCAGTCTGCCATTACGGAAGGGCAGTGCCTTAGAGCGGTTTCTTGCGGGAAATAACTGTGGAACGGATGGGTCTGATATCCTCCTGCGGGCTGCCAATGTCATCGGATGATCTGTCAGTCTCCCAATTGCTCGCATCAGTTGCGAATGAACTCACAAATATAGTCTCGCAGGCACGAGATGGCCGTAGGTATATTGCCACCTTGCTGTGCAGACGCCATACGGCTCCTCGATCGATCGATGCGTAGATCATAAACGAGCTAGCCGACTGTGTACATATACACTGCCCTACAAAGGACTTACTGATACACGCGGGAGCAGGACGACATGTCCACAAAACACAGCATGGCATCAAGCGCCTAGGAACCGTTGGCGCTTGGCTTTTGTGTTCCGCGGATATGCTACAAATCCCGACCTTACGGAAGGAGGGTCATGGGACACATAACTCACCTTGAGAATGCCAGTGTGACAATGTTCGAGTTAGCTTACCAGAAAGAGAACGGCGAGCAATGTGCTATGATGCAGGACTAGACAGTCGAAAGCGGTGGTAAATTTAAGCAGAGTCGACATTCACCCAACGAAGCAACTGCGCAGTGGAGCAAGAAGCCTAGTATATGCCTGCTTCGAAAGATCAGACGGGGGCGACGTTTGTGTCCAGTCCCAGCAGGAGTGTGGTCGATAACCTCGAGGCGATGGCAAAAGGGTTAGGACTGGCTTCGAAGCCAATCCAAATGTGCTCATACCTCACGAAAATGCGAGAGCGTTCTCATCAGAACCTGTGGCACTGCGAGATGATGAAATGTTGCTTGAAGATCAATGCAATGTGAGTAGGGTCGCTGGCATGTCAAGGCGGAAGCCCGCTAGCTGATTAACTTTGGCATGCAAAGCATGAGTAGATGGTCCGTGCAGCTGTGCAGGCGTCTCCGCAATTGAGCAGAAGGACTGTTGTCTAATTAATGTATTTCTTATGCACCGCAAGGGTATGAGAATGTATACGAGAAGTCCTACCACGTTATGAGGGCCTTGTATCCGACTGCGCAACAGTGCCTTCAGTCAGCAAGCTGGAGCCAGGCTCGCTGCCCGCCGAATCCAATGAGGGCGTCTGCGAAGACGACCGTGAGGACGCCCACTGGATGCGGGGAGTCACTAATGGCGTGCCCTCGAGCTCACTCAAGCCGCCCTTGATGCCGATCTCGACCACACGTTCCAGTATTCGCGCGAGCTCGTCATTGCTGTGATAGGGATTGCAGCACCCATGAGACCAATGTATGCGAAAGAAGTATAGGCGCACCGTTGCCGTTCCTCCGCCCACCGCTCCTCGAAAAGCGCCTGCATCGAGCTCGCCGTCTCTGATAGCTGCTCTACTCTCGACTGCAAGTCCTCCAGCTTGTCATCGACGGCGTCTCTCCGTTTGGACGAGCTGCGCGAAGACCGCCATGACTCGCCTACAATGAGCAACGCTGCTACTCCGAACAGGAACCCTTCTGCGAGCGCGTTGGCGCCGTTCTCTATGGCCCTGTGGCGCGAATGTTTATGCTTGCGACATCGACGATAGAAGAGACGTACTTTGTCTCTGAAAGCGGCCGGACGTGCTTTGCAGGCTCGCCCAACAGGTTCGTCCGCAGCCTGAACTCTGCCTGGTACATGCCCTGCGCCAAGTTCACACAGAACTTGCGGAACGTCTCATGCCTACATTCATGCGACCAAGTCAGAGACTGGAATTCGCTATGTCACGATGACACCAACTGCTTAGCCTGAGTCTTGATCTGGTTGCTAATGGGCTTCGCTAGAGTCTCGGTGAGGCTCAGTCGACGGTCCCCCCATGTCCATGCCTATGCTTACTCGGATGACAAGTTGTGCAATCTTCACCGATGCCATGTCGAGCGGTGGTGTAGATTGCACGATATATGTGAAGCGATGTGTAAGGCAATAGTCGAAAAGTAACTACTGCCTGGAGTTGACGGCAGACATGGGTGTCGGTCGACGGATGCCGGGCGCCCTCGTCAGTGCTGTTTGCCGAAAGCACTTCGTCTCTCGTCCATACAAGCTCCGACATGAAGCCGATGACCACGGTCGTATTCTCCACAACGATATGACTAGCGATTGTATTGCAGGGATTTACAATATTGTCTACTGCGAGAACATCGAATGGCCGTATGTCTAATGGGTAGGCGGGCTCGCACACCCAACATGCAATGTAACATGAATCACCGTCACTTGATGGTTGTATTGTACATGTAGTATTATCTTCATTCCCTATAGCAGGCGCGAAGGTTATTGACCATGAGCAGTGGAATACGATAAGGCGCACACACTCACGTCTCTCCAAGTCATTACAATCACAAGTCGTCGCCTCGTTTCACTCTCTGGCGCGGGGTACCTTGAATCTCGACATGTTTCACCCCCTCTAAGCTGTTGAGAGAAGCAAGGATCTCCCCTTGAAGTCGCGGCCAGCTTCCACGGGGAGCGCTCAGGAGCTGCACATCCCGCAGAGCCCCCACACTGCCGAGATGAGTGAGAGCGGGGTTCACCGCGAGCGATTCTGGGTTTTCGAAGAAGCGCGACGACGGCGACACAGTTACCGAAAGGTATACGTTCTCGTCGTGATTCTGAGCATGGACCGAGGACATCATGGTTGAGGTCAGAGTTGCCTAGTCTGTCGGCTATCACTCCTACCTCTGCCTTCTGCCCATGCCTGGACTCATCCATGCAACATCTGCTGGGGCGTTGCCTCATAGGCCTAGGCACTGTGTCGTCCATCGAAGCAACGTAGAGAAGGCTGAGCTTGACCGGCACATGGAAATACAAGGGCATAGAGGTAGCATGTCGATTCCCGTCGTTGCATTGTACCCGACTACCACTGTCCTCGTACCTTCACGACCTCTTACAACATGCCCTCCATGTCCGCATCCTCCTCACAGACCCATCTGCCACTCACGACGCAAGTCGGTGGCCATCCAGGTGTCCTCACCACCGAGGACGGCGTACTTTTGATCAAGCGCGCGCTCCCCAGAGAGGTCGCATTCTACCAGTCTGTGTCCTCGGACCCAGCCCTTGCCCAGCTATACAATTTCATTCCCGAGTTTTATGGCACGCTCAAACTCGAAGGGAGACTCGAACATGGGGCTTCGATCACGGACCCGAATGCAATAAAGCCAGTGGAGGACGCTCCTGAGAGCGAGAAAGATGAGTACCGGCATCTCATTCTGGGGTCTGGCGAGGCGTACTTATCTGCTGCGGCCATGCACAATCGCTTGTCCTCGAGAATCTGTCGTACACTTTCTCTAAGCCCAATGTACTTGACGTCAAGCTCGGCACCGTTTTATACGACGAAGACGCCTCGCCAGAGAAGCGCGCACGTATGGAGCAGGTTGCGCGCGAGACTACTACTGCAGAGACGGGCGTGCGGCTCACAGGGTTCCAGGTATGTGCCATACATACGACACGCGGAGCCTGGACTAAGTGCATTCCTAGGTCTACGACTTAACGTCGGACAAGCCGGTCGTGACCCCGAAGTCGTATGGAAAGTCAATCAAAGCTGCCGACCTCCCCGAAGGTATTACCCGCTTCTTTCCATTAGCAGAGAGCCCTGCACAAGGAGGATCGTCGGTGTCCAGTTCTTCCGAGGGCGAAACTACTGTGCCCCGGACTGGCACGGGTCTTCCAATGAATATCCTCGAACCGCTGCTGTCCGGTATCCGCGAGGAGGTTGGGGACCTCACCGACGCCTTTTCTGGAGTGGACATGCGCATGGTGGGTGGGAGCTTACTCATTGTGTATGAAGCCGACTGGGAACGAGCCCGCGAGGGTCTTCGGCTCCTCCAGGAGCAGGCAGAAGAAGGCTATCAGTCGGACAACGAAGACGAGGAGGGAGAAGAGGACGAGGAGGACGAAGAGGACGAAGACTCGGGCGAACTTGAAGGGGCCCATGTGACGAAGCCCGTAGGGCCGCCGTTTGTGGTAAGGCTCATTGATTTCGCACACACTAGAATGGTGCCTGGTCAAGGACCAGACGAAGGTGTTCTGCAGGGCTTGAGGACGGTCCTGCGGCTGTTGGATGGTAGATTAGACCAGCTCCGCAGAGCAGCGTAATTGAGCACTCATAAAACCGGCAATTGGTCCGGTAAGTGAAAAGCACGGTTTCTACGTCCTCGTGTCCTGATGCTGGGGACTCACTCGCACAGGCTGGTCATATAGATACAATAGCGCAAAATAAGTCCAGTTGTACACAATGCAGATATATCACAGCAAGATAACATGGCAAGAGGAAGATGTTACCCATGCATGAGCCACGGCTTGTTCGTCATTGTCCAGGTGTCTAGCGTCTTCCAAAAGTGCGCGACTACGGACTTATCAACGTGGCGTCTGTGCGGGTCAATCTGCACAGAGTCAGCTGTCAAGAGGGCGCCTGGTAAGTAGCAGCGTACGCACCTTCAGCTCGGTGACGTTCCAGTCTTTGATTTTGTGGTTCGGGGGCTCGTTTGCCCACGAAACGTAAATGCCTTTTACTGTGCACGACGGCTGTCATGTCAAGATCCATTCTACGGCGAAGACAGCGTACTGCCACGTACCATGATGGAAGAGCGTCCTTGGTTCACTCCATTTGTACGGGCGGAACTGCCACGCCTGCCCCGTTGTCATCACGCACACGACGCGATCCCATGCATCCGAGCCGAACTTGGTCAGCGCGTCAGCACTGTCCACGACGAAGTACCTAGAGCGCGAAGCCTGTCACCACACTGTCCATTATATATGCGAGGCCGTGGGACGTACCGTGACTGACTCTCCGTCTCACGCCCCGACGGGTCTATTGTTGTGCGTCTGCGGTAGATAGGGATAAGATCGTCTGGCCGCGTGTTCCCCTCTGCGGCAGCGCGGGCGCGCGCTTCTTGGGATGGCTCGAAGACAGCCTCTTGTAGGAAGCGCTTGACATTGTGCATGGTGATTAATGCAGTGGGTGAAGAGGAGATCATGATGATTGGGTATTGGTTCTCTGCACAAGCAGTCAGGACATTGAGAGATGACACTGAGAAGAGACATACTGGGCTTTCTTGCTTGGAGTTTTGGATCTGGAAACAGAAGTCGTTAGCATCTAATAGGCAGAGATGACAGACATTCAAGCTACACACCTGGTGTTAAAGATGTAGCTCCTTGCGCCGCCCCGCTCTTTCCAGCATCCCGAAGCTTCTTGAGCTTATCCGCATACGTGTTCTTTACTGCTGCAAAATTCTGACGATACCTGTGAAGGTGCCTGGTAACTCCTTTCTGACAATAAACTCACGTTTGGTTTGACACCACGTAAAACTGTGGTCCTGTCGTGCAGCTCAATCTCATTTTGCTTGATTTTCTTTACCACCTCCACGTCTGCTGCGTCTGCAACATAACGGCGTTTGAGAGGACTTGACTGTTCTCCGCTTTTTGCAGCAAAGGGAGTTGCAGGTAGGTTAGCAGAAGCCTTGAGTTGTGGTGGTGTTCCAGGCGGTGTCGTCGACTGAACAGCTGTGAGGAAGGATATAAGCCGCCAAAGGAGAAGCCTTCGAGTAATGACGCACCAGCGAGAGGCGCAATGTTCTCGAGGTCACCCCGCCGCTCTTCCAGCCAATCCACCACATTCTTTCGTTCTGTAACGCTCACAAAGCCTACGGCCAGACCATTCTCGCGGGCCTGCTTCATGTAGTCCGCGCCGGACGCATCTCTGAGCAGCCATGCCAGATACACTGCGGCGACGGAGAAGAAGTCTTGAGGGCTTGTTGAAGGGTCAGAAGAGGTCGTCCCAGGTTTACGGAGTCTGGTTGGTGCAGATTTGGGTAGTGAGACGGATGAGGATAGGACTATGTGCGTTGCCGAGGCCAACAAGCCCGTCGGTTCAGGTCCGTTGCGGTACGTGATAGTGCTTCGCGATTTGATGGCCTGTCGCAGGGACAGGAGAGGGTCCGCGCTCATAGTGCCTCAAATTATGAGTGATCACGACAGGAGAATGGCTCGAGGGTCGGTCAAGCACGAACGCGTAGCCACCCTCACGCGTCGGCGTAAAGCATAAGTACCAGAAAAGGTAACGGCTTTTGATCCTAACAAAGACAAACATATCTGGTGTCACGTGTTCTATAGAGATTCCCCGAGAAATTGACTTGAGCCTTGGGTCTCTCATACTTCCGGCTTATGCTGTCTATTTTGTTCATCTTGGCAAGCCTGATGTCAACTATCTGAACACGAGAGAGTATTCCGATTTTTTGCAATAACTTGCAGCCACGCGTTTGTTTCGACCAGACTTAAAAATTAGTGAGCCGAGTGCTCGCTAGCAGCTACGGCTTCTCCGCTGAGCGACTATCTAACCTGTCTCCTGATATAGCCAGCGATCGTCTTTTGCAGCTTCATGAATCGACGTTTTCTGACTGTCCTCTGCCGACACGATCTCCGTCTTGGCAGTAAAGTCTTCACGCGCCTGCGCTCTGCTCCCACCGGAAAAGCTGCCACCGGAAAAGCTAGGCGACCATCTCTAGCCACAAAACCGTATCCACGCATCGAGAAGCACCATGGAGACTTCAGTACCTCACCTATAGGAGCCCAAGACCAGGTGCGAGTTAGTATCACTCCTGACCGTCTGGAAGGGTACCTTGAAGAACACGTGGAGCAATGGGCTAAATCCCAGCAAGTCCTTCGCCGACTCAAAGAATTTGGCATCGACGCAGCCGATACAGGGCCTTTGCTGAAGGCCTTCGTCTCTGCTGTCTCCCGCCAGGAGGTGCTCACTGCGCTGGAGTACAACGACGAGTTTACCGCGCGCATGGCGTATGACTTGTCTCAAACCACCACGGCGAATATGCTCGATCAGACGTTTACACGCCTCCTCTTCGAGTGGGTCAATCATCCGCATGGACAGACCGCTCTGGGAGAGCTCATCTCCTCAAACACGGTGGCAAAAATGTCCGAGCTGTTCCAGGCTGCAGACCATTCTCAGCCTACAGCGTGGTGGCCTGAAGCACGCAAGTCGAGGGTGCGCAAGATCATAATGCACGTAGGCCCCACGAACAGCGGGAAGACACACAACGCGCTCCGAGCGCTCGCAGCAGCGAGGCGGGGTCTCTATGCAGGGCCACTCCGTCTGCTGGCGCACGAGATCTGGGAGCGTCTGAACAAAGGGCAGATTGTCCCGCTGGGCGTCGACCCCGAGGAGGACGCGGAGCCCGATGAAACGAGCAACATTGACGCGGCAGACGCGTCTCCATCTATCCGGAAGCATGGCTCAAGCAAGTACGCACGGCCATGCAACATGTTGACAGGCGAGGAGCAGAGGATTGTTCAGGAGGACGCGTTGTTGAGCTGCACGGTGGAGATGGTGCCGCTTGTGAGCGCATGGGACGTTGCCGTCATCGACGAGATCCAGCTCATCGCCGACCCGGAACGGGGTGGGGCGTGGACGGCTGCCCTACTCGGTCTCAATGCGGTGGAAGTTCATCTTTGCGGCGAGGAGACTGCTGTACCTCTGGTTCAGAGGATGCTGCGCGACACCGGGGACGAAATCATCGTGAACCGTTACGAACGCCTCACGCCACTGACGGTAGCGGAGGAGGGCCTGCATGGCGACTTGTCCAATGTGAAGAAGGGCGACTGCTTCGTCACGTTTTCTCGAAGCAAGATTTTCGCTGCCAAGAAGAACATTGAAAAGTCGACGGGATTACGATGCGCTGTTGCCTATGGTCGATTACCGCCAGAGATCCGCAGTGAACAGGCTGCGTTATTCAACAGAGCGAATAGCGGTTACGACGTGCTGGTTGGCAGTGACGCCATCGGAATGGGCCTGAATCTGTACGTGCTTACAATAATCATTGTTGGCATCCATTAATTCATCCGATCTCAAGCAAAATAAAGCGTATCATACTGGCAGCCGTGCGGAAATATGACGGTCACCGTGAGGTGAGGCTCTCAGACTCGCAGATAAAACAAATTGGCGGACGTGCTGGACGGTTTGGGCTGCTCGGCCAAGGCGATGAAGGCGGCGGTGGCGTGACAACTCTTGACGACGCAGACCTCCCAGTGGTACGCCAGGCAATGAAAGAGCCGTTCATACCCCTTCGCTTCGCCAGCATTCATATCTCGGGTGAAAAGTATATTTCGGTCATGCGGACATTGCCCCCTAATGTCCCTGTTCGGGTGGTCGTGGATGTCTTCAGGTACATCACGAAAGTGGACCCCTGCTACGAAATGCAGGACCTAGTCAAGTTCAGGGAGAGGATCGAGTACGTGGACGGTCTCTCGGACCGTCTCACAATACAAGAGAGGATCCTCATGCAGCTGGCGCCGGTGCCTGTCAGGGATCCTCTCGCCGTCGAAGCCATCCGGACGATCCTGAGTCTCTACCGCGTCAAGCTCGCTGTCAAGTTGCACGAGGCACTCCAAGCGTCTGGGCTGTCGGAGAGCTATAGGAACGTAAAGCAGAGGCTGAAAAGGGTAGAGACAGTGTCGAAAAAGACCAGCCTGTCTGAGATGCTGAATGTTCTCGAGACGGTGCACAAGATCCTAGTCATGTACCTGTGGCTCAGCTACCGCCAGCTTGTCGCATTCCCTGACCAAGAAGAAGCTTTTGCCATGCGGAGCGAGGCCGAAGAAGAGATGGACAAATGTCTGACGGCCCTTACCATGGTATCGACGGATCACCCTGCAGATTCTTCTGAGAAGATGTCATACTTCACCAAGCAAGAAATTCTACGTCGTAGAACTGAGAAGAGGGGTAACAATTACACTTGATTCATTTCTGCGAGGCATTCTAACGTGGCTTTCAGAGACGCACGTCACGCAACCTAAGTCGACTAGCATTGAACGACGCGGTCCTCCGCACGCTAAGCCTCAATCTGCGTCGTAGGACGGACGAGTCATGTGACCGTGTTTGCGCCGCTTTGGTTGTAGTTCGAGGTTGCACCCCCTGCTCGCGATGCTCATCCTCCACATTCATCGTTCAATATCCACTATTCAGATAGGCTGGCCCATCGTCTACATTATTCACTACTAATATGCGCGGTTTCCAAGCCCTGCTTGCGCTTGTGTTTTTGGCGCCCCTCGTCTCCCCGCTCCCCATTGTCCACGAATCCCCAAACTCCGACACTGGTGTCGGCACGCGGTCTTTTTTGGAGCCGGGCACCCTACTCGGACGACGTTATTCTGTGCAAAATCATGGCTTCGCCTCGACCCCCGCGCCGCCATCTCCGCGCTATTTCGCGAACCATCAGGTCTCTCGCCGCCGCCCCATGCCTTTCCCGAAGTACCTTGCTGAACGCGCCGTTGCCGTTCAGGCCCGAGCGGAAGAACACTCAGACGTGAACTATGTCTCTTATGTTGGCGCACATCCCGAAAATGTATCCCCGGCCCTCTCATCTGACGCATCCACGCACGGCCCGTCGATGGACCTCGATTACAATACTTCTATCACCCTCGTTCCGCGACCGACGGCCACTACGCACGCGCATGCCAAACAGGCCGAGGCGACGGCCAAGCATGTGAAGGTCAAGTCGACACACAAGACGGCTAGCTAGACTGTACGACCTTTCTGCACCACGGCAAGACATACGCGATGATTTGGGTTCTTAATCTACATCCCGGTTCCTACACATAACTGTAGTACATACTCCGTCTCATTGGAGCGCATGTTATAGATGTGATACGGCGTCAGAGCAATCTGTCGATTCATCAACAACGGGTGCTAACAGGTCCCTGTCATACCTCCTGGGTCGTTCATGGACCCGTCAAGTGAGCCCATCGCGCTGAGAGTTCTCGAGAACAGGTCCTCGAAGTCCTGCTGTAGTCCGAGCTTATCTAGTGCTGACTGGAAGTTCTGATCGGGAGCTTCGAGCTCTGCCAGCCACTCTTCCAGCCTGTTCGTGCCGGCTATGAGTATGCTTCGCAGCCTGGTGCGATCCGTCTGGCTGACGATCATTGAGCGTGCTGGCTCATCTGGGAGTGATGTTTCGATGCCTATGCGCTCCACAGTGTCCCATGTTTCGCCGTTAAGCACCGCCAGCCAGCCTTTGTCGAGGTCCTCAAGCCAGGAGAGAAGCTGTGACAGTGCTTCTGCGTCTGGAGTGTAGCCCGAGATGGAGTTCAAGACCTCGCCTGTCAGACGAAGCAGGAATGAGGTACGCAGATACGACGAGGGTCCTGCAGGGGGGATCTGAAGGACTAGAGAGAGGATGGTGTGCGTAGCGGTAAGGTATGATGCAAGGGTCGGGAGGGAGGTCGAGGGTTGGGAACTGCTGGGAAGTGAGCGTCGTGCGACTGATATGATGTAAAACATGGGGCGCACCGTTTCTTATAATTACGGGTAATCTCCAGGAGTTGTCCGTCCAAATAGTCCACAAGTTTACGCTCTTGATTTGCTGTTAAGGGTATTGGATGAGCGTGCGGGGGCGCCGACTCTGTAGGCGTCGGTTCGTCAAGGTAATCTTGAGCGTTCTGCATGGTGGAAGGGTGACGGTAAATAGTGAAGCTTCAAAGTCTCAGCCGAGTTTACTTTCAAGTCAACAATGAGTTGATATGTAATAGTATGAACCTTCAAAATGTCACTACGAGATCACTAGCCCAGTATCAAAGTACTCACGCGCACGGGTAAGCAAGACGTCGCTCACATATTAGTTATCAAAGTCAAGTTTCTTTGCGGGCAGTCAAGACACAATGACGTAGGCAGTTCACGTGATCGTACTTTGTGGGCGTTCATGGGCGCTCGGTATCAGTAGTTTGTCGAACTCGCTCTCGAGACCCCTGCTTGTGGCACCGCAATGTTCAACGACGAAGGACTAGGTGGTATGACTGCTCGCATACGCAACAAACAGCAAGCCGCCCCAGATGAGAGTGGAATCGGGCCTTGGTCAGAGGAACTAGTGAGTATCAATCCCTGTACTACCGTCACAGCACGTGTTAGTGACTATATGCGTGTAGGAACACTTAGTATCCGGCGCACAGTGTCGCACCCGGGAGTCTGAGCTGGCAATGGAAATGCGCCTGGAGGGGCTGCGTCTTCAAGAAGCCCTGTGTGCTCGCGACGCGGTCGCTAAACACTTCACCACTGCGTGCATCTCGATCCGGGAGAAGACCGCAGCCATCGAGCGCTTGCAATACGAGAAAGGTGACCTGGAGAAACAGCTGAAGCTCTTGAATGGCAGGCAAGCTACCTTTCATGCGCCAAATACGACCACTCAAATTGCCGAGGACAAGCGGAAGCTAGTGACCGAGGTTGCCAAGCTAGCCGAGATCCTTCGCGGCATGCAAGATGAGATCGCCAAGGTAGGAAAGGCGCATATACCCGGTTCTGCAAGAGGCCATAGGACCCCTCTGCTAGAAACGGAAAATGCGTGCCAAGTATGTCAGATGCGCATCTCCGCCTCCACTTAATCATCCCGTTGATCTGGCGTCAGACTAGCAAGCCGGACTGGGAAGTCTCCGTTCACAGGATCTTGTCTCTTATCCATGATTCTCACTCACTCGGTGCTCTGCGTGACGCTACCAACGACGGACCAAGCTTATTGTCGCCAATGTCCCCTTCTCCGGCGATGACTTGGTCTCCCCGGACGCCACAGGCAGAACTGGCTACGGAATTCCATAGATTGACAATTGAAGACAGCACGCGGGCAGACCACACAGTGCGCTATACGCTCTCTCCTGATCTACACATGACATTCTCTTGGGGTTGAGCAGGCCCATGCCGGCGGCCCAGATGCAATGGAGAAGATTCGAGCCAGGAACGCAACGCTAGCGGCTCTTCCTCTGCCCTCGGAGACACCTCCTGATGTCCTCAGGCCTATCTTCATTCCTTCTCCATTTACATTCCAAGATTTCCTTGGCACCACCACTGTGGTAGGTGGTCCATCCGAGGTTGGTCGGTGACTGACAGACAACGAATGCGGGATTTGGGATGATGAACGCCAGTCTTTGCGCACTCAGTAGGTCACTCTGTTATCACCTACGGTCATTCACTTCATGGGCATGTGTGCTGGCGAAGGCTAGAAAATTACCGGGTGTTCCAGGAGTCGACGACGTCTTGGTGTCCTGAGCGTGAGGAACACGGGTACTTCCTTACGCCCATGTACAAATGTCATACCAATCCCCGTGTGACGACCGCACACCAGTGGACTGCTGCTGACATTGACACGAAGCTGGACAAGCCAACCGGTGGGTGGTCTTAGCCATGGTGCTAGCCGCGAACTGACGCTACGCTATCGTGCAGAATGCTTCTACAACAAAGACGGCAAGTGGTACTACGCCGGAGTCTACAAGGCATTCTGGCTGGCCCAGCTGTCGACGCAGGAGTGGGATGCACTCTCGACGGAGGTACGACGCACATCTGCATGCTTACTCCTGATCTTTCCTTGGCAGGATGCGACGCATAGACCGCTCAAGCGCTAATCAAAGAAACGCTCGCTGGGCGGAAGAACACGTCGGCGCAGAACGTCTACGAGACAGGACAGCTGTACGCGGCGGGTGCGCTGAAGGTGGGGTGTATCGGGCTGCAGTGTATCGGATTCAACGAGGGGCTGTATGTGATGGTTATGGAACAGGCGGGCAAGTGTGGGCAGACGGGGCGGTGGCGGGTTGGGACGTCGTGCGGGGGACATAGCCCGGGGGCGACGTGGACGACAATGACGATGCCACTGTCGCCGAACATAGGAAGCGCGATTGCGACCAGCGGCGCCAGGATGGAGAGCAAGCTGGACCATGTGGTTGACGACAGGTGAGGGCAATGTGGACGGCCGAATGGTGGGATTGCCTCGCTGTATGTTTGAACCCTGTGCGACTGTTTTGCATGTTGGGTGTGGCTGTATGCATGTGATGTAACATGAATAATGTGAGATTTGAATAGTTGATGTCTTATAATCTTGGTGCTGAAAAGATCACGAAAGCAACAAAAGGCTTGGGAGGAGCACGAACCACTGCACTAAGTGACGACACTCTTCATCTGCTATGACTAATTTGGCACAACCTCCGAGTTGCAAAATTCCTTCCTTGGCCCGAGGATGTCAATATACTCTGCAGGTACGCCTATCTTCCGACGGGAAACCACACAGACACCAAGTTGTCTGGAGGGGAGCGCTTTGAACAAATGAGTATAGCCGCTGAAGAGAACCGCCTCGCCTTCTCAGGATCACTGCACCGCGCTACAATGAGATAATATTCACCCGAAATGAAGTTGATATAAACATAGACTACCACAGACCGATACAGTATCTGGCGACATCGCGTTCGCAAATCAAGGTCGCCAGAATAAAATCATTAGAGTCCATACTACAACACATGGTAAATATCATCCATACAATATAGCGACTAACCATCGAACAGTTAGGGAAAGCAGCTGGTGTCCGAAATGGCTGGGAAGAAAGATACACTAATTGTCCTCAAGCGAACAACAAACCGGAAGGCTTGGACGACTGGCCTGTCAACGACACATGATGGCAGGTACTCTGCTTTCATTTCTTTCCGTGATCTTCTAGAGGGTTGGATCCTCTTAGGCGTTCTTCGCAGACCCCTTGGCCCTCTTTGACGACGGACCTTCATCCTCTGTGTCATGGTCTGGCCCGCGTTTCATACTGCCATACCGTGTCTGTGCGCCTGTAAAGGGATCGGCGAACGGCTTGAATTGATCTTGCGTTTTGTCTGGTTCAAGTCTCGAGTCGGAGTGCTTTAGCAAGGCACGCTGAAAGATAGTAAACAAGTGAGCGTGATCGTCCATTACGCGTTTCGATGGTTCCGGGGCCTGGTCCGCTTCGACAAGCGCCACATACTCCTCCAGGTACACTCCGGGTTCGGAAGCAAAGGGGTTCTTGTACCGGCCGACGGAGTTCACACTGGATGTCTGATGAGGGGAAACTTGGATTTCCTCGCGTCCTTGTTCCATGCGCTCTACTTCGAGCTTTACGGCGTCGTGATGCTCGTAGCAGAATTTGGCAAGGTCTTTCGTGAGTTTCTGAAGAACCGGGCTTGCAACCGGTTTGAACGGCACGTCCTTGGATCTCATTTTCTCCAGCTTTGAATCTCCTCCAACATCGAACTTGTCGTATTTGGAGTATGCATCATATACAACGTTGATATGGTGGGAAAGCAGCGCCATTTTACCCGTGAGCTTGTGCTTGTGCCACTTGAGGACGAGCCAGTTGGTAAGGTGCACAAAGGATTCCATGTCATCGGCGAGCTCGTGCTGCTTCTGGTCCGGGTACATCAGTAGTAATGCCGACATGAATTGCCAAGTGCCCTTCATAGCAGAAATCATTAGTTGTTTCCAAAAGCGAGTCACCAAAGGACACTCACCGAACGCGACGCTTGAGTCGGCTTCCCTCCTAATTCGGCTCTCAACTTCGCCATATCCCAGTCATTTAGTATCCCACGAACTTGGGGATTTCCCTCCTCGTCGATGTAGTCTTCCAGCAAGATATTGCCCACACTGATGTCGCGGTGAAGCACATCTGCCTTTTCCCATGCGTCTCTGTGTGCTGATATAGAAGTCAGCTATGAGACCGATCCAGTCAAGAGTTGGTATATAGGATGGCATACCTAAGATGGCATAGCACAAGACCTCAGTCATCTCAAAACCATTCTTGTACGTCTCCAGAGGGCGGTATACTTGGTCACAAATCAGGCGATAGTGTACGCGACCCACCGCCTCACTCTTCGGATCTGCCGCCTTGATATATTTTTGCGTGAGGGTACGCTGAACACTATCGTCGGAATCTCGAGAGGACCGCACGTCTCCGCCGCTGACTGGTCTCGCGATGTAGCGGACACCATTTTGCCACAACCGAATGTAGATTTCGTGTTCTTGATGAGATTTTTCCAAATCTGCACGCCATGACGATTTCAGGTAGACCAGTCGTCAATTCTGTATATCATAGGCTGCATGTCCCGTCATGCCGCGCCCAGTCGGGGATCGAGTGGTATTGAGTGGCTTGCCAAAGAGGTACTCGTGGTCGGACGTCGCTGTAATCGAATCTGTCGACGAACCTCCTGCGTCCTTTGGTCTGAGAGATGCATCACAAACCACATCCTCCTTGGGCACAATGACTTTGTAGATCGGCCAAGCTTCTCCCATTGCCGCCTCAAAGCATTGTGCATGGTACTTCGACATACGCTTAGTTTTCACCGCCTTCTTCTTCCAATCCTTCATCGTCTTGATTTCAGCGGGTGTGGCCTCCTGAACCGTCGGATCATATCCACGCTGGGCTTGGCTCATCCGCCCATACTTGTACAAGAAAGTCATCAATAGTTCAGGGTCCTCGACAAAGTCGAACGGCTCGGAGACGATCGCGCCGCAGCGGTCCCATCGGAGCAGACGAGCGGAGCAACCGGAAATCACGATCATGAAGCAGAAGCAGCGTGGCTGGTACCGTAGGACCGTGGCCGCATAATCCGCGATCTGTCCTCTTGTCTCGGCCGAAAGTTCAGTATTAGGGAGCCATTTATCGGGCGATACAGAGGTCGAAAATGGGTGTCCATCGCTATTGGCCGCCTTGAACTCGACAATCAAGGATGCCCAGCCCCAAGCGGTCCTTGCGAGATACTTCTTCCGTTCCTCTGCGTCGAGCCTACTGAGTTCCTGCTGAGTAGATGTATGCCCACCGTGCGCCTTCTCCCTGGCTTGTTTCTCCTTCGCGGCGATTTTCTTGAGTTCTTTCGTAGTAAATGTATACCGATCTTGCACCGTCTTTTCGGCTGGATACAGCACTACATCTGGCCTGTGCTTGCCTCCTTCGTCGTCGTTGTTTTGATCAGGATACCGGCTGGTGTTTTTTGCAACAAGCTTATCGCCACTCTCCGGGCATAGATCCAAGGCCTTTTTCGCGCCTTTGCACTACAACCTCGGCACATTAGCTACCGCGTCAGACATATGATGGATCATATATGACAACGTACGAATATCGTATACATCTTACTCTCATCATTACCCTTGAAGACCTTTTTGTCGAAGCATACGGATTTGAGCTCGGCAAGTTCCTCTTCGGATGGTTCGTCTCCAGGAACATGGTCTGTCATGAAGTCGCGTTTCTTGACCTGTACCCAGTGGCCGACCATCTCGTTGTTCAATCGCTGTTGGTATTTCTTGCGAAGATCTTTGCCCTCTGTCCCAAGCACCGCGTGTGTTACTTGAGCCGATACTTTGGCACTGGCTGGAGTGGAGCCTGTTGACACGACGATCTCTTCTAGTCGTGCTGCAGTAGACTTTGGGCTACGAGGAGGTGTGCGCGGAGCGCCCGCTGTGCGAGCAGGTGTCGCCTTAGATTTCTTTCGTGAGGAAGCCATGGGGAGCGAAAGTGTTTGAATGAACTTACAGAGGTTTCAAGGCTTTATAACTTGTTCGCAGTTTCACGGCCGGCCACTGCAGCCACCTGCAGGAATGATCCGAGAAGTGAAAGATGGCCGACGAGCCACTACATTGTCACATCGGGACGACACAAGGTCGTCAGTGCCTCTTCAATCACCGGGCGCCGCACGCTTACAATAGATTCAGTGTCTTCGCGGCAGACTGTGCCACGTTCAGCGCAGAGTGTAACACCGGCGTGACGGTCCAGGTGCTGTCTTCTACCAGACAGTGACCAATCAGCATCATGCTTGTATGCCTCTCATGCACTCGACCGCTTACCGCTCCCACGCCTCTTGTGATCGTTGGAAAGCGCGTGCAATCAGGTGGAGAGACCGGTGCTGTTCAAATTGGGGCAAGACAAGGGCTTGTGAGCGGCTGTACGGGTGCCGGATTGGAGTCACGGTTTTTGAGAGACGTAGTAAGCAAAATTCACCCGTCAACAAAGGAATTATGGACCGTCGGGTCACGGTTGTGGCAAAGTCAACAGACGCGACGCGCATCCATTCGCCACTATGTCTCACGTGATCGTGAGGCATGGGTATCATATTGGGCTCCAGTCACTGGCATCGCAAGACGTCCTCAGAGTAAGCTACAGCTTCAGCTGAGCTACACACTCGTGAGCAGTCTTCGAAATGTATGCTCATTCTAGACTTCCAGCAGATCAAAGGCTCGTCAAAGCCTTCCTGAATAATGAGAGCACCGACCGCGAAGAAATAAATTTCTTAGATGACTAGGAATATCACTCTCAAAGAGTACTATTGTGTGATCGCTGGCGATGTATAGAGGCTGCTTTTGCAGCTGATAGATCCTTCGTGAATTACAGTATGCAGAAGCATGGAGTTATAACGAGGGCATGCGCATAGTCGGTGAGTCACGTGTGTGGCAGCTGACCCATGTACTGTGTGCGGGTCGATACACGACCTTGCTGCGCACACACTCACGAGGTTCACGAGGTCCCTGTTCACGTTTGATGTTGTTGACAGTAGTTGTCGAGTCTTGACAACGCCGCTCGCTATCTGCAGCTGTATCGCTGCATGTGTTCATCTGGGCGAATGTTGCTACGGGTGAAGCCGCGGCCGTGGGCTTCACTACCAGAGTCCGAACGTTTAAATGCAAGATCTGCAAGGCTGTACTCGGCCAGGACGAACTGAGAGCTGTACTTGACATTTAAACCAATACCCTTATCACCGTCCAACGCAGCCAGAACCGCGGCGCCGAGAGCATCACGAGCCCTCCATAAGTAGTTGGCATGTACTCTCCACTGGCAGGCATGAGAAGAAATGAAGCCTGTTTCATCTCCGTAGCTCCGATTCACCGCAGGATTCGGCGACAGCGTGCTGACCGCAACCATCATGGCAATTGAACTGCCGTGATCAGACGTCTTGGAAGACCATGCTGCGGAATCCTAGTATGTAGGCGTCTCTCTACGATATAAGACCCTCCCTTGAGCGGGGTGAGCTGCCCAGTTTCAAGCCATGCACGTCTACATCCTCTCTGCAATCGTCCTCGCCGTAGTAGTGGTCTTTTACCGACTACTGCAGAGCGACCCAGCGCGCACCATATCGCGTATATATCTCACGAATCTGGAAGATGTCCTCAAGCTTCTTCACAGCCCCGGCATCCCTCTCCCTGAACTCCTCCGCACCAGAGCTGATGCTAATCAGCGTCTTCGTCGAGCGTTTCATCTTGAATCCACTTTTGTCAGCGCCGACCCCGCTGTTCATTCCGCATTCGTCAAGGCCGCGACAGAGCTCATCTCTCCCCGCCTTACCTGGAGTCATTTTGCCGAAATCGCGGTCCATGCCGCTAGTTTGTGCCTCCCATCATCCCAGGGCAGCATCGCTCTCGACATATATGTGCAGCGGGTCTGCATGTACGTCGTCCTCGTTGCTGTCCTTCACGCCGACATCGACGATTCTTCGAGTCATCTCGTCGAAGATCTCGACTTGATGACCCGGGGGATCACCGATCTGTGGCAACAATCCAAGACTACTGCGAATCCATCCGCGGAGATCCTTGCGCAGCTCAACAGCCGCCTCCGCGCCTGGCTTCCCACTCGGGAGAACCCCATCGAGCTGATTATCCCCGCCTACGAGACGATGTGGCGTGTGGTTGCCATCGCAGTCGCTCTCATAGGCGAGGATAAGCATGCTCGCACTGCCTTCGAGGAGTATTTGCAAAACCCCACTCAGCCGCAGTTCACCCAGTTCTATGGTGTACTACCCAGCGTCCAGGCTATTGTACTCGAGGTGTTGCGGTTGTACCCTCCCACTCGTCGTATCTCCCGTGTCGTTACCCGCAGTCGGTTACCCTCCTTGCCGACATCAATCGCTCGCCTATTCAGGTTACAGCACGAGACTACTGTGTCCGCGGACATCGAGGCCGTCCAGCGGGGGAGCGTTTGGGGCCCCACTGCCCAGGAGTTCGACGCCATGCGGCACCATCCTGCACGTTGTACAGATGTACAGCGTGCGAAGATGCTCGCATTCGGCGCCGGCCGTCTGGGCTGCGTTGCGAAGAATTGGGCCCCTCAGGCAGGTGCGCTTATCATTGCCGCCGTCTTGGAGACGCTTGGAGATGGCAGGGAATGTAGGATGGGTGTTGGAAAGGAGATCGGTGGTCGAGAGAGATGGGAGGGCTGGTCCGTAATCCGTAGCGATTGAGTGTTCGATAGTCTGGCTACCGGAAGAAGCCTTTAGTAGAATCAGAATGCCTGTACCAGCTAGCTGTAGAATAGCCGTATGTCTTGTATCCTAGAACGACGATTATGCATCAGAATGATGTCCAAGATGGGGATATGGCCAGCGTAGGCTGTCAGAACTATATAGAGCGTGATGGCGAGTTCTGCGTAAGGCACCGAGTTTGGTGCAATCTGATATCTATAGACTGCTTCAATTTGTCAAACACCAACAGCCGGATGATCACGTACCTATATGGCAGACAATCATGTCAATCGGCTGAGCGAGCTTCACCCATGTTCCCGTAGTAATTGCCAGTACCCAGGTATTTTGGCCGGTGATGTATCAACGTGCTGGGTGTAAGACCGGCGATTGAGAAATTCGCGTCGCAATATGTACATACGGACCTGGCGCCAGAGTGTGTTGGGCGAGTTCAGAACCCGTCGGCAGGAGCAAGTCTTGTCCGCTTCATTGTGTGCGCGATCAATATAATCCTTCAGATGTAGGGCCTGAGACATCAAGGCTTCATCCAGGGTCTCGAAGATGCCCTGGGGTGCAGTTAGTTCGGGCCTACCGTATGGTTGGTAAAGACCGTAAAGCGCAGTCACCCGGTTCTGGGAGTCGCGTTAGGTTCCCAACACAAAATCAGTGGACCTTGCGCTACACGAAGTCAGATATTGTGAGCAAATATGATAATGAATGCAGAGAGATCCAGCATGAGTGCATGAGCCACTACGGCGACCGTGACAACACATGTCACGCACGCGTTACGTCACACAGCGGTGGCCCCGGGCCACAGCCCGCTGCGGCTGCTTGTCTTCCACCTTCATTGCCACTTCAGCGTATCCGCCCTCTTAAGTCCCAGTCAACAGGTCATTCTGGTCACATTGTAACTCCTCTTGAAACTCACAAGCAACCTACAATATTGCTTCAATGCATCAAGCACTGCAGATTGTCGACATTCTCTTTAATATTTTCCAACAACTGGTTTCGGACGAGAAGACGTCCGGGGAAAGGCAGACCGTGAATCGACGCGCATTGAGTCGTGCAGCTCGTCTCTGCAAGATATTTGAGAGCGCTGCACTCGATGCGCTCTGAGTCTATATAGACGATATACAGAATCTCCTCCGTGTTCTACCCACCTTAAAGAAACTAGGACTGCGGACATACGTGAGTATCTCATAAAGTTATGTCGCCTCGTTTTTTGACTCGACGTTATACAAAATACTAGCATCTAGACGGAGAGACTTGCGATCGCGATTGGGCCAGATTTCAAGCTTACGCTCGATGAATCCGCCGTATCCATGAACCGTTCGATTGCATGTCTTCAGCCACCTACTCACAACTATCACAGCGCAACGGGTATATGCCTCTTCTCCCGAACGTAGAGGCCGTATTGGGACATTGCTCTGCATACAATATCCTATTCATCGTCGGCCGCCGGTTACAAGAGCTGCATTACTATGCTGATTCTGGAATTGAGGAAGACGTGGCGGACTGGTTCACAGTCAGCGAGCGTTTTCGTGTCCTGACCGAAACATCTCCAGCGGTCGAAGTCATCTACATGGAGCACGTCCCGTTATTTTGTCTTCAGGCGCCGTTCGAACACTGGCATGCGCTACGGCGTGTGTACTTGTACAGAACACGCGGACGTCTGGATGGTGCGATCTTAAGGACCCTTTCCTGTTTCAAGAACTTGGAAGATTTGACGCTGTTTAATTGTCACATTACAACAGCGGAGAATCCTCCTCCTTGTCGCTTCGCTGTACTCTCTAAGCTCATGGTCTCTGACTCCCCTGCAAGATTGAGGGATCTGTTTGTGGCTATGAAGACACCTGTTTTATGGGATCTCGCCTTGAATCTTAGTGCCGACGACGACTATCCGAACGTGTTCCGAGACTGCTGCGACTGCCTGAAAACAATGGTGGCCAGATGCTCATCATCCCTGCAGCGACTGACGATCGTTGTCTCGCTCCCACATACACCCAAGGTCATCCCTTTTGTCGACTTCTTTCCGCTTCTTTTCGGTCTTCACAACATCGCCACCCTCACCGCCGCTTTGACGGGCGGCAAAACTTCGAAAAACTTCGAATCAGAAGACATGCAGCGTATGGCCAGGGCGTGGCTCCACATCGACTCTCTGAGCCTGCATTATAAGCTGGACGTCGAGGTGCCCAATGTTCTCCCTGTCGATGCTCTCGTTCCCTTCGCTCGATACTGCCCCGACCTGCGGGTCCTCAATCTCCCCATTGTCACATCTAACATGCCCATGGACCTGGAGGACTATCCAATCTTCAGCCACAAGCTGCGCATCCTTAGCATAGGATCTTCTATCCCACAGGGCCCTGCACACATTATAGCGCTCTTCTTAGATCGCCTATGCCCTTGCCTGGACATCAATGATTGCCACCTGATGCTCGATGACTATGCATGGCGGGATCTTGTCGAACGTTTGGCGGCGATTCAGGCAGCCAAAAGTCTAGAAAGTGGTAACGTCTCTGCGTCTGCGCAAGTGGTTTGATGATTCGGGACAGCCGCTGATGAATACACGGAGACTGAAGTATCTCCCTATGACAGAGACCAAAGTGTCTCCGGCATGGGGAGATATCTCCGGCGTCTAAGAGATATTTCTCTGAGTCTGAGGGGCGCTTAGCTCCCTGAATGGAAATTCTATCATGTGCAGTGCGAGAGAAACACCCAAGTCACGTGCATTTTCCGCTTTGGGTGGTGACCAAGATTTTGTCTCGTATAGTATCGGGGAGCTTCATTATGGCTAGTTTTCGGCCTCTAAAGGAACTATATTTATCATAGCCAGCGCCAAAAAAGGCAGGAGGGTGCGGGAAAGTATGTAAAAAGCCTGTAAAATGCGAGTTTCTAACCCTAATCTGAGTTAGCCTGATTTGGCAGCAACTCAGATTAGATAACGAGAAAGGACCGGACTTTACCGAAAGCCGATGAAGAGATCGGGCGATGGTGATCCAGTCACGTGATCTCCCAAAGGGGACACAAATAATTTGAAGCAAGCGCCCCGCGCCGGAAAATTGATGGAGGTGTCTCCACACGCCGGAGATATCTCCCCATGCCGGAGACACTTCGGTCTCTGTCATAGGGAGATACTTCAGTCTCCGTGTATTCATCAGCGGCTGTCCCGATGATTCGTTCAAGAGTGGCAGCTCATACGGAGGCCGACACGGTATCCGGCTGTAGCTGTTTTTTTTCCTGTATTATATTCTGATCGTTCGTTCGTCCATTATGTAATTTCACTTCTGAACCTAGACTGCTCTTGTGTGCCTCAGCAGTCATATCTGCGTGTTGCTACGGATAACAGTGAGAGGGATGGCCCTGTAAAGTGAGGCATATGAAAGTATAGAAGTCCACATAACTGCGAGGGCAATGGAGGGCTTGGATATTGCGGCATCACAAACCTGGTCATCTATGGGGATCATCCGCTGGTAAAGCATAGCATGGATTGTCAGAGACAACGGTGTCAATGTCGTGTCACTAACATTGTCGACATTCTTGCTATCAGGCCAAGCCGACCCTTGTTCTGACTTCGCGCAATGTAACCTCCGAAAGCTCCCTGGCCTTCTCCGCTCCTGAGCGGGCGACCGTCGCCAGGTAGCTAACCTCTCCCTTCAGTCTCTCGAACTCGGCGCGAGGTCCCCGCATCATCTCTTCCACGGCCTCTGTTACGTCAGCCTTGAGGCGACCATGCCCCTTGTCGTGATATCGCGCTGCGACGTCGTGGGGGCTCTCGTCTGTGAATGCCGCGAGGATAGTGAGGAGGTTAGCTGCGCCTGGGCGCGTCTCCGGGTCGTAGGTCACACCAACTATCGGGTCCGTCACGGCGGCGCGGATTTTCGTTTTGATCTGTGCCGCGGTATCCGTGAGGACGATGCGCGATTGGATGTCGGGCGACGATTTTGACATTTTGCTGGAAGGATCGCGGAGCGAGAGGATTCGCCGGGAGGGGGCTATCAAGTAGCCGTAGGTGGAAAGGTGGGGTGTAGTAATCAGAGGGAAGACGTACTGAAGACCTGCTGAGGCAGAGGGAATAGTGTCGTCTTGCCCTTGAATGTGCGGTTGAAGCTGTCGGCTAAATCTCGACAGAGTTCAAGGTGTTGCTGCTGATCCTCGCCCACGGGTACATGAGTAGCCCTAGTAAATGTTCAGGATTCAGAGTGTGTATACGCATTATCACAACTCACTTGTAGGCGAGAATGTCGGCAGCTTGCAATACTGGGTACGTGAACAGCCCGACATTTAAGAGGGACTCGTCGACCTCAGACTCGTCCCGTGCGTTGCGTGAGGTCGCAAGTCGGGACTGAGACGACACTATGTCAAAGGTGGGATTAGGGAGAAGTTATGACTGCTTACCTTCCATGTTGTCATTCTCCGTAGCTTACCCATAGGAGTAAGGCAATTCAATATCCACGCCAACTCAGTATGGTTTGGGTTCTGCGAGAAGGTCAATAACACTACATTCCATAATGGTCTGCACTCCTGACCTACATCATCTTGGTGGAAGATGATGGATCGTTCCGGGCTAAGACCTATGGCTAACAGCACGGCTAGCATTTCTTTACGAGCTTCACTGAGTGCCTTCGGGTCCTGCGGCAGCGTGAGGGCGTGCCATCCAACGATGGAGAATATGAGCTTGTCGCCAGGTTGTGCATTCCGCTGGATATTGACCCAGTTCAGGAGTGCGCCCAAGAAGTTTCCTAGCTGTATATGATGAGATACGCAAGAGCTGGTCTTTCATAGCCGTGCACCAGCGTACGTGAGGGATTCCAGTCGGCTGTATTCCCGAGAACACAGTCCGCGGTGTCGGTGCTGGCGTGCTTTCACTCGCATTGCTCGCATATCTTCTGCCCAAGCATCTTCGGTTTTCAGTGAGCGTATGAAGTAGTCCTCGACGCCAGGAGCGAGCAGCAAAATATGGCTGGGCATGAGAAAGGAAAGATGGAGACATGGCACGCGTCGTCGCGTCTACGAGACGCGATTTGCTCAAGACCACGATCAAGTGCTCTAGCCTCTCCAGTCCACACTTGCTACATCGCTTAGGAAAGATGGACGGGTACCAGATATACGAGTTGCCAGGTGGCGATGACTTAGAAGATGTTACGGAGATATTTACGCAGGCAGCGAAAGGTGAATTGCCTCGCTCCGCTTGGGAGGTTGTCTGACCCTCAAGACTTTTGTGAAGAGATGAACTCTGAAGACTTGATCTTGACGGATGGATTCACACTTCTCGACGCAATGAGCGCGTTCGAGGTGGGTAGCTTGGATATCTTCACTATACATTGACCTACCATGGTCGCTCGCATCGCTAGATTGGTGAACCTCGCATGGACAGTGGTATGATCCTTCAAGAACAGCGTCGGCCACCCTTCAATCCTCTGGCGCCGCTGCTACCACAGGAGCTCTGCTGGATTGTAGAGAGAACTTTCGCATGTGAGGTGAATTCCCCGTCCATCGCCTCGATCATAAATTTTTATCCCTATTACCTGCTAGATGGCGTGGCATGCAGGAAATAGCCTCTCGCAAACAGTCTACACGCTGCTTCACGTGCACTACCTCCGGGACATTAACCCAGACTTCTTGCCACATCGTCTGCGCCGCGCCGGCGACCCACAACGTCCGCTTGAGCTTATTACTGTCGTGCTGCGGGGAGCATTATTTGGCATGCTGAAATCGTGCGACCTCAGCTGGCGGGAGCTGTCAAAAGGCAAAGTCCATGAGGTTGGTACCGTCTGGTGAAAGGTGGGGAAATACTCATGCTTTTGACTAGATTGAGGACTGGTTCGGAGAAAAATGTGACGTATCGCTATTGGAGGGCGTCGCTGTCCATTTTGCACTACGCAAACTGGATGATGCTTGCGAGTGGCTTCGCCACTCAGATTTGCCTGCGTCAGAGATAACACGACTTTGCAATAGGCTGTTACTCCGCCAAGTGAGATTTCATGCGGCATACTTACTATTTTTAACTGAACAAATGATGGCTATGGCAGACACTCGTCCAACTCTTGATGTTGACACCACCCTTGGACGTCACTGAAATGCGTGACCTGATCACCACAGCGCGCGAGCTCTTGCAGGCGATACGCGTTGACCCTATCTCAACCCCAACCAAAGGTTCTCCTGCTCTTCTAGTCTTCGACCCCTTCATCAGTCGCCGGCTACCAAACTTCATGCCTGTGAAGGCCGTCGAGTTGCCCCATCAAGATGAAACCTGGGATATGCTTGATCGGTTTTTGCGCGACTACGAAGAACTAAGCGTTCTTCTCGACAGTCTTCACGTCACGACATGGGAGGTGAGCGATCTGTCGATACATTTTTCACTACTCGCTCATAAAATCCAAGGTTGCAGGCTCTCTGCGTGTGTACTCTCAAGAACAGCAGGTTTCAGTAGCCTACCTCCGGTCGTTGACACAGGTAGAGGAAAACCCCGTTGTCATGTCTAGACGGTTCTCAGTCTCCGCAGTCCGTGGTTTTTGACAGGGACATCATTTTTGGCCAGTTTCCGCCTATGTGGCTCGTGAACCAGTTCTTCGTCGAGACTATCGGCGTGACGCATGACATTGTACTGCAAACCCTCGAGCTTGGTGAAAATGCATCCGTACAATCTCTCGCTCGGGATATAGAACGGCGCATTGTCGATGTATGTAGCGAACCGTTCGCTTTTTCTGCAACTGAAATGGATATCTCAGCTCATGATTGCCCACATCCGATCACATTGGTACAATCCTCCTCGTAGACGACGCTATTTAGCCAAATCCATCCTCCACTGGCACGAGCTATACGATCAGCTACTGCAGCTTGTTGCCCACTGTCCCAGTACGGTAAGGCATCAGCACTATCGACCCGAGTCTCATGCAATGCTTACTCCAAACACTGTAGGACCGTGAAGACAACTCCATTTTGGAGCTTGTGCCGATGGCAGCTAGCATGCGGCGGTTGGCAGCTGCGCGCGAGGTCATCTTATCCGCCTTCGAGCAGGAGTTGTACGCGCCAGAGGAAGTGCCCATTGCATACTGGTATCTCTCGCGTATACTAGAGACACATCTTGAGTGCATAGACGAGGTACTCGCCTTCACAGCAGAAGGTAAGTTTGTGGGGTACACCTACTGCATTGTCTGACAGGCAACCCAGGATGGGAAGGATACGAAGAGATAGCGTTTCAGGCGAGCTTCCTCACCGCATTGCAGTTGATGGCAGTCGCCATGTGTGGTGTAAGCCATTCATTTCTTGCGAAAAATACAGCAAGGACTTCTGACTTCTGACTTCTAGCTCACTTACAAGCAGGCGACGCTACCGTACGAGCGTACAGCGCTCAACTTCATCCGCAGATATAAATGGGCATCTCGTCCAGAGTATGAACCCCTTGTGGATGCAGAGCCACTACCAGACCTCCGGCTCTTCTTCGTACAAGCGTCGGGACTTGCACAGGTAGATGTTTCGTCTCGCATGACACGGCAAAGTACTAAGATATCGAGCTAGGATGAATATTTCTCTGCGTCTTTGTCCTTCCTGCAAGCGGGCGATATTCTGCGCAGCCTCATCGACTCTCGTCGAACAGAAGGTCTTGCCGGAATCTGGGCCAGCTCCCGCCGTGACGTGAGTACACTTGTTGATTTGTCTTTTTCCAACGTGTCTCATTGTCGATCGCTTTCTGTAGCTCATCACAGATTTAGCTGATGTGTGCAGGCGTCTCGAGGCTGTGCCAACAAGTACACGTGAATTTGCGAATTTTGACAACAAAAGCCTGAGATGGCAGGAGCGCGCACATCCTTGGTTTCCAGACATCGTTGCATGATCTGCTTTCGGGTATATTAGTCAATCTAGAGTGAATATTGTAAACCATGTACATCTGTAGACCAAGCGTTCCTGCACTCAACACGAAGAGCACAATTTTGCGAAAGTGTGCAGCGAACCATAATACTTGCCTTATAAGGCATGACCCACCTTGTCCGATTGTCGCAGTTGCAATCCCTCCTCCGCATCAACAATGTCTGCTCATCGTAAACGAAGTCGTCCTCCGACTCTAGTAGGACGACCCAGTGCCTGTAACTCAGGCGTCACCCTTTTCACGCTTGATGACCTCCCCAAGGACGAGTCTCTCGACACGGAACCTCTTAGCGCAACGCCGCGAAGGTCAAAGCGCGCGAAGTATTCCGCGTCAGTCAAGTCTGAGAGTGTGGCTGAGGTGGCTGAATATGTAAACTGCTCGCCCTCAAGGCGCACAGCCTCTGTAGTCAAAGAGAGTGGCGCGGCTTCGCGCTGTGCCGGGAGTTCGGTGGCGTCTCCGTCGAAACAGTCCGTCGCGAAGAAAAAGCAAGCCCTGGCTGACCTTGAGATGCCTCACCCTGCACCTCCACGGTGGCGTGAGGTATATGATACTATCAAGGACATGCGCTCTCGTGTCGTCGCACCCGTCGACACCATGGGCGCCGGTGCGGCACAACTTGGCGAGACAGATCCGAAGGTGTTTCAACATCTGTACATCATGCTTGCTGTTAACGACATACTTATGGAGATGTTCTTAGTGTCAGCGCTTCTCCACACTAGTGTCGTTGATGTTGTCCTCTCAGACAAAAGATGAGGTTACGTCTGCGGCTGTCAAACGGCTACGTCAGGCCGTGGGCGGGAGCCTGAGCGTAGATGCCATTCGTCAGGCTGATGCAAAGACTATTTCTGACGCCATATGCAAAGTTGGCTTTTGGCGGCGGAAGACAGAGTCAGTACTTCCTGTCTCCGTGCTTAGACTTCAATTTTGTGCGGTCGGTAGCCTAAATTGACTTGTTACCAGCTACATCAAACGGACCGCTCAGCGTCTGCATGACGAATTTGGCTCTGACGTACCAATGACGGAGGCGGAGCTGTGCTCACTGCCGGGTGTGGGACCAAAGATGGCGATTCTGACTCTTCACGTCGCGTGGAAGGTGTATGTTTGATTATACTCTCTTACGCCACAGCTAATTATGATCATCATTGTAGAAATGCCGGGGTCGGAGTTGATGTCCACGTGCATCGAATCACGAATCGGCTCGGATGGCATAACCCTCCTACAAAGACACCCGAAGAAACACGGTATGAATGTACCCCCATCCACCCCTATTCGAGTTAACCTTCCGATGTGCTTACAGTAGTAGTCTAGAGGCGTGGCTTCCCGACGAGCTGCGACCAACATTCACAGGCCTGCTCGTTGGCTTTGGTCAGGTTCGTATCATGATTGTGTTCGTTGATCGACGTCTCAATGTCTCCTTCTGCAGACCATCTGTCTACCTATAGGGCCCTGCTGCGAATCATGTCAGTTAAGTGATGGGCTTTGCCCCAGTGCTCAAAAGCCCTCCGCCATCAAGGTGCGGAAAGGCGGCAGCAAGATCGCTGAAGTTACTGGCCCAAGCCTTGAAATTAAGTTCGAAGAGCAGGATTCTAAAGCGAACATCACATTAGAGCCGTAATTCCCAAAGGTAGCTGCGATAGTCAGCGGCCGAACAGCAGGCGGTCTTACTGCTGCTAATAACAGATGGTGGCATCCATGTCAATCTACGTGTGATGTCTGTCTTGTGTAACGCGTCCCTCAGGATGACGGGTGTACTTCACACATTCTGTTGCCCTGTTATGAAAAGGTCACTTGCAAATAGCACTATCGCATATGATAAGAATGTGCACAACCTAGTTGGCAAGTAGATACATAGAATCACGAACGGTAGGAGGTGCAGCCGTGTCGGCCTTACATTCGACATTATCGACTGTACATCTGTAAGGTTAAGAGGTTCTGGAAGTCTGACATTATGTCTGCGCTGGTGAGATCTTCATATAGACCCTGCTGACTAGTTTTCCAATTCAATTATATGATAACCAGGGGGGCAGGGGGGTGGGGGTGGGGGGTGCTGCATTATAATGAGCAATGCAGATTCGGCGCCCTCAGCTTGTTGAGGTGAAACACCTAGCAGTGGCGACTGGTCTATTCGGTAATGAAACTAGAGGATCTCCAGAGAAGGAGCCGACGCAGTGAAAACTGAATGGAAATTCTGTGAGCTGTCAACGAGTACACCGGGAAACATACAATGAGGATTCCCCATTGCGCCATGCGCTAAAATATCAGTTCTACTGAAAATATGGAATCCGTATGTTTCTCTTCAAGCTGTGAGTCCGAGTCGCTCAGAGAATGGGAGTTATCTTCATGGCAAAGATAGATGCAGATATTAAGAGACACTGAACGGGTGAATCGCAGTATTGATGCGAACACTGATGGGTATGTCATATCACAGTCCATAGAAGCGAGTGTTAGAGAAACTGGGATTCGGTCTATGAGCGCGTTTGTCCAGGGGCGTAGCGATGCTAGTAAGGGACAATCGCGTGCCGCGGTATGCACATCGCCAACGGTCGAATCCTATCCGGGCCCCATCTGCTAGCGCACCCAAGCTTGCGAATTCGTTCCCGACCGCATGTTGGAATAACGAAATGTCAGCTGGTGTCGGAAGCTGCGTTGTATTTAGACATTGTGGCGAGTTCATGTTCACCACCATGTCAAGGGACTCAGGAGGAGGAGCCACGCCTGATGTCACAGTCTGCGACTTGTCCTGGCTTACTGGAGATGAATCTTCGAGCTGGTCTCTATTCTGTAAGATGCAAGGTGATGGAAAACTGGGCTGAAAGGCTTGCGGTCGTTCTAGCCAACTAAGAACGGATGGCGGCGGAAACAAATACTACACCTGCCTATTATGGGTATACCGGCAATCAAATCCTCGCTTGAGCGCCTGTGCCTAATGATGCTCTCTTCTGTATTGCTACCGGGAATTAGACCTCGCTAATCGTTACTTCAATTCACTGGCCTTTTCTTCTGGCTATCGTTTCTCTCGGATTATGCTTTCGCTGAAGAGAAGCGCATCTCCGGTCGGGCTTCCAGCGTTGACTGACTCCACTGCTGAGGCATTCTACTCGACAGAATTGCGGCGGTCAAAACGTTTGAGGCTCACCGCCCAACCAGACTCCGAACAAAAGCCTTCTACTATATCTGCCACCACGAAGGTGGTCCGGAAGCGGGCTCGTAAAATCAAGGCAGAACCCTCAGAGCTTGCAGATACAAAACCTGCCACAGATGCCAACCAAAGCCCACTGAAAGTAGAGAAGGGCGCTGCTTCACCGCGCAAGCAGACCTCTGTTGCGAAGGCTCTGGCAACCCCGCACCCTACGCCGGAAAGGTGGCGCGAGGCGTACGACACTATCAAGGACATGCGTTCACGCATCATTGCCCCGGTGGACACCATGGGCTGTGATCGTCCGCAGCTCGAGGAGACAACGCCCCAGGTAAGTTCTGCATTACTGTTGTGGCATGCCGGAAACTTATGTGGCATGCCTCGCAGAACCAGCGCTTTGCCACCCTCGTCTCGCTCATGTTATCTTCTCAGACAAAGGATGAAGTGACCTTTGCCGCTGTGTGCAAGTTACGCGCAGCTATTGGTGGCGCCCTCAGCGTTGACGCGCTCTTAGCCGCGGACGACAGCACAATTGGCGAAGCAATTTGCAAGGTCGGATTCTGGCGGAGGAAAACACAGTGAGTGGACACCCTTCGAAAATAGGGCAATGGTTCATTGCTTTACATGAAGATATATCAAGCGGGCGACTCAGATTCTGCGAGATGAGTTCAACTCGGACGTTCCAAAGACTGTTGAAGAGCTTTGTTCTTTGCCTGGAGTGGGGCCTAAAATGGCTTTTCTGGCCCTGCAAGACGCCTGGAAATTGCAAGTCGTGTGTTTGCTTGTTGCTTCATAATATTATCTAATAAAGTGAGTAGAAACGTCGGAATCGGTGTTGATGTGCACGTACACAGGATCACAAATCGGTTAGGCTGGCACAAGCCTTTTACTAAGACGCCAGAAGAGACCAGGTGCGTGTCCGGAACTCCTTTGGCCTACGTGTACTATTGACGTTGTGGCAGAGTCAATCTCGAGTCGTGGTTACCCCTCGAACTCCATCCTAAGATTAACGCCCTCCTCGTTGGCTTCGGTCAAGTAAGTATTGATGCAATCGCCAAGCAGCAAGCGATTAACGCCTCACAGACTGTCTGCCTGCCCGTGGGCCCACGGTGCGACACTTGTGAGCTGAGCAATGGTCTATGTCCCAGCGCACGCAAAATGAAGACGAAAACAAAGAAGACTATTACGAGCAGAGGTTCATCAGGCCCGAAGGTCGAGATCTCAATCGAGACCGAGGTCAAGACAGAGTTCACCGAGCCTAGCTGCTAGCTCAGTTTCTCCTTGCCACATGCGCGCCTTCATGTATATTGTTACGATCTATGCTACACATTGCGTCTGCTTTCTTCCGCTGTTGCATACCTATCGCTATCGTATATCTGCACTAAATATTCTGTCTCTTTTCTTGCATGCCCGTCACCATCAGCATGTCACATAAGCCCGAGCCCCATGTCCCAGAAGCCCTTCTCTAGACGTGTGCAGCGTTCCCACACCTTCAGCCACTCGCGGTATCTCTGAGGCGACGGCGGGTCCGCAACGGCGAGCGCCTCGATCGTCTCTGCACGGCGCCAAATCAGCCACACACGAACCGACGAGGTGAGCTATAGTGACGCGCACCGAGGCCGAGTTTCACAGCGGCTTGATAATTCGCCCCAGAGTAGTCGTCGATCCACCGGCGGTACGGGTTGTCCTCAAGCTTCACCCAGGTGTCCGGCCGCGCGGCCTCGCGCTTCAGCCACAAGCCCACCTCGCCGTATCCGAGCAGACACGCCGCAAGCGCCATCACGAGCCGTGCGCTGTCCCCTGTTCCGATTCAATCCGTCATGATCAGACTTTCTTTCGCACACGAACGCGCGCCGATTGACCTTGTATCCCGGCGTCGAGGATGTACGCGCCGTACGCGGTCGTCGCAGGCGACTCCGGGGTCGCGGCGAGCTCCTGCTCGCTCACGCCCCACTCGGCGCAGTACGCAGTGTGCATCGACACCTCGGTCACGACATTGATGATCGTGCGCGTTGCAGTCTCGATCGCAGGGAACGTCGCCGACTTGGCCGCGAGCAAGCTGGGAAATACGTGGTGTCAGAGTGCGGTGGTGGTGGCGCGAGCGCGGGCACGCACCCGTATGCACGTGCGTAGTACTTGAGGTAGAGATAGTCTTGCCTTGAAGACACATTAACTCAGCGTCGGGGCGCAGAAACGCAGCACAGAGCCCATGGCTCACTTTAGGAAGTGCAGGAAGCACTCCCGCGGGAGCGTCCCCATGGCCAGCTGCTTGACAAAGTCGTGCTCGACGTAAGCTTTCCATATACTCCTCGAAGACTCGATCATCGAGCGGACGAGAGGGTGAGGGTTGCTCTCCGTCGGCCTACATGAAAAGTTAGTCCGACTTATGTTATATTGGGATGAGACTCACTGCGGCACACTCCGTATGAGTATTGGGTGGAGGTGGTTGAGGGGGCCGTGCCCACTGCCAATAGGCTCTGCGGTCTCGATCCCAAGGTGGGTGTATGCCGTTGCCGCCCGCGTAGCCTCAGCGACTGTGGAACAGAATGTCGGACATAAATGCAAGGGTGTGAGCATAATGCATACATGTCTTTCCGCGGCTGAGCGCCGTCGCAAGTGCAGCAGACAGCGTGCAGCCTGTTCCATGGGTGCTCTTTGAGTCGATACGAGGACGCACGAAGAGAGTGATTGCGTTGGCTTCTTGCAAAGCGTCTACAACCAGCACCCGTTTCGACAAGTCCTGCTCCGCGACCTGCAGAATCTCCATGTTCTCGCCGAGCAGGCCCTCGCGGACGACCTGAATGTGCGGGTGCGCAGCAGCGACCTTCCGCACGTCGTCCATTGTCGTGGTAATGTGCCCGCCCTTGAGCAGCACGGCCCGCGGGCCGAGCGAGAGCAGGTTGCGCGACGCGACGAGCATGTCCTCGAGCGTGTCCACGCGCGACGGCAGCCCGCGCTGGGACAGCAGGAGCACGGCCTCGGCCTTGTTTGGGGTGACGACCGCCGCGAGCGGGAACAGCTCGGAGATCATGACGTCGACGGCGTCGGGGTGCAGCAAGGTGTGTCCGGACGTCGACACGCACACCGGGTCGCACACCAGCGGCGGGATCGCGGCGCCGTAATGCGACTTGAGCGTGCGAGCGACCGCCCGCGTCACGTCGGCATCCACCAGCATGCCCGTTTTGATTGCGTTGATCTCGACATCGTCCAGTACGGATCGCAGCTGCGGCAAATGGGTTCTCAGTCCGCACAGGAGTAGTGTGACATGAGATGGCATGCGCACCTGCTGCTCGACGAACTCTGGCGGAGTTGGGTACACTCCTTGAACACCAGTTGTGTTTTGGGCCGTCAGTGCGGTCACAACACTTGTCCCGTAGCAGCCGAGTGCAGTGAACGTCTTCAAGTCGGCCTAAACATTGCACGGAGTAAATAGGACCCAAAGGGTCTCTTCACCGTGAATTCTTACTTGGATGCCAGCTCCTCCGCTAGAGTCTGAGCCCGCAATAGTCAGAACTGCATTGGAAGTCATCGTCGACTCTCGCGAGGGATCCACGACGAAGTATTGTTCCAAGCCACAGTCGACGGACGGAGAACGGACACATAAAGGGAATGTTGCGATATATATCTTGTGATTAAACGTTTCAATAAGCATTCGTGGTGTAGCGGTAACATTGGGTCTTCCCATGGCCTAGCTCCGGGTTCGACTCCCGGCGGATGCAGTAATTTTTGCCGATTCCGTTTTTGCCACTTGTATTCAGTGGTCAAATTTGGACCCGATTTTTAATAGCTCCTTGCAATCTGAAGGCTGGAAGCTATAGCAGCAAGCTGTGCTGTGGTCCCTTGGTTATGAAAGTATTTCTAAAGATAGGTGTGTACTTTCGTCACGTCCGCAGCGACGCGAGGACGACCGCTGATCCAATCATGACACGCCCCTCGCCGCACGGCCTCCAACCCACCGCGACATATCTACCCCCTCCAACGCACACCCTCCGCGCAGCTTACCCGCCAGCACCTAGCACATCATGCCCGACGGCTACGACTTCCTCTTCAAGCTGCTCCTCATCGGCGACTCGGGCGTCGGCAAGGTGAGGCGGCGCGTCGCCGCTCTGGCATGGCATGGGCACCGGCTGACCGCTCGCGCACCCGCGCCAGTCATGTCTGCTCCTCCGGTTCGCGGAGGACGCGTTCACGGACAGCTACCTCAGCACCATCGGCGTCGACTTCAAGATCCGCACCATTGACCTCGAGGGGAAGACCGTGAAGCTCCAAATAGTGAGTCCTCCCTTCGCGTGCGTCCTAGCAGGCCGTGGCCATCATCAGACGCGGATCCAGCACAGCCTGCAGCCTGGGCATCTGCGACGACGGCTGACGGGCATTGCATTGCGCCGTGACAGTGGGACACGGCCGGCCAAGAACGCTTCCGCACCATCGCCGCCGCGTACTACCGCGGCGCACACGGCATCGTCGTCGTGTACGACGTGACCGACACCGGTATGTCCCGTCCACCCCGCCTGCCGTCTTACGTGCGCTCCTCACCCCCGCCCAGAATCCTTCCAGAACGTCCGAGGCTGGCTGCAGGAGATCGACCGCTACGCATCCGAAAACGTCAAGAAGCTCCTCATCGGCAACAAGTCCGACCTCGTCGAGCGCAAGGCCGTCGAGTACAGCGCCGCCAAGGTCTGTCCCCCTCTCCCCTGCTCCGGGCACCCTGATCGTGTGCGGTGCGGCTCACCCCCCGCGCGGCGCGTGCGTATGTGTATGTAGGACTTCGCGGACGAGCTCCAAATCCCGTTCATCGAGACGTCGGCGAAGACGTCGACGAACGTCGAGGAGGCGTTCGTGACGATGTCGAAGCAGATCAAGGAGAGGTGCGTGTCTCGTCTCGTGGGCATCGCGCGACCGCGACCGCGAACGCTGATGGCGCGGCGTCTGCACAGCCTGGACGCGGCACCAGAACAAGCCCCAGGCGGCGCAAAAGCGGGGATCGTGACGCCCGGCCGGAGCCTGGACGAGCAGCAGGCGTCGGGAGGCTGCGCGTGTTGAGCACGCACGAGCGTGCGCCCCCATTTACGTTCGCGTCCGGCGAACAGTTGTTGCTATCGAAGTGGCCCCCCCCCCCCCGGACCTACGCCGCTATCATCCCATCTTGCATGCACACACACACACACTACGAATTAATTATTGTACATCCTATTATATATGGACAAGGATATCTCAACGCTTTCGACGAGCGGGTACGCCGCTGGCAGGGACTGAGTGCTCATGCTCTCTAGTTGATATCGTGGGTACGACAACGACAGCACTTGACTGACAGTCTGCACAGAGGAGGATGCATCTCTTCTGAGTCTCCCGGGTCAGGCCAGGCCATGTCGATGTCCATCTAGTCTCCTTTGCGTCTATGTATCCTCCATATTTACTTGCCGCGATATATATTCGCACATCGGAAGGGGTCCTGGAGTGCAGCTAACGACTGTAACTAGAGCATACAATCAATCGTCTAGGAGTATCGTCGCGGTGTGATTGAATTGGCAGATGACATTACTTCGAGTATTATCTTTGCTGTAACTATCAGGTATGACATGCACCTAATATGTCTTTCTTTCATTTCGTGGGACCCTTGGCTGTGGAGCTCATCTTGGCTACACTGGCTTTCGATTGGACCTGTAGTTCGACGATCAGAGGGCTGGGTACGGGACCAGAAGTCCGATAACCTTTATCAAGCCTCGCGGTGTCAATGACCGCGCCACATTTCACATGATATCCTTCCATTGCTAGCAGGTAGGTGTGGTGTGGTATTAGCGATACAGCAGGATTACACAGATGTACAAGTATATACGATAAGCTCGAACGAAGGTCATGGCGTAGCAGTGCTCATGGGCGAGCCGAGCAGGCGAAAAAAAAAGTCTAATGTCATGCGATGCAAACTATGCCGGGGAAGATGCAAAGTCCGTGTGCTGCAGCCGCCCAAAGAGTCCAAACGCGACGCGCCTCACCGTCGGAAAGGGTTGTTCGAGTCCCCCGTGCTCGTCGGCGTGACCCAGTACGCGCCCCGCGGCTCCTGCGCCTGCGCCTGCGCCACGGACCGCGCGTACTCCTGCGCCGGCGTCGGCGCCCGCGCCTCCCGCTCGTGCGAGCCCATCGTCGTGTCCGAGAAGCGCGACGGCAGCATGTCGCGCGCGTTCCGCACCGGCTGGCGCGGCTCCGGCGCGCGCCGCGGCTGCCCCGTCACCTGCGTGTACAGCGACTCGGTCGAGAGCGACGCGCGCTCGCCGGGCTCGTGCACGGAGGGCAGGTCGTACGCGGCCCCGCCGAGCTTCTCCACCCCGCGCGTGTGCCGCGCGTCCTCCGCCCCGCGCAGCTTCTCGAGGCGCAGCGCCTGCGCCTCCTCGTCCGTCGCGGCGGGCCGGCGGTGCTGCCCGAGGAGGACCGCGCCGAGGCGGCGGAGGCGCCAGCGCCAGGTGCGCGGCGCGCCGAGGCGCTTGGCCTGCGCGAACGCGGCGGTGGCCTGCGCGCGCCGCTTGCGCATGCGGCGGCGCCACGCGACGACGACGAGGAGGAAGATGAACGCGCAGCCGAGCGCCATGAGCATGATCTGCCACCAGGCGAGCGGCGTGCGCGCGGACGCGGACGTCGCGGGCGCGGGCGCGGCGAGGCCCGTCACGGAGGGGAGCGGCGCGGCGGACGTCGTGCCCGAGGGCGTGGTGATGACCGTGAGCACGAGGTCGGAGAGGCAGACGCCGAGCCCGGCGATGACGCTGCTGGAGCCGCTGCAGCCCGCGGCGACGCAGGTGCCCCCGCGGAGGACCTGGCTGGAGCTGGAGCACGCGAGGCAGGCGCTCGGCCCCGCGCCGGAGCAGCTGGAGCAGCTCGAGTCGCAGGACTGGCAGGAGGAGGACGTGGTGTCGAAGAACTGCGACTGGGCGCAGGTCGGCAGGCAGCGCCCGTTCGTCAGCACGGGGAGGTCCGAGTTGCAGCTGGAGCACTGGTTGAAGGAGCCGCCGGAGCATGTCGCGCAGTCGGGGTGGCACGCCAGGCACGAGCCGGAGGAGCTGAAGGTATTGGACGGACATGAAGAGACGCATGACCCGTTGGATGCGAGCTTGTTGTTGGCGCAAGTCAAACAGAAGGTGGACGATCCAGCGCAAGTGCCGCAGGAAGAGTCGCAAGCTATGACGGAGGTATCAGTGCATTGTTCTTATCAGAACCTAGGAAAGCATACCGGTGCAAGTCAAGTTATCCTTCGGGCTGAGGAATGTACCCGACGGGCAGCTCTCGATACAGGCGCCACCAGACAGAACATATCCGGGAAGACACCCAGTGCATTGTGCTTGATTGACCGTCGATGCCACAGTGAAGTTCGGGATCTCGCACTTCGTGCACTTGGCGGGACAACCTGTGATATATGATGATCAGTGAATCACACTCATTAGATTGCTCGGAGAACACATACTATCACACTCGTGCTTGTTGTTGTTGGCGATCAAGTTCGAGTTCTCGCACACGCCCTCGCTATTCGTCGATACGCAGCTGCCGTTGAGGCTATACGTGCCCGCGCCACAAATGATGCAGTCGTTCGATGTCGGGCCGTTGCACGTCTGACAGAGCGAGGAGCATTGTACGCATTGTGTGCCGTTACTGAAGGACTCGCTGGGGCAGACCGTTCCGCCGGATGTGGTGGACTGTGCTGCGGTGCACTGGGTGGCATCGCTGGCGCTCTGCGTAAAACCCGACTTGCAGGTAATACAGTCGCCCGTACTGTCCGCACATTCGGTGCAGCCAAGTGCACAGACTGGGCTCTGAGTCAGTGTATGAACATGAGGATACACCATTTTCACTCACCCTCACAATTCCCGCTGGAATCGAGGAAGTATCCCGTCGCACACTTCGCGCAGGCGGTTCCGTTGGATGCGGTTGTCCACCCGGCGTTGCATGAACATGCACCATCCGAGCCGCAGACTCCGTTGATGCAGTCGCAGCTGGACGGAGGGTTGCTGACTTCCGGCACAAGGCACTTTCCGGTCCCTTGCAAGCCTTGGTCGCACTTCTCGCAGTCCGCGGGGCAAGGCTGGCATGTCGGCCCGAAGAATCCCTCTGCGCAGGACTCGCACGAGGAACCGGTGAAACCCGTTGGACAGACACACTTGCCCGCCGTTGAGCACACGCCCGCACCGGCGCACGGAGGCGAGCATGCGGAAGACTGCATCTCGAGCAGCGCCAGAGGGTTGTTCAGCGTACTTGATGGCAGCTGTGACACATCAGGAACAGAGTCCCAGAAAATGACACGGTCGTTTGAAGAAGAGCCCGCGAACGACGCCCACATGTTAGACGCAAGGGCAAAGGAGCCAGCGGAGCTCTGTGTCTGCTTGGAACTGTTCGCCGAGGAACCATTAGTAGGTAATGCGGTGAAGGTGGCTTGGCCGGAGAAGTTCGCGCTAGGATACAATGCAATACCGGGCTGCAGTTCCACGTTTAGCGGAAGTGAGACAGATGAATTGGCTGAAAAGCCAGGGGATGCGGAGAGCGAGGCGCTTGAAGACGTGAGGATATCATGGAGGAGCGCGGGGTTAGTCGTCGAGGAGTACTGTCCTGGGAGTAAACGGAGGTTCGTTGCGGCGCCAGATGCAGATAGGGTCGCTCCCACTGCGAAATATCAGGATGCTGGTCAAACTTGGGAGCAATTAGGCAAACTCACGCGTTGTGTTCGTGAATCCTTCGAGGCATTGGCCGGCAACGCAGACGACCGACACGGATTGCGCAGCTGTGTCTCCTGGGTAAGTGCACAATCCGAGCCAATTGTTCTAGTAGATGCTCACCAACAGACGCGCCGTAAAGGAGTGGGATGGCAAAAAGGCTCGCGAGCATGTCGTGCAGGCCAAAGGAGGTCGTGAGTGGAGGGAGGAGAAAGACGAGCAGCGTGGCAAGGCCAGCAGTGCGCCTGAAATTGATTGTATGGATTTTATTGCCATGGTGCGCTTGTTGTTGACAATGCTATTGTCGTTCGCGTCGTTATTGTATTCCACTCATTGTTCCATTTTGGGAAAGCGCCTTGCCCAATTCGGCAATCGCCGACCGCAAGCGTCGATAGACGCCCTGATGTTGTCCAAAGATAGATCCGACAAGCGCTCGTGCACTTCCGAGCTCGAATTGTTGCAAATTACTTTCATCGTCTTCATTTGGTGAGGGAAATCTCAATGCGAGGGCGCTACTCGTTCTAAGTCTCGTTAGAGATAATAACAACATAGCATGACTACAGTCTTCACATAAAGCCCCCTCACCGAACGGAGGCAACAGTGGATTGGAACCTGCTGTAACTCCAAGGCATGCAAATCTACTTGGATGCTCGGTCAAATATATAAGTGCTCGAACATATGTTGTTTATTAACATTCTTCTGGATCATACTTTTATTGATGAAGTTGTTTCGCCCGCTGTCAGGGTGGACTAACGGCTGCTGATCGGCTCTCCGACTCTCCGACTCAAGTACAAAATGTCTGTTATGGCGTAGGTGCACAGCACAGCAGTCACGCGCGTTGGTATGGAGTGTTCATGCACAAAATCGATCAGGACGGGCTTTGTGCCTTACGAATAATCCCCTCTTGGTCAAGCTAACCATGCATAGGCTCTGCGAGCGCTCACGAAGACCGACGCAATAAGATGTCTCTGTGCCGCAGCTCGTGGGAGACTAGATGTGATAGCAGCAACATGAGTTCGTAAGTGTTTTTTACTGACTTCGGAGTCGGGATTCCAATTCAGCCGACGCTCGGGCTCAAGGTCACAGTTCGCCTCCGGCGATACAGAGGGTTTCTGTGATTGGGACACAAGTACCATGTATCTATAGTTCTTAGATTACTTGACGGGCTGTGATGTCTCTTCTATGTCCTCGATGGCGAACATGATCTCGTAGGGATAGCCATAGAATGCAATGATTTAGGTAGAGCCAACTCCGTTCGCCAGAGTCTGGTTTTGTTTAAGCGTCGTCAACTTCGTTTATCTGAAGACAGCTGTAGAGACGTCCAAGGACAGCATCTGCTACGGGAACATACCAGTTCTATGCTGTGGTACTGGCCAAAGGGGTATTTGTCGACGTCCCAGTTCGGCTTTCCCGACGTCCATTTCAAAGTCGATACGGCTTTTTTGAGATCGTCGACGGCGGATTGATCAATGGGCACTTTGCCGTACACCTTGAGTGTTTCTAGGCGTGTGACGCCTTCGCCCGGGGCCTCGGCCTCGGCCTGAACACGATTATGCACAATGCGGCGCAGCAGATCTACTATGACCCCGGATGTAGGACAGACCGTCAACCTCTTCAGCCTTGGGAAATACCAGCCATCTGTGTGGGCGAAGGACAAAGAGCGCAGGATATCTTCTAGATAGCATCGTCGGTATTCACAGGCGACAATGCGAATGGAACGGAAAAAACCGAACACCGCCCATAATGACCCTGCATCCGGTATGCAGCCAATTGAAGGGGGAGAAACCTCGAGGACCAGTGAGTGCAGATGCGGGAATCGAGTCGAATGGTTGAAGAATCCCTGAAACGTGGAACCGATGTCGTCGACGTGCTGAGCATCGAGGATGTTGACCTGACGTAGACACGGCGCCAAGATGTTCGCCAGGATGTCGCCAACGATGTGGTACGCCGTATCACAGAACTCGATCACTTCAAGCGCAGGCAGGCTAGTCTGAACCACAGTGTCACTCGGCGGCCATGCATCCCAATCCTCGAAGCCGAGTGCACCGAGATTTAGGCGTCTAAGTGCACGGAGAGGCTCAAAGATCTGCATGAGCTGCGGGCCCTCATATCGCAGCCATGGCTCGAGCTTCTCACACCATGTTACTTCCGTGACCGATGGAAACTGCTTAATAGCACTTGCCAGGTCCTCGCAAGAAGGCAGTGACTCTAAGTGCAGAAAATCGAGGTGGGGCGCTGCGAATCGACGAAAGTCGACTGCAGCATCTTCTTCTTCTTCTTCACTGGACAGAAAGGTGTCCTCGTAAAATAGACGGAACGTCTTCAGGACAGGTGCTGTCCCAATCAAAAGCGGCAAGAGGTTCGTCTCGGGTTCATCGTAGTCTGTACACATATCGAGGCTCCGCCACCGCACCATATGCCCGGTGAGCAGGTTCATGACGCCGTGGATGTAGTCCGCGTCGGGTTCCGGAAGGTCCTGTGACACTGGTTGTCGCAGATACGGAACTCCTGGATGGACCCAATCGATATCGATGTCGAGCGTCAATGCGCGAGACCGTTCGAGCATGGTCGACAGGATGGTAATAGGTGGTCTGTAAGGAAGAGAGACGTGGATGGTGGTCCAGAGCGACGGCGTACTCAAGACGAGCTGGCGCCAGGCGCGAGATACAGATGCAGCACGCAGGACAAAGCGCACGCGCATGAGGCTGTCCGATTCCTCGGAACCGCTTTCAATGATCAGGGAGAATATCTCTATAGGCATTTTATCCAAAGGTGCGAGGTCGCTCAGTCTACGTGGCCCAGGATTCAGAATAGACGAGGCAGGTAGAATGGGTAGAATGAATACTATACACGTACGCCATTGCTAATGCTTGTGATTTCAACAGTATTCCTTGCAAATGCAGTCGTTTGGACTTAAGACACGAAGTTGCTGTTGTGCCAGTAGGTTTGTGGCTGGACAAGGAAGTAGGTCTCTTCTCCATTGGGCACGGGACCGGCATTTGCCGACATGTAGCGCTGGACTCGGAGGCGGGCGTTTCTTCTTAAACTACTCCCGTCTTTCAATTCTGCAATCCTTAGAGATCTGCTTGATACGCGAGCCGAGATATAGCTTGCGGGACCCAGTATATTTCTTACTCAATCAAACCACACGACTTATCAGCTGGTGCCTTTGTTCCATCGAGTCTGCTAGGATTGATGAATGTTCTCTGTTCATCATGCCGACACAGGGAAGTGCGTCGTCGGACTACTACGACGATGACCCTGCTTTCGTCGAGGCAATCAGCAACATGCCTCTCGAAGATACTGCCCAGATCCCTGCGAAGCCGTCTATGCAGCTTGACGAAGATCCCTACTCTGGTGCGCCGCCTCCGGCTCAGCCAGGCCTCAAGAAGCGCGCGCGATCTCCAGACGACGACAGTGAGGACGGGACCAAGTTTCACCAAGTGCTGAAATCCATGCACGCCGATGCTGATAGTGTGTCGTATCTGTCGTCGGATACTTACGGCGCATCGCGTTTCGGCGAGTTTGGCGAGTACATGACACGGAAGCGTGCCAAGCTGCAGATCCAGAACACCGAGATGGACATGGAAGGGAATAAGCAAGATGCGACGACGAGACTATTCCACGGGCTGCAGATATACGTGCGTCAACACCTGTGGCTTTCTTTGCTCTGCTTCAAAACTGACCCGCTTCGCAGATTAACGGCTGGACTGAGCCATCTGTTCAAGACCTCCGGCAGCTCATCGTCCGATACGGAGGTATCTACCACCCTTACTTGGACAAGAAGGGCCTCGTGTAAGCTCATCCAAGTCTTGTCGCCGCGGATTGCTCACGTATCGCAGGACGCACATCGTCACTTGTATCCTCACCCCAGCCAAGATCCGTGAATTCAAGCACATGAAGGTCGTGCGCCCAGAATGGCTGGTTGAGAGTGCAAGGGCAGGTGTGTTACTTCCATGGCACAATTTTGCCTTCCGCCCGGGAGAGCGAGTAGAACAGACGCAAGGAAGGAGGAGCGCGCGAATGTCACTCTTCGAAGGGCTTGCCTCGCAAAATTCGAATAAGGTGGCGACAGTCAGTTTGCTCGCAGATGCTACCAAGAGCCCTATGGAGAGCACTGTATCCACCGAGCATGAAGCAGGGCCGTCTCATCTGCCAGACGCACAGTCTGCCCCTTGTTCCCCTCCACAGACACCGACCAAAGAGAGGGGGACCGAACAGTCTTCCATACAGCCGTTATACACCACCGACCCCGCGACTCCCGAGCAAGCCGCCCGCGTCTCCGGCTACGCTGCGCACAAGTCAAACCTGCATGCTGAACGCGCGATGGCGGACCCCTCGTGGCGTGCGGCGCACACGTCGGTCGCGCCGGACTTTATTGAGGGGTACTACCGCAACTCGCGCTTGCACCACCTGTCGACGTGGAAGGCGGAGCTGCGGACTCTCATCATAGAGGCACAGGAACACGTCGAGAGCGGGCAGGCGGCAGTCTGGGGCCATAGTGGTGACGGTGCGGTGTCTGGGGAGGAAGACGGCGTGGTTGCAGAGGTCATGCGGCAGAACCTGGGCGGCCAGAAGGGGGAAGACGGTGTCAGCATGCGCGGTGCGCAGTTTGTGATGCGCTCTGCGGGCAAGGGGAAAGGCAAGGCAAGGGAGCAGCCGGCCGACGCGGAAGAGCGGGTCATCATGCACTGCGACTTTGACAGCTTCTTTGTATCGGCAGGTTTGATTGATCGCCCGCACTTGCGCGGCAAGCCTGTTGTCGTGTGTCACTCACAGGGCAATCAGGGCGGTGCTTCCAGTACTAGTGAAATCGCGAGCGCCAGCTACGAAGCCAGGAAATTTGGGATCAGGAGCGGCATGAGGTCGGTCTAATCACGCATTGATTCCAAGACGTAGGCTGAATCGGGATTTACAGCTTGCAGCAGGCTCGCAAGCTCTGTCCGACACTATTGACGATGCCATATGAGTTCCAGCGGTGAGTGCCCATCTCTCTGCGTCTCAAGAAAAAGAAAAGCGCGCTAATAGTTCCGCAGATACAAACAACTGTCGTTGCAATTCTACACCATTCTGATGGCACACGCGGATGACCTACAGGCTGTCTCCGTGGACGAAGCGCTCATCGACGTAACTGGTAGCGTCAAACGCATCTGTGCTGAGATGGCTCGCAGTCAAGACCTATCGACCTCCCCAGCCGATCATGCGAAAGGTTTCGCCGAAGCTATTCGTGCACAAGTCAGGAAGGTCACAGGATGTGAAGGTATGTACCGTCATTTACCACAAGACCGTGCATTCTCTGACCACTAGCAGTTAGCATCGGTATCGCACACAACATCATGCTCGCACGTGTTGCCTCACGCAAGGCCAAGCCCGCTGGATCCTTTCGCATCCTGCCACAGGATGCGCAGGCGCTACTTGCGCCGCTCGACATCGATGACCTGCATGGCTTTGGGTACTCCGCGCGCCAGAAGGCCCTCGAGAGGCTCGGCACGACTACTCTGGGCGAGCTGGCAGATCGGAGTAAGGCGATGCTGTGCGATGCGTTGGGGAAGGGCATGGGCGAGATATTGTACAAGGCCATACGCGGCATCGACGATTGCAAGCTCGAGTCGGACAAGCCGCGCAAGTCGGTATCCTGCGATATCAATGTGTGTGGTTCTTCCCATCTGGTTCATTATGCTGCTGACTTCTTGTAGTATGGCATCCGCTTCGAGAACAATGCACAAGCGGCGACATTCGTATCTCAGATGGCGGAAGAGGTTGCTCGTCGCCTCGATAGCATTGACATGCGCGGTCGCTCCTTGACCTTGAAGATCATGAAACGAGATCCGAAGGCTCCAGTAGAAGCTCCCAAGGTATGCATTTCACTTTCACAATCTCTTACTCTCATTTCACCACTGCGTTGTTTCGCGTAGTTCATGGGTCACGGTCTTTGCGAGACATTCAGCAAACAGGCGCCCCTCATTGCACCTGGCGGGCATGCAACGAGCGATCCACAGCTTATTGGCGAATTAGCATGGAGGCTTCTCAAGAGTTTCAATTTCGACCACAAAGAGCTGCGAGGTATCAGTATCCAGATCCAGAAACTAGAGAAGAGTGCGGCGGCTAGCACTATCGAAACCGGTCAAGCAGTTCTCCCCTTCAAGTCGAAGGCGGCAACCGAGCTAACGCCGATGCCACACGCACAGTCCGCCAACGTCGACACTAAGGGAGATAAGGCGCCTGCTATTGTAGTTCAACCACCATCGCAGGACGATGACATTCAGATCATCGAGCCACCGCCAGCAGCTCAAGCAAAGCCAGTCATGAAGCCGGAAGTCTTCGACCTGCCGTCTTTTTCCCAAGTAGATTTGTCTATCTTCCAGGCTCTCCCCGACGATGTACGACAGGAGTTGGAGGGGGAGTACAAACGTAGGTCAGTCACCCCTGATCTTCGTACAGAAGCAGCATCTCGCAGTCGTTCTCCATCAATCCCGATAATGCGCAAGACCAAGATCACAGTGAAGGGGACAAATGTCAGACGCATCACTCAGCAGCTCGCACCACGTAGTCGGTCTGCCATTTCGCCGCAGAAGAGCTCGCTGTTCCTGAGGCGTGCAGGGCCCTCTGTTGTCAATGTTTCAGAGAAGGAGCTGCGAAAGCTCAATATCGACCCGGAAGTCTTCGCCGTGCTCCCGGTCGATCTGCAGCGAGAGCAGTTGTCTGCGGCTCGTCAGCTGAAGAGACCCGGTGCCACCGTCTACCTTAGCCAACGCAGGCCACTCAAGCCAAGGAAGCTCAAGCCGCCGCTGGTTCCGTATTATCGAGCACCGCCACCCCGTGCGAAATATATTGACCCGCCCACTCTTAAGCAGCAAGGCAAGACGAAGGGCGAAAAGCTGCACTTCACTGAGACAGACGACGTTCAACGAGTGATCGAAGCATGGGTTAACGGGTTCAAGGAGCACCCGCCTAATCAGAGGGATGTCGACTATTTCGCTAAGTTTTTGACGCAGTGTGTGGACAGTTCGCGGTCTACGGATACTGGTGTCGAGAAGGCGGTGGCGGTGGCGAAATGGTGGCTCGTGTTGTTGAGACGGCATTTTGGCGTCTGGGAACATGCTTCTTGCGAGATTTCCGTTACGGAGGGGCAAGTCACATCAGAGAGCGTTGGTCGTGCGTGGTGGGCGGCATTCCGCGAGGTCAAGCAGAAGATGGATGTTGTCGCGCGGAAGAAGTTCGGTGGCTGCTTGTCCCTCAGGTAATCCTGACCCATAGCTCATAGTCATTGTCTTCGTATTTAAATCTATTTATCTGCTCAATTCGCTCTCTGTATCACACACTATGTCTACTACGTACACATTCAGAAAGACGCTGCCATACTGGATACACCTTCATCAAACCTACTCGCCTGCATCATTCGCGCATGGGCGCCAACGCTTTTCGCCTCAGCGATGTCCCAGCCATCGGACTTGTCACCAGGTGCACACCATGGCCATGAGCACCCTCATGAGTTTGCCTCGGCGAACAGAGACCATTTTAACGAGACGGCCCACGAGTACGATGACCGTCCTCATGCTCTGGAATTAGCCCGCCGGCTTGGACAAGCCATAAGGAAGACATATCCTTCTCTTCTCGACGAAGATAGCACGGCGATGATGGACTTTGCATGTGGGACAGGTATGCATGTCCTTAGGGCTCATATGCTCATATGTCTGACGGAATGGATGCAGGATTGATTTCCCGCGAGCTTTGTCCTTATGTCAGATCGATTGTCGGGGTCGACATCAGTCCTGGCATGGTCGAGCAGTTCAATCTCAGAGCATCGAATCAGGGCTTGGCACCAGGGGAAATGCAAGCCGTCTGCGTCGAGCTTAAAGGCTCCACCAACGAGCTCAATGGCCAAAAGTTCGATGTGATCGTCGTGCGTATATCGGAATCGGATTCTTGCCGACGCTTGTGGTACTAAGGTTCTCTGCGCTTCAGTGCGCACTTGCATACCATCACTTCTCGTCCATCGAAGACACCACGCGCATTATTTCCACTTTCCTGAAGCCTGGAGGCTCGCTATTAGTTGCGGACATTATGAAGAGCACCCTCCACGGCGAGATATTTCCGGATGGCGGACACATCGTCGCTCACCAGCATGGCTTTGACGAGGAAGAACTGCGCAGAGTATTCGAAGGTGCAGCGCTCATCGATTTTGCCTTCACACGCGCGACGTCAGGAAAATTACACGGCCACCCGGTGGACTTTTTTCTAGCTCGGGGAATACTGCCTAACAAGTTGTGATTTTACTGTACGTTATATTCATCGGTGGTGACCGTCAATTTTATTATGTGGTGTATGGCCCAAAGTTTGGATAGGAAATTGGTTCGGCAACGGGGTGGGCACCTGAGCTTGCTATTGCTTCTCAGTTACTTGATGATGATGATAATTACATGTAACTGTATCAGAAAATCATGTATCTCACGGAAACGTCCCGTAGACACCGCATAATGGCGTTCCTAGCTTTACAGTGGATCATGGCGCTATGATCGATCTCCTCGAAGATGTGCGCGTCGTCACACTAGCGCTGGTAATACGCTTAAACAGGCAATGATCCGCCTCGGCTTGGGATACGACGTTCAAGGCCATATGTGACTTGTTAACGTCCTCCGACTATCGTGTTGCTCGTTTAAATTCGACGACTGCGACTGGGTTTGGATACCTCACGCAGCCTGGCCCGACGCTCTCCGAAGTGCTAGTTAGTACCAGCCGGCACCACTCGCAGCAGTCGGCGCCTCGAGCACTAATATACTGCAGAGCTTTTCTGATTGATTACCCGGGCCAAAGCGTCTTACCGGGTCCTCATGCAGGCGAATTTGAAGTGTCTTCCACGGTCAACTGTCGACCGGTGAGAATGCTGCTCTACCATGGGCAGTAGGGAACAGGTCGAACAGTGACTCAAGATGAAACGTGCCTCACAGTTATCGGATGTGAGTGCTTCTTTGCCTTTGAGAACGCTGTGTTTGTGGTTTCTGTTCAAGTTGAAATTGTTTTCCACTGGTGCGATTGCTTCGATGCATGAAGAACCCATCGTGCCCTTCTACCCTGACAGCGTCTGACTCCTCCGTATCGACATCGACAATTGTTCGACGGATCGTTCGAAGACACTCGGTCGATAGCCGCAGTATTTCTGCATCAGCTGATCAAATGGATGACTCTACCGCAGTCAAGGTGACACGCTGAGCGGTACCGATGCGTACACGTTCCCTTCGTAATGATCGGTTGCTATTCAACTCACGATTGGTAACCTTTGCTGCATTTTATCTATCCAACAGCTGAGACCACTTTGCTCGTTGTGCTGCTTGTCAACCGGGCTTTCGCGCTCAGCTTCCAGCAGACAGTTTAGCCGGGCAGTGATTGGGGCGTGTCTTCGTTATCGCATCCTCAGATGGAATACGAATTTTGGTAAGGCGCCAAACCTAGTTGTGACTTCTCACCTTCATGTCGGGTTCAGGGTCTACTCCGTTAGTCAGAGCCACGGAACCGCTGCGTTTCAGAAGGTCTCGGCACTCATTGACTGTGGTCACATCTGCAGTGCCGATTATAGGTTTCGATCTGCACGTCGCAAAGAACTGTCCTGGCTATATGACAGAACACGTTCAAAGTGACTCGTTCTGCTGGCTTTGGCGCTTGCCCCAAGTGCCGATCCCATCCCCTTCGCGTGCTTTCTGCTCCGCTGCGACGCACCATTCGACTTTTGTCCCAGCGGTTCTTTGCTCAGGCTTGCCGTCTCCACGCAGCCTCCCTCCTGCAGTAAATAATGGAAGGTGAGCAGGTCATACACACAAGGAGCCCACTCGTCTTTAAACAGGGTGCGACAGCGATAGCACTCCCCCAGAATACGCGACCCAGCCCCTCAGGACCGCAACGTACGCCTTCGCCCAACCAATCGACTGTCTCTCATAGGACAGCCGTCATCGCGGCCGTGTGCGTCGTAGCCGCGTGCACTCTGCTGCTCATCGTGCTATGGAGAACGTGGCGCGTTAGGCGGCCTTCTCCACCGCTTCTTCAAGTCTCTCTCGAGAAGCCGCGGCTGTGGGACATTCTTTCAGTCAGGGCGGATGCGAAGGCTGAGCCATGGACGATGTGGGCACGCATGTTGGTGAGTGCTAGAACAGATCATTACCCGTCGATCTGTAACGCGCTTCCCTGTCTCCCAATGTACTCGTTCAGCCATTGTCCGTGATGCGTCCGGGAGAGGTTCTGCTCGGATGTACACCGCCACGTCAAGATGGCTACGCATCGAAGCCATCAAGGACGGATGGAATCTTGCAAGTTGTCGTCGTGATTGAGATGCCTGCACAGCGGCGCTACAAAGGTCAGAAGGCGCAAGGCGCTTCAGCTAGCGGACAGTCAATTCAAGATATGGGCGGCCTGTGGGTAGGTGCGATTGAGGTGCCATGTCCTGTGGAGGTCATCACTATGGATGTGTAGGCAGTCTTTTCATAACACATTACCCAGCGATTATTTGCTTCCGTGCCTGTGAACTGTACTGAGGTGACGCTAACTTCGAGTCGAGTCCGGTATGATTCGTATTAATAGACCGAACTTGACTCGCTCTAAAGTTGCCGTAGAACACTGACCTATTGTGCGCAACTCACGGCCATTGTCAAGAGTTGCGCACCGTGGACTTCGAGTCGCTCTCGTTACAGATTTCTTACCGAAGAAAACATGCTTATTTCGACCGCTCAATAGACAAACTTGCGAATGTAGCGGTCAATATAACCATCGTACCTTTGAAGGCGGATGCGTGGAATCATACAAAAGCGCTGCAGCGTCGCCACTACTCCGCTGAGCACTCCACTTCCCATTTAAATCATTTGCAATAATTGAGTGTCACAGCGATTCCAGACAGAAATCTGAATGGCTACAAATTTTCATACAACATACATGATTCGGTCAATCGGGCCGGGATGCAATATAAAGTCGAAACAAAAGGCAGACGGGCAAAGCAATATGTCGGCACCACACCCGCAACATCCATATAGCAATATCTCAGTATACTTCAACGGATACGTCGCTAACCTTACGTACCAGCTTCACGGCGCAAGGCTCGACAAGGGAGTCATCCCTACTATCAGCTCTTCCCCGTGTGTGAGCACTAAATGCGGAGGCTTCTCTCGAGGCTCGTTTGTGTGTCAGACTGGTCGAAGGATGTGTAGGTGTGGACTCGAATGTTCTCTAGCCGTCCGGCTCGTTTGAAAAAGAGGTATCCAAATGAATCTGCGGCCGCCACATGACCCGCACCAATGTCAGGGTGATTAGCGGAGTTCTTGCAATGTAATAGTTGTGGCTGCGGCACTCTGTTCGCCAACAATGGCGCACGCCTTGATTCGCATCACTCGCGTTCGCCATGATAAATGTGCCTTGTTTTCTCGTCGGATGCGGATGGTCGGAGCCTGCGGAGTCTTGAAGAAAATATCTACTCTGCTCTCGTAAGACCACTGTGGCAGCAGCGTAGTGGCTTTGATGGGCGGACATCATTTTTACCCCAAGCACGCGAATGGCGCTTCATCGCTACCAAGTTCGAATGTTGCGGCGGGCACGCAGACGATAATAATATGCATTAAGTTATTGAAACGGATTCTAGCTTTATTGGTCTCCCTGCAGTCAAGCCGTACGGAACATTGTGCTTATCGAATGCCATCAAAGCCAAAGTCCTGCTTTCAGGCCTCAGTTCGCTTTCCCTGCTTTCTGGCATGTCATGTCTATTTTTGGTGTGTCATATTCCGATGCCACCCAACAAGCACTGCGGCTTTTGCCACTGGCCGTTCCCTTGCACCTTCAATGAGCTTGACTCGGGATAAATCAGACAGCTGGCAGAAGGTAACGCATTTGTCACTCGTGCGGAAACAAGCGTGATAGACGTGACGACGTCTGCGAGACGCTCGACAAGAAAGGAAGGCTCGGGCGCATCCTTTTGCCTCCGTTCAAATTGGACGCAAAAGGGCATGCGATAATCCCTATGTACATGCAATATCTTCGTGCCGGGAAAGTATTGTATTCGCAAACCTTTCATGGATACCCACTGTCCGACAGTAATCAAAAGCGGCCATCCAGTGTCCACCTATTGCAAAAGAAACTTGCACATCAATCTACTGGAACGAAGGGTATGTGTATTGCCAATTGTCTCGGGAAAAGGTGAGCGCGCGTATGCTGTTGTAACTGGAAATGCGATGAGATGAGCACAGCTATTTGTGGCGGCGAAATGTACATTCCAGTGCACCTCTCATAAACATATATGCAAAAGAATTCTCATAGCATCCCTGGTACTGTGTCTAATAGGTCTACGCGATTAGTGCGTATGGGTCACGGTTACAATTACGGCAATGGTGAGGAAACCCTCTACTATAGGCGGTGCGCCAACCAACAGTACACCTGAACGTGTTTGAACGCTTCTTCCATATCGGATGATGATTGAGAGAGGAAAGACTTGTATCTATATCTATACGTCCGGTACTCCTTGGCGTAGGATACGTACACTATATACGACCGAGATATCTCGCTGACTTCCCCTTGGCGAGTCTATATGTTGACCTTCGGAGGTCTCGCCAACTGTCTCCGGCCCCTATCAAGTCCAAGTCCTCCGACCCGTTTTGTCGTGACTTTTACGCTATGGGGCCCCGCACGCTTAGGTCTTGCAGTTTCGGTCAAGGGTCTCTACGCACGGTGTATGAAAGGTGTGCCATAAGTTTTTAACGTATAACTGAGCCCTTGCTAACGAATCTTCCACGGGCCACACAACACATCCTCCTACACATCCCACGTGCATATACTCCGCTTATATTTTGACCAAGCTCTACTGTTATCCGCGAATGCTACCGCCTGCTAGAAATGTATATTATCTGGTGCCCGGATCTTGGACCCTGGTAGAAGCAGTCGTTGCTATTGCTATACATGCGCAGAAAGCCATGTATTTGTCTGCCGCCTATGAGTGTTAGTTCTACTTCAGTTCGCCCTTCAACCCCTCTAATTGGTTGTCTACAGGAAAAGCTGGAGGTATGTGTATATCCCATACCACGTAAACCCAGATGTGTGCTGGGACATCGGCATTGAATTTCTTGAGGAGCACGATGGCTGCGCCACGGATATTCTGCTGCCCCAGCAAGCATCCTCTGGGTTTCCGCTCCTACAAATATGCGAGAGGGTTGCTATGTCACCAGAACCACACATACAGACCCCTGAAAGCGAGGATGTATCGACTGAGGGACAGTCATCCGTGGTACCCGAACGATGTGAACGCTCAGCTGAGCATATGTTCCTCCCTCACTGGTGCATTCTCTACCCCAACGGTACACACCCACTTCCACTTCCGTCATTTGCCAGTACTCACTCGCACACTCGACGATTGATACACAGGACACTGTGTTTCATGCCAACTTTGTCACGCAACGTGTCAGGGTACCACAAGAGATATATGCGTCCAAAGACAGAACATTCAAGCCCCGAGTCATCTCCGCTTTTCGCATACATGGCGCCGCTGGCATACCGCTAGCGGCCATCTTGCGAGGCGAGACGGAGGGGCTCGAGGGGCGAGCGCTTCCGGCGCTCCCAGACGACATGACGTGCACGAAGGTGTCCCTGCGCATTCTGGTACGCATCGCATCGCTAGGTTAACGATGCGAATTCATCTGATGGTTGACGCTGGGCAACGCCAGTGGCCGGGATACGAGCCTTTCACGAAGCAGATCATGATCCGGACGGGCGGGCGGACGGTTAGTATGGACAGGTTGGTCGAGGTGATCGCGAAGGTGCTCGTAGAGTTCTGCCAGGTGCGTCAGAGACTGTCGCCATTTCGAGCGGGTTATCCGGCCACACTGACGAGACTGCTTACAGAAGCGCGCACTGGTTCCGACGAGCGATCCAGCGTGGCGTCTTGGCCCAGGGTCCATCACTGTCGATGACATGACGTTGGTAGGTATTCTCCACGTCTCGCGGTCGAGTATTCAGCCGTTAGTGGACGTGTTGGTGAGACGGCCGAGTATTGATGCTTGATGTATTTGATTGCACCCGCTATGTCTTTAGCTCTTCGCCGTTGATTTGCGGAGTCTTAGCCAAGGACCAGCTGTTCTCACTTATATCTTGGCAGCTGACCGGTCACATCGCCACTAGCACTACTTGAACGTAGCTATTTATACGATAATGGCACATACATAGCCGAACCTATATACATGTACGTCAGATACGAAAGAACTGTGGGCGTTGTAAGCATAGCGTCATTCATCAAAGATCTAGATACTTGTCAGCAGGTATTTGTTGGAAGAATCGACGATGACACGTACCAGCTCTATAGCGCGGCACTCATGAATGGAGCGGCACTCTTCCCAATCCAGGCTCTCTCGCGTCTGAACGAAGCGCAACAAGCTTTTCTGAAGCTCATCTACATCGGACTGATCAAAAGATGCGTCGCTGTGCACTCGAATCTCCTCTAGTTGAACGATGCCTTGGTCTGAATCTGTCATCTTCGCCTGCATGCGGTTTGCAATCAGGCGACGTAATGCGCCTCCTATCACATCGGACGTGTGGCTGATCGTCAAAGCCTTGAGCTTCGGAAAATACCATTCACCGTCGTGTGGACTTGCCAAATCCTCGAGCATGTTGTATGGATTGAAAGGCTTGCCGGGATAGACGGGGAATAGTGACTCTTCCTCTGATGCAGTGGTCCCCACAACCTTGATAGAAAGGAAAATGCCAGACTGAAAGGTCTTCCACAAGGTTCTACAGTTTGGAAAACAAGCAACATAATTGTTTCCCTTCACAACCAGGGAGCGCAAACACGGAAAATGGTCCCGCTGCTGCTGTAGATCTCGAAAAAGCGGTGTGTCTTCGGACCAGCGATCAATCATGACGAGTCGATGTAATTTGGGTGCCGAGATTGACGCGAACAGCCGCATGATGCCCGTTGCATGACTCCCACCGCTGGTCACTTCGAGTATTTCTAGTGCCGGGAGAATAACGGGGGAGCTGTAAGACAGCGAGTCTGTGTTTGTGATTGGCGTTAGTTGTAGAGACAGATGGCGTAATCCACGAAGAAGGCTGAAAGACTTGAGAACCGTGAGTCCAACCGAGAGAATCCTGCGCCAGTGAGGGGTCCATGTAAGATTCGCAAGTAATGGAAATTGTTTAACAGCCTTGCACATGTTTAGTTCATTGGTTGACGGTTCCAAGCACAGAGTCTGAAGATTGGGAGCTCGAAGCATGCTGAGGTCGATACCATCGTAGGGAATGCCATTGTAAACACGCATTGTGTAAGTTTCCGGGATCAAGAGACACAAACTCAGGGTGTCCAGAGCAGGTGCCGACACAGTGAGAAGCTGCTGGACGCACTGATCGAAAGGGGGTAAGCAGGGTAGAACATCGAATATGCGCAATGTGTGCCATCGCTGTGAGTGCTGAACAAGCTGCTGGATTGACGCACAGAGTGCAACGCAATGGTCTATGCCGTAACAGCGTTCGTTATCAAATCGACTAACATTGAGAATGACGCAGATGTCGAGGGGGAGTGACTGCGAGCGATGAAGAAGCGTAGAAATGACCTCGGGGGCCGGAATGAACTCGAGTGACATGTGACAGGATGTCCAAAGCTTCGGACAATGTTCTGTGGCCAATTTGCGCCACATGCGAGACACAGAAGCTATGCAGAGCGCGAAGCGCACACGCTCTAGGCTTTCGTGTTCTGAATCTAAGCCTGTCTCCAGAATCAGCAAGAAAATGTCTACAGAGAGCTTTCTCCATGGGTTCTGCTTGCGACGAGGGTCGGTGGCGGAGTGGAATATAAGCAAATAAAAAGTTGGACATCAGAGCGTTAGACAAGTTGATTCGGCTGTAGAAGACGTACGGGTCGTTGGACAGACATGTTGTATAGCCTTATTGTGCGCTTTCACAGTTGAGGGGACGGGGTCACTTATAGAAGGAGAACGCTGCGAGTCGGGATTTAAATATGTGCACGGGCCGACGGCCCGGGTCAACTTTATGTGGCGTTGTGTTGTCCATGCTTCGCTTTGGTCACTAGATACTAGATAAGCATCGCGAAAATTCAAAAGTGGCCAAAGCACTATACTAGGGTGGTGCGTATGGTACCGGTACGATATGCTTTGCCAGCCCGTTACCGAAGTGAAGGTTTCAATTGCTGATGAAGAGCACTCATAACGGGATATCAAGCAACGTATCCCGCCTTTCTCCTGAGATCACTCACTTTGGTCAATGCGGAGAACTTGTTGCGGCTTCAGGAATGATGGTCAGGCAAAGCGGCGGTTTGTCCAGCTGTCACGTTCGTGGCTGCGGCGCCAACTTGTCACCCAATCGCCAAGGGGTAGAAATATACCGGTGGCGGACGACGAACGCGAACAGAACGTATAGCAACGGTAGCGTGGTCTGCCGTGCTGCCAGATATTTGTGCACGCCACGCAGATCAATGACAGAAAGTGGCAGTTGTACTTCCTCATATGGTATATGCGCAGCGCGCTTTAGTCTCTCAGGCCTGAGGTGCATTTATAAGCCTAGGCCGTATGCGAAGTCGAGATCAGCTGTCAGGTGGTGTAACTTGGACCCGACCTAACATCAAATCCACATCAAATCCGCTATATTCGTCATCCGTGATAGGCGCCGCATCTTGACTGCTATCTGCATGGTCCAAGCGCAAGCCACCGTCACTTCAGCCCGCCGTGATTGTCCGCTCCTCTTGTTCCACAACAAGAAGGTCAGCGCATGCACTAAATTCCACACCAGGCAGAACACCCATTACAGTGTTACATTGCATGCATCAGTACAACCGTAACCTTTTCACCAGTAGGGCTGAGTATAACTTACTATGGCGTCAACGCCCTGCAATCTCGCGGGAGCAAACAGGCACAGGGGCACTGTCTGCATCGGTAACGCCGCAGAATCACTCGCTGGAAACTCCGCCACATCCAAGGGACACAAAGAGCACACGCTGCACACAAACCGTGCGGCGCCACGCAGAATTTGATCCCAGCTTGTTCACATAACAGGCAAGTCAAGGCACGAGAATGGACCCACGGAACCCTACCGCAGCGTTCCGCTTTCCGGGAGCTTCTGTGCACCCCGTACTTTCCTATTCCAGGCAGCCGTTCCTTCCCCTTCCAGCGGAATGCTTTGTCCTCTCATCCAAAACGTCACGCCTCAATGGCAGAGCACAGCAATGGCGTATGAGGAATCACAACAAGCCGCCGCTACATCAGCCTCAGCTTTGACTGTCCGCTGTCCTCCTCGCTCAGATGCGCAGGCGACCTTCACCACATCCGACGGGGCCGCCACAGATGCGCGAACATAAAATGCACGCAGGGTGTGCTCGGTTGCAGCATCGACTGTCTCTCTCAGTTCCTCATCATGTCCAACACCATCGTCCCTCATCCCCAGCTGACCATCCCCGCTCAGCCTGGGCTCCAGCACCAGCCACCCCAAATACAGAAGAAGCTACTAGCGATAGGCGAGCCCTTTACCGATAAAGTAAGTAGCCCGAGGGACTTGCAATGAACAGAAACTGACGGGCGTGTCGTACAGTACTTCACCTGGAAGGTCGAGGGATACGACAGGCGGCAGAGACTGCGCAACGACCCTGGCAGGGATCCACAACAGCCGCGCAGCACCGTCTTTGTCCCATCATCGGTCCAGCCTTCTCTCCCTCTCGGAGAGCAAGGTAAGGCCCGTACTATTCCTGAGACGCGAGAGCCGTCCGACGCACAGATCCACGACGGCTCTAGGGGCTCCAAGTACGATATGCTCGACCTGTCGAGCGGCAGGAGCTCGGGGCGCGATGCACTCCCCTCCCGCGGGCAGTCCGCCGCACTGCATCGCACGCGCACAGGCCGTCAGAGAGACGCACGTCCCGCCGCTCCGCCAGCCCGACTGGCTCCTCAGGCATGTAGCTCGCCCGCATCCCCCGACCCGGTCATGCAGGAGCTGCGGCGCACTGTCCGGACGACGTATACCCCGCGGCGTTCGTATCCCCTCCGCCCTGGCGCGGACGGCGAGGGCCGCCTGGACGGCAGGTCGCAGCGGCGGGCCACACGTCCTACACTCCCCCCGTTTGCGCATCTCGTCCGCACTACCGCGAGCGAGGATGCTGCCCAGCAACAGCCCCAGCATCATTCCGGGCCGTCCTCGTGCACGTCACGCCGTGACCACTGTTGAAGCGAGTGCTGTCAGGACATGCTGTGCCCATACAAGGGTTTCGGCCATCCGCAACGCTGCCGGCGGTTGTCATCGAGAGGACGATGAAGCTCTCGATGCAAGAGTCTCTCCTTCGACTGGACTATGCTCATTCTTCTTGTCTTCCTCCTATGAACAGTATGCAGTCCTGTGCGTGCATATATGTAGAATTGTTTCGATGTGTGTTGTTAGTATGCGCACTGGACCGTACAAGTGACAGATGAATGCGGTGACGTTATGCAAATACAAGGAATGCCCAGCAAACAATCGCTACAAGCAACGACATGCGGTACAAGTAAGCGGACACATTTTCAGGAAGACAGGGCAGGGTTCAGGCGAGACGAATACGGTGGTGCGTTGCTCTCGGCAATTTGCATCGCATCGGCATGCGGTTGCGAGGACGGGGACCCAAGATGGCACATCGGGGCTGTGGGGGTCGGCTCGAAGGGACGGGCCACGCCCAGCAGTTGTTGAAGAGGAGCACAAACAGCTACGAGTGGCCACCCCACTTGAAGCTGGTGTCAGGCTCACGCAAGAGCTGGCCAAGCGGACGGCGCTCGTTCACAAGATCAACCGCCTGCGGGGAACGCATGAGCATGCACGGGCCCGACACACGATCACTCACGATGGCTTCGCCCGGTTGAAACACCAAGCACCGCGAAATGTCGGCCGCCTGTTTTGCGGTCATCACGCCGGGCGAGTCGGTTTCCTTGCCGTCCAGAGCCTTTGGTCGAGTCAGGGGCCCGATGAATCGCGCCACAGTCCTCGTATCCCCTCAGGAGTCTCGCCAGGAACGCACCTCACAAGCGGCTCGTATCGGCGTATGTGACCCTCAGCAAACATGCACCGCGTCCGGACCGGTCTGAGCGGTCTGATGGCGATTGAGATGTCTGAACGCGGTGAAACTCACGGAGACCCCAGATACTTCACGCCGCCCAGGTGCGTCGGAGAAGACACCGAAGGACCATACACCGCCGATTGTGGGAGAGCCGCTGATTTACTTACAGCTGGGAAGCCTGAAGGTGGGCCTGACGGCGAGGATCTGACGCAGATATGTACTGAATTCGAGATTGATATGATGTATGCCTCGGAGGACATCTACGGTACGACTGGTGTCGGTGCTGCTGAGATCAAAGCTCGCGTGATGATTGGGATGGGGTCGGGCCGGTGGGCTGGATCATGTGGCATCTGCGGCATTGACATGGACAGCTACGAGGCACAGACTCCCTTTTCGCACTCGACCCGACAGCGCGCGTTGTGGTGGAGAAGGACGCGCTGAAGGCTGAAGAACAGCGCATTTCAATCTTTCTCTTCTCCCGTGTCTCCAAAGATCCAGCATAGAAAGGACGTACAGATTCCTGATTCTGTCGGCTCTACAGCTTGCGATGAAGGTCCGGAGGGGGAGTCAGTCGGTGGGGATGCCGGGGACGCCACGCTCTCGAGGGCGGCGGGACGCGGACGTCAATATGGCGCGTCGGGGGCACCATCCTCTGAGACCGAGCCAGTCTAGCTTGTCTGAGCCCGGGAAAGGGCTTCCATCCCGATTCGGGCAGTGGTTTGCTATGTTTGAGGTCAGTTGTCGCTCGGGTAACATGATTCCAGTTTCTGTGTCGTCATGCGCGTCATCCTCTCCTCGCAGGACATGCGTAGCTATATAAGCGGGCGCGGACATCGGGAAGTACAGTTTCCGTCTTCAGTCTGTCAGGAGTAATGGAAGCCAGTTGTCCTAACGCCACGTACGCTGGGGAAAGGGCACCGATCGCTGGCATGCCCGGCGCTTTCGTCGGCACTCGCCGTGAGATGAGCCGCAGAGCCCCTTTCCTCGAGACGAGCAAATAATCCGACGTCCCGCCCCTGCGCACAGGGCATACACACATGTGGACGTGGAGAAGCGAGGCGGGCGTGACGGTCCCTGCCGCGATAAGTGAGTAGAGCGGAGAACTGGTAATAGACCTTATCTGCAGCATTTTGCGATCGCGATCTGGGCGAGAGGTCTCGGGAAGCGCCAAGATGCCGGTGGCTCTGCTATGGTATGGAGGCATCTCTTTGCGCCAGCGCCGCACACGACCATGACGGACTGAACTTTGATAAGTATGCACATAGACCCAGACTCGCTTTGGGGAGGCTCATGCCCCGCATGCTCCTCAGGTGGTGCTCGGGGCTGTGGCGTAATCGAGACAGAGATGCGCGCATTATTGCAGCAGCCGTGACAGTCGGAAGAATTTCCCCGCCATGGAGAGCGCCCGACGTCCAGGAAAACCAAGCACTCTTGGACCGTGCGCCACGCGGGCCAGGCACGGAGGGGACGACCGCCGAAACGTGAGTTGCATGGCGAGATAGGCCGTCGGGCGGGTCTTGCACAGCCCGCGCGTGCAATGACAACGCCCCCTGCTGTCGCATTGTCTCTGGTTATCGCAGCGGGCGAGTGACTTTGTCACAGGCCGACTTTGACTAATTTGAGTGTGATCGCGATCAGCCAGGCACGGACGCCTCGGGGGCGCCTCTCATTGGCTGCCGTCCATGGCGGGCTCCTGGGGAGTATGCCATGGATTCATTGTCTAGACCCCCGTCCCGAATAGTCTTCTGCACGCGCGCACTGACGACTCCCGGCGGGCCTGGCCAGGGACAGCCACGGCGTATCATCTCCCCGGGAAGGACTTGTCGAGAAGTCTGTTATCTGTGGCTGACGTGCAGCATGTGCCACACCGTTCCACGTCTCCCAAACACCCCGACTTATCGTACTACTCATCAAAGTCCCACCCGTCTGCCAAGCTCGCGCATCATGCCTCCATTCTCATATAAGGCTCGCGCGCGGGGCAGCGGCCTCCCAGGGCCTCCCTTCCTTCCCTTCTCACCGTCGCACCCATGGCCGACTCGGCGCACCAGCTGCCTGCGTACGAGAACGAGAAGCACCTCGACGATGACTCGTTCGACAAGTCCGCCGAGGGCGACAGCGTCGACGATGTCCAGATGGTCAAGGAAGTCGAGGAGCTCGAGGACCGCATCGCCCACGACGAGGCTACCGAGGACGAGTACCGTGTCGAGGAGGCCTACGAGGTCGCTCTCAAGGTGGGCGCCACACCTTTATCGCTTCCAGACGGCCGTTGACCGTCTCGTCCGCGTCCCAGGTGCTGACGACCAGGGACGACCCCGAGCTCGCGTCCGTCACCTTCCGCACGATGTTCCTCGGTCTTGGTTTCTCGGCTTTCGGAGCGTGAGCGTCCCCCGTCGCACCCGCGAACCCCGTCCGCTGACAGATTGCCGCGTGCAGCGTCCTTGCTCAGATCTACTACTTCAAGCCGCAGACGCTCCTCGTGTCGACGCTTCTGTTGCTGATCCTGTCCTACTGGCTCGGAAATGCCATGCACATGCTCCTGCCCTCCAGGGGCTTCTTCCGGTTCATCAACCCCGGCCCTTTCAACAGTGAGCGACTCGCATCTCGCTGTGCTATACCCGACGCTCACCTATCGCAGTCAAGGAGCATGTCGCCATCATCATCATGGCGTCGACGGCCGCCACGTCCGCCGTCGCGATCCAGGTCATCTCGGTCCAGGAATGTGAGTTGCGCATTTCGTGTGGTCTTCGAAGCGAGTAACTAACATGCGACTGCAGTGTATTACAACAACAACATGGTCTGTGCCCGTAGAAATGTGTCTTATCGTGCATGTGCTGACGGCCGCCGCAGAATGCCGGGATTGCGATCTTTACACTGATCGGCTCGCAGCTGATCGGGTATGGCTACGCGGGTATCCTGTCGGACGTCCTTGTCAAGCCCACAAAGTGCTTCTGGCCCGCGAACAGTACGCGCCGTCTCCCTGAGCTCTGCCACGGGCGCGCCGCTGACATAGCGTATAGTCTACACGGCCAACCTGTTCCAGGCGCTGCACTATGACAGGCAGATGACCTCCAAGCGTGTGCGCGTCTTCTGGATCACCTTTGCCGCGCTTTTCTGCTGGGAGATCATCCCCGAATGTATGTCGCCCGACTTTGCCTCCGGCCCCCTCTGCGCTGCCTCTGACCATCACGCGACCCGCAGGGATCTTCCCCATTCTCACCGGATTCTCCATCTTCTGCCTCGCGGACAACCACTCGTCCGTCGTGCGCAACGTCTTTGGCGGCGCGAGCAATAACGAGGGCATGGGCCTCCTCGCGCTCTGCCTCGACTGGAACCTCATCAGCAGCACCTGCCTGTGGTCGCCGCTCTGGCTGCAGCTCAACCAGGACATCGGCATCATGTTCACGTACATCCTCATGAGCGCGGTGTACTACGGCAACCTCTGGAACGCGAAGCAGTTCCCGTTCATGAGCCAGGCTATCTTTGTACGTGCTCGCGCACCTTGTGCTTGCGCGTGCTGACCGCGCTGTGTCGCAGGCCCAGAACGGCTCACAGTACGACCAGACCGCCCTGCTCACGGACGGCAGGTTCAACGCGACCAAGTATGCCGAGCTCGGGGTACGTCGCCTCCGTCGTCCGCCCGGTGCTTGCAATGCTGATGCTGATGCCGCCGCTCGCAGCCCGCGTACTTCTCCGCGACGAATGCGCTCTACCTCATCACGTCGAACCTGTCGCTCGGCGCGTGCGTCACCCACGTCGCGCTCTACCACTGGAGGGACCTCAAGCCGTTCATGCTCTCGCTCAACCCGTGGAACAAGTCGGAGTACCTCGTGCACGACGCGGTGTGTGCTTCCCGTGTCCTGCTCCGCCTGCATCGCAGCTGATCCTTCGGCGCCCGCAGCACTACGAGAAGCTCAAGGTGTACAAGCAGATCCCGCGCTGGTGGTACACCGCCGTGCTGCTCGTCGCGTACGCCATCGCGCAAGCGAGTGAGTCCCGCTGCCTGTGTCGACCGCCACGCGCCGCCGCTGACCACCGCCCCGCCCCCGCCCCCGCCAGCCAACTACACCGGCGACTCGGGCCTGCCGTGGTGGGCGCTCACGGTGCTGCTGATCATCGGCTTCGTCCTCTGCGCGCTCTACGCGACGCTCGCGGCGACGATCGGCTTCACCGAGTTCAACACGTCCGGCAACGGGTTCTTCCAGATGATCACCGGTGCGTGCTCCTTGTGCCCTGCCCCCTCCCGCCGCGTTGCTGACGGGGTATGTGCACAGCGTACATGGTCCCCGGCCGCCCCGTCGCCAACATGTACGGCGCGATGTACGGCGCACACCCGATGACGCAGGGCATCGCGTTCCTGCAGGATCTGAAGCTCGGCCAGTACTGCAAGCTGCCCCCGCGCGTGACGTTCTGCATGCAGATGATGGGCACGGTCGTCGGGGCGATCCTCAACTGTGCGTTTCTCCCGCGTCGGGAACTGGTTCGGCGCGCTGACCGTGGATCATGGATCGCGTCTAGATGTCATGATGCTGTCGATCATTAATGCGCAGCGGCCAGGTATGTTCTTGCGCCGCACCGCGCGCGGGAGCCTGAGCTGATCGGTATTGTGTGTTACAGCGCTCCTGTCTATCGCGGGCACGCGTCTGTGGTCCGGACAGAACGCGCAGTCGTACAACTGTAAGCCCGGTCTGTCGTGTTGCTATGTTGCCAGCGTCTGACAGGACCGTCCGTCCCACAGCGAATGCCATCTCCTGGGGCGCGCTCGCACCGCAGATGTTCGGGCCTTCCGCGCCGTACCACATGGTCCCGATCTCCCTCGCGATCGGCGTCGTCCTGCCCCTCCCGTTCTACATCTGCGTGCGTATCCCCGAGTCCTGCCCAGACTGCACTCGGGCCCGCACCCACACCCCGCCGCTGACCGCCGTCTGCGTCTGCAGTACCGCATCTGGCCGAAAGCCGGCTTCCAGCACCTGAACACGTCGATCATCATGCAGTACTCGTGCTACCTGTCCGTCGGCGTGAACACGTCGGTGAACACGTCGATGGCGCTCGGCATCTTCTCCCAGTGGTGGCTGCGCACGCGCTACCCGCGCTGGTTCACGAAGTACAAGTGAGTGCCGGGGCGCGTCCCTCCGTTTCTTGCTTCTATGCGTGCGCGTGCTGATGCTGGTGTCGCGCCGCAGCTACATTGTCGCCGCGGGCATGGACGGCGGCACGCAGGTGGTCATCTTCATCCTGAACTTTGTGCGTACATGTCCTTCGAGCATCCCGTCGCGCTGTGCTAAACCCCCGTGCGCGCCGTAGGCCATCTTTGGTGCAGCCGGCACGGCGCACCTCTTCCCGAGCTGGTGGGGCAACGGTATGTCTGCTCGCGTCTGTGCACGCGGACCCCCAGCTCATGCACGCCCCTTTGCAGACCTCAACCTGTCCGCGGACCGCTGTCTCGCACCCGCGTCATAGTATCGGCTGCTCGGGATGCGCTCTGCCCCCCGCCCCCGGCTCCCCTGCCATTTACTGTAGTAGCGTAGTATACACACCCCACTCGATGAGAGTTGTACTGATGTAGTAGAGTCTCGGCATAATCCACCCGGATGCGACTGATTGTAGAGGTGTCTTTTCTTTTGTCGGGGTTTGCTTGCTTGCAATGCGATGCAATCCTCACTCATTAACTTCACCGTGTTGGCCCCAGGGTCAGTGATGCACGGGTGTTTGACGAGTCGTGTCTCAGATCTCAGTACCCAATTTTTTTGTTGAAGAGTGAGAGTGATGTATGAACCTCCAGGATGTATTGACCTTGACGTTGAACGTCGAACAGCTCCTAGGCCATAGTAGCGGCGCCTGGCTGGATAAGTCCTCGCACACTGTTGTCCATACTACACAAAGTGCTGTTGTTGCGCAAGCTGAACTCGCTGTTTAGCATCAACATTGATGTGCTTTGGGACAAATGACGTCACCTGGGTTGATATACGGCTTTCTGCCCGGATCTTTGAATCAAGCAAAATCAATAGCACAGCAGTTAGTAACCTGTCAGAAACCCCCTGGTAGAAAGCAAGATTACTCCAGAGCGGTTCCCGGAACAATACTTGTCGAATTAGACTTCTGGCAGGGATCGGGACTGAAGATGACGAAAAGGGATTCGTGTCTGACCCGGCTTGTGACCAGCAAACGCCTAAGGAATCAAGTACAGAACGAACGGCCACAGCGACAACGAACACGCAATACAGGGAGAAGCATGATGTCGGGCGGACATCATGACCGCTCCTCGCATAGCAGCAGTGGGGTCCAGCATCCGGCCTTCCTAAGGACTACTCGGCAGGCGAGTCATGTCCAGTGAGGAAACCAAAGCGTTCACAGCATGCCTTGAAGCATGATGCATTTGTCGTGCGGGGCAGATGTTGCGCATGGTCAGCTGAATTCCACTTCCACATTCATCCTGGCTCAGCGCCGTCCTGTCCGCGGCCTCGAGCAGAATTTGTCCGCTGCGCTTCGGTTTCGCTCTCGACATCGCCTCGGTCGAGAGAAGCTAGAGTCCGAAGTCGGGCCGCCGAGTTCGCTGGCCCGCTGGGGTTTGAGAACACCGCTTGGGATAGAAATTCCGACCGCCCTCGGAGAACGAACGGAGTAGCGTGACCGCCCACGGGGTGGCTGAGACGTCGCTTCCTCAGGCGCTCAGAAGCGCGTCGTTGCCAGAGCGACCGGTCCCGAGGATTGTTATACTTGAGATCTGACGAATGCATGTAGATGGTATCGGTCTTGCCAAATGAGCGGAAACACGATTGGGCATTGCTTGCACCGGAGAGATGAGAGTCCGCAGCAGTTGGGGCCAGCCTCGTGACAGCAAGACCGCGAGGCGTTGTGAGACGTTGCGCCGTATCGGGCAGTCGTGGCTCCTCCAAGCAGCCTGTTGTCCCGTGAACGCGTTCACGAAGGAAGAGCAGGAGCGCCTCGCGGTCGCAGGACGTGGGTTAGAAGTTACTTGCCATCCGGTTCATTGTATCTTCCATTGCAAAGGACTATTAGATGCTCACGGTCAGCCTTTACGGACAAAGTCCAAAGACGTACTGAAAGGGGATGCACGCACGTTACTATATCCGCAAAACAGCTGTGCCGGGGGAGAGCTCTCATGCAACATTAATAGTGAGTTCAGGTCCCCGAGGGGTGAGGGTGCCGAGGTCAAAAGACCCGACTTCTCGGGACGTGGGTATACGGCGCGGAGATATGTCGACTTTGGGGCTCTATAAATGAACAGAGAGTCGATTCTCATCTCTTAGTGACATCCGTCCGCTCACGCATTTGGCTCCGGCGGTGTCCCAGCGATGATGAACTGTCAGACACACAGCGAAGACGCTTGACGCATTGTACACGGCACGCTGGTGATGATACGAGCACTTTTCCCGGTGATCTGTCAAGAACGAACAACGATAGTTTGTCAAAGTCCACTGTTCGGTCAAGTTGATCCACACTTCACCGATATTGTGCCATGGGGGATTTAGACGGACACAATGGCTGGATGAACATGTCATAATGCGTGGCCATTCTTGAACGTAGATAGATGTCGTCACGTATTCAAGATGTACCAGCATACCAAAACTGCCAAGTAAATGGTCGTTGGTAGTACCGGCAGCTATATGTGACCTATTGTGTGATTTACAGATCTGCTCAACCTGACAGTTCAGATGTCTTGACCATGATCAGATCGCAACCTGACATGAGAAGGACATCGACAGTGACTTTCGCGGCTGTGTTCTGACTGAACCGAATGACTGTGGCATCTCGGAGGAAATATGCCAGTCATAGGTCATTTCGGTTTACTGTTCCGCCAGATTTCAACTGAGCTGAGGTGGAGTGCTCTGTACCGCTCCGCGAATACAGGGCTCTAGTCATGATCTGCATGATATGTTGAACAATCTTATCATCTACACGCAAGTATCGCTCGCAATGCCGCTGACCGTCAGGAGTCATGAGCCAAGAGCCCAATTCCGTCCGAAATCGCTCCAATTACCGTGTAAATGTCTGTGCAATACATTTCCAGGGGATATTCTTCGTCCAAGATGCGCGTCAGAGCGCCAACGGCCCGGGGGAACAGAAGGCGTGGGAAACATAAGCCAAACTAGAATACCGGAATAATCCGGGTGACCAGGGGCGACCGCCGTACACTGCCGCCCATTGCCCCTCAACATGTTTCGTCTCTACAGTCTTGTCAATATGTCAAACACACTAATTTATCACGGCTTAAGGATGTACATCTACATATCAATCGCTTTGAAACGCTCCTTAATCTGGGATTACCCATCTTTGCTTCAGCCAATGTCCAATCGATCTCGGGGGAGAGGATCGAGACGGTGTCGGAGGGGTCGAGCCCACCCAGAATTCAAAGTTTGATTGTTCGAAGACTTGTGCTTTCCAGTCCCGTGGCCTACTAGTAACTGCCGGCTGCAGAAATAATCCGCAAGCTTTCTAATGCATGAGCCAGCATAGGGACATATAAGGCATTCGTTGTTGATGTCGGTTGAACTAAAGCGCCGTGGCATCTACATGCGAAGCTTCATTGATGATCGGTGAGTTCAGCGTGGGCGGAATGCCGAAGAAGTCTTGACTGTTCTTTAGTAGAAGGATGGACTGGCGCACGCATGCTTCTTCTGGCTGCTTATACCGCAAACCGAATGCCCGCAGCGTGTGGCCGCAATCTTTATCGGGAACAAATGTCTTCGGGGACCGTGCTCGCCACGGGCCTCACACGCCGCAAAGAGAACAAGGTCGGGTGTGCACATGAGTGTCGTTGCTTATGCTTCCCATCTACAGGCGTGATTCCAGTTCTGCCGGTAAGGCGCTGTCTAATTGCCTTGCTTCCACACTCGGACAGATCGCGGTTGACCTTGTACTCTGGCGAGAATTAGGGTCAACCCGGTCGGTCCAGACTATGCCTTACGATATGTCAGAAGTCGAAAATACCATATACCTGCGCTTCCCTCGCACGTCGTTGTAAGTGCTTCGACACGGAGCATCACTCAGCCATCTGTGCGAAGATCGGCATCTTACATAGATCCGTGGGTCTCGCTGTAGGAAACAATCGGACCGATATAATTGGGCATTTATGGCTCGCTACATGCAGATTTCGCCCACGGGATCTGAGTCACCCTGTACATATTGAGGACATACCTCGATCGGGATAATTCCCGACCAGCGCGTCGGCAACGACAGTATCGGGCAGAAGTAGTAAGTCATGTCACTGGCATAACATTTTCGTGCAAAGTCCGCAGGTACAGGAGCAGTGCTGATGGACGTTCTATAACAGACTTCCTGCTCTCGGGAGCTCTTTTGTAACGCGGCTCGGAATCTAGTTATCAGGGCAGGTAAGCAAATTTAACGGTCTATGTCTCAAGGATGTCTCGATACGTTTGTGCCGTCAGGACCGCACTGACTGGAAATAGCGGCTCCGAGGCTGCCGTGCGGCAAACGTCCCCGAACCCGAGCCAGTGCTCAGGGCTGCAGCGCTGCCGTCGACGGCGGAATTTGAGTATATGTAGCGCTTGCAACTAATCTAGGCGTTATTGTCAAGCTGTAAGAGCCCGCACACATGTCCACGAAGACAGGCACTGACTCGCCTTTCCTGCCTGTTAAATTCCACCGCAAAGCCGACGGGTGGTCAAGGTTTTGACAAGTATCACGGGCGCGATACGTCGAGCGTACTGGGCCCGTCTGAAGCAGTCAAAGTGGTGTTTTCAACTGCCAACCGTGGAAGCGGATAGAGCCTCGCTGGGCGATTTTGCGATTTTGTTGTCCCACCAATTTTCCTGCCGAAAAGCTATAAGAAGGGCTGGGGACTCGCTGGGCTCTTCAGACATTCAGTCTAAACCCCCCTCTTCGTATCTCCCAGTCATACGCCAATGGCCCATCTCTGGCGCATCAGCGGTCTGCTTCTGATTCTCCAGTTCACCTCTGTCGCGGACCACGCGAACGGTGCCACGCTCGCTGGGCAGTGGCCAATGCCAGTGGTGCCCAAGAGGGCACTTACGTTCGACAGCCCCGTTGTTGACCGCAACGGCTCAGAGATTCCGCCGTACAATACGACGTACTACTTTGAGCAACTAATCGACCACAACAATCCGAGCCTTGGAACATTTTCACAGCGGTATTGGACGACCTGGGAGTTCTACGAACCTGGTATGGCATGTATTCTCTACAGAATAAACGCCAAGACTAACTCCGCTCCTTCTTGGCACAAGGCGGCCCGATTGTTCTTAACACCCCCGGAGAAACCGACGCCGATGGCGAGTTTGAAATTTGCCGGATGGCACAACGCCCGCTGACGTACGCTGAAAATAGGCCTCGAGATATTCTTGACCAACCAGACGATTGTCGGGCAAATAGCGCAACAGCAGAATGGGGCTACCGTCATGCTCGAGCACCGATTCTACGGGTTCTCGAACCCTTACCAGAACTTGTCGGTCGCAAGCCTTCAGGTCCACACAATTCCGCAAGCGATCGATGATCTAGCATACTTCGCAAACAACGTGCAGCTCCCGATGCCTGGTGGCGACCAGCTTTCGCCTGCGAATGCCCCATGGATTTTGGTTGGGGGTAGTTATGCCGGTGCTCTAACCAGCTACACGTTGCTCAAGTAAGTTATGGTTCCGTTATACAATGGGGCTCACTCTGAATCAAGCGTCCACTTCTAGTCAGCCGGATGCATTTTGGGCCGGATACTCTTCATCTGGTGTGGTTGAAGGCATTATGTAAATTCTTGTTCCGCTCCGCTGAACGATATCACGCTGAGCTTCTCCACCGTAGAAACTTCTGGCAATACTTTGACATCCCGCGCCAGTATATGCCGCAAAATTGCTCGGCGGATGTACAAGCTGTCATCGCATACATTGACGAGACCTTCGTTAATGGGACCACCGAGGAGATCGATGCCATAGAGACAACCTTCGGCATGAATTTGACGCATTTGGATGATTTCAGTTATGCACGTGAGGATGCTGTTCGTTAGACGCACGCCACTGATCGCTTACGATCCCCAGTGACTAACCCCCTCGCTGCTTGGCAGAACCTGCAGCCAGATGGGGGATCCGACCAGCCCTTCTTCCAGTTCTGTGATGCACTGGAAGTCAAGGACGGTGTTAATGCATCTGCAGAGGGATGGGGACTTGACTACGCCTTGCAAGCGTGGGGTTCCTGGTGGCAAGACGTGTACATCCCTGGCTGTACGCCGACCCCCTTGCTTTTGTGTCCCTTATTTGACTCAACCTTTCCATTTGTAGATTGCGGTGATGTTGATGTAGAGTGGGTAGCGTATCCTCCGTGTGTTTCCATATAACTCACGTGGAATGCCGTCATAGGTCCTGCTTTGGCACATACGATCCCACGAATCCCGTGTGGACCAATATCACAGTCAACAACTCGCAGCGCTCCTGGGGCTGGATTGTGTACGTACCGAAGTATCTGACTTCCATGACACGAATGTGAACTTTCCATCAGGTGCAACTACATGGGCTTCTTCCAAGGCGGAGCGCCTAAGGGTGATCCGACCATTGTTTCTCGTTTGGTCGATCCTGCCTATTACGAGGTATGCCTGCCGTTACACGCTCCACATGCTATGGGTTTGCGAGACTCACCGGTCCCCAGCGTTGGTGCACATACTATTTCCCCGAGGCATTCCCGACAGCAGCTGCGCCAGACGTAGACGCGATCAATAAGGCGTACGATGGCTGGTTCTTGAGCACTGAACGGCTGTTCCAGGCAACTGGAAAACGTACGTGTCACTACCTGGCGGCTGAGCTGTTACTCACATAGCCGGACTCTACAGGCGACCCGTGGCTAGATGCCACTGTCGGTGCCCAAGGGCTCAACACAACCAGCACAGACCTGCAGCCGATTGCTATGAGCGACGGTTTCCACTGCTCTGATATGTATGCCGCGAATGCTGTGGTCGATTCAACCGTTGCAGCAGTTCAGAATCAAGGGTTGTCGTCCATCGCAACATGGCTACAGGATTGGCAACCCTCGACGTAATGATCCTTCAGTGGCAGATGCGTTGATGATATGTCAAGTTCGTCGGTGATGTATCCACTTTTGGGTTGGGAAAGGCAGTGATAGTGTGTGTATCTTTGATTTACCTCGAGTGGTCTCGAAGTCTACTGTACTGTGTATTCGTTCTCGCTTTTCCATAATGTCCATCACATTTTGCCTGAGATATGCAGTTGTAACGAAAGAGTGTACCCGTGATGCTTTTCTACGAGTTGCGATCTTCAGCTTCTTGATCCAGTCATTTCACACCGTTACAATGAGGTTCTCAAATGGTTCCAGCACTACCTTGAGCGTACTTCAGTCTCTGGTATGTCAATTGGCGAGATTTTATACGAAGTGCATGTATTCCCTCCTGTTTGGCGATCACTGTCGCCGATCAAAAGGAGCGGTCTGCGCTGAGGAAAGCAACATGACCAAAAAGTGTACTTAGGAGAAGTGTCAAAGTGAGAACTGACATCGAGGGTTATGCATCTGATGTTTCGACAACGGATAATCAATTTACCGTAGTCTCATGAGCCACGTAGTAATATGCTGTCGCAGAGGTTGAAAAGCTGGTTCTACTCCTATCCAAGGCATTTGTAACTCGAGAATAAAACCAGAGTATCTCGATCGTAAGATCCCATGGTGTCCGCAGTTCGCTGCATTCAACTTGCCAACAGCGCAGCACAATGCAGGGAGGCAGCATTACAACCTCAACGCATCTGCCTCAAGCAGAGGCCCGCGCAAGCGGTGTGGCTGGAAACGAGTGGCTCACGTTTCATGACTAAGCTGTCAAGGGAAGTCGTAGCTGGTCTCTCCGTACATGGATAAAGGCGTACCAGACGAGTAATTTTACTATCATCGTACGGGATTGTAGTTGCTCCGAGACATAAGGTGCTTAGCCCTACGTCATGTTTGCCAATGGAAGAGCGCCCAAATGCAGCCGATGGCATGGCGATAAGTACGGCCACTTGTAAGCGATCACGCGCATCGTCTAGCCGCTCGTCCGCTTCATAGTGTGGAAGAACCTAACGAACTCTAAGCTCAACAAGGGAAGTTTCCACACCCGCCTATTGTTGTTACCCACCAGGCGACGGCAGTCTTTAGCAAATGCTGCGGATATAGGCTAAAGAAACGTTAGATGAGCCTCCAATGCTCAATCCGTTCGTCATTTAGGCGCGTACCATTAGCTTGTTTCCTTTGGCTGACAGTCCAGACGCAGATGTCGGTTCCAGATGTACCTCCCACATCCGAGGCTCCTCATAAACGGGAAGTATAGGACCGGTAGCGACCTGGCGAGGCTCTTGATATCGTGACCTCCAGACAAACCAGAACGCGAAGGTGAATGTACAGAGCAGGCAAATCACGCAGACCGCTACGGTGATTGAGGTATGATGTGGGCCAGAGCCATGGCTAATGTCTGAGGCGACTGAGCTTCCGCCGCCGCTCCATACACCTGACATGATCTCTCTTCAAGGACAATGTCTACATCTAGCTCATGAATGTCCGACAGATGAAACAGATGCAACTGACTTACTAGTGTAATGCAGTCAACGTCTGAAAGGGATTCAGGAGATTTCGCTATTCTGGCAAGGAACACGTAACGTCCACAGGCAAGAAACTGCGAGAGCAGCTTTTAAGAGGGGCATCTCTCTTAGTATCCACCCGGTGTTCTACACATATCTATCACTCAATTCGCAAATTGAATAGACAGATGCTATGTAAACGCACATTGGCCTGCGCCTGGCGATAGACTATGTTTTTGAATAGCCGGAATTTGCAGTGCGCAGCAGGACCTGTCAATCTCAAGCCACATCAGAGCGCTATCTTGCGTACGTTGAATTGCTATTCAGTCGGAGGGCGTATAATCTACCTGCAGTCGCCAGACAATGAAACACTTGCTCTGGAGGCCTGGATACGTTGACCTGGCATTTCGGGAGGTAAAGAACAAGGGCACTGTGGTTTTGTCGATATCCCACAGCAACCTAGACAAGCCAAGATCCGCTGTCGCCCTGCATCAGCTCCATGATATAACGCCCACGCCGGTAAGCAAAGCCATTCCGGTTCGTCAGATGAAGAGCGCGGATGTTTGTTCGGAAGTATCCTGAGTCACCGCACGCGCTTGCAGATGACGCACAGGTCAATGGCTACTGATAATACGGACGAGTCTGCTCGCAGAGGGGTACAACGTGAGCAATCAGTAAGCGACGCCATCTTCTTCATGCCGCGCTAGATGCTGTTCAACAGGCAACTGCAAACATGCGTTATAGTAAGCATGCCACCAGTTAGATGAAGCCACTCAGAATGTTGCACAATCAACAAGTTCTGTATGAGCAGTGAACTGTGTAAGATATAAGCAGGTTCTTTCCCCACAGGAGAAGTGACCCGGAAGTCACACAGCCCCGTCGTGACTGAAGAGTTGTTCATGATCTCTACATGACAGAAGATGCCAAGCCACAGTAAGCAAAGATAATAAGAAACATACGTGCATTATCATAGCGCCTTTACACCAATTCACTTGACAGTTCTGAGGCGTAATACTACACGGCCAGAAGATCCGTATAAACTGGGTTTAACCACTGACAAGCTGCACGTCGGTCAAAGCGCTTTGCGCCCTGTGCAAACCACAACAGTTTATGCCTGGTGCAACCACTCACACGCTTGCCCCGCGGGCAAATTTGTTCAACCCCCGTGCAAAGCAGATTTCTGCTCACGTGATACAAGCGCGGTCTCCCAGGGTCCCATTGACCATATTGTCGCGCGAGAATATACAGAGAATGGCTAGTCGCAGATGTAATTGCTTAATTATGTACATATACATTCAACTCCTAAGATACCAGACTGTAGCTTCTAAGAGAAAGCAATACAAAAATAACAAGTAACTCACCAAACTCTGCAGATGGTTCAGAATGAAGAGCTGGCATATGGATCTAAGGCAGAAAAGGTTAGAATAACAGGCTCCTGATCATAAGATCAGGGTACTGGTACATTCACCAGGAGCATGGGGCTCAAAATACATGCAAGACGATATTGAGACATTTGAGATGTGGGTGGGCAAGATGAAAAACTTCTCAGATTTGTCACGCATGCCTTGTCGTGTCTTGTGCAAGTCACATGATATGCAGTGTTTGCCCGCGGGTTAAACTGCGATATGGGTAGCTGCTGGTCACCCGTGCATGCCAGCCGTAGGTCAAATCGATAGATTTGCACGAGGATCAAGCAATTTTGACCGGGGTGCAAACTTGACATTTGTCCCCCGGGCATCTGCAGGCCATTCAAACGTAGGCTAAAGTATCTTCTGGCCGTGTAGTACGCATCGCAAGCGCCTCCAGAGACGCCCACAGAGCTGGCGCATCAATTTCAACTTGAATCAGCGCTCTTCGCGGTCGATAGTAATCTTGCTCCAGAATGCTCCTATCAGAACGGTAACGATCTTCCTGTCCGTATTTTGAAGAACAATTTAGCTCCGTTTATAATCGTTGGCGAATCCATGCATTGGCTTCAGGTCCGCTCATACGTGTTATGATGATCGTCGGAATGCTGGCTTCGCAGGCTAAGTCGCAGGTCTACTGGTTATTTGATTTTTGAAATGTTCATAGGACTATATAACTGTTGGATGCAATACGCAAACATATCCTACAGAAGGCGCGTTTCCCACCATTGTGGAACGATTATCAATATGACACCACACCACACTTGGCTAGATCAATACCCATCGAGATGAGGTGATCGAATCATTCAAAATCACAGGTGGAACGCTCAATAAATCCCAAAGCTGTACGGTGGTGAAGCCGGTAGTTGCCATTTTCACTCCAAGTGTTATAGTTTATATCAAAGGCTACATGCTAACGTTTGGTAAAGATGCTGCAACCCTCTTATTCGGATATTCAAACGACCCATGGAATTGATACTGAACAACGCTCAGTAAGCTAGAAGTTTGTCCGGCGAATACCAGACACCTGTTGTCCCACTTGTTTGTTTCTGCCCAAATATGTGCGAATTCTGCGCAAGCTCACTTAGTCGGTGCAGAGACTCCCCTACCCGGAATGAGACCATTTGGTCTACGGTCATACAATGATCAGGGGAAATCTGATTGGCTGACACGGTATGGTGCGCTCCCCTCTTTATACGCCCGTATTTAACATCCGGGCCTCTACAGCGACTGTTTCGCCAACTCTTGCTATCTCGGACCCCTCCCTTTATTGCACAACTCTGTCCCAGATGCCCGCCCAAGCTGATGGTCGCGTCGATGAACGCATCCAGAATTATACCAAGTTCTGGCAGAAGGACATCAGCAAGGATGGTAAGATAGACACGGAGAACCGGGTCGATAGCTACACGGACGTCGTTAACGGTACGTTCGCTAAATGACACAGTCAGCTATACGTTCACCGAGCGTGTAGGCTACTATGACGGTGCGACGGGGCTATACGAGTTTGGATGGGCGCGGTCATTCCATTTCTGCCGCTTCTATAAGGGAGAGGCATTCCAGGCTGGTCTCGCTCGCCACGAACACTACCTTGCGGCGAAGATGGGTCTGCGTCCAGGGATGCGGATTCTCGACGTCGGTTGCGGTGTTGGCGGACCAGCACGCGAGATCGCACGTTTCGCCGACGTGACAATCATTGGCCTGAACAATAACGACTTCCAGATTGGCGCTGCACGGAAATATACTAAGCATGCCGGCCTCGACAACCTAGTCTCGTTCGTGAAGGGCGATTTCATGAAGCTCTCCGAGCAGTTCGGTGAGAACTCGTTTGATGCTGGTAAGCTTCGCTTCTGCGTAATTCACATGAGATTATTGACCCTTGTTGCTTCTCGTAGTCTATGCCATCGAGGCCACGGTTCACGCTCCGACATTTGAGGGCGTATACGGCGAGATCATGAAGGTTTTGAAGCCTGGTGGTGTGGTACGTCGTCGCAGCTTGGCGTCCTGCTCATTCACACTTTAACAACTCTGTAAAGTTCGGCGTGTACGAATGGGTCATGACTGACGCATGGAACCCATCAATCACCTCTCACAAGGAGCTCGCGAACCGCATAGAGATAGGCAATGGCATCCCAGAGATGCGACCGCTCGACCAGGCGAGACTGGCAATGCGCAACGTTGGCTTTACTATCGAGCATGAAGAAGATCTGGCAGAGCGCCCAGACGACATACCGTGGTATTACCCACTCGAAGGCGACGTCACCAAAGCGCAGACTGCGTGGGACTATCTCACCGTCTGGCGCTGCAGTTGGAGCGGGAAAATTGTGACCCACTACGGTCTGTGGTTCATCGAGCAACTCGGCGTCGTTCCCAAGGGAACATGGGAGGTCGGTGAGACCCTCAAAATTGCTCTTGATGCGCTAGTGGAAGGCGGAAGATCCAAGGTACGGTATCGTTTTGTTCTTGAGTAACTACCCCGTTTATTGATTTTATGCGTAGCTGTTCACGCCAATGTTCCTTGCGATTTGCAGGAAACCTACCATCAAAAATTGATAGCGCTATTCTTTATGCAATGAGATGGATTTGCGCCCTGAGCATATAATTACACACTAAGGAAAAATATATGGTATCATTTTGGTTACATGTGAGCAGGACGCTTCAACCTGCACAGGCTCCGGGTTTCCCTCTGAAGTCTGAGCAACACCAAGCAGCACTGTGCTGGACTCAGTTCGGCCGATCAGCCACAACTCACAAAACCGACGCGGCTACAGCTGCACGACATTCTACCCTCAGCCATGTCTGAGTCGGCCACTAGATCCGCTGGAAACCCGAAGGGCAACGATACTGCGCGATCCGCACTTCAGTACCATACACGATCATGTGGTCTACTACCATAAGTATCGACTGTGCTTTGAACACGCGAATCGGTCGGACTGCCTCCTGTAGAGTTTGGGTTGCACGTGGACAATCATGGTGATCCCAGCAGATCAACGGGCCCAGTTGAATGGGAGGGAGCCTGTCGCGTGGCATCCGCCCTACGTTCTCCGAGTCTTCGACACGAGGTTCATTGAGATCCGGCATGTCGAGACAGGGCGTCTGGCGTATATTATCCCTGGCAACGACGTGGGATGCATATGGGATGGTCGGGGCACTACTAACTGTCCAACGTCATCCGTTCCCGGGCCAGAGGTCGGCTGGACAGAGGGCGTTTCGCAGGAGCCACGCATACATGGGGTGAAGGACGCCGACCATTCTCTGCAGCCCATGGCTACTTCTCGAGGTGCCCGATCCATTGCACAACATGTCTTTGAGCTGATCCTCACAATCCCGTTGTGCCCTCCTAAATTCCCATCCTCACCATTGCATGCGATGCAGATTGCCGAGAGCGATTCGCCACCGCGTTCACCTCGCCTGAAGCCTGCCCTGTCGTCCTGATAATGTGTCCGCTTGCTTGTACCGCATGTCGTTGCCTGCTCTCGATTGTTTCTGACTTCCCTTTGTGCATTGTGTATAATAGCGCGTTCATGTTTCATTTATACGGACCAACGCGCATACTAACAACACATACTATGGAATCGGTTCTGGATATCTGCATGGAAAAGCCTATATACTGTTCATAGAAAGAAGACAAGAAGAATGAGCATATCCCAGTCGAATAAGAGTATCTTCCACCGAGAGCGTCATCATCCTAACAATTACAGCCGTCGGTAGCGTTGCGGACGGTCAAAAACCTTGAATGAGCACAGCGTGTCCTGATAGCGCTCGCTGCAACAGTGGTCACGACGTGATGTGCATGAGGATGCTAAGGCCGTTCCTGGACAACATTCTCGGTCGCGGTGGTGCGGACGAGATGTTCAAACGGGGAGGGTGTAGGACGTGTGAGCCGCTGCTGTGACCTGCCGTCCGAGCGGTCCTTTTTATCCATATCACCGTGGCGAAGTGCATGCGAACGACGCGTGGCATACGTTGTCCGAACAGAGCGACGTAGCTCCTGCATAACCGGATCGGGGGATGCGGACGAGCTAGATCCCTGAGTATTCAGTTGGGCTGACGGAGCGTCTCTGCGACGGCTTGTACGCTTGCGATGCGATGTGGTGGGACGCCCGCTAGAGGGAACCACACCGCGCTCCGGGCCCCTGTCGCTCGGCGGGTCGAGCATATCGTGATCCAAACTTCTAGAGAGGTCGTTGATCTGTGCGTCCGACGGCTCTCGCGTCTCAAGAATGGTGAGGGCATCGCCTTGCTCTCTGAGAGGGGGGGAAGGCGGGAGCGATGACAGTACCATGACGGTCCAGAGCGGCTGTTGTGATTCTTCGCCAGGGTCCTGTCCCCCGTTGTATCCCTCGATCTTCCAGGTAATCAACTGAAAGACACGACCGTCAGTTTCTGTTCATTGTAAGTACCTCGAGCTACTTGCTTGATCGGTAAAGGGCCTCAATGCTCTACCCTTCTTCTGTACTTGGTATCGTTGATGCTGGAGCCCAGGTTGAGCGGGGATGGTCAGCTGGGGATGAGGGACGATGGTGTTGGACATGATGAGGAACTGAGAGAGACAGTCGATGCTGCAACCTAGCAGGCCCTGCGTGCATTTTATGTTCGCGCATCTGTGGCGGCACCGTCGAATGTGGTGAAGGTCGCCTGAGCATCTGAGCGAGGAGGGCAGCGGACAGTCAAAGCTGGGGCCTCTGTAACGTCGGGTTGTTGCGATTCCTCATACGCCATTGCTGTGCTCTGCCACTGAGGCGTGACATGAGAGGACAAAACGTTCCGCTGAAAGGGGAAGGAACGGTTACCTGGAATAGGCAAGTACGGGTTGCCCAGCAGCTGCTGGAAAGCGGAACGCTGCGGTAGGGTTCCGTGGGTCCAACCTCATGCCTAAATTTGCCTGTTATGTGAACAAGCTGGGATCAAATTCTGCGTGGCGCCGCACGGTTTGTGTGCAGCGTGTGCTCTTTGTGTCCCTTGGATGTGGCGGAGTTTCCAGCGAGTGATTCTGCGGCGTTACCAATGCAGACAGTGCGCCTGTGCCTGTTTGCTCCCGCGAGATTGCAGGGCGTTGACGCCATAGTAAGTTATACTCAGCCCTACTGGTGAAAAGGTTACGGTAATACTGATGCATGCAATGTAACACTGTAATGGGTGTTCTGCATGGTGTGGAATTTAGTGCATGCGCTGACCTTCTTGTTGTGGAACAAGAGGAAGGAACAATAACAGCGGGCTGAGGCCGACTGCCTCGGGTAGCTTGCGCTTGGACCATTCAAGCTGGCAGTCAAGGTGTGGCGCCATCAATGATCGAGTTCTCACGCTACAATGGAACTTTAATTAAAATTCGCAGTCGCACTCCTGCGTGGCGCCGCAATCATATTTCCGTTGTAACCTAATGTTGTGAGTAAAACTCACAAAGGTTTACTTCTGCTAACTGCAGGCAGAATGGTCATTGCCACCTGGCGGAATATGGCGGGTTTGATGTGGAGTTCATTTTAAGTGGAGTTCTTAGTTACACCACCTGACAGTGAATATTGCAATAGTAGTCTCAACTTCGCATATGGCCTAGGCTTATAAATAGACCCCAGGCCTGAACTCTGCGAGACTGAGGCGCGCTACGCGTATACCATATTAGGAAGTACGACCGCCACCTTCTGTCATTGATCTGCGTAGCGTACAGAAATATCTGGCAGCGCTGCAGACCACGCCACCGTCGCTATACGTCCTTCCCGCGTTAGCCATCCGTCGCCGGTATATCTCAACACCTTAGCGATTGGGTGATAAGTTGGCGCCGCAGCCACGTACGTGATAGCTGGACAAATCGCCGCTTTGTTTGACGGTCATTCCTGAAGCGCAACAGCTCCTCCACAATCACAAAATTGAGTGGCCTCAGGGGGAAGCCAGGATACGTTGCTTGAGATCCCGTTATGTGTACTTCCCATCAGTGATTGAACCCTTTACTTCGGTAATGGGCTGGTAAAGCATACCATACCAGTACATACGCCACTGACGCGTTAGTACCACCCTAATACAGTGCTTTGGTCACTTCTAACATTCATGTGGCGCTTATATAGTAGCCAAAGCGAAGGAAGGACGATAAAACGCCACATTAAGTTGATCCGGGCCGTCGCACCCGTGCACATATTTAAATCCCAACTTGCAGCGTTCTCCTTCTATAAGTGACCCCGTCCTCTCAACTGTGAAAGACAACAATTACGATATACAACATGTCTGTTCAAGGACCCGTACGTCTTCCACAGCTTATCAACTTGTCTAACACGCTGACGTCCAACTTGTTATTTGCTTATATTCCACTCTGCCGCCGACCCTCGTCGCAAGCAGAACCCATGGAGAAAGCTCTCTGTAGAAGTTTTCTTGCTGATTCTGGAGACAGGCTTAGAGTCAGAACACAAAAGCCTAGAGCGTGTGCGCTTCGCGCTCTGCATAGCCTCTGTGTCTCGTATGTGGCGCAAATTGGCCACAGAACATTGTCCGAAGCTTTGGACATCCTGTCACATGTCACTCGAGTTCATTCCGGCCCCCGAGGTCATTTCTACGCTTCTTCATCGCTCGCAGTCACTACCCCTCGACATCTGCGTCAATATCAATATTGATCGATTTGATAACGAACGCCGTTACGGCATAGACCATGTCTTTGCACTCTGTGCGTCAATCCAGCCACTTGTTCAGCACTCACAGCGATGGAACACATTGTGCATATTCGGTGTCCTACCCAGCTTCCCCCCTTTCGATCAGTGCGTCCAGCAGCTTCTCACTGTGTCAGCACCTGCTCTGGACACCCTGAGTTTGTGTCTCATGATCCCGGAAACTTACACAATGCGTTTTATTCACAATGGCATTCCCTACGATGGTATCGACTTCAGCATGCTTCGAGCTCCCAATCTTCAGACTCTGTGCTTGGAACCGTCAACCAATGAACAAAACATGTGCAAGGCTGTTAAACAATTTCCATTACTTGCGAATTTTACATGGTCCCCTCACTGGCGCAGGAGTCTCTCAGTCGGACTCACGGGTCTCAAGTCTTTCAGCCTTCTTCGTGGATTACGCCATCTGTCCCTACAAATAACGTCAATCACAAACACAGACTCACTGTCTTACAGCTCCCCCGTTATTCTCCCGGCACTAGAAATACTCGAAGTGACCAGCGGTGGGAGTTATGCAACGGGCATCATGCGGCTGTTCGCGTCAATCTCGGCACCCAAATTACATCGACTCGTCATGATTGATCGCTGGTCCGAAGACACACCGCTTTTTCGAGATCTACAGCAGCAGCGGGACCATTATCCATGTTTGCGCTCCCTGGTTGTGAAGGGAAACAAATATGTTTCTGCTTTTCCAAATTGTAGAACCTTGTGGAAGACCTTTCAGTCTGGAATTTTCCTTTCCATAAAGGTTGTGGCGACCACTGCATCACTGGAAGAGTCACCATTTCCCACCGATCCCGGCGAGCCTTTCAATCCGGACAACATGCTCGAGGATTTGGCAAGTCCACACGACGGTGAATGGTATTTCCCGAAGCTCAAAGCTTTGACGATCAGCCACACGTCCGATGTGTCTGGAAGTGCATTACTTCGCCTGGTTGCAAACCGCATGCAGGCGAAGAATACAGATCCAGACAAAGGTGTCATTCAGCTAGAGGAAATTCGAGTGCACAGCAACACATCTTTGGATCAGTCTGATGTAGATGAGCTTCGGAAAAGCTTGTCGAACTTTGTTCAGACACGAGAGGGCCTGGATTGGGAAGAGTGCCACTCCATTGATGAGTACCACGCTATAGAGCTGGTACGTGGAATCGTCAATTCTTTCATCCTGGGACTTGCTGACGAATATCTAGACCTTTGGTGAATGATGTTATGCATATAACGCCCGCAGTTCTTTCGTACCTGGCGTACAAGTATATAGGTCCGGCTATGTATGTGCCATCATCTTGTGAATAGCTACATTCAAGTAGCGCTAGCGGCGATGTATTCGGTCAGCTGGTCCTTGGCTAAGACTCCGCAAATGAGGGGCAAAGAGCTAAGAACATAGCGGGCGCAATCAAACACATTGAGCATCAATGTTCGGCCGTCTTACCAGCACGTCCACTAACGGCTGAATACTCGACCGCGAGACGTGGAGAATACCTACTAGCGTTAGGTCGTCGACAGTGATGAACCCTGGGCCAAGACGCCACACTGGATCGCTCGTCGGAACCAGTGCGCGCTTCTGTAAGCAGTCTCGTCAGTGTGGCCGGATAACCCGCTCGAAATGGCGACAGTCTCTGACGCACCTGGCAGAGCTCTCCGAGCACCTTCGCGACCAGCTCGACCAGCCTGTCAACACTAACCGTCCGCCTGCCCGCTCGGACCGTGATCTGCTTCGTGAAAGGCTCGTATCCCGGCCACTGGCGTTGCCCAGCGTCAGCCATCAGATGCATCCACATCGTAAATTTAGCTGTGCGATGCGCACCAGAATGTGCAGGGATACCTTCGTGCTCGTCATGTCGTCTGGGAGCGCCGGAAGCGCGAGCCCCTCGAGCCCCTCCGTCTAGCCTCGCAGGATGGCCGCTAGCGATATGCCAGCGGCGCCATGTAAGCCAAAGACGGAGATGACTCGGGGTGCGAATGTTTTGTCCTTGGACGCATATATCTCTTGTGGTACCCTGACGCGTTGCGTGACAAATTTGGCATGCAGCATAGTGTGCGAGTGAGTACTGGCAAATGACGAAAATGGAAGTAGGTGTGTACCGTTGGCATAGAGAATGCGCCAGTGAGGGGGGAATACATGCTCAGCTGAGCGCTCACATCGTTCGGGTACCACGGATGACTGTCCCTCAGTCGATACATCCTCGCTTGCAGACGTCTGTATGTGTGGTTCTGGCGACATAGCAATTCTCTCGGGTCACTCCCACGAGAAGCTCGAAGGCTATCGTCGGTTGGACATATGTGGTTGACGTATGGTACGCATACGCGCTCTATCGCTGGTTATATCGCAGCGCTCATTCAGCCGTGTTCATCAACCTAGAGAAAGAATGAGGTCAGAGGTTGAACTTTACGTGTTATTACGGAACTGGCTGAACGATGTATCGCAGATCGACCGCACCTTCCCATCCATCGAACGCGCCCCGATTGAGGTGCTCAATGCCGTCTTTGACGCTGTCTTTGACGAGGGACAAAAATCGCTGGATCGATTTGCCCGAGTCCAATTCCTTCTGGCCGTCATGTCAATCTTCCTCCCATGGCGAGCGGCCGCGCGTGACATTCCTGCCCTGTGAACTACCATCTGAATCTCTGTACCCAGTACACTGCCCATCGGACTCGTGCAGCTTTCGCATACACAGCTGCTGGACGTCTACGTCGTGAAGATTGTGCGCCTTATCTCTGATGGCATGCACACCATCAACAAAGTGTTAGTGCACAAACGGGTCCCGTCACGGATCCCGGATGTGCAAGGCTCACGGTCATACATCTTCGAAACGATGCATATGCTTCAATGTCGGCCGACATCACATAGTATTCCAGCAGGGTGGAGTGATCAGTCAATAATCAACGAAGGTGTTCGTTCACTTACCTCCAACGGGCTCAGCGGGCTGCAGTTTCAAGGGGTGGAACTCTTCACTGATACGCTCTCCTCCACTTCGGGCGTTGGGAATGCACAAGAATTTGTTGCTAGATGGCTTCGTATGCAAAGTCTCCTAGAGGAGATTGAGTTCTTAGACGATTGTGATTACTCAGTGGCCGCCGCCTCACTAATCGCAGAAGACCCTAACCCCGAATCAGGATCGCGAGCGTTGCCGCCCGCGGGGCCTCACATCTTTGTCTCGTCCAGTTGCAGGCGTACTAGTACTGGCATAACGACAGTCCCGTATATTCACATCGCGACGACTGCATTTGCAAGGAATACTGCCTATCCATGTCGAAATCACAAGCAATAGTAGTGGTGTACGTGTATAGTATTCATTCTACCTGCCTCGTCTTTCTGAATCAAGGGCTTACATAGACTGAGCGACCTCACACCTTTGGATAAACTACCCATAGAGATATTCTCCCTGATTATTGAAATCGGGTTTGAGGAAATAGACATCCTCACGCGCGTGCGCTTTGTCCTGCATGCTGCATCTGTATCTCGCACCTGGCGCCAGCTCGTCTTGAGTACGCCATTGCTCTGGACCACCATCCACGTCTCTCTCCCTTACAGGCCACCTATTACGTTCCTGTCGGCCATGCTCGAACGGTCTCGCGCATTGACGCTCGACATCGATATCGATTGGGTCCATCCAGGACTTCCGCATTTGCGACGACCAGAGTTGCAATACCCTCCGGAACTCGGCGTGGACTACATCCACGGCGTCATGAGCCTGCTTACTGGGCATATTGTGCGGTGGCGGAGCCTCGATATATGTACAGACCACGATGATCCCGAGACGAACCTCTCGTCGCTTTTGATTGGGACAGCACCTGTCCTGAAGAAGTTCCGTCTGTATTGCACGGACATCTTCCCTTCCACTGAAGATGACGATGATGCAGTTGACCTTCGTCGATTCGAGGCACCCCACCTCATCTCTCTGCACTTAGAGTCATTGCCTTCTGACGAGGACTTGGCAAGGGCTATCAAGCGGTTTCCATCAGTCGCCGAAGTGACATGGGAAGAGAAGAGCGAGCCTTGGCTGCGATATGAGGGCCTGCAGCTTATGCAGATCTTTCAGCCTCTCCGTGCACTTAGACGCCTAACCCTTGGTGGACTCGACTTCGCGGATTGGAATCCGCCGAGTGACACTGCAGTTCAGGCGAGCCTGCCTACGCTTGAAGTGATCGAATTCTATGATGCCTCGTACTACATCCTTGGCGACATCCTGGAGACAATTCTGGCGCCGTGTCTACGTCAGGTCATCATCCGCGATGCTGAGCACGACGATGACCTCTCTTTCACGTTCCTCGGCTTCTGGAACCATTCGAATCGACTCCCGCGTCTGCACTCACTGGTACTCGAGGTTTCTCCCCATTCACATGACTGCATACCGGATGCAGGCGCATTATGGGCGGTGTTTGGCTTCTTCCACTCTATTCGTATTGTGACTAGCACCATTGGGAGCTACAGTCCGGACGTGTTGTTGGATACCTTGTCAACTCCCAAAAAGGACGGTTGGCAGTTCCCAATGCTGAAGGCGTTGACGGTCCATTACACGTCCGAGATCATGGTGGAATCGTTGCATCGACTTGTGCGCAACAGAAACCAGGCTGAGATCTCAGTTTCGGGTGAGGGTGTCATGCGCCTGGAGACGCTCGCAGTGCACAGCCCTATGCCGATTAGTCAGTCCGACCTCGTCGACTTCACGCAGAATGTATCCAAGTTCACGTGGGCGCCGACAAAGCCGGACTGGGATATCAACAAGGACCACTTTCCAGACCAGTATTGTGCTATGGAACTGGTACGTGCACTACTAAATTGTCTATTTCTAGAGATATATGTAACCAATGACCATGTTCAGGTAAATCATACTGAGCAATGACGAATTCAGAGGAGTTGTTACATTAGGTTTTGCTTCCACTAAGCGGTGGTGCATGCTGCCTGTTCTTTTGAAATGCTGTCACAATAGCGTCACGAGCTGTGTAGACTGGCAGACTGCCGCTCAGATCACGCTGTAACCTTGTTCGTCGCTATCGTTTCCATTGTCGCGGCGATTGTCATCGCCTCTGTGAAAATATATGTTCGCGTGGAGCTCTTGATAGACATACTGTCACAATCGACTCCCAACCTACACTGCAGTCAACAAGCGACCGAATCTCTGAGACATGGCTTCTGAGGTAAGTAGTCCTTCAGCGATGGCATCAGACATGCCTACCTATTTTTGATTCAAGAATAATGGGCTCGTACCTGCCGCTGACCGCATACCCTTCGACATGTTGCAACTCATATTCGAGGAAGCGGTGGAATCATCCGATCCCCGCACACGAATGCGATTCTCTCTAGCTGTCGCGTCAGTTTCGCGTACATGGCGAGCCACTGCTCACAATGTCGCGGTCATGTGGACGACTATCTATATCTCGTATCTCACTCCGCCTCCGATCGAAGTCATCCGACAGATGCTGCAGCGTTCGCAAGCACGGCCCCTCGAAGTATACGTCGATTGGGTCTTGAACCAGGCTCCTTCGCATGACGAGCCAGGGGTCTATTGGAAGCCAAGAGTCGCCCTCGCACACTCGGCAGGGCCTCACAACATGTCGTATATTTCAAAAGCGATTCATCTGCTCACCGACCATGTACGAAGGTGGAGAACAGCCGACGTTATGTGGACCGGACCTCGTAAATGTTCGTTCGCAGCCGTGGACGAGATCTTCCGTCCCCTGTCCCTCGCAAAGGCCGACCAGATGGAGCAGCTACGTCTCTCCGGGTTGAATCTCTTCCATTATACTTTCCATGCCCCTCGTCTTCGCACTCTCACACTATACGCAGACGAGTGGCTATCATACGACTACATGCAGAGGGTGGCAGAGTCGTGTCCTGCGCTTGAGGGCTTCACATGCCACGAAGAAACATGGGATGTCGCCCTCCTTTTCCCAGCGGATTTATGGTGCCTCTGGCAGGACGGCTACGTCGACTCAAGCTCGTCGGGTGGGCGACTACCTGGCAGGGCTCTACCGGCGCGGTACTGTTGTTCCCCGTGTTGATGGAGCTCGAGGTCGAATGCATGCCTGCTAACTACTCCATCCGTCATGTACTCGAAGGCATTACCGCTCCTCAGCTGCGACGGCTTGCCGTTGAATCATGTTACCCGTACGTCCACCACGCAAGCCTCACACAATACTGCGACCGCTTCCCACTCTTGCAGCATCTCCGATACCGAATCACCCTCTACTCTGAGGGCTTCAACAACGTGGCCGAGTGTCGGTTGTTCTGTCTCTTCTGCGACTTCTTTCGATTGATTGAAGTCGTGATAAATAAGGGTTTGGATGGTGTGTTGTCGACCTTGCTTAGCGCGTTAGACTTTGGCATACAACGCAAGTCGTATTTCCAAGACCTAACGACGATCCTGTTCTGTTGGGACGACGATGGTGATATCAACCAAGAGCTCGTTCCTGTAATACGCGAGTTGGTGCGAAACTGCATGTCTCCGGGCTCCAAGTATGTGAGGAAAGTACACGGGGACGATGAACTCACACAGGATGAATTTCAATGGCTTCAGGAGAACGTACGCGAGTGGAACGAGCAGGCCGCCGAGCATTCTGTGGGTGAGGGCCAGATACTTCTTGCGCTACAGTCAGTCCCTCCAGCTTGCCGAGGTAACAGCTTGCACTGATAGTAGATCTTTTAGATCCTTAACCCGTACAGCGCATGATCATGATTTACCCTCAATTGGAATGTAGGGCTTGGGGCATACTGTGTCTGTTCAATGCATTACGACGATTAGTTTTACACCCATCTGTCTCGATTCCGCAGCACTTTTTTGCGGTGGGAAGGGGAGGGCGGGCATGGAACATCTGGGTGCCAGACAATGTGACAACCGTATAGCGCGAGCGTATCAAATCTATACAAGGTGTGATGCACGACCGCTCCATCGCCCCTACCACTACGCACAGCGTGTCCCGCCTGTAGTTATCATTCAGATAACACTGCTTGGCCTCTGATTCAGTGGGCGCAGTATTCGAATGGGAAGTAACAGGCTGTCTGAATCATAATATATAATACACTTCCCTAGCTTCCGGATTAAGCGAGATAGCGGTACTACGCTCAGGCTCCTTCCCGCCGCTGTGGGAGTTATAGGGGCTCAATCCGACAAATTTGACGCAAGCTAAGTCCTGCAAGCCCATCTGCCACACTTGCGCCACAATCCGGCTACATCCGAGGCTAAATCAAACTCCGAATCCCAACCTTAAACCCCCATAACTCCCTACAGCGGCTGGCACAAAACATCTACAAACAGCGGAGGAGCGGCGCATGTCATCTCGATTAGGAAGGCAGGATAATGGCCATCATTACATAATTATCTCGGTCCCGTGTACAGTAGCGCTTCTCGCGTCCTAAGGCGCGTCGTGTCTCGTCGTCCTTGGTGCAGTTTTGTGACCAATAACTATAGCTTTCACACCGCTAATGAATTTTCTACATCTGGCTTTCACACAAAGGATCACATCCCTGTCGAGCTCAATCTGACTGATGAAGGCGTCATGCAACAGTGAACACCCCTTCGTTGAAGAACTCATCCTCGGCCTGGCTGGCACTTCAGCGCTCTCAATGCATTTGCGACCCAGGTTTTCGACTGTCACATTGAAGATATGGCTTCCAAGATGGAAAGTGTTGCGAGCAATGGGCTTTCTGCGCATTGCTGTTATGCTTACTTAGGGGGGATTGCAATGATCTCAATTGATGCAATCAAAATGTTTTGATGACATTTATCATATCCGGGAATCAATCCTGCCTCATATGGGATGTGCGTCGCCGGTCCTCCGCTGTTTGTAGATGTTTTGTGCCAGCCGCTGTAGGGAGTTATAGGGGATTAAGGTTCAAATGGGATATCACATGATATGCACGTGATGAGATGGCACATGATCTGTGGCAAGACTTCTATTCTCGGATACACAAGATAAAACATTGAGTACGCTATTCGGATGAAGTCCCCTATAACTCCCACAGCGGCGGGAAGGAGCCTGTACTACGCTGAGACTTGAGCCTGACGACGAACCAGAGCTCGCCGACGTTAGAATTGAATGTTGTCATTTAGATGCAAACCCTAACCATACCTTAAGGGTTGCGACCTGCTGGCGGACGTCCGACGAATGACGCTTTCGCTCAACACATCGCACGCTGACAGCCCCATAATATTTCGCTCTTTGCATACGACCCAGCTTTACTTATTGAATTACAAGTCTTGGCTATGGCATCCGGGAAGCTGCGTATCGCATTCATTCATCCAGACCTGGGCATCGGTACGGCAGCAATGACATAAGTCCATGGCGACGTGCTCACAATCCGGTGCCTCAGGCGGAGCTGAACGCCTAGTCGTCGATGCCGCCCTTGGACTACAACAGCTAGGTCACGAAGTTGATATTTACACTTCGCATCACGATCCGGAACACTGTTTCGACGAAACGCGGGATGGTATGTTGTGGTCAACTTGACGCGTTGCCGTCTGCTAAGTGCGCGAGTCGACAGGCACCCTGCGCGTACACAACATCGTACCCCCATTCCCACGTTCGTACAAGGGAAAGTTCCACATCTTGTTCTCGCATGCCCGCCAGCTGCACCTGACAAGCCACCTGCTGCGACCACGGGCACCTACGTACGACGTATACTTTGTGGACCAGCTGTCGACGTGTGTGCCATTGCTGCGCGTATTCGGACACACACGGGTCGTGTTCTACTGCCACTTCCCGGACAAGCTTCTCGCCGACGGAGCGTTCGTCGAAAGGAGAGTGACGAGACGAGGAGGTGTGCTGAAGAGTATCTATCGTCTTCCTATGGACTGGCTGGAGGAGGTCACCACAAGTGAGTGGACATGTTGACTCTCTCCGCGTAGTGATTTTTAGTAGGGTCGCGTAGGACAGGCTGATATTATTCTCGCCAACTCGAAGTTCACTGCACGCATCTTCAAAGCCCACTTCCCGTCGATCTCGTCGACGCCGAAGGTCGTGTATCCTGGGATTAATCTGGCAGCATACGAAACCAAGGAGGTCGATGGGCAGGATCCCGACGTTCTGCAGGTCACGTCGTACGTCAGATTTCATCCCCGCCCCCCGCGCTGCATTGACCAGAACCCAGGACAGGGACCGCCCAACACTTCTGTCCTTGAACCGATTTGAAGGGAAGAAAAACGCTGCGCTAGCCGTAAACGCGTTTGCCCGCCTTCGCAAGAACTTGGCGACAGGCTCTCCAGGAAACATGCGTTTGGTCATAGCGGGTGAGTCCCACGCATGCGTCACCATTATGATGCCTGACATGCTTCCAGGTGGATACGACCCGAGGCTAGAGGATAACATGATGACGCTCGTCGGGCTCATCGACGGAGCAAAGGCACACACACTCACCTTCAACATCCTCACACCGTCCACCTCACACGTCACCATCCCGCCCTTCGACCTCACTCCGACAGATCCCGACGTCCTCTTCCTCCTCAACTTCACCACCGCACAGCGCTCCGCACTCCTCTCTGCGTCCTCCACGCTCGCGCTGCTCTATACTCCCACGAATGAGCATTTCGGCATCGGCCCGGTCGAGGCGATGGTCTGCGGCCTCCCCGTCCTCGCGTGCAACTCCGGCGGGCCGACAGAGAGCGTCGTCGACGCGCCACCGGACGAGCGCACGGGCTGGCTGCGCCCGCCAGATGCAGAAAAGTGGGCAGACGCTCTCCGCGAGATCATGGCGCTCTCGGATGGGGAGCGCGAGGCGCTTGGGGAGCGGGCTCGTCGAAGGGCGCAGGAGCACTTTGGCATGGAGGCGATGGCACAGGGCCTCGAAGGCGCGCTACAGGAGGGTGTAGCGATGGGGCCTGTCATGGCGTCGTCGGCGCTTATGGTCTTTTGGGCGATACTTGCGGTGCTTGCTGCCTTCCTCGTCAGACTTATCTCTTGATGCAATCATATTCCTGTATATTATTCTTTCATGTTATGCCAAATCTAAGGTACCTTATTGCTGTCAGGCATACACATAATCCATATCACGTCGACTCTGCGATGAAATGGTGTATGATACAGCCAGCTACATTTTACTTTTGGCAGTGTATGATATACAACAACAAGACGGCGACCAATCCGAGAAAGAACATATGAAATGTGGAACAAAGCAATGGGTGCAAGAGACAAAATGTGGGAAGACGGATGGCGAGCAACATCACAACAACTCAAATACACAATCGACGAAAAACACCTGCAAATAACGTAGGATACAATCGAGGGCATGATACAGAAACAAACGTAAATCGTGACGGGCATAGCGGTCATGACGTATCTTCGCCACCTACAAATAGTCATTCTTCGCTCGATCCAGACTCGACGGTAGTCGCCCGCGAAGACGGTGGCCGGGACGTTGCCCGCGATGTTGCCCTCGACGTAACCCGCGATCGCGTCCTCCGCCTCGTGCGAGTCCCCGCCTCAGCCTCGGCCTCGCGTGCCTCCTGCTCCTGGATCTCTCGCTCGCTCATCGGGTATCGCCGCAGGCACTTGAGCTCGAATATGCACGGGAGCGCGCCACGGCACAGCTCCTTGACGAACCCCTCGTTCGCGACAATTCCGCCGAACATCGTGTCCTGGCCCAGCCAGTCGAAGCGCAGGAGCGTCTGCGGGAGGCGCCCGCCCGGGACGCCGTGGGCAGTAGAGCGGTTGTGGTAGAATGCCTCGGAGAGTATGCGCTTCTGCGACTCCGGAGCGAGGTCAAACTGTCGCTGCGAGACACGCCCGTTCATGTACGCGTGGACGGCCTCGATCACATCCCCACAGGTCACACCGAGGAGCGGGTCCGACGCAGGCACTTCGATTGGCCAAGGGATCGACCGTGACATGAGCCGCAGTGAAGTCACGCGCGGCCAGGTCGCTGGTGCACTTCTGCCGTTCGACCACGAGCGATGTGGTGGATCGGACGAGCGTACACATTGCGCTGTCGAGAAGAGCATATTCCATTTGATGTAATCACGGTCCTCTGCGTCCGGGGGAGGCATGAGCAGCGGATTGACCTCTACACGGGCCTTCACTTTTTTGACTAGCATGGGGTCAAGGACCGGACCGTCTGCGCAGCGATGCAACTATTAGCAGAAGTGCCTGCGGGGAGTGCGCAATCACGTACAATGTGGGCCCTCAGCAAACCGATCGACCTTATCCACCTCGATCGCATCATGTGGTCGGACAATCCTTGGCGGAGGTGCCGCCGCCGGTGGTGGAGCTTGTTGGGGTGGCTGCTGTGGCATCCCTTGCGGAGGGAGCCCCGTCTGAACATACGGAGTGGTAGGCCAACCTCCAGGCACCGCGCCGGGCATTGCGTATGGCGTGAACATCTGCATCATTTGCGGCTGCATCATTTGCGACTGCATCATTTGCGGCCACATATGTGGCATAGCACCAGGTGGGTAGCCCTGCGGTAGTGGTTGTTGAAATGCATTGTACGCCGTGCCGGGTGCCGTGTAAGGTGTCTGGGGATGAGAAGATTGAGGGGAAACGTGTGAGGGATGGGCATAGGGTGAGCCGACGACGACGCCGCCCGTGGGAAAGCCAGTCCAGTCTGCAGGCATGCCGCCATTGCCTACGGGAGCCATGGGTGAGCCACCACCCTGTGGCGGGAGCGCAACTGGCGGGATGAAGTAGGACCCCGGCGGCCCGCCCATTGGGCCGACGAAGGGCGAAAGGTATTGACCGGGCTGCACCCATGGTGGAGCCCCACCTTGTTGTTGGGGAGACATTGGGATGACGGGAGGGCGTCCTGGAGAAGCTACACCTTGGGACCCGGGTGCGGGAGGAACGACAGGGCTATACTGCATTCCTGCCATAAGAGCTGCCGTCGCAGACCTGTACGCAGAGCTCAGGCGCACGCAGAGAAGGTGGTCAGGATGTGTCACACCTAGGCAGGGTAGCTGTGCGCGACGCTAGATCCTCCCGACCTGAGGCTATGTGTGAGTCTGACTCGAATTGAACGCGATACGAATGCTGATTAGATCACACAAGAACAGCAGCGAAAGGCCTGGCAGCTACGGCGTGTCTAGAGGGAGAGAGCGGTACAAAAACAGCCAACCGCAAAGCCAACACGCCGCAGCAGATCCTGAGTAGCTCCGGAGGACTGAAGAGCGAGAATGGCGTGTGCAGCAGGATCTGACAAGTCGCTGACGGAGGCGCTGAGCATTCCGCCTCGCGGACCCCGGGTTGGCATGCAGTGCGAGCATGGCCCACGCAGCCAGTCGATGGGCGGGCACGAGCAGACCGGCCAGCACAAAACATGGGGAGAAATCGCATGACATTGGAAGACCTCAAGGAGATGGCAGTCGCCGGTGTACGACCACTATCTGGAATACTGGTAGCCAGCAAGCCGCGTAGAGAGCGGCGGTCTCGGGGTCTCCACCCGGCTGCTGCCTCATGGACATTGCATGGCCGGCTGCAGCAACTGCCCTCCCTTCTGGATCTTCGAGACTGACGCGATAGGTCGGCTTCTGTACTCCAGTGTTTGTAGACGCAATCTCCATCTTGAGACCCGGAAACGGCTGAACGCACCATGATGCGACGACCGCGTTACCGCACGTGTTCGTCGAGGGCGGTAGTTGCGAACAGTCAGGGGTGTAGTCGGGAATGGAGGCCCATATGGGTAGAGCCCAACCCAGGAATACAGAGGGTTAATAGACCCGGAAATATTGAGATATAATATCGGGAATATGGGAGGATATTCGCTTCGTCTCAAGCTCTAGCAGAGGCCTGAGCAGATGAACGTAGAGAGGAAGAAATTGATTGCCTATGGCTTGCGAGTGTCCCTTATATATGCATAAGAGCGCAAGCAACGTCATGACAGGGGACGAAACAGAAGCATCACTACGCAACTGTACAAAAAAGGAAACCCTCCTTCCATATCGGGTCGGGAGCGAAGGAACCAGTGTCCAATTACCCGCCTTCATCAACTTTTTGTTAGTGCTTAAAGACTGAGATATGAATCATAATATTACGCCCGTTCATTTGTGGTAGGCACTCTGTGACTTTCTGCACGACGAGTGGGAGTGACGTCATCCTACAAGCTCGTGTCGAGAAGGTTAGCTACTTACTTGAATGAGTAACTTAATATACAGAATACTTTCGATGCCACTTACTGAGGTCCATGCAGACGGCGGTCCAAGCGTAAGCATGGTTGCAAACTCCATATAAAAGCGACGACGTTGATGTGGAGGAACCCGGGAGCTCTTCGCATCCAAGTCCACCGGGCACACTCGTGGTCCCCATACATAGCCTAGAATATCACGGAGGCAATCATTCCTCCTCGACGGTCTTCAATCAATGGATCTGCACAGCTTGTACGAAGTTAAACTCTGCACCGGCGAACGCTCGGGGATCCCAATGGCGGCATCGGGCTTCATCAAAGCAGCATCTCTCCGGAAGACCGAGATTCTCGGCTTGAGAACATCGGGGTGTGGTGAATTTGACCTCTGACCGACCGACTAGGAACACCGACGCTGGCCTCGGGGATCTCGATCGTTCGGCAATCGACACTTGTTATTGTGTTCGACTGTGTGTAATGCACCCGGGTGTACCTGGCACCTATATGTATCATTAGTAGATGCCAACGTGGACATCTTACCCACCATCGTGGAGGAGGTAGTACAATTCGGGCCCGTCAATGTAACATCGGCTCAACGTAAATCACGCCGACTGTTGATCGCTTGTCTATGCTAAAAGCCTGCAGGGGACATCGAACACATGTCATCAACTTTGGTAGATAAACAACGTGCTCTAGAGATTACCTTTTGACACCCATTCCTGCATGAGGCTTGGAGGCGTTTGACAATAAGCAAGTTAAGCGCCCATATCTTGACAGCGCCTACCGAGTATCATGCACAGCCACCGACTTCGTATCTGTGCTCAACAGCTACCACTCGGCCTGGCACCAACGACACAGCTTTTTTATCCTCCTGTGGCGCGATATAAACTGTTGTCTACTTCTCAGATGCCAGTGAAGATTAAAAGATTGCTGACGTAGCGGACCGCATATAGTGCGTGCTTTAGTTTTGCTAATTCCGGTTGAGCGCGTTGTCCTGTGCCGAATATTACATGCATGCACATACGGTGTTGGGGCTGTGCAGGGTGGATGCCCAATGGGCTTTTCTTTCCTTGGGCTGGTAGGATGGGGAGGCCGGACGAGGGCGTAACAAGGAGCCTAGTGCGTAATTGACCCAGCATACTGATCCAGACCTGGACACCTGATTCAAGCGTCTGCGAGAACCCTCGGCAACGGTGGAATACGTTGTTGAACAAGCTCGATATTGATATCTCTTTTTATAGCGTCAACAACGAAGACTAGTGATTGTCCCGTTCATCACGCGGTCTATGGTATAGCAGTAACGCAGACTTGCCTTAATCCAGCGGTTCAAGCTCCTCCTCCTCGAGTACCCATGACATCTCCGTCAATGGCCACTTCGTTGAGCCAGATATTTAGGCAGGAACGTGGCAAAAGTTCGGAAGATCCCAACATTGTCGTATGACGAGAGCATGCAATATCAGGCACGGGGCTCATGTGTCGTAATTCCCCGTAAGTGATCTTGGCGACGTTGATCAATTTGGCATGAGCGTTTGGTGCCGCATTCCTCCTGCTTGGCTCCTCCCCTTGGTGTATTTAAAGACAGGGCTGGCAGCCCAGGGGGCCCGTGTGTGCCTGGACATAAGCTCTAGTGCGTAGTATGACGCTCCTCACAGGCGCTATCGACGGGATGCGTAATCGGCGGTTTCGCCGCCGCAGTGACGACGAAGGCCATCAGAAGTCCAATCCTATCAATTCATGTCGTAACCCGCAATATTAATTTCTGACCTCTCGGCTGGTCTGAGCCCCAACATGCTGCCGAGCATACCACGTCAACGCTGTGATCATGATCCGACATCCTCGCGGTATAGCGTGAAGCTACGCTTTATGCCCACCTGGGGCTGTCAGGTGCGCATTGTTCGCGTTGTTCGACACTTCACTTGCGGGGCAGTGTAACAACTCAACAGCTGCTACGTCCCCATCTAGGGCTTGCTGGCGACTAATTGGCTGCTGCTGCGGGAAGCTCCGCCATAACTTGGAAGACAACCTGCTCATAAGTCACTGGTGTCTAGACAGAGGGTTCCACGCTCGCGGATACTTTGCGTGGGAGGTCATACCAGCCCTGTGTCCCACAACTGTCTAAGGCCGGCTATATACATTCGATCATCACCGGAATCGACGATGTTGTCTCCTTGCGTCAAATCGAATGCATATAGCTATTTTGAAATAGATGTTGAAGCAGGGGCATGCTCGTGGGTTCTGGTGACTGGCAGATCCGTTGTGAACTTTGTACGTCTTCTCATACGTAATTGATATTCGAAGAGACTGATGCACTTTACCAGATAGCGACTTCCCATGTAATCTGGGATGATAAGCAAGCGAGAAAGAGTCGTTGCGCTGATGTTTTGTTTGACTCAATTAATTGACCCTCTTGACTTCACAGGTCATCCGTGCCTATACGAGCCTAGGCATGCCTAGCCCAATCCATTTCAATATTGACGTACTGCCCCAGAAGGCATTCAAGTGTCGCAGGTGTAGCCTCATGAGACCAAGGACCTTAAACTGTCCTTCGACGGTATGTCATACATGCACCAACACGTCTATAGCAAGCGTTCTTACTGTCAAACGACTGTCCCCGTTCAGGGGCGTCGAGTGGAACCCGTGCTCTGATCCGCTGTGTAACGGATCTGTCGGTTTGTCCCAGCATTTGTTGACTTAGTTCTCGCACATTTTGCTTTTTGGTGCAGTTACTGCGAGTCCGTCATCCGACTTTATCGCCCCTTTCTATTGCAAGACGTCGATCTCTGTTGTTCTCCCATGCATGCTCATGATTAGCAAACGTGGGGACGAATCGATGATTAGAACGGGCGGCGCCAACTCAAGGCTGACTATGTTCCCGTATCTCGCGGAACGGCCAGACCATCAATGAACTGCGCACCCACCATTTTCATTGCCGATTGATACACACATCAATTTATATGCGGACGCCCCGACAATGTTTGTGCATTCGCGGCCGCCAGTGGCACCCTTCTCGCGGCTGCATGTGAACAAAAACTCCGGATGTTTTAAACCAAATGACAGCGTCAATCTGAATCATGATGCGGCTGCTTGCGTAACATCAGATTTAGCCCGCATCTTTCGTTTGCACGCACGAGCAATATTATCTGACAGGCTTAAGCATCGGAGCACGCGCTCTTCCCGCTGACGAACTGGTTAGCTCTTCACGTGCTTGCATCACTGCGATACTACCTCTAGTGTCTTTCTACCATTTCAGCAATGCGTCGTCCATCAGTATCCTTCAGACACCAGACACAATGCCACTTCCCATGGGCAATTCTAGAGTGTCTTATACACACACAATGCTCTCAGGATGATTGATAGTTTGAGGACGACCTTCAGAATCATCACACATCCGAAGCCCGATTATAATCCCAATGTCGAAGCAAATCTGGTCCGTTGCCACTTGTTCCACCACGACCATACTTATTTATAGGCAGACCATCTCATATCACACAGATGTTAATCTGGTGGCCTGGAACGGGCTTAGGGGGAAAGCTTGTGCAGTGTACAACTGCTCACTGTCCAGCATGCTCCCTTCAACATGCAGTGCCTCACGTCGGATCTCGATCACAACTTAGATGAAGCCTGAGGCTGCTGCGGACAATGCATCAATCCGCGCTCCACTGTGGAGAGATTTCGGTTTTCGTAAAGTATGCGTTGTGGGTATGGTCCCGTCTAACTTTGGTGACGTGTAACATATACTTCTCGCTATCACGAACAGCTCGAGCTGTTGCATCGCACGAAGCAAGCGACCCGTCCGGCTTATCGGGAAACAAGATCTCCACGATCAGAGACGCCCATACAAGCCGTGTGTAAATTTCGATTCCGTTCCGGGATTCTGATCCATAACGGCGACAAGATTTCTTGCACTTCCGTCTTGTCGGACCTCCATGATGCGTCAGAAAGGCGCCACGTGGCGCGTTCGTCCTCATGCAGTGATAATCCAACAATCATCTACAAGCTAACACATCTGTTCTTACGGAAGCCTCGCCACGACGCAAACACTATGAGCTTCCTAGAACTATTTTCCCCCGGAGATCGGCATTCCAGCTACAAGAACCGCATGTCCGTTTGGAACAACTTATCCTGCTCTCCAGTCGTTCTCACAAGCGTGTTGTAATGTCATCAGCACGAGATTACTCGGTCCCAGTGACACCCTTCAACCTCTCGTATCAGAATGGTACGTTTTCCCACCCTTGTTCTCTTCCGCTTATGCTTAGCTGCCAATTACACACGTTATCACCCTAAGTTGTTCAAGTCAAGCAGGGCCGTGTCATGCCTACCTGCAGAGCTTGGGATGCAGATTGCGTAGCCAACCCTTGCGATCCGAAGATGTGTAACTCGATTGCCGAATTGAGTTGCAAGATGATCTCCCACCATTTGCCGATCGACCATTTTCACAGGAGACGCGGAGCCTCGATGTCGCAGAACTCAATGCCATCTTCTCGTGGCCAATTGCCTTCTGATTGATGCGCGCTGGGCTCCTAGCAGCTCCGTGTGATAGATCATTCGAAGTCAGGCGCGCTTGTCGCACCAGAACCCGGGGGGTGTCACTGTCCCAGACAAGCTGTTGGACCGTGGGCGGCACGATAAAACGATCTTTAATCGGAGAGTTCTCTTCCGCCCCCTCTTGAGAAGTCCACTCCGCGCTTCTTGCTATCCACCACCCGCAATGGCTACCACGGCTGATTCTGCAGGCCCAGCACGGACTCAGTCGGCGTCCACGTACTCAGAGGACCAGCTCCCTGAATTCACACCTATGCCATGGTACGTCAAGATTCTCACAACTTCATGAACAGCTCTCATGCGCTGGCACAGGACTCTGAGTGAGATTCGCGCTGCTATCCCTGCACATCTCCACGCGCGCCAGACGTGGAAGGGGATGCTCTACCTCTTGCGTGACATCCTAATGGCAGCCATTGTATGGAAGCTCGCGCTCTACATCGATCCTTCGTTCAAGAGTGAGACTGCCGTGCGAACGTTGACGCCGGTAGGAGCGGAAGCCGCACGCTGGGGCGCCTGGCTTGTTTAGTATGTGATCTTACTAGTGTAGTCAGGCGCTGCGACTCACAGCAACCTAAGTTGGTGGTTCCAGGGTCTGATCTTCACAGGGATCTGGGTGATCGGGCACGAGGTGGGTACTTGACAGTACGCAACCTTACTTGACCCCTTCGCTTATATCAGTCTTAGTGCGGTCACGGCGCATTCTCGTCCAACAAGCGTATTTGCGATATCATTGGATTTGTGAGTAGCACGTCGAAGTCAAGCGGGGTTCACGTCGGTGGCTGATATCTACATTGAATAGATTACGCACACGTTCCTGTGGACACCCTACTTCAGCTGGCAGATCTCTCATCATCGTCATCACAGCAATCATGCGTCCATGGAGCGCGACGAGGTATATGTGCCCAAGACACGCGCCGACCTGGGCATCCCTAAGGAGAGTGAGGGTGCAATCGACTATGAGGATTACCTCGGCGATACACCAATCTACACGTTGTTTGCGCTTATCCGACAACAGGTTTTGGCCTTCCCGGCATATCTTCGTAAGTTTGCTTCTTCGTATTAACAATGGTTAGATTCACAGCAGGCTGTTAGTATTCAACGTCTCAGGGCAGAAGAACTACCCGAAATGGACCAATCACTTCGATCGTACGTAAGCGCCGTGTCGAGGCATGACCCACGTCCTAATCTCGTTCACAGCCAATTCTATTCTTTTCACGAAGAGGCAGCGCAATGCCGTCATCATGTCGAATATCGGCATCGCTACTATGGTCTACATTGTGCTCGAGGCCAGTCGCACCTGGGGCGCGAGTGAGATCATGAAGTACTATGGCATCCCATGGCTGTCGGTCACTCACTGGTAAATTATATCTGTCGTGACGTTTATATGATGAGGTTAATCAGGCGACTAGGTTCATCATGATCACTTACCTTCACCACACGGACGTCGAACTCCCTCACTACCGCAACGGACAGTGGAACTTCCAGCGGGGCGCTGCGGCGACTGTAGATCGTAATTTCCTCGGCTGGCAAGGGCGCTTCTTCCTGCACGATGTCGCCCACTTCCACGTCATTCATCACTTTTTCCCTATGATGCCCTTCTGTGAGTGTCTTGCTTTGAAATGCGGTGCGCCTGTCAGGCTGACGATGTGCGGCAGACCACGGGCCTGAGGCAACGAAATATCTCAAGGAGTTCATTGGCGACCACTATCGGTATTCTGATAAGCCCGTGTTCAAGGCGCTCTGGGACACGTACAACAATTGCCAATTTGTCGAAGATGAGGGTGCGTCATCTCCTGAATTTGGTAAAGCCGGTGCTGATCCTGCGCCCGTATAGGTGACATTCTCTTCTACCGTGACCGCAAGGGCCAGGCGCGCGTACGCCCCGCTGAGCCCTTCAGGGAATCCACTATATCAGCGAGCGTGTCTCGTTGATCTTCAAACCACCGTATACAGTTCAGAAGTGTATCATCGCCGGATTGCCCTGGCGCCCTTGCTTCTACACTGTTCATCTATCGTTCACGCTGTCTTACCACGCTATGTTCTGTGTTTCGGTAGCCTGTCGGCATTACTTGTTCCAACACTGATGTCTCCTTAGAACCCCTCTCCCCCCTTGTAACCGCAGCATGATGTTGTATGCCTTGTAATCGAGGCATCTTTTGTACTGGTATGGGTCAGATAATCAGTGTTGTTGTACGACCATCACCGTAATGCCATTTTCACGATTCCATGATCTCACTTCTCTATTCAGTCTCCTAGACTATCTGCGTCTCATATCATGATGTAATCTGTCGCTACTGGTAATGCATCGAGACGAGGTCCCATCACTCTGGTTATTCAAAAGGAAGAGATCGGTGTACAATCTGGCGATGTCACAGTATGTGTGCGCAAGCGTGAAGGAGGGCTGAAAATGCAGCTGCTCTCATTGGCGACATCTTGCCATTATCGAAAATTCAGCAAACACCACTAGCGGCGAAACCCCACATCCCGGCCCGGGCGTTTACTTCTTCCAATGCGCTGTGTAGATCACCCCAAGCCTCGAGGCAGTCTCAGATCAGCCATGTGTCCGGACGGTGACACGGACAATCCACGCCACCACATGGGCATCCCGCGAATGGGTGATCAGAAGTATGTTGCTGGCACCGCATGTTGGCGGCTAGCAAAATTACGAGAGCTCCCTGTCCGTCCGTCGCGTCGCGTCGCGCGCGACGGCTACACTGCCGCGGCATAGTTAGAGCCCGGCAGCTCGTGTTTATTAAGGGACTCGATCAGAACCACCGGATGGAGAGCGGAGGGAAAACCCAGGCACCAGCGCAGCAGGGAAGATGATCTGATGCGCAGCAAAAATACAACATTGGCGGTAATCAGCGGAGGACGAGTAGCGTTAAGTGGATACGTCAAAACAGTGGAAGTGAGGCGGATAGCACGGTTGATAGACACCAGAAGACGAACAAAGATCAGGGAATAAAGTACAGACAGGCAGTCAGCAGGCCCGCGATAGTCTGGGAGCCATCAGTAGTACTGGCTGAGGGAAAGAACGAAGATGTTCGGCGCAGAATAGCCCAATCGCTGTTTCACGTATGAGTCTCGCTTATGGAGCTTCTCGAAGTACTGCCTCTCGCGGAGCCAATCTATGGAACCAAGTATCAGCAGCGTGTAGAGATGGTGCACCGGCAACAGAGAGGAGGAAGAACATGATGGACACACCTGCGCGCTTTAGACGGGGCACAGCAGTGGGCGCTGGGGAGTAGTAGGCGGACCACCCGGAACTTGCTGTACCGGATGCAAACCGCTTGATCTGATCCTGGACGCGCGGAGGGAGCACCTCAAGCTCCTTGTCAGTGACAGCGTTGTCCGTGTAGCTGTCGTGGGGGGTAAGCGCGCTCTGTATTGTGCGCTGCTCGCAGATACTCACTCTCGCCAGAGCGTTGTGCAGACATCGCTCAGTGTAACACCTTGTGGGTTCTTCACGATAGTACACCACGGGCTCAAATCTGTGACTATGATGAGCTGATCGACACGCGGCAGTGTCGCTGGCTCGTCTTTCGCGGTGAAGGGGATGTCTCGATCGCGTGCGTCCGCGCTATAGCCTGTCGTCGAACCTGTGCGGGGCGAGATGATTGAAACCCTACATCACACCAGACGGACAGCTGATCGGAACTCACCAGTCACAATGTTGAAGATGAGTTGAAATCCACCGTCTGTAGCGGAGAGGATAGGATGCAGCTCGAGGTCAACGCCGTCTAACATGTACAGATCCGTCTGTGTAAGTACGGGTCCGTCTGTTTTGATGCACCATGATCATTCAGTACCAGCCCCGGAAAACCTGTTCGTGACATACATGAGTTCCCCACTGCCCATTTTCCAACGCTGTCTGTCATGGCGGCTGCAGCTCTAGCAGTAGTCACAGGCGTCCAAGGTATAGGGCGCTGAGTCCGCGACTTAGATGAGAGTCTGCGGATAAGCGAGGGTATGAAGGTCGACAGTTCCACAAGTATGTATAAGCGGATATAATGCCTGCAGAAAACCACAAGCCGCTGTACTATAACGAGGCTGTATCGAGCAGAGAACAGGAATGGAGTCAGGTGGCCTCGAGGCCGTGCGCGGGGCAGTGGCGCCTACATATCAGATTGCACACCGCTAGGACCGTCCGAGCCAGTACGATTTTGTCGCAGTAGCTCGCAAGCCTCGCGAAGTTAGATACTTGTCAAGAAAGACGTTTGGGCAGCAGAATGGTCGTAGTACATTTTACAAAGTCAAGCCAGCAAATGCTTCAACACCGCGCCAGCAATTATCACCCGCATAGATTAGATTAGATGTTCTGTAGTGATCGGGTCTGCTCAGTGCTCAGTGCCTACCACCATCTCGCCGCGAGGCTCGCTTTACAACCCCCATCTATATTCTGCAGTATGGCACCCAAAGGAGGAAACGCTAAGAAGGAGTCAGGCAAGGCAAAGAAGGCCGATAACGAGGCCAAGAAGGCAGCAGCCGCAGACGCAGAAAGGGTATGCAGATTTCAAGTCAACGCATCTAGCAAAACTCACTCGACTGGGCTTCCTGGTGATATAGGAAAGACAAGAGGCATCTAAGTGGCAGGACGGTGGGAAGGCTAGCAAATCTTCCAAGGAGGAGAAGGAGGAGAAGCGGCGCGCCGAGCTCGCCCGCAAAGCTGAAACTGCCCGCCTCCTGGCTGAGGAGGAGGCGTCTGCCCCGTCTAAGCCCAAGCCCGCCCCGAAGGCGGGCGCGAAGAAAGCAGCGGCGAAGAACGTCAAGCCCGCCGGTCCTGGCGCCATCGCTGCGGGCGGCGGCCTTGGATCGGAGTCGCCCAAGGAGAAGGAGGAGAGACCGGAGGAGCCGCAAGAATTTGCTGCGACTGGCATTGACAATGCCATCGATCTTCTTGAGGTAGTTACGGCGAAGATGGACAAGGCTAGTGTCGGCACGCAGGCTGCTGGGCTGGAGAGACACCCAGAGGTACAGCATGATCTCATCGAATCGCTGACCAGCGCAACTCACGTTGTTATTCGCACAGCGACGATTCAAGGCTGCGTTCGAGGCTTACAAAGAACGCGAATTGCCAAACCTCCGAGCTGAGGTATGCAATCTACTACGTCCTGTCATTGATTCCAGCGTTGACATGCTCGCCTATTAGCACCCTGGTTTGCGAATGCAGCAGTACCAGGTGGGCAGTGCTTTGTTCTGACTTGCTCACGGCACTACTCACGCCTTGTGTAGGAGCTTCTATACAAGCAGTTCCAGAAATCCCCTGAGAATCCGTACGTCGATTGACACCCGCGAGCATTGTGGTAACTCATTCTTGTGCTGTTCCTTGGCAGGTTCAACCAAGTTACGGTTTCATACGATGCCTCTAAGGAGGAGAAGGTCGATGCGCTTCAGAAGAAGAATGCTGCTGTCGCAGAAAGGCTCCGGGCTTGAACTTGTGGCTGTGTCGAGGGACACCTGGCTGCGCGAGCTCTCTGGCCCTCCTACTCAGTTAGGCCAGGGCCCGTGCTTGCCGAGCGAGGCGATGGCCGTGTTCACATGTTGCTGTGTGGGTGAGAATCTGATTCGTCGCTGTATGAAATGTTTGACCACATGGACGTTTGCCGATGTAGGATAGATCGTAGCATCCTGTACAAGTGAAGTGTATTGACAATGCCAAGGCACTAATGCCGCCATGTTAAGCGGAAGCTCTATCATTCTGATTACGACTCTGTAAGTATTCGCAAGACCTTCCTAAAAGACCGTCTCGGAAGGTCTGTGCGTGTCACCTTCTACCTATTGGCATTGTAAGCAAGACCTTCTGCTGCAGAGCCTCTGCTGCGGGCGCTTGGACCTGTGGTATTCAGAGGCCCGTGAGAAACTATTTGCATGACGTAAGCAGGGCCATTATTTTCTGCATAAGTTTCGCGCAGGTCTCTGCTCGACGGTCACCACCGTTTACCACGACCGCCACGACCGCCACGTAAACTGTTGCTTTGAGCAAATCTGATACTATGGCAGCACATCGCTCGCCCTCTGCGCCATCGTCACCGACGCCTCCATCGTTGACAAGCAATTCGGGACCGCCAACACCGCAGCGCACGAACACGCTAATCATCACTCAGCTGCCTCCTGCATTCTTCGAGTCAGTGGTTCTCGAGACGATGCACCACCACTTCGCCACGTATGGCTCCATATACGCGTGGGCTCCTATCAAATCGTTCGCACGAATAGTATTGGTGTACTATTCGGAAGACGATGCAGAGCACGCGAAGCAGGAGTGTGACTATCTCATAGTCGGCTCCCATAACGAGACGTGCGTTTCACTTTTTTTGCTGTTATTATATGCATCTCATTTTCCTAAAGTCCAGTGACTACGCTGAGAGTATTTCGCGCGGATCCGACACCAATTGTCTCCGTGACTGGCGAGACACGCAACGGTAACATATACCTTCGCCCCCCAGAGCACGAGAAGAACTTCCTCATATCGCCACCGGGCTCCCCACCAGTAGGCTGGGAGCCCATCCGCGAGGAGCCGCCGAACGCAACGCCGCTCGCGGAGGACCTCATCGCTGCGCTGCGTCGACTGCAGCTCCAGGAGGAGCAGCGCAACAAGGTGCCAGGTGTTGAGGTGCTCCTCGAGCCACAGGATGGCGTCGGCATTGGCGTATATGTCGAGGACTGCGATGGCGGTGAGGGCGGCGCCGCCGTCGAAGAGGAAGAGCAAGATTGGGCATATGGCGAGCTATCGCCCGCGCGGGCCAAGTGGAAGCCTATACCGACGGCGCTCCCGCCGATGTCCGTGGCAGCATGAACTTCTCATTTTGAGGGTGAGTGTCGCGTTCTCTTGTTACCTTGTCTCTTTCCATCTACGTGATGATAAAATCTCAGACCTGTACCGATATCGTAAGATAATATGCGGAGAACATAGATTGCCAATTAATTTCTGACTTCGACATGTGTTAAAACGAGCGTCTTGATGAAGATCACTGACATCGCTCTGTATCTGCAGGCAACTCCACCGCTTTTCCCGCTTTCCGCCGTTATCTGAAACCAATCCTGGTGAGTTATATTGTTTGATACGTGTACACGATGAGAACCTTCAGACCTGTTCTGATCCTATCGGGATATGGAGAAAAAACCTGTTGCCAATTGTTCCTTCTGATACTTTCTCTATATTCGTGGTATAGTCAATGTGATGCTGACTCGCTTCTTGCCCAGACTGACACCGGAATATTATTTGTACTATGGATGCCTCCTGCACATTCTATCATACGCTACTGCTATTCGACCATTGGATCTCTGTCACATGTACTCCCCCTGCATCATCGTTGTGTATAAGTTGGACTCTCGCAGCTATTCTCGGACTGGATCGTATTTTATCGTTTGATCAATCTCGTTCGGCTTGTTTTCTGGGTATTCGTTATGAAGTAATTTTGCTCTTGTATATACTGGCATGCATACCAGCTCTGCTAGAATAGATGGTCTTCCGTGACGCGAGCGATGTCTTTAGCTTAGCCTGAATAATAGAAGGTTTCTATACTGTATCGCGGGAACGATGTGAGAGAGTCTGGTCAAGGTTGGACGGCGTGGCGTTCAGCAGCAGTCTCAGTGTAGCTTGTGGTAGGTCTGCGTTCCGGTGATACAATCATGAGTCCTGCGCTCCAGTATATCTATAGGGGCAACGAATTGTTCTTGCACAACCAAGAGCCAGCTTGCATGGTCGGCGACAGCGATGTTTACCAATCCTCCTCGGCCTCATCGTTCTCCGACGCTGGGCTACCGTGTACCAGAGCGATCTGGCCATGACTATCGCCTCTGGCTTAGGACGGATAAGCAATACTACAACATGGCTCACAGCGAGAGCACCATATCACAGTGTCTGGTGGCAATCAGTACAGTTTGACAGGACAGTCCAGCGCCACGAAATGAAACTAATTGCATGTGGTGACAACGAAGACATCATCTCAATCTATAGAAGAGTACATGGACGGAGCAGACGTCCGGCGCACCAGAGCCCATCTAGTTATTGATGGTCATCGAGAAGTCCTTGAACCATGCGTATTGATCCTTGGGTGTGGCGAACTCGGGCTCGTGCCCGCCAAAGAACGTGCTGGAACCACTCATCAGCAGGCGTACAACAATACCACAGGCAACCGGTGCTGACCTGAAGAACAGCCCTGTGAACCTGACAGGCTGTGATGCCTCTTCTACGTCCTCGATGGCAAACATGATATCGTTGGGTGTCGCGGACGGATACACGACTGTTGTCATTGTCGCCGTCGGAGTGACCACTTCTGTGATGAGGGCCGCCTGTACCGTGCTAGTGCTTCTCACCAGAGACATTTCTGGAACCACGGTGACGTTCGCCTGCGAAGTAGGCATAAAGCCAGCAAGAACAGCAGATGCAGCGGCGTCGGTTACTTGGAGCTGCGCCAGAGCGGTCGGAGACGGGAGCAGAGTAGACTGAGAATCCTGGATCGCATCACGGAGCACCAAGACGCCTCTTTCAGGCCAGAGAGCAACACGAGCTAGGAGGTTTCCCAGAATGTCGCCCAGTGAGCCGTCGCTATCGCCATCGTCACTGTCGCCGTCGTCATCGCTGTCATCGTCGCTGTCGTCGCTGTCGTCGTCACTGGCGTCGCCGTCGCCGTCGCCGTCGTCGTCTCCGTCTCCAGAACTGGGATTGACTGAAGGAGCCGGCGCGTCACGATAGTACACGTCAGAACGGTTGATGACAGGCAGTCCGTTGACTTCTAGGACAAAGCCACCGTCTTGTTGGCCGGGTGTATTGAGCGCGACGGTCTGGCGAATACGTGTCCAGCCTCCAGCAGTGAAGTTGAAGGACCCCCGGCCAATCGAGAGACCGTAGGCTGCGTCGCACACAGATTGCGGTGGCGTTGAGCAAAGGGCAGCTGTCTGTTTATCCTTGGGGGCATACTGTACAGGGTGAGCATTCAATGTGCAGGATGTATCGCACATTCCGGACATACCAGATAGAGCTCGCCGGCACCGCCGGCCCTCCACATAAGGCGGGTGCTGAAACAGGTTACGGCAGCGTCGCCGCCGGAACAGCCCGTGTGCCCGCCATAAATTCCAGGTAGCTTCCCGCCTTGCACCCAGTCGAAGTCGGCCGGGAAGAAGATGCTATATTCTAATGACACATTCTGAGCATCATGAAGGTCAAGCGGTGTGGCGTAAAAGTCTGCGCCGCCTTGCGGTTCATTAGCAGGGTTGATCGAGTTCGCCGGGTAGAACAGTTGCATGACTGCTGTCGAGTTGCTCTGTGCCGGGGCTGCGTTCACAGACGAGAGGTTGCCAACCACAGCATTGGCCATCGCTGCAAGGGTAACCACAGTAGTATCTACCGGGATGACATCGAAGATGTGCAGATTCTTCTGGCCAGAGGCGAAGTTGGTGACATTAAAGGCCGCGAGGTCCGTCATTTGAGACGGCGCTGACCATGCGGTTTGAGGAACAAGAGCAGGGGGCAGAGGTGACATGGTGACAACATCGGTAACCGTCTGCGGGGGAGCGGAGACAGTAATCGTTGCAGGTGGTTTGGTCAACGTTGCTGTGACGGTGTTGGTAAGGATCTCCGTGAAGACTGAAGGCGCCGGGGATGGTGAGAGGCTCGAGACAGGCAGCGCAGGACTCGGAGGGGCAGGCGGCGAGAGGAGTAGAGACGTAACAAAAGAAGAGGGCTCGACAACGGCGACAGCAGTTGACAGTCCTGTGGAAGTCACCACTTCAGTAACCCAGACTGTCTCAATCGACGATGTATTTCCTGTGGAATTGAATGGCACCGCTGCGCAAATGCTAACGACTGTCGAAGCGATCAGCAAGTAGCTGTGAGGGCCCATGTCGCTCGTGGCGTTGTGCGGGGACAGAAGGCATGTGAGGGCGAACGTTTGCTATGGCGCAAGAGATAGGTCGCTAGTGAAACCAGACTAATTCCCAATCCATCCAAATCTGGTCAAAGTTGCGAGTCGCAAGTTCCAGATAATACGTCGATTTGAGTTCCAACTACCGCCTAGGTTCATGTCCCACGCGCTAGAGTGGAGAATAAACCTTTAGTGAACAATTTGTTCACTGTAGGATATGTCGTTGCAGTAGCAATGTAGAGCTGCGGTCATGAACCTAGGTGTGTAAAGGAGGAAGAGCTAAATGATCTCAGAGGCCGCTCACCTTGATTTCATAGTCATAGGTCAGACATCCCGCTTGCCGAAGGGAACGCGTACAGCATTCAGAGCGCAATGCTGCATGTGAACGGACTGTTGCACGTACGCATAATTTGGGGCTCTGCGACGAAGACGTGCCTCCCCGATCATGTCACACTGGACTATAACACCTTGCAACGATGTATCAGTATTGGAATTCCAAATTCCATCAGGACGGTCCGGACAACACGGAAACGTACGCCCGAAACCCGTAGAAGTCAACTCGGACGAAGCAACATCATGAAAGCCGAACATGCGGCCAATGCATATCTCATTGAATGTGTGCGCCAGTCCACAGCAAGGCCAATACTAGCTAAAGATACCACCGTGATGGTAGAGCATATGAAGAGCCCAGCATACCTCTGAAAACATTACTTTAGGTAGACCCAAACCTGTTTGCCAGAGTCCGGTTTTGGTTAAGCGTCGTCGAATTCGTTGGTCTAAAAATAGCTGAGAACACGCCCAAGAACAGCATCTGCTACGTGAACATACCAGTTCTACGCCGTAATACTGTCCCAGAAAGCGGTCTTTGTTGACCTCCCAGTCTGGCTTTTCAGACATCCATTTCAGAGTCGATACGGCTTTCGCGAGATCGTCGGCGTCAGATTGATCAATGGGTACTTCGCTGTGCACCTCAAGTGTCTCTAGGCGTGTGACGCCTTCGCGCGGGGCCAAAGCCTCGGCCTGAACACGATTATGCACAATGCGGCGCAGCAGATCTACTATGACCTCGGATGTAGGATAGACCGTCAACCTCTTCAGCCTTGGGAAATACCAGCCATCTCTGTGGGCGAAGGACAAGGAGTGCAGGATAGCTTCTGGATCGCACCGTCGGTGTTTACAGGTGACAATGCGAATGGAATGGAAAAAGCCAAACACCGCCCATAATGCGCCTGCGTCCGGTATGCGGCCACATGAACTGGTAGCGCGGTCGAGGACCAGTGAGTGCAGACGCGGGAATCGAGTCGAATGGTTCCAGAATCCCTGAAACGTGGAACCGATGTCGTCGACGTGCTGAGCATCGTGGATGATGACCTGACGTAGACACGGCGCCAAAATGTTCACTAAGATGTCGCCAAGGATGTAGTACTCCGTATTATAAAATTCGATCACTTCAAGCGTAGGCAGGCTTGTCTGTACCGCAGTGTTACTCGGCGGATTCGGATTCCAATCCTCGAAGTCGAGTCCGCCAAGGGTTAGGCGTTTAAGTGCACGGAGAGGCTGAAAGATCTGCATAAGCTGCAGGCCCTCATATCGCAGCCAAGGCTCGCTCTTCTCTTCCCATGTCACTTCGGCGACTGATGGAAACCGCTTGATAGCCCTTGCCAAGTCTTCGTCAGAAGGCAATGACTCTAAGTGCAGAGAGATGAGGTGGGGTGCCTCGAATCGACGAAGGTCAACTGCATCATCGTCATCTTCAGTGGAAGGGAAAATGTCCATGCAGTACAGATGGAACTTCTTCAGGACAGGTGCTGTCCCAATCAAAAGCGACAAGAGGTTCGTCTCGGGTTCATCGTAGTCTGTACACATATCGAGGCTCCGCCACCGCACCATATGCCCGGTGAGCAGGTTCATGACGCCGTGGATGTAGTCCGCGCCGAGTTCTGGAGGGTATTGCAACTCTGGTCGTCGCAAATGCGGAAGTCCTGGATGGACCCAATCGATATCGATGTCGAGCGACAATGCGCGAGACCGTTCAAGCATGGTTGATAGGAATGTAATAGGTGGTCTGTAAGGAAGAGAGACGTGGATGGAGGTCCAGAGCGAGGGCGTACTCAAGACGAGCTGGCGCCAGGTGTGAGATACAGATGCAGCACGCAGGACAAAGCGCACGCGCGTGAGGTTATCTGCTTCCTTAAACCCGTTTTCAATAATGAGGGAGAGCATTTCTATAGGCATGTTATCCAAAGACCCGAGATCGTCCGGTCTACATAAGCCCAGGATTCAGATAGACGAACCAGGCAGCATGGATACTGGACACGTACGCCATTTCTAATGTTTGAGGTTTCAACATGACTAGGCAGTATTCGCTACAAAGAACCCGTTCAAGAGACTTGAACGAGATGAGGGCTGCTATTGCGCGCTCCCGGTGCTAAATGAACGAGGGAAAGATAGTCAGGTTGTTTGTGTCGGAGTCAGACGCAGGCACTCATGATCTGGTCTCCTAATAGGTTTAGATGGACTAGAGGTTAGGGTTAACACACCAACCGATGCGCCCGCAATTGGTGATTTATACCAAAATCCTACACTCGTTAGCGTACGGGGCAGGCTGCTACTAGCAAGTCGCTGTGGACGCTATACATCAGGAGCAGAGTATGCTATAACTGGTTTGTCCAAGACCTCTTTGCTGATACCAGTGTTCTCGCCGTATGCATGATCGATAACTGGGGCCGCGCGCGCGCTTTTGTCATATTGTTCCACCTTCGAGCTTATAATAGCCCTCTGGGAGGTAACGCCACTCGTGGAGTAGACCGACTGCGACAATCTGCATGCTAGCGACGGTCATTGCGAGGAGGAACAGTTATGAAGTCAGCCAGGGGCCGAGCTGTTGCGGATGTCCGAGTTGCGCAGCGATCATTTTTGGGTCGCGGTGCCACGAGGCTACTAAACACCTGGCATTCATAATTTGGCATGCTCGGGCCTGTACAGCCTAGCTACGTGCCTCTAGGAAAAGCTGCCGACATAGGAATCAGTAATTGTGACTCGAGACCTTGCGCAAATAACTTCACTGCAGGTGAACCACAGCTGGCAGCGTGGTCTTGATTTCAGGTAGTACTAGGCCCTGCAATGATCGTGATGGCGGAAGTTCGTACTTTGAATCTTTGAAGGAATGAAGGCAGAAGCTTCTCCACCTATGCGTCACGGGTTGGCGATGCACCTCTCGGGTCAGCCATCTACCCACCTCCGTGGTCTTCGTTGTTATCTTGTTGGTGACGGCGAGAAGGAATTGCACACAGGCAGACAAAGGTGAGCAAAACTTCAGATAGTAACGCAATATGATTATTGTGCATGACGTACTTCTCAACCTAGATAGCCAGACATGAAACCCTATTTCCTTTCATTGGGCAACCCGATAGGCCACAATATCCAGCTGCCTAGCCTTATATTCAATTGGTCGTTGAACCTTCCGAGCTGTGGAATGCGTATGGCGTGCTCTTCATGGTAAACCTCTCGTCTAGTAGCTCAGGCGATGTACCATTCGTATTATGGTATGCATCCAGTCAGCAGGGTGGCTCTTCTGACGAAGTGGCAGTTTAACACCGTCACTCACCTATTCGGTTCTGAGCTAGATCTTGTTTAGGCTCCTGACGAAGTGGATACGGCCTTCAGGTTATGATGACGAGGCGGGCAGCGGGCAGTACTGGCACGGGAAAAGCAATGCTTTCAGGATCGCACTACACTGTGAGTTAGATTGTCTGTGCTATATAGATCCTTTGAGAATCTGACTACTCATCTGGAATAGAAACTTCTGACACTACGAATACGTTGACGGTACCCATTTGTACTGTTTAGGTACGTGCTGCAGGTGTATACTCATCAGCGGCGAGGGGCAGATAGGTCGCCTTCAGCAGCGCGCTGCATTAGTCGGTCTCGAGGGCGACGTCGCCGATACGGCTGGATGGCGTTGCAGCCATGGGGAGAGGAACTGGAGGTCTCGGACGCGGTGAGTGACAACTGTCGTGTGTGACCAAGGAACGTCGAAGGCTACTTAGGCCGTAACTTTGTTTTTCTCGATACGTGCTATACCCGCCTTCCGGCGCGGCAGCTGCGCCTGGATAGAAGCTATGCACTGCAGCGGCCACGGGTGCCATTTATCTTGCGCCATTTGGTTTATCTGTGTGGTGGCAGTGGAAGGAAGGGCGAATGGCGTTCTTCTGTCTGATGAATATCCTATGTGCTGCTCTATTCATCAGCATGAAAGGATATCCAATGGCCTGCGCCAAGATCCGGATGATATCCTAGTCCAAATGTTGCAGACAATTTGTGGATTATGTGGGTCTTAGGAGAGACATTGTCCTGAAATGAGTAGGACGTGTCTTTTCCTGTACCGGACCGCCGACAAAATCTCCCAGTGTGGGCAGAGCTTGTGACCACGCACTAGGCCTGTTTGAACGACCGTGAGATGAGATACCACATGAACCTTGAGTTTCGACATGCTTCCCTATCTCCATGACTGAAGCATAACAGACAAAAGGCGAACTCGCTACATATACTTGTCTTCGGCGCGGTTAAACTACCTGATACTTTCCCGAGTTCATGCACCTCCCTTGCTTGAGCTGCATGCTCCTTTTTGTTCCATACGGATACATCGGCGTTTTTTTTCCAACTAAACGACATGCACTCACAACAGCAACTCGGACACTCCTGCTTGCTGTATATTCAGATACGACCAGGAATAATCCTCAGCGCGTTGCCACGTGGATAATAGAAATTATCACGTTCAGACTCAGGAGATGAGGAAAGCAACAGTTATGTCATGGAAGGACTTTGTGAGCTCTTGGCCAATATTCGGTACGTCGTGTGATGTATTGTATCTCCGCGCATCAAATGACGGACACTGAACCGTTACACAACCCGGATCCCAATAAATTCCAATCCGTTCTACAAGATGGGACAAGTAACGAGTTCGGGAGACTATCCCACAGCCACAAAAAACACCAGGAACCGAGGATCCGTCCCGCTATAACATCTATATGCTGATATCTAGTATATACGTCTTGGCCTCGTTATCCGACGTCACATCTTGATTCATGACCTCCGCTTTATCCTTCCGATTGCATAGCCAACATCAAGTCAATAGGAAGGTTCACGAAGCGCGCAGACACGAAATGACAGCCTCTGCCGGTCGCGGAACTGGACTTACGGATGTGCAGCACCCTGTTCGCAGAGCGAATAGATAAAAGGCCTGCCCCTCACTTGGAACAAAACAACCCCCCCCCCCTCAATACACGCACCGGCTTGACGTAGAGATTACCTCTACAGTTGCTTTGTTCACCCCGCGCTTATAATCGCACACGGAATGACTGTATCATGGCCAGAGAACGATATTACATCACTCGGAACCACCCTATGCTGATGGGTTTGCAGGGGACCGCTGTTTGGATCTCTAAATATTCTTCCCTCTCAAATGCACTTCGCGACGTACGTGACTCCCTATATCTGCGGCTGGCGTCTTATTAAAGCGTGAATACGCAGACCCTTCGCCCAATCGACCAAGAGCTTTATGCCGCGAAGAGCCTCTATCATCGCGAACCGTCGGTATATTTTAATGGCCAGAATGGGATATCACTAGATGCCATCAAGCGACGCGACTTCTCGAGCCTCGCCGACAAGGACGAATCTGCCTTCCCAACGTTGAGCAGTCCTAGGCCTTCTCTGAGAATACAGGTCAGTGCGGGTTCCATAAAGATCCCCTTTTTACATAAATGTGCACCAACTCGCGGCTCGCTGGTGGGTAGCTGCAAGGCTACAATAAGCATAGCTCGCAAGTCTGGCTGAGGTCCAGTACCACGCGCTCGCAGCTAGCGCAGATCATATTACGTGAAGTGATCCATGTCCTCGAGGTCTGTTTGTCGTCTTGTGTGTTGAGGCACGGATGAGCTCACCGTGTCCCACAGAAGCGTGAAGGTCGTACAGACAACGCCACCCATTTCTTAAGGCTTGGTGCCCAGCGGCTCAGGTTGGAAGACGTGTTTCTCGTGGAGGTTCGCCATGTGTCCAAAGCAAGTTACCAACCGCTGTTCATGTACAGGCCGGCGGCATTGTGAGACGGCATTGGCTCACATACCGAACATATTCATCTGTCGCACGCTCCTCACTACTTGCTCTCGTGCAGTTTGAATTCCATGATAACCGACATCCTGGACCTCTTTAACGTACCTGCCACCGGTCCATCAAGCACCCGCACACTAATCAGCTCCTCTACGACGCCAAGGGGAGCCCTCACAGTATATGGGCATTCATATAAGCGCATGTGGTGGGCGTGAGAGCTTGTAGGACTAGAGACACCGTATTGTGTAGGCCGTCGATTGGCTATCGTTGTAGGCGGATTCGAGCCAGATTTCACCTGTTTGTTCAGTTCGTTTGGGCAGGCTAGAGGGTATCTAGAGTACCAGAGGTTCGTTTGAAAAAACGCCATTAAGCGAATACTTGATGTTTTTGCTACCTGATATTTGCTAAATGTCACTATCAGATCTGGAAACCCCGCGCGATCTCCGCAAATTTGCACAGTGTACCGATGTACACCAGCCGCTGATTTCCAAAGTATATTTCGCTCTCCGTCCCTCGTGTCTTGGGCCAGCTTAATCTCAATCAGGTTTCAGGTACAGGCTAAGTAAGTACCTTTTGAACCGCTCTGTGAATCTTGGCTGATCAGTGACTACTGGTTTCTATGCCTATGCATACGTACAAGACCTTGATACTGCAAGGCTGTTGCGCATTGGGTTTGTCAGGTCGAGCTGGTGGTGGTCCCATTCTCATACGACGAGCGCCTTTCTTCGGCGCAACCAGTATCACGCACAATTTGAAATGCCATGAATACCCCCAATTTCTATTCGCTTGGCCGATTTGGCATCACGACGATGTGGTATGCGCGAGGGAGTACCAGCCAACTGGGCACGCAACTCTGCACCTAAACCCTTCTTGACCTATACGCCAATATCAGCAGTGTCAGAGACACGCGAATCAGCGTTCCCATGATCTCGTCTTCACACGCAAAGTCAGATAGACGTACGGAGTTGCAACTCGAAGGAAAAGACTTGACCTGAGCGAATGGCATTGTAGACGCGCCCAAGAACGACTTTATCGAGAATCATGACACTAGCGCCGTTGGAGCTGTAACACCGTGCCCTGTATAATAATAGACATTCAGAATTGACGTGGATGGTCTTATTTCTCTGTACGAACTTGTTCGATGCAGAGGACGTAAATATACCTGCTCCAAAGCTGTCCAAAAGGAAGGTGACGGTTCAGCAGCGACGGCGTCATGGGGAGGCGGAATAGGACGCACGCCCCGCTCGGGTTCGCAAGGGCCACGTTGAACGACGTTTTCAAGATATTACATATCGCACATTTATGCAACTTACACAGCGTCGTCTGGCCCACATTCCCCAGCTGACACAGACACGTGGTCCCGTGATAGTGGAATCATTCATTGCCGACTCTCTTTCTGCATTTATCATTGAATAAGTGAGGACTGTACTGTGTGCGCTCCAGGGAGCTTGTAGATTTGTTATAACACACATCGGTAAGCGTCGTACGGCTTGGTGAGCGTCACGCTCTCGATGATCTTGTACACATACTTTATTTGTGGCTTGGTGACAGTATTTGGCGGTTTCCAAGCGTTGTTGAATTTCGTTTCGACCATGAGAACAGTAGAATGATCAACCTATTATCTTGCGTGTATGCCGGCGCGCGCTAGACACGGATGCGCACCTACTTTCCACAGCACATTAGGCAGTTTACACGCGACCCGTCGCGGCACGTCTGCCCGCACTGATTGTGAGGCCTCAGTTTCGCCCGGCGGTAGCAATACTGACATTTGAATGCACAGTTAACGGGGAACGCCAGAGGGATATCAGACTGGGGCTCACATTGCATTTCGTGTTGTCGCCCCCGCCAGAACAGAGAGTATTGAGACAGGTCATGCCGCAGGTGAGATATACAACAGAGCCCCGACAATAACACGCGCAGCGATGACATATCTAGAATAGTCGATGAACGACGCCGCAAGTTCTGTTTTGAAGTAGTCAAACGACTCATGACGCACAGCCAAGCAGTACCGTGCCCTAGACCGCTACCATGGCTGCCTCTCGCGGCAATCTTGTATTTTCCCGCACAGGTAAGACCGCACGTGGGGTAGCTGTTCCCATTCTTATCATATGAAGGGCGGATACCACTTATCTCAATCAACATACCAGCTTTACTAAAGCCGTTCTATGAGTACACTGAGATGAGAGGGCTATACACCACCCATCAACGTGTGAATGTGCTAGTCTTGTAGATCCTTGCGTCTCGAAGTTCGGCTCAGGAACGGGTTCAGACCCCAGTAATTACGAGGGGGGTTAGAATATATTAATCTAGATAACTCAGAAATATCTACAAAAAGGGACTTAATTACCCTGGAATATTAGTTTACATAAGTCTATCTGGGAGCGCGTGCTGCTCCCCAGGCGGCGTCGTGACGTGTACCCGATTGACACCGCGGACAGGACCCGTTGTGCAGGGATAGCGTTTTCGACAACTAATTGGGTGGTGATATTCACGCGGTGGTTATCGCTCCAGCATGAAGTACAAACTGAGTACCCAGAAAGACAGCCCTAAGTCTCGTACGTACCGTGACATTTGAGGCGGCGAGTAACACGAGCTGCTGCTCACTTACTTCTTGCTCTTGAACTAGGCAATATTATGTAGGACTAAGTACCCTGTACCTAAGCCTTGCATGACCTGCTTGGTCATAATCTTGGCCATGATGTCATAGGAGGTCCAGTAAAGTTCAACGCCAAGCCTGCTGAGACCTGGGGAACATAATTATCCGAGTTTTGCTGTGGCCGTGCAAGGAACTTCACTTGCAAGTTGGAAATTTCCAGTGCCAAAGCGTGGGCCATAGTGCTCCTCGATGGGGATACTTATATCATGAGGGCTGAAACACATTGATGTGCTATACTTGTCACTGTGCTTGTCATTCCATTTTAATGTCCTCTTGTTGCACCGAACACTGCGGGTCCCTTGTCCGTTTGGGTTATCCTGGCTCTATGTCGAGAAAATATGGTGGAGGTATGTTCCGAATTATGTAAATGCAGTTGGCGGTCTCACTCTAGAACGACAAAAGCAGTGGCGCAGGACACTCTCCCGTGTTGGGCGCTCTTGTCGATATGGGTTGGGCCGATAGCCGCAACACTTGCGCATGGACGCACCGTGGCGGACTTGGTCTTACTCCAGACTACTGAAACATACGACTGGTGTATCAGTAGCCGAAGGTATTTCAACGTGCCCAGGCGCTGCGACTGCGGACCCAGAATCAGAGCAAATAGTAGGCGAGGTTCACAGCGCTCTATTGTTCTGTGCTCTATCACCACGAAGCTATTGGCTTAGATCGGCACTTGGGTATTTTTGGGCCCTATTCCCTCCGCCTACGCTGAGAAGATCAGTCTAAAAACGTATATCTGACGCTTCTCCAGCTCGCATAGTTGAAAGCTAAGTATGTTCATCTCCGATAGCTGAGATGGCTGATACAAGCTCCGATAGCTGATACAATCTCCACGGTCATTCAATCTCCACGATCACTCAGTGAATTTGCAATCAATTCTCCCATGGGAGCCGCGCGACACCGAGAAGGTTAGCAGATTTCCGTCGTAAATCGGCGTGTGCTTGGTTAGTCTTACATTACGTTACCAAAGCCGACGTCTCACGTTGTAGGCGTTGGCGGACTGCGTTCCTTGATGTGTCATTCCGCAGAAGAGGCTCTCAATATGTTCATGTATCGTCCTCGTGCGGTACTAGGCCGGAAGTCAAACAAATCGTATCGTTTCTGGCCAAGAGCACCCGTGAACTTGGTTCTCTACAAGAGCAGACATGGTTCGTTTGAAGAGGAGATCTTTGTGTTTTTCGAATCAAGGGCTTTAAAAGTGTAGCACTCACCGACCTATTGACGTTGGACAAGGCCTGCGTGTCCGGCGAAAACATAGCAATGTCAGGCAGAGTACGAAAAGTTCGGATACTGTCATCTTGACTTGAATTATACCTTTGAGCGCGATGTCGTGACCGTCTGTAAGGCGATCATCGTGTATATTAGGAACAATGAAAGTGAAAGTAACTCGGTGAACGGATGAGGTCGATGTGGATCATACTCTGTGGGTCACTCGAATCGCCACTAAATCAAACGTCTATCATTGGCCAGCGCTGTAAAAAGTGGGCTGACGGAGAGAACAAACGCATTCACGCAAACCGAGATAAGGCAGGGCGGTGCTGCACACGGTCCACGATATATCCTGGGTGCGACACTTTACGCTGGTGGCCCAGAGCTCACCACGTGTCACATTTCTCCCTGCCATTCCCCCGCTCTTCGACCTTGCTTGTCCACAGCGCCTCGGCCTACCATGACATGCACGCTACCCGTACACAGTTGTCAAGTGATCAACGATTATATATGGCCTTGAAAACTGTTCCAGGCGATCACGCCACTCGCGAAGTGTCTGCGTATCGTCAAGATTGGCGGCAATAAGACTTGGAGGAAAGTATGAAACTCACTTTGCGGGCGGAGCCGAATTGTGGCGTTCGTCTGAGGCGATTCGGACCCAGGCGGGGGTTCAATTGCTGCTGAGCGCTGAGCCACGAGGCTACTGAACGAAGAGATGTTGCATATGCAATTCCACTTACAGCCGCAAAGACTGCTCTGAACACGTCATGACATCATGATTAGCAATCGCTCACATTCGTCAACCTGGATACTGTGCAGAGCTGACTTATCGCAGGGCTGATACGACTGGTCTCTCTTACCACTCGGAATCGCAATAGGCTGCAGCTGTCTGAATCTTCGGCTGATGTGGAGGCTACTCAATCTTCCAAAACTATGTCTGTCGTGAGCTGACTGTCGACGACCACTGGCCTGATATTGCATCCACGGAACTCCATCATCTTCCTTGACTCGGAACGTCTGTGCAGCACCGCGCTAATGGAGAAGACGACACGTTCAAGGGATATCTATCAGCAGACCGGTTGAAGATGACTAGAATGCTGCCCAGTGTGCGACGTACGGTGAAAGTAACAAATGTGCGCCTCCGGTTAGGAGTCCTTCATACCCCGCCCGATATTGTATGCTTCTCGCTCTTAACTAAACACAGGTTGACAACGGTTGAGTAGCGCTAGGTGGAGAAATACGCGCAAAATATTGCGTCTCGTCCAATGTCAATGACGCGCTCATCGCGTAGCAGAGCTCATCTATGTGGTGAGGGACGTATTCTTCGCGATATATGAGAACTCATAAATATCTCGCGTGTGCTCCTGGTGACACGGAACACTGGCCTTGCAAATTGCAAGAGTGCTCGTGGGTGGAGAGCTCTCGTGAGTATAATTCCTTGTGTCGAGCTAATCTTTTGATCGTCTAACTCACCTGAATACCAGGTTGGACGTGTCACCGACACATCAACCACGCGTCTCCTTCTGCTTAGTTGCGTTGCCCATAGTTATCGTCAGATGCAGCGAAAACACGTCGAATGGCCTCCATTGGTTCGGCACATGGACCTGGCATAGTGAAGTTGGCGAAGTGCGTGTACAATGTGAGCAGCAAGTCCCTTGTGACCATGACTGTTGAACGCGGCTCCTCCTCATGGCATATGATAGTATATGCTCATGAGCGGCGAAGCGGTGCCCGTTCTTATCCGAAGACGGCCTGCGTTAGTCGGTCCCGAGGACGACATCTCAGATGCGGGGTGTATGAGACTATAGCCTCAGTGAGGGGGGACGGCGGTTCTACCTCTCGGGGCGAGTGGTAACCGCAGCAATCAATAACATCATGGCCTGGCGTCCGGACACTTTCCGGTTGGGATAGTGATCCCGGAGGACTCCGGACATTGGACAAACATGAGACCTGATGGTTGGCCAGCATGCATGTCCGGAGGAAAAGATGGTGATCCAGGTGTCAATCGAAAAACTCTATCCCTAGCGCACGGTGTTCAAAACATGTCCGGGCTCCTGACACCGGGTCCTGCTACGCGGGGACGACACGACGCTGGGACAGGCGCCAGCCAGGACGTAGAGCAAAAGCGCAATCGTCTGTCTCAGCCGCGGACAACTCGCCCAATATGAGCAGAATGTGCGACAAACTATCGTGCCCTTCCGAGCAACCACGAGACAAGCTTCCGTATGAACCACGGCTTTCCCACGTCTTCCCATATAGATGACGGAAGCACAACGGAAGGGAGGAATACTTGCTGCATAGGACTTTCTGCAGTGCTTTGTGGTCATATTATTTCTCTTCCTTACACTCTCGGCTGTCTCTTGTTTATGCGGACGCTCCAGATGTGTTCAATCAAACGGCAAACATCAACACTGAAGACGTCTCGTCTTTCTCCATACTCAATTTAACGACGAAGCACCGTCACCGCTATGCAATATGTCTAGCAAAATAATGCGTCGCATCTCATGAGATGAGAAGGTGAGCATTATGGAATGGCGGAGTTTTGTGACCTTTGGCCGAAGCTTTAACACTTCTAACGGTGTAGCCGTTCGAGAGACCAGCGGACTGGATGTACGTGCGGCGACAACATCAGAACACGAGGAAACAGTGACCAGCAGCTTGTGTATGTTGATATCTATCTGTCTATCTCTCCTCTTACTCACGACAGTGCTGATGGTCTCAGTTCGATGGCCCTCACGATATGTGAAGTATATATGCCATAGCTGGCCTTTCGTGTCCATTCTACATGGTCTGCATCAAACTTCGGTGAGCTACCCTCTTTGACTCAGAGCCGCTAAAGAGATCGAGGCCATTTTGGTTTTTAGGAAGGCAAGGGTTGAGATGGGCAAGAATATTCACACGCGGAACTATCTGATATCGCCTGACTGCTATCGCGCTAGCCATAATCTGAGACGGCGACAGGTTCAGCGCGCTTTCAACCTTTCGGCAGGGCGGTTATTTTGTGTCACACGCAGGCAACCCCGTTCCAACATCATCACAGAGAGAATTCCCACTTACAGTGGTACCGGACCCTACATATGAGTTCAGGGACATTAGACAAGTCCCGTCGGGTAACCTCTTACTGATGGTGTTTGCGCCGTTCCCCTTTGGATGGTGGCGGCCCCGCCTTCCAGTGACTAAACTGATCTTCAAGATCTTACGTCCTCTTGCCATCATTCTTTTCGGCATGAGTTCCTTTTGTTGGGACTGTCATGGAAGTTCCCTGAACCAGTAGAAAGGAGGTGCGTCCTCTATTCTAAGAGTGCGACAATCAAATTTCTCCTAGAACGACAAAACCATCGGCTCGTGATGCGCCGAAGTTCTCGAAGTGTCTCCTCCCAATGCGTTGGTTCTAGATATCCCTGGACGACTGAAAGTTGGCTCCTCAATAAGGCCATATGGGACGTTCGATACGTGTCTAGTGTTCTATAAATCATTGTAACGCTATAATATGGATCACAGGAAGAGGTTACCTCTGGGTCGGGACAAGCATACAAACATCCACGTATAGGCCATAATACGCATTGACGCATCGACGCACACGTGCCAATCGGTGAGCAGTCGTAATCCTCTGTTGCTTTCACCGTGGCACAATCCAAAAAATACCTTTATATAAGCCCCAGGCTCATTGTGGAGGCAATGTTGTGATTTGGGACAGCTTCTGGATTCAATATCACTCCAGCCCCCCATGCGCACCGTCTTCAATTTGCATAATGTTGTGCTGCTTCGGATCTTGCGTCGTTTCCCGATGCTCCCTTATGTCGCGCACAAAGGAACAGCCAGCTTTGATCTCAGATCACCGATATTCGGCTTCGGCGAGTTGACAGGTTGGTCACGAGTACGCCAAGCACTATGGGTATAGCCAGCAGCCAGATGAAGTCCACAAATCATATCCGAACTTCGCGCCGAATGTCGGAAATCAAATGCCACTGGGATTTCCTTCTCGATGAGTAGACTGTCGTTATCTGCTACATATATGGCCTGACCCACTTACGTCAAGGGTACGTTCAGCGTCAGACAGGCGTCTCGTGCACCGCGTGTGCGAACATTGACAGTAAGGGATTTCACAATGTTTTGAATCGTTGATCACGTATTGTGTACAGCATGCGCAGCAGATTTAGGACCACTCATCGGCGCGTGGGCTTATCCACTACATATAACGTCTGTAGCTATAGGCACTCCCTCAGGCAGGCGGCACAATGTCTGACTACTACCTACTCACGCAAAACAATGTTTGGCTTCTAAACGAGCAAATGACGAACGTTCATGACGGGCTCTCCCTCGAATGGGCTCTCACCACGGTACGTCTTTTTCTTATATTGTCATGTCGAGTACTCAAATGAATACTGCGTCTCCCTCATCGAATGCCTAGCCGAATTTGAGAGTACCTGTTGAGCTAATACCTTATCAGAGCAGCGATAGCTCGTTCCAAGAAAGAGCTCTCGTGTACTTCTCCAGCCGAGGAAGTCAAGGCATACCACTCCTCGATCTGTCGAAGTTGGATAATGCAGATGACCCCGCATTTTCGGCGGAAAGTATAGGGACACCAGGCAAAGTACAAAAGGTCCAGATACGGTTCATTGTACGTGAGTATCATGTAAGATCTCCAGACAAAATGGTGACCCTCTTCGAGCCGACCGGCTGTGTCGACATATGTTCAACATATGTGCCCCGTCAAGTTACCATCAAAACTAGGACGAATGTGGTCACCACAAAGAGACTAGCGGAGTTCGTGCAGAAGGAGATACGTGAAGTCTACGAGGTAGTTTCAACGATGTCAATCTCTGGCTGTGTACTCATCAATGATGCCTGTAGCGATTCGCCGTCAGCAACGGATCGGAGAAAATACTGGGAGAGCAGAGAATCAAGTTGGTTGACATTTTCCTGGTCGGGATCAAGCTGGTGTCAAAGGGTAGTATAGAGCCCATCCTGGAGTATGAGCCTCGAAGCTCACGTTAGATACTTTCCCGATATACCCAATGGGTTCTCGACCCGTTGCACGGGCTCCCAAGAATCGTGCACTGACTCTGGTTCTCGGATAAATCCAAACCTGGTTCAGGTAATGCCTTGATGGCTCTGAAGCATAAACCGAACATCCTGGAAAATACAGAGACCGAACTTAAGTAAATCTGAACAGACCATAACCCGACGCTATCGGATGTATGTACTACCTGCGTAACGATCGGATCTTGACCTCCAACGGGAGATCTCGGCGCCACCCATTGGCAAGCGCCAGATCGAGCTGCTGCTGGTTCGCGAACATAAACACTTCACTTATAACTTATAAGTACCTGCTGCCTTCCCCCAATGAGTAGCGACACTGTACCAGTAAACACTCCCGCCGACGCGCAATCCATTCCGACCATATTTGACCCCACGACTTGCACGCGCAAAGGTCTATGCCCTGTTACGATCCTTCGGAACGAGGCGGACGATCCGCTGCAAAGCCATTCGCTCTACTACGAGCAGCATGGAACAGGGCCGGAGAAGATTTTATTCATCATGGGGTGCGTGGCACGACGCGCTGTACATACTCAAGCAACGCGTGGTCTCATAGCCATGTAGCTTGAACGGCTCGTCCTTCTCGTGGCTTCCGCAGGTAGACTACTTCGGGCGGAAGCCAGAGTACTCGGTGCTTGTATTTGACAACAGAGGGGTTGGGAACAGCGACGCGCCTCGAGGTCCTTACTCGTGAGTCACGGTCAGTCTCGCAGGACGTTTCACTGGTCGTGTAATGTTGTATAGGACAAGCGCAATGGCCGACGACGTTGTCGCGCTACTAGACTACGTCGGGTGGACCTCCGAGCGTGACATGCATGTTGTCGGAGTCTCTCTCGGTGGTATGATCGCATTAGGCAAGTATCCTGGCTTTAATGCGTGCGCCTGGCTTATGCGCTCTGACAGAACTCGCTACTAAGATACCCGAGCGTATCATCTCTCTCACTCTCGCTGTAACCAGAGCAAAGCGAACAGTATGGACAGCGCTACCACCTGTGAGTCGCCGTCACTATCAAGGTCCAGAATATATCGGACTAAAGCGAGTCAGCTCAAAGGCAGCACGTCGCTCATCAGGTACAGTCTGCTGATTAGCTGGGCCGAAGATGACAGTCTGCTGACATAGCTGGAGACTGCTGACGATGACTGACCCGGAGACGAAGATCCCTGTTATCCTGGATATGGTATTCCCCCAGTCATGGCTGAACGCTCCGGCGTCAGGCGATCCTGAGGGCCGGACAAACCGTGAAGTACAAACAGTAGTCAGTGCGAGGTACATATCATCAGTCCAGTGCTTATATGCGTCTGTTGTAGGAGTACCGCAAACGCATAGAGTTGACGCGGCCACAGAAGCCGGTGGGCGCGATCTCGCAGATGATCGCTGGCCTGACACACAGCGTGTCTCCGGAGCGTCTGCGCACGATCGCTGCGTCGATTCCGAAGGTGCTGATCGTGACGGGCGACCAGGATAACCTCATCAACCCGAGCAACAGCTTGTATATGAAAGAGCACATGCCGGAGGCAGAGTTGGTACAGTGGAAGAACACGGGTCATGGCTTTCAAGTGCAGTATCGAGATAGGTTCCATGAGTTGTTGGAACGTGTCGTGCGGGAAGGACGGGAGAGGTTTGCGAAGAGCAGGGAAGGCCAGGCTAACGTAGATTGATTACCAATGTATGTAGCATACCGCTAAGATAGACCCAGTGGACTATAGCGTGCCATATGGATAATGACCACATGCCTCAGGCGAATGCTGTAAGAAAACGGACCCACGTCAGAGCAATGAGCCGCGTTCGCTTGAAAGGGTAGACAGAACACGCACCTCTAGCACGGCACTTCGCGAAAGTCCACCACATTATCGTTCCCGCACTACTTCTCTCAGGTCCGCTCTGATTTCCGTAGGCACGCCCTTGTAAGATGCTTTCGTCAATGGAGGCTCAATGCGGATATTGGATGGGTAATCTGCGCCTGCGGCCTCCTTCCGCTTCAGCAGGACCTCGATGAGACTCGGTGATCGCACGTCCGAGCGCACGGGCTCAGGAAGCGGTTTGACCCTGACGACCTGCTCCTGCGCTAGCTGATTTCGGGGAAGAATACGAACCAGTCGCACTAGGGTGGGGCGCATGGTGTTTTCTGGTTATATCCGTGAGTCCATTGACAGTAAAAGTAGACAGGTGTATGACTTGCAAGTATTTACCCGTATATGCTGCAGGACGATGCAAACAGAATACGGGCGCTTGCTGCCGGGCAAAATGGTGTCAGTTATGTAAGCAGATAAGATAAGATGTTAGCGCTCGTCGTGAGGATAGTTCTTACTACCATCATGATCGAAGGGCTTCCTTGTACTTATTGTATTTCGTACGCTATAACCCGTCGCACATGTTTTCGGGCTTGACGGGCTTGATGGGGTTTGATACACATATAAACGAGCTGTGTGGGCTGTACGTTCCCATACCACTCCCCGATTGTTGTTCCCATCTGAGCATCACCGTCCACGGAGGTGCAACTTCTTGGTGAGTGTAACATGCAGCAGGCTGTTGATCTCCACTCATGGCAGTAACTCGGAAAAAGAATACAGCAATCGGTACACTAGGCTGCTGCGCGGCGACACACCCTGTCTCATGGTCGCGCCATTCCCAACGGAGATATGGCTTGACATCTTCGGCCGCCTGGCTATGGAACGCGAATATGACACGCTCTCGAGATGTCGAGCGCTATGCAGGGATTTCCGGGATATCAGTCAGAGGTTTCTATCATGGCCTGTGGTTCTCAAGAACACAGAAGACGTTGCATGCATCAAGGTGGACGAGGTGCAAGGCTGGTTGGGGCCACTGACCGTCATCGTCGAGGGAGGGAAATCCGAAGACGGACGCTGGAAGCCGATTCCACACCTCGCGACGTTCGCGTCGAGACTGAGCGCCAGGTGGACCCACGTCAGGCTCCTGCAGATCGCGAACGCTACATTGCGAGCGCAGGGCCCAGATGGCGACGCGGTCTTCCGCGACCTGTCCCGTACTACCTGGATCACACAACTGTGGCTTCACGACATCACGTTTCCTACAATCCTGACATTTGGTCGCCTCATCTGCGCCCTCCCGGGCCTCAAGCTTCTCTATCTCCAGGCTATAGAGATCGGGAAGCATCCTTTTGATGCTCAGACCTTTTCCGACTTCCGGTTGCTTCCAAGCAGCAAGCTAGAGAAGCTGATCCTGTATGAGCACCTACCCAGTAATCTGGGGCCGAGATCTGTTGCGAGGCCCGCCTTCGTTGAGCTGCTTGAATTCGTCTCTGCTGTCAGTAACCGCGTACCCACGCCGTCCATTCACGATCCCCCCAAACTTCGTCCTTGGGGTGCGGTCCGCACACTCGAACTCTGTGATGTCACCTTCCCTACTGTAAGCACCTTTACCCGGCTCATATGTGCACTTCCTGCGCTTGAAACCCTTCGGTGCATCGGACCATGCACGTTTCTGAGACACAGTCTTGGTTCGAAGAGCGTCTCTAAGCACCCTCTTCTGCCATCGAAGTTCACGGTTGTCTACCTGGATCTCGACTTCAGCTTCCGTTCCGAGCCTCGATCTGTGGCAGACTTCGTCGACTTCTTCGCCGACACTGGCGCTAGTGACCGCCTGCGAAGCATCACTGCTACCCTGTCTCCTTCCTTCTGCATGATGAGGCAATCAGATGTAGTCCTAAATGCACTGGTTAGGCATGTTGGGCAGTCGCTACGCCATCTTTCCCTCAACTCGGCGTCGCCTTACGGTGTAGTGGAGGATGAGACCACGGTCATACGTCCAAATCCCCATGGCGGTGCGTCTCATGCTGTTATATTGTCCGATCGCTTGTTTATTCGCGTTCATGCCAGTGTATGAACACTTCGACGTTTCCAAGAACGACCATCTCGAACATGTGGAACTTTCAATCGAGGTCAACTTCGAAAACGAGTCGCACTTATGTGCTCCCGTGTTAGAAGTCTTGTCTCGCATCACGTCGACGTGCATGTCTCGCATAGATGTGGTGTTCTCCCCCTATCGAACAGATAGCGACGGATACGACGTAAACCTAGCGCAGTTGATGGTGGAGCTCCCTCAAATGGACGCGGCGCTCTCCCTTCCAGTCTTCGACAGCCTCACGAACGTCTTCATATCCATGGATACTCTGTACGAGCCGCCCGGAGACGGAGTAGAATTGGCTGAAGAGCTGAGGTTATGCTTACCGAAGCTCAACGAGCGGGGTATTCTGGGGTGCGTGACCTCATACACCTTGTGTTTCTTGCCGTCATAACTCAGCACTGCGTTTACGTTTAGTATTGCGCTGAATGGCATCAGGTGATAATGTATAGGATCTTACGGAATGACAGATTGACTGACGAGTTGCTTGTGTCCAGGGTCGGTTTCTACAGGGATCATGAAACTAATGGCGGAGACTATCTCGGAAGCGCAAAGCGCAAGAACGACGCCGTCGAAAATGTAACCAATGAAGATGTAAAGCCGCTGAACGACCACGGCACTCGTGCAGAGTTATGCGCCAAGTCTGACGAGCTTGTCGAAAACTCAAGCCTGTCGTAGATCAATCAGCACGGCCCCACGCACTGCTGTACACAAGTCCCAGGAGCGCTCGAAGTCACATACAAAGACCATACAAATGTTCATTCAGCCTGAGTGTATTTCTGGAACCCCACCGAAAGACACGGTAGGATGCGGTTGTGCATTTCATGCATATGACTGAGGCGGGAGATTAACACGCCTACTTTTGCTAATAAGCTGCAATGCGAGGTGACTTATACGCAGGTCAGGCTTTCATTTTCTGCTGGCCACTTCTCCTGGAGACAAGGAACAGTGATTAGCGTTCAAGCTGTCTTGTCGCAATATTGCTATGTATACGCTATGGGACTCCACAGCTGCCTAGTCATCCTTTCCTCCATTTCGTTTGTGTGTATATTATCATACCTTGTATACAGCGACTTCATACGACACGTCAAAGCTGGACAGATTACATAGATTGAAGACTGCGTGTGTCGGGTGTGTGTCGGCGCGTCCGCAGCGAGTATTGTAAATTCGCGTGTCACGTGCAATACGCGTCGTCGCAATGTGGGCGCTTATTCACGACGCGCCCACTTACGGCGAACTATCAGGACGCTACTGCAACCGATATGCCTCCCAAGAATGCGTCGGGCTCTTCCACAGGACGCAGCAGGAAAAGGAAAACGGACGCGCAAACAGAGAGCTCTGAGGAACCTCCAATATCCGACGATGTGAACTCACCACCTCCCGCCAAAAAGCCACGGGGGCCAAAGTCCGCGAAAGGGAAAGGCAATGAAAGCACTGTGTTACCAGTGAATTGGCCCGAATACTTTGACTATGTATGGTCAACTCTCATACTCTTTCCACATTATCACTGAGGCAATCCCTTCGTTTTACAGTTGTTCAAGGTAAGCGGTAGACGTTCTCAGGAGGCGTTGAGTGTTCAATAAAGCCCTTCTGGCTACGATATGTAAGATTTTCAAGGTATGTGCGTGATAAACTGAGGTACTTTCTCATTGCTTTAATCATGATGGTGGGCAGGCACTCAATACAGTTCTCGCATTCTGCGCGTCACGTAAAAACTTCGCTATCACGTTTCCAGTTGTGCGGCAATCTGTCGAAGGGTTACTGAAACAGTGGGTGTCTATACATCCTTTTGAACTTACGAGTTTGATCTCTTGTTTTGCAGACCGCTTGATTTGGCAAAGGTGGCTGAACTGAAGTGGGTCACGCCTCTGCAGCGAGTGATTCACTATCAAGTTGACACACGCACCTTGCAGGGCCTTACTTCCGGATGTTGTCAAATTTGCCTACATACCTAAAGCGGAGCTGCGCATACACAGCGATTCCCAGGAACGGCGCCACCGCTCTCCTGACTATGCAGCTTTTAGTAACGCCGCGGCACCTAGCTCGAGCTTGTCAGGAGGTGCAGATGAAGACGAACATGTTCTTGTGCTTGACCTTGTCGAGAATGCAAGGGGAAAGAAGAGCTCAAACCCGGGGTATGCAAATCCTTTCTGGGGCACTGTTCTATCTAATGGGCGCGGATTTCCCGTGCTTTAGTTTTATATATGCACTCCCTCCAGCGTTGACGCCAGAAGCAACCAGGAAGCTCATAAATAAGAGAAACGAACGTTTTATCCAGGCTGTAAACGAGTACGTATTCTCCCTGTTTAGCGTTGTCCAGGGCATCGTCCTAATCCTTTTACACGGAATTAGACTTCTCGAAGCTACCTCTAAGCACGAAGATCCAGCATCGCTCTTACGGGAAGCTGCCCGTGATCACATCCCAGTCAATCCTAATGTCAGGATATCCACGGATCCTGCTCAGTCTGACTCGAAAGGGAACGAGCGACGAATCCCTGAGCCTGCCGACCGTCCAACAATAGACGCAGTTATTGAAGAGATTCACAGTCAGGAATGGTATCAAGATCAGATCGTCGACAGAAGGATCGTCGAAGCGAAGGACGGTGATATAGGTCAGCAACTTCACGTTGTAGGTTTACTAAGCTGATGTACTACTAGATTATCTGGAGCCAGCCCTATCAAAGACGATTGCGCAGGCACTTCAAAGCTCACGTAATATCACTTCTCTATACACGCATCAGGTTATGGCCATTTCTGCGCTCTCGCAGGGGAAGAACGTCATAGTATCCACTAGCACGGCGTCAGGCAAAAGTGTGATTTACCAGGTACGTCGCGCCCAATCGATTCACATATGCAGTTTGTTGACCTCCCATAGGTCCCTCTGTTGCGCTTCTTGGAAGAAGATCCACACTCGACGGCAATGTTTATATATCCTACGAAAGTATGTCGTGCTCTTGCTGGCCGCAAGAAGAGGATCTATCTCACGCCCTGTGCTTTCTGCACAGGCCCTTGCTCAAGATCAGAAGCTTGCTTTAGAACAACTTCTATACTCGTGCCCGGGCCTTGAGAACGTCAAAGTATGTCTTGAGAAAGCGAATGCACTTGCCTGCTACTGAAAACAATCTGATAGGTATCTACATACGATGGAGATACCCCGCAGGAGCTGCGAGCTGGCACGCCTACTTTCCTTATCCGAGGCGAGCCATTATCTCATCATCGCCCACAGGAGTACGCGAAACTGCTTCAGTGATATTCACCAACTTCGTGGGTAACAATCGCAGCCCGCCATCAGAATACTTGCTCATTCTTCTTCAGGACATGCTGCACGCTTCCATTCTTCCCCACGAAGATCTATGGCGGCGGTAAAGCTATCGTAATTGATTGGATTATACACAGGCTCAATCCACTTCCAGTTTTCTGAAGAATCTGAAGCTTGTCGCGGTAGATGAGCTTCATTACTACTCTAATGTGTTCGGAAGGTAGGTACCTTGCACGATCTACACCTTCTGGCTTCTGTTGATGCCTTCTTTAGCCACGTGGCTCAAGTCATGAGACGGTTCCGGAGAGTGTGCGCTGCTGTGGGCAGTGCGTCTTCAGTCTGTCGGCACGCAAGTGGATTCTCACACTCGTCTGATAGACAGTAGATCCCGGTTCGTGTCATGCAGTGCGACAATTGCAAAGCCGAAACAGCACATGGTGGACATTTTCGGTATCGAGGTAAGATTCAACACACTGTTCGCATGCAACCTCTGATCTCTTGTCCTAGGACGTGGTAGAAGTTACGGAAGATGGTGCTCCGTCGGGGCGCAAAGACTACTTGATCTGGAATGCACCCTTATTAGATCCTATGGATGCAAGCTCTGGTAGACGGAGCTCTATGTCGGAAGCGACTCGCCTGATGAGGTTCCTCATGGCAAGAGGAATCCGTGTTATCTTATTTTGCAAGGTAGACGACCATTCATTTCACTCAATGTAATCTACTGACAGCTTTGTAGATACGCAAGGTTTGCGAGCTAGTGAGGAGGGCGTCTTAAAGTCGACGTTGCAATTGCTCAATCGTTGTACAGGCAATGAAGGCACTAAGGGCGGAGCTCACCGCCGACGGGCGTCTCGATATCCTTGATAGGGTTATGGCGTATCGTGGAGGTATGTGTGAATTAATTGTCGCCGCAGCATGTTTGAAATTGATTCCTCATAGGCTATTCACAACATGTACGTTATCGCTTGCTAATACTCTCGCATATATGCATGTGCTTGCTTCTCAGGATCGCCGGAAGATAGAGAAGGAAGCATTCTCTGGGAACCTACTTGGGATTGTCGCTACCAATGCCCTGGAACTTGGTGTGGATATAGGTGTTCTGGATGCAGTCATCATGCTTGGATTTCCAATAGGAGGAATCGCGAGTTTTGTAAGTCCAGTTCCCCAGGCCGTCACGGATAGTATGAGCTCATGTGGTATTTAGCGACAACAAGCTGGTAGAGCAGGACGGCGTGCGCGTGACGCTCTGGCGGTTTTCGTTGCCGAATCCTACCCCATTGATCAACACTTCGTAAACAATCCCAGCGAGCTATTTGACAAGCCGATGAAAGACTTAATCATCGAGCTGGATAGTAAAGTCATCATAGAGGCACACCTGCAGTGTGCGGCACATGAAATGCCTGTGACCCTCGAGGACGAGAAGTACTTTGGTCCAACCTTGAAGGACCTATGCGAGACAAGCCTTATTCGGGATGAGGACGGCTGGTGCGTTCAGATTCCTGCCTGTTCAAGGCAGACGATGATCAATCTCGTGGGGACAGGTATCACACACACCCAAAATTCTTGCCATTTCCAGCGAAGCACATCAGTCTTCGCGGTGCAGAAGAAGAGAAATACAGTGTGATCGACGTTACGAAGGTCGACAACCCAGGAGGCCAAGCCTTTATCTTAGAGGAAGTAGAAATCTCTCGGGCTCTATTCGAGATCTATGAGGGCGGAATTGTGAGTTGTTATCGGCATTCGTACTTTTCAAAGTGCTTCATGTTACAACGTGTGCAGTTCATACACCAAGGCCTGACTTTCATTGTACGTATGGTTCTGTACGCCAAAGTGGTGCCGGTCAGACTTTCTTGTATTAGGTTAAAGAAGTCAGCCACGACTCGAAGACAGCGAAGCTCGTGCGTACTGACGTGAATTGGATCACCCAACCACGGTACGTGCAGGAGTCATTCGTTCTACGGAGCACTGACCCTACGTCATGAATTATAAAGCGACTTCACCAACATTGATGCTGTCCAGACATATCGCATACGGGAGATCAAAGGCTCCCCTTTTCGTGCCTTCTACGGCCGTGTTGAGTTGAAGACTGTCGTGTATGGTGAGCTGCTCTTCCTGAACCCCCTCAAGCGTCTTCTCATTCGACGTCAGGATATTTCAAAATCCGGTAAGCGCATCGCTTTGACGTTTGACGTTCCCGTATGCGAGTATGAAACTCAATTTCAGGAACAAAGCAATTATTGATGCAGTCGACCTTGACACTCCTCCCTGGGAGCGGGAAAGCACGGGCATGTGGATGGACGTCCCGAAACCCATCCTCGAATTAATGCGCGATTCCGGGATCAACCCAGCCGAGGCTATTCATGCTGCTGAGCATGCATTCCTGAACCGCTTTGCGCTGGCGATGGACCTAAAGACAGAATGCAAGGTGGCTGAGAAGGAGTACAAAACGAAAGCGTCTCAGAGAAAGCGACCGGCTAGGTGAGTGCACATGCCTACACGATGTGGCGCGAGCTCATGGGCATAATAGGTTAATCTTCTACGAGCCAACTGGCAAGGGCGAAGGGATAGCGGTGAAGGCATTCGATCATGGTGAGCCACTGTCGTCATAGTCCCGATGTCTTATCTGACGATAGTCTTCCAGTGTCGGATATCCTTCGTGATGCCCACGACGCCGTCGAGTCATGTCAGTGTGAAGAGGGGTGTGCAGCATGTCAGTCAGCCACTACTATCTGGAGTACTTTTGTTGATTTTGGGGACATAGGTATCGATAGCCTCTCGTGTAAGGAAGGCAACCTGGTCTCTTCCAAGACAGGTGCCCTGATTGTGCTCAAAGCAATCCTCGGCCATCCCATTGATGTCGACCTGATTCCCGAATACCCTCCGGAGATTAGCAACCTACCCAGCACTGTTGTGCAAGCTCCCGCGGTCCGCACTGCTCCTGGCGTAGAAGTTGAAGAAGCATGAGTATGAGTGAAGTCCGATGATATCATATGGTCAAATGGTGTAAGGAGCGGACAGGCTCTACGACAGTGGATCGAAATCTCCCCAATCGTCCTTCGTAAGCTGCTTCGTCGTGCCGCTACTTTGCCAGCTTGGTTGCGATGGTCGTGACGGCACCAGCGGTGACGAGAACATTGGTGGCGTCGACAAGCTCGTCAATGGTGGCGTCGACATGGTGATGGGCGGGGTAGCCGTCAGCGAAATGTTGTAGTTAGGAGCGGGACTCTGTGTTGTGGTGGCCGGCATTGATGGCTGTATTTGTGGTGTTATAAAGCTAGATGTAGAAAAGGGCGCTGCGTGCGGTGACGATATTGGCGGCGGTGAGAATGAAGCCGCGCTGAAGGAAGTTGAGGGTATCGGAGTTGCGCCCAAACGCCGTGCAGACGGATTGAGAATGCTTTTCGAGGCCGCACGTATGGTGGTGCTAGGTCTAGGCGGCGATGGCATCGACTGCGTCTGCTGAAATGCAGGTGCTGGTGGCGGAGAAATTGTGGGGCTTTGCATTGGAGGCGTCTGGCCAGGTGTAAGTAGAGCATGAGCACAATAGACATAAGACCTACTGCTGGGCTACTTGTGAATATACTGCCCCAGACGTCATCTTCCCAGTTCTTCGAGCTGTCAATGACCGTATCGGCCTTGACGGTTGCCACATTGCCTCCGGCAGACCCGTTCGTGACCAGACTCTCGAAGTCGACGCCACCATCTACGTTGACTCCGTTCGCGCCATGCGCTGCTGTCGCCGAACGGTCTTCGATCCGTTGCGAATCTCGTAGATATTGGTCGTGCTCGCGCTCGACGCGATCACCCAACTTACGTATCACCTCCATGAAGCGTTTGAACTGCGAGACAGTGAGCACTGTGTGTCGCCCACTTAGTATGCACCTGTACGATAGAACGTTCGCACCTACAAGGGCCCATAGACATTGCCCATAATTGTGGCAAGACGAGGGTAGCTACAGCTTCACGGTCGACCTTCATGCCCGTGGCTTCTTGCACGGCGAGCGTTGCCATCTACAGAAAAATCGAATGAGGATGAGCGTGGATTGAGGCACCTTGTTGATGTACCGTGACGGCAGGCTCTTTTGTCCTGATCTTCGATAGCAATGGTACAAGCTTCTGAGTCAGACTTGTCTGTACAAGCCATTTGTCAACGTGGTGCATTTGCAAACCTATGTCGATACTGACCTGGTCTAGCGTCTTCACCATGGCAAGGAATGTGACCAGAGTTGCCACCTTTACTGATAATACACGAGTCTTCGTAAAGACGAGCTGAACACAGGACTTGCGTTAGCTTCGCTCATTGAAGCACTTGAGTGGGGACACTCACGGCAACGCGAGGGAATAATACACCTTGTACTTCAGCGTAATCGATCGTTTCGCATAGGTCGGGAACGGCCTTCAAGGCACGTTCTTGGACCTGCACCCACGTGTTAAATTTCAGTCCTTGCCGATGCGCTTCATAACGCTCACAATGGCGTGTTCCGATTCCAGCGCGTTATACACAAGAGGAAGCACGTCTGTATTCAAAGGTATTCAGCACACGGGGCATTTTCCACTGGTGTAAACACGCACGTTCCCGGAAAACGACCTTCTCGGTCTTGTCCTGCAGCATCTGCAGGTTGTCGAGGAGAGTCAGCATGTTCTGTGGCGGTTCCTTAATTACAAACAGCGGCTTGAGGCTCGGAAGTACGAGCGTCGCGAATTGACTCGACGATAAAATCTGCGAAATAACAAAGATATTGGGCAAAATATACGGTAGTAGCTGGGTATCCTTCATCTGTCATCGGGTACCTTGATCAGTATCCGCGTACTACTCAGGATGTCAGAGTTATGTGAGAAACCAACCTCCTCGAGGAGCGATGGCAAGATCTTGCGTATCCGCAAGCCTTCGCTGAAACGGCCAAGCACGCTCGTCAGCCCCTTCATAAACGAGATCTTCTCCTCGCGCGACTTGGCGGCAAAGTTGGAGCGATCGAGGAAGTTGAGCGTTGAGATCGGGAGTGACGAGAAGAAGGCGTGGGCTGGAAGGTCACCAGGAGCGGGCCGCTCATGCGGATGCCGCGTGACGAGCGTGTTGAGCAGTACTAGTATGTCCAGTCAAATTTGTCCGCAATCACGTATCAGTGTCGCAATGACATACCGCGTAGATCCGAGTCGAGCCGCTCCATGGCAGGAATAGGCTTGCCCGCATGCTCGCGGACTGCGCCGAGGCTGCCGTGCGTCTTGAACGGCGGATTGCCTTTGGAGTGCACGGCATACATGAGGCAGCCCAACGAGTACATGTCCGATGCGGGGTCGAGCATCTCGTCCAGAGCGTACTCCGGCGCTGTGACGCGCAGCGATGAGCAGGAGATACGAACAACATCAACGAGTATGACCGTGAACGCACCCATGTAGTCGAAAGAACGCTGTGTATATGGCGAGACTCGTCCATCAAAGGTGGGAAATTCCCATTTTGTGGGTGCGCCGCTGGGCCCAGCGAGCGCGATGGTAAGGCCGAGCCCAGAGATTTTCCAATCTCCCTGAGTCGATTATGTTCAGTATACATGCGCAAACTGTATGGTCGGACCCACAGCATTATTAATCAAGATAGCTTCCGGTGTGAGATTCGTGTGGATCGTGCGCGCAGAGGTGTGCAAAAACGCCAGGCCTTTGCAAACCTGCAGGATTCCCTTTTGGATCTGGACGGTTCGTGGTCAGTATATGCAGGCATGACAGCCCTTTGGGTGTTAAGTACCGACTTCGACTTCGTCTAGCTCGACGAGCGGCGTGTACTGGAAAGAACCAGGTATAGAGAGGTGCAGGGAGGATATGATGGGCTCGGTCGCGAATATAAGTTCATTCCGGGTCTCCTCAAGCGGCTCAACCATCTCTGACAGTAATGATTGGTCATGCATTTTGCTCAATGTACGCCTCGTGCACTATCACACTCACCGAGGATGCAAGGATGCCGCAAGCGGCCCAGCGCGGATGCCTAGCAGACAGCATATGGGCACTCGGCACGTCGCGGGCATCGCGGACACGCTCACCTCAGACTTGAGCACCTCTATTGTGCGCTCCTTCGACACCGGTCCCATGCGTTCCATCTCCTGGCTGCGCTTGTCCGCACTCCATACCGACACGCGTTTCCCAGTGACCTTGTGCGTTGCAGACTGTACACGCCAAGGCCCGACGTTGAATGGCGGCGCATGCGCAGCCGCGGCAGGCAGAGCAGCACTCGAGGAGCTTGACGGACCGGGCGTCGACGTCCTACTGCCGATGGCGGAACCCCCGATATTGTAGTTCTGCGATATGTTTGTACGCGCGAAGAGTGCGGTCGCTGCGGCAAACATGGCGGTGTCTCCGGCGAAAGAGAGAGCAGCAGAGCAATAGTGTACACAGAAATAATTGTGAAGCCAGAAAGCGCCCCCCAGGCGCCGGGCGGAAGTGCCAAGCTTAGGATATCGCAGCAAATATACTACATAATTGTCGCTCAAATATGATATTCGTCAAATGTTCTGCACCAAAACATTGTACCATTAAATATAAAAACTGAAGAGTATCTGTACACGAATCACGCTGGATTACTATCAACACCCATCGCGCGGATATTCCTCAAATATGGGCTTTTGTATCCACCACCCATCGCGCGGATATTCCTCAAATATGGGCTTTTGTATCCACCACTCGTCGTATGCCATTTCTGAGATATAGGCCATCAACTGTTAATCACATATCTGAGGAATATCCGTGTCGTAAATGCTAACAGTTACCCGCAGTGTAATTGGTAAATACACCTCAGTCATCATATTTATAGGTACAATGTTTGGTGCAGAAATCTCATAGCCTATATTCGAGCGACAAATATGTAGTATACATGCTGGGCTCTTGTACGCGCATTTATTTATGGCTTTCTTTCGATATTTGGATTGTGACTATTGTTTCCTACACCTCATTGGACACCCGGACAATATTCGGAGAGGGATATCCATATATGGTCAGCAACTCAGACTAACTCGGACTACGTGCTACAGGACATTGGGTTTGTAGAATCAACTCCTCGTAGGCAATTACTGTCTCACTATTGGTCGGATATGGTTAAAAGCCCAACTGACACAGTTAGCCGGCATTTTCACCATTGGTTTCGTAGTATCTCAGTCGCTGAACAGACGCTCGTGTCGTCCAGCCCCCACAAAGCCCCGGTGAGCGCGATTGAACTTGTATCAGAACCTTGGCAGATCCGAAGCCCGGAGGGCATTGCTCTCTCTCGACCCGTAAGCGCCCAATGCAGCAGAATGTAGATTGAGGATCCTTCTCGCTGACCCACAGAAGTCTGAAGGAGTTATTGCGAGCTGCTGGATCGTCGGTGGACATCAAGAGCTACTCAGGATTGGCCTCACCTTACGGGAGCACTCTTGCCTGGACAGTCGGAACACGAGTCAAATGCTCAGCGCTCAGCGCTCTTAGTGAAGCGCTAGCTCAGGCTCGGGGACACGACAACCCCGAGTTGTCCAATCCCGGCCTTGTCCCGACGTGTCATTGCATTCAGAATATCAAACAGCAGTTGCCGACCGAACGAACCTATCACGCTCGTAATTCAATGTGCCATGTACATCGAGCGCTGTTCCGAGTCCTCCCATATGTCGCAGATGAATCCCTGTTTGTGAATGAACTTGTCACGAGCCAGATGACCCTACTGAACTTACCTTTGTCCATTCTAGATGACGAGGTGTGTCTAGCGCGACGCCGTATCGCGTCCCATGCCCGACATGAGAGGATTACGTGACTGAAGATTCATGTCTGATCTTTGAAAAACTTGCGCGCTCAAAGGTGCTACCTCTAGATCGTAGCAAGAGTAGAGAATGTTGGAGCAGTCGCATCCGTTCTCCCACACTGCCCTCCCCTCGCTCCTCGAAACCCGAACTTGTCATCGATCTCGTTACGGAAGCGAAACTTCGAAGAAATCAGGCAAGACAGCGTCTATAGCCGAGTATCACACTGTCAGCGCGAGACCCGTAAAACGCGGAGGTGAACGTGATAAAAAGTCGTAACATTTCATGCCGGGCACGTCTGTCGTCATGAAAGATTATGAAGACGCTCACCGCCACGACCAGCATACAACGGTCGCCGATATCGCTCTCAATTCTCATCGCTGGACGATCCCATTTTACGACCCCTCTTCACCACTACGACTTGACGACCTTCTTTGTCCGTCATTTTCTTTCTTTTCCGAACACTGATCCACTGACAGGTCTCCCCTGAGCAGCGTTCTTCTAATCAGTTCTGCCCACCATGAAGTCTATCTCTATGAGCAGCCCTCTGCTTTTCTTGCTGGTCCTTTGCTTGTCCACATTCGGTCTTGTTTCTGCAGCTCCGCTGAGGTGGGTGTTTCCTGGGAGCTAATGCCTCAACAACAGACGTTGAGTGATTTGATGTGTTACAGGGAGTACGAGTACTGGGCGCGCTCAGACCCGTATGCTGAGGCATACTACAAGGCTAGAGAGTGGGCCGAGTATCCGACGTTCGCGGTGCGAGCCTCAAACCCTGCGCCGCCGGCCAAACCGCCAACTCTCAACTTCAAATGGAGTAAGAATGCTGAGGACAATCTGAAGTCGCAGACAGCAGAAGAATTTCATGGACAGGACCCGAAGACAGCCCAAGAAAACATAGTGAAGGATTACTGGCAGCGTACAGCCGCTGTCGCGCACGCCACCACCGCCAAGATCATGTCAGTTTTATTTTATATTTTGATGGGACCCATCCTGAGTGCTTATATTTTTTTAGCCGAGCTGCACACAAGGGTGGAACCGACCCCACTGAGCCTGACCACATCACTGTCGGGTTCAAGGATGCGAAGAAAAACGAGTTTAGTGGATATGCGTACCATGTGTACACGGGCCGCACGTAAATTAGTAACAGATCGTGAGGCTTGTCGATGTCGTGGTCAAGTTTAGCCATTCTGGAAATGCACCCTCTTTTGCATCATATCATTAGGTTGGAATATGAACATCAGGTAATGTGCCAGGGCTCTACTGAGAATGAGATACCCTCATATGTTCATTCAATGACATTCAAGCGTAAGCTCACCTCCAACAGATCAGAATACCGCCGAGAACATCAACTGCCACGATCGTGAAGACAGCAGGCCGAGAATTCACCTTGGTCCATGTTGTGCTCCGGCGTATTAGTCGATTGTCCAGCCATTAGCAGAAGGCAACAATGTTCCGGGATTTGGAAAGTAGCGGCACTCACAGTACGGATGCGACGGGGATTTCGAGCAGATTCGGCGTCTATGTTTCGCGGTTTGAGTCGATCAGTAACCCAATTTTTTGTAAACGCACCTTTCGGACGAACACGAACACGAATCCCTCGAGTATCCATAACACTGAAAGTCAGCGGATATATTCAAGGACGGTCTGAAAGCTACTTTTCGAGACGTGTCGATTCCGATAAGGACGAGCTGCTCCAGCTTGATTTTTTGCTCTCCGAAAACCCTGTTCACACCGGCATTAAGGGCTAATGTCTGAAACACATCAATCGCTCATATTGATCATTTCCGCACTTGAAGGTAAATGCCCCACTGATCCGGTCACCATGATTTGGTCACGTCATGAATCAATCCTAAGTACGTGGTGTCATCATATCTTCTAGACGGCATAAAATGCCCTGGAGGATCGTTCTTAGAAACAACGGCTTACCATAGTTACCAAGTGCAGGGGCTGGACGATGACTACCACATAACATCTATGCCATAATATCAAATGTGCACGCGACCACGCCGGCTGTATGAGAGAAGCCGTGCGTGAATTAGGGAAAGCTCACTATCGGCTTGCGCAGACGAGCGGCTCGCGCCGGGTGCCTACATGAGCTCTAGGAGGCAGATTATGTCTTGCCTATGCACATTGCGTTATAGCAACAGCGCCGACGTTGCCACACCATGAAACTGCTCACAAATAACTTAACAAGCGCATCAGACGTGGAACGAAAGTGCCTCAGAGAATGATGAACGACCCTTTTCACCGTGTCAGCGCGCAGACTTTGTTTTCGATCCTGGACATCGAAAGTGCTGGAAATAAGTGCCGTACCGGAAACAACCGCTATCCTTGCCCTTTTGCACCGCGGGCGGAGGCCGTTGTCCAGAGCTTGGACATGTCCCGAACACCGTCTGACAGGGGGTGTTATTGGTTGATATCACCATTGCATGCTTGCCAATCAAGGTGCAATACCCGCAGTCTGGGCACACCCTCCGAAAACATTATTCCTACCGTAAAGTGTCCAGGCTTCGGACAACGGGCCATGCCCGCTGTGCAGACCAGCGAGATCAGATTGTCTCGTTAAAACTCAGTCAGTGGGTCGGAACAAGCCCGCACAATAGCCTAGTAAAGCCGCGAAAGCGGACACCATTACAATAAGTCGTCATGATGTACTGATTTCGGGAACAGCATATTGTCAAAATTTAGCGAGCACAAGTGAAGCATACAGCACATAAAAATTGTTTGCCCAGAATGAACAGACGGAAGTATTGGCTACTAGAACAGGATAGTGCTGCAATTAATAAGGTTTGAACCATCTACGGAAATGTCCGGGCCGCAGTGGCAAGTTCTGAGTCCCCTCAAGCGCCGGCGCGGAATACCACAGAGTACTAAGTATTGACCTGGATGTCACTTTTAACCTGTGCACTAGGTTATTCCCTCCCGCGCATAGCCCTCCGAGATTAGGCATATGCACGTCGATCAATGCAGTACATCCCACGTACGTCCCTTACTTACCAGGCGAGTGTGCAATGTGCTGTGCTCATCAAGCGTTGCTTCGACCCCGCGTCTATCGTATATCATCCCTGTATACAGATGCATGCCTAATTAGATGGACCAACCGGTGCTACTTCTGCCATCCTAAGCACGTGGCGAAGTGCGTCTACAACGATATCGCATCCCGTTCCTAGTTGGATATAGGGAGATAGATGTGACCTAAGGTTCGTGTGCTAGTCTGCGGTGAACTTGCATGCTGAAGAGGGCTACCTTTATATTGTGACGAGAGCGGTAAAAGTTGAGACGCACTCGTACTTCTTAAACCGACCCACTCGAAGCCCGAATTTCACCATTAAGCTTTCCATGTAAGTAGGGCTTCGGGGATGTCAGCGACGCGGCCAGAAGCGGTCAATTTGTATGGTCGCAGGAGTTCAAGGACCACACGATCAGAGTCGAAACTAGGCGATATCTTACAGAATGCCGAGGTGAAAATATTCTAACACTTGATGTCGGGCAGGGTTGCGAGCGCCGCCTCGGGACGCCCATAGCTACAGCGAGTATAAAACCACCATCGTGTCTGTTCCAAAGCCGTATCGCTGGACGATCCCATTTACGACTTCCCTCTACGACTACGACTTGACGCCTTTTGTTGTATGTCCCTTTCTCTTTTCCGAACACCGATTCACTGACAGTTCTGCGCTGACCAGTGTGCTTCGAATCACTTCCGCTCATCATGAAGTCTATCTCTTCCGGCAACCCTCTCCTTTTCCTGCTGTTCCTATGCTTGGCCGCATGTGGACTTGTCTCTGCGGCTCCGCTGAGGTGAGCAGTTCTCGGACACTCAAGGGTTATAACAATGAGTGTTGAGGGCGTTTGTCATAATACAGCGATTACGAATATTGGGGACGCTCGGACCCGTATGCTGAGGCGTACCACAAGGCAAGAGAGTGGGCCGAGCACCCAACGTTTGCAGCGCGAGCGTCAAGGCCTGCACAGCCTGCCCAACGACCGAATCTCAGCATCTGGTGGAGTCGCAATGCTCGGAACGATCTGACGTCGCAGACATCTGCCGAATGGGGAGGGCACCAACCACAGGCGTACCAGGAGGCATTGGTGAGGCAGTACTGGGCGAGAACCCCCGCGGTCGCGCACGCTACTGGTGCCAAAATCATGTCAGTTCCACTGCATCTTGTGATTCTGATCTGCCCCACCCTGATTGTTCATTCTCCGTAGCCGGGCTGCACACAAGGGTGGAACCAACCCCAGGGAGCCTGACCACATCACTGTTGGATTCAAGGATGCTAACGGTGATGAGATCAATGACCACGCGTACCATGTGTACACGGGCCGCCAGTAAGGTGGTGGAAGGTGTCAATGTCGTAGTCCTTTTTTGCCATTCTGGCAATGCACATTCCTTTTTGCATCATATCATCAGGCTTGAATAGGAAATGTGGGGGATGCGCCAGGGCTATGTGAGGATAGGCTCGTCGCCCATATGTGTCCAAGCATGAGCTCGCCCTTAACAGATCAATTACCTACCATAAGTGCTATCGAGTTTTAAGCATGCCATTTGCTCAGTCACATCGGCATTACTACGAGCATGTAAATGAGCGGGCCGTCCGAGTTGCTTCGCTGTTCGAATCATGAAATATGGCAGGCCGATCATTCACGGTCCATTTTGTGTCCGGGCATGTTAGTCGAGTGTTGAGCCGCATTCGGAAGGCAACTATTTTCCGGTATCAGAGAGGTATTGTTATACTGCCCACCGAGCTGGTTCGTCAAACATTGATTGAGCTGCGATGGTAGGAGTAAGTGGAGCACTGATCGACGGGGCAGAGGCGGGTAGTGGCGGGCGGCGGGCCGACGCGTCTAGCGACCTCCGTCGGGCGTCTTGCAAGCCGGCGCTACATCCGAAGCAGCGCTCTAACCATGACGGCCAGCAGCGCAATAAGTAGCGCGCATGCGCATCTTGCGTTAAGACGCTCATCTATCGCACGCATCCCTGGAGCTGACTACTCACCATCGCTTGCAAGCATTGAGCTACAAATCTGAGCGGAATAATGGCGATCGCTTTGCCACCTACACCCATAGCAGCGAATGCTAGCCATGAAGAGAGTGATGAGCATGCGGAGGAGCATGCTCCTTTGATTGCGGAAACCGATCAGGCGAGTGATGTCGGACGTGCTCCTCCCAAGGCGGATCCGGAACATCGCTATGGAGACAACGCCTCACTTCCTATCGCATTTGTGAGTAGTACTCACAGCCTACTGTATTTGCTTCTGGAGTTATCACGAGCATAGGGCGCAGCAGTTGTACGTAGCGCACGGCACGAATAACGATACTGATGTTGAAGAATGCCGTTAATAGCTGATCTTGTTATTAACCTGGGCAATCGTATTTGCGAGCAACCCTTTTGCTCTCGGCTGGTTTTTTTACCACCCAGTCTTGCAAACTGCCTCTCTTCTGGCCTTCACTTATGGTAAGACTGCTTGGACATTTAGTGAAGGCAATTTGCGCTCAAGTTCATTGGTAGGTATCGTGACACTGCAGCCTACTGCACACGCGGACACGAAAGCGGCTGGACTCTCGCGACATCAGCGCGCCATGCTGCTACTCGGGTTCCCTGCCATTACGTTTGGCGTGTTTGCGATGTGGCTGAACAAGACAGTGCATGGCGCAGCACATGCGACCACCTGGCATGGTGTGAGTCGAACAATCCAACGCCCTTCATGGATCCAGGCTAACGTCACTGTGGTTGCTCCATAGGTGTTCGGGTATATGACTATAAGCTGGATGGTAATCCAGGTTTTGATTGGCGGTGGGAGTGTATGGTTCGACGGTCGTCTTCTCGGTGGCAGTTCTCGGGCCAAACGTGCATGGAAATATCACCGGTGAGCCTCTCCTCCTCTCCTTTTGGCCGCTGGCTCACGTGCATTACAGGCTGTCCGGCTACTTGCTGTTCCCGATGCTGCTCTTCACCATCCATCTTGCCGGGTCCTGGTCTGACTGGGTCACGATGAGCAGCTTGTATGCTATCAGAGTGGTTGCATACGATATCGCACCGCTTGTGCTATTCGCAGCCATCCTGTCTCGTGTCAGGTATGTCCAAGCATGATACCACTGGCAAACGTCTGATGAGGGATATGGCACTGGTTTCAGGTTGTCGAAAATGAAGATACTTTGATGGCGAGGTGAACACCCCTGGGATATTATCTCGCACAAGGGCGCACCACCGATGTCCCGTACAAACGAAATTTATTCCGCTCCATGCGCTCCTAAATATCGTATCGAATTACCTCTTCACTGTGTAACGCAAAGTCGGAAGGATGTGCATCCACCTGTTGTATTTGTATATGGCTTTACCCTATCATGTATTGCCAGTTTGATCTCGCTGAGGAGTGGCCTTGAGGACAGTCGTTCCCAGGCGGATCGGAAACTCGGGTTCATATATATACATATCACATATCGCTGCTAGCCTTCTCACAACAAACCTTCTACGTCCATCCCTGCTCTACCTCCTGATCCCCTCTACTCCTCAAGTCTCCACGTAAGGAACAATTGTTACTGTTGTTACCCATAATCATCAACGGCCATTTTGCTGGTAGACATCAAGTCTACCGACGTATGATAAGCCAGACACCAAGGTCCATCTGCATCAAGGATACGCCACAAATGGGCCGCCTTGCACTGCGCCTTGTTGCAATGTGATGTGAGATTGTATCCAGAAACAGCGAACGAAGGGTTGTAGGATCTAACACGCGGACTTCAACAATGGAACGCGTCTCTCAGCCACGGATGGTCCAGCAGCTCCGACGCCGATGGCCTGTCTCTGTAGTCGAGATGCAGGCACTCGCGGATAAACGCCGCGGCAGGCGCGATCTCGTTCTCGGGCAGGATGTTGTAGTTCGCCAGCGCTTCTTCGATGCTGACGGGAGACAGGTCGGGGATCGCGCGTACGCTCCCTGCACGCCGTGTCAGCTCCTGGTACTCAACGTGCGATCAGAAGCGCCACGCACCAACACCGTCGAGGTATTCGTCGCGCAGCGCAGCGTGGTCGAGCATGGCGGTGCCGAACCACTCGCTTGTGAACTCAAGCATTTTCGCGAGGTGGTCTTCCTCGAGACGCCAATGCTCGGTTGCTTCCGGGTGGAAGAGCCACCGGCCCGCGAGCAACTCAAACGTCTGCGCCCACCACAACGTCAGCAATCTACAGACGAGACATGAGGCAGTCGCAGCGTACAATACAGCCGACAGCCCAGATGTCGAGCATGGGCCCAAAGTCCGAGCGCAGGATGACCTCGGGCGCACGGAGCGGGTAGGCGCTGAACTCGTCTGTCGTCGGCTGCTTGCCCGCCCACTGCCCCTGCCCGAGGTCTGCAAGCACGCAGCGCATCAGCTCGGCGTCGAACGCGTTCATCTCGGGCGAGAAGTCGGTCGGGATAGGTTGCGCGCGGAGCAGCGGATGGCGCTCCCCGTTCACCTCAAACTCCCCTTCGATCGCTGGCGGCTCGGCGAGATACTTCTCTACCTTCTCTGTGTCCGCGCCGACGGTGAAGAGGATGTTGTCAGGTTTCACATCTGCCCGCGCGCCAATCAACTGTCAGCGTTGTCCGTGACGGCGCCATAGGCGCCTACCTGTGTGCACAATGCCGCTGTCGTGTAGGTACGACAGCGCCTCGACGACCATGCTTATGACGTTCCGCACAATGTGTATAGGCAGGGCCTGCTTGGGATGGCTGCGGCGGAACGAGGAGATGTCTGACCCGAGCAGGTTCATGACAATGCACAGGTGCGGGCCTTGCACGCCCTGCTCCTCAAAGTGATCCCGGAGGAGCGGGAGACAGTCAACTTCTTCGCGCGCGGTAACAGTTTCTAGGAACTCCAGCTCGCGCATCTGGCCGGCCTTGTGTCTTCGCGTGCCATCCACGGTGAGAATCTTGGCGGCCATGTACTTGAACCCTGGTCTGGGTGACAGTCGCATCGATGGACGGTACATAAACTAATGGGAACGCACTCGTCGGTGTTTTTGGACACCAACCAGACTGAGGAGTAGACACCAGATCCGAGCTTCCTCAGGACTGTGTAGCGGCCATTATTAAGAGCAAGACCAGGCCACGCAGGGAAGTAATTGAAGTCAAAGGGTGCGGGCGTAGACATGGCACGAGTTCGGAGCCAGCAAGTAGAAGATGAGAGGTACTTATAATAATTGAGCACGCGAAACACAGCCAGAGTGAACTGAATATGTGGTACGCAGACAGGGGATACTTATATCCGTCGTGGCGATGACCATGGTGCACTGTATTACAGATGAGTAGTAGACGCTCACGCAAAATCAATCATGGATCCCCGACGAAACCGGAGGGAGGCGGGGGTTTCGGTTGTTGATCTGTATGGGTGCTGTGCGCTGGATGATCTTGATTTTGTTTCCCGTCGACTCGAAAGAAATCCGATGTCTCCGGCGGCGTCGGCTACAGATTCTCACGCCACCCGGCCTCAAGTTGATCGCCAACGATTTGCTCCATCAGGCTCGAGCCTCAGGCGAGTGAAAGTAGCAATACTCGTTAAAAACCCAATGCGGCCTTCTCAATGCGGAACGATACTGAGGTGTTTAACAGTTAAATACGCACAGTAACTCCCCAGCGGGAATGTAGCTGAGGCTACATATGTCCATAAAGCAGCGTTCGAGTCCTGTATCACGAAGGAGAGTGCACTGTCAGAACGGCAATAAAACTGACTACTATTTTGATAATACTCTGCGTGCATCAGAGGGATCGTGATTGCAGCACATCGATTCAGGAAGAAGCTTCACCAATGAAACGCTGTGAAGGCCTCGAGGGCTTGAGAATGTCTTCAAATTCTAAATTCATAAATAGGCGTCACGTCGAGGTGGCCGCAGCAGGCGTCGCATGAGGTGGACCGTGGTCCAATCGATTTGGCGCTCGTTCCCAGACATGCTTCCCCGCACCCCGCAGAGATATGGAGTCTATACATCCTCAACTTACACGTGTACTGTTCACTACTAGTGAGTATTGATCCCTGGCGTCCGGTATACTACTAGCAATGATTCACAAACTCTGCCCAAGCCCTTGCAGAAACGCTCCAAGCTAAAAAAACTTCATCTTCGAAGGTCTAGTCAATGATTGGAAGCATAGTTAGAATGGTGGATCTCACATGCTCCTATTGCACGTACCTTACGCGGACGAACACAGCGACTAGTAGCAACGCAGGTGCCACGTAGTACGCCAAGATACGTATCCAGAGTGGACTGTTCTGCGTTCCCCAATGTGACCACGCGCCTCCAAGGTGAGTGGTCAAGAGTAGAAGTGGAAGGAGCAGATATCCAGACAACCTGTATGCGACGTCAAAAGTCATTTAGAAGAAAGAAACGTTGGGGGCGCACGTACCGATGATATTTCCACACGAGCTTTGCTCGTGGATTACCGCCGAATATCCGACCATTGAACCATACGCTCCCACCGCCAAGCAAGATCTGGACAACCATCCACCCGGTGGTGATGTATCCGAACAACTGAGGGGGGGGGAGGCAGAACCAGATGTGTGAGCGTTTATGCCCCGTGGTCGTTACAATAATGACTCACACCATGCCAACTCCTCGCATGGTGCGAGTGGTGGACCGTTTTGTTCAGCCATATAGTGAAGGTGCCGAGGAAGATCAGGGGAAAGGCTACGAAGAGGATGGCTACTTGATGTCGAGTCAAGCCTGCCGCCTTCGTTTCTGGATTTCTTGTAGGCTGCAATGTGAGTACGCCTAGATGTATACAAGTTACACGGATTCACATCTCAGCATATTAAACGAGATGATCCACTTACCATAAGATAATGCAAGTATAGACAGGGTCTCTAAGGTTGGGTGGAAGAAGAACCACCCCCGAGTGAGGGGCTCATTGCTGAACATGACTATCCATGTTGCCACTGCGATCGCCTGTCAAATTCCGATTATAGATCAGACTACGTCGAGATGTGTTGTTCCGTGCTACCTACACCTACGCTGACCTATGACCCATGTCAGTACGCCCTACATGAACAAAAGGGGCTCTGTAGACGCACGATCGCCATCCAGAGCGCAATATCGTCCCCCTTTCGACACTCTGGAGCCGTGTCGTGACCCACCAGCTCCTGCTTTGTCACGCCCTCTTCGACGTCAGCCTCATCTCCATTTGAAATCAAAGGTTGGTATTCGACATCCTGATGCTTGTCGACGCTCGCCGCGGTCGAGGTGGGCACTGGCAGCAGTGCGAAGGCCATGGGTAGTAGCTATCTGTATCAGATAAGATGCAACTTAAGGCTGATGGTGGTACGTCCAATCTCTTATATATACGCGGCTACGATAGCACGAGCGTTGATAGGGTGTCGCCGGACGACATGTGAAGTTGCCTAGAGGTGGCCAGAGGCTCGAAGTGCAGCGATGTCTCCGCCGGACCAGTCAAATGCAACTGATCTCGTTATGCTTGGCGGAGAGGGCGCCTATCCCATCCGGCACCGCCCGAAACAAATAATCCCGGTCCCGGTACCTCGGACTTAGTGGATCTGAGATCAACGAAGACACCAACTCAACGCGTATCTCAGTCGTGCCGCTGCTCATAAGGCTGACTTGATCTAAGTAGGTATCTCATCGTTATGATGGCACTGTCGGTAATCGACTGATAGGGCGTCAGAGCTTTGGGACAACTCAGTATGGGAGGTAAGTCACGGACTATTCAAACGATAGTTCGTAGTTGACTCGTCTGCTGTGTGAGATTTCCCTCAGTTCCGCGGGAATATGTGCGTGATCCTACAGTGCTTCCAAGCAAAGCACTTGTATCTGAATGAATTTTGCGTTCAGGTGAAAATCGTTACAATGCATGCGAGCTACGCATATTGTTACGCAAGGAAGTCTTGCGGGATAGTGATCATATACACTCGCACAAAGTCACAACCTCAAACTCAGGCTGCAAACATTCCTTGGAGATATGTTCCGCGCTGATGAGGAGAATGTCCGCAATTGTCCCTGGGCTACCTGTGAACTGCAGAGTAGCTTCCACCTGGTTTCCGTCGGCACGCTGCTGATGCTCTGCGTGAGTACCGTCTGAAAAAGCCAGAGTTTGTAGGTCATAGACTGTGGGGGACACTAACCTCTCCAAGCTGCAGCAGCTCCCTAGCGAAATGTTCGCTTAACTTCTTAAAACTATTGGAACCTCTCCTGCTCTTGACATTGAATTGCCTACTGCTATATTCTGCATTGGTCGGCCACTATGATCGCTACTGAGCTGGGAAAGCACAAGAAAGACAACTGTACATACATTAATACGCAACTTGATCTTATCCTTGTGCGTGCACATGCTCGCCCTAGTGTCCCACTGGGAGGATTTAGAAAGTGGCATTCCTCGGCCCCAGTAGACTCTATGCAAGCGTTGTTCAAGGGCCTTTGTCATTATGGCATGCCCATCTACATTCCGACACTAAATGCATTAAGCGTGGCCCACAAATAAAAGAATATCGAGAACATACTGGAAGTAAATAGCATGGGGTCCAGGACTGGCCATGCTTGAATCCGGCGGAATATCGGATGTCCCGCTCGGTACTACGCCTGCCCATCGAGAATGAGTACCTAGGCATGAGGGATCACTTGTTTGACTTGGGAAGGCCTGGAGCAAGGCTTGATGAACTAGAAACGACGAGGGGCTGACGATTTATATGCAGCTTCAAAGAGTAAGAGGCTAAGGATATCGACGATTGCGGTTGTTGATATGTCATACAATTCAATAAATTGCGATATCAGACTAATTAGATAAGGGCTGGGAGGGTTTATACCACACGCCTTATGAAAGTGAATTTCTAGATAGCCAGCACCTAGGAGACCTTACAGCAGTTAGTATTTCATATGCTTCCGAAAAAGGCAATATGTGTCCTGCTAATCGGATATCAATGGCACGCAGCCCGTGGTAGATATGACAACGTATGACTCTTCCGTGAGAGAAGAGTCAGAAGACTTTCTCCTGCTTCGTGCAAAAGATAGCTCATTGTAGAATATCTTGAAATTAAACTCTGCTATCGTGAGACGCACGTGCTCAGTTTACCTTTAGGGTAAATGCACTGACAGGATTAAGCCACAGGCGCCAGTGGAGGATGAGCTCAGAGCGTGCAGTTGGGTGGCTGCGATTTTGAGTGTGCTCACGGGACCTGTGACATACGGTGGCGGTCATCTCCGAGTCATGCGGTTATTTAATGCCATATAAGTCATGAGATTGAGTAGCAGGGAGGAAGCAGGGATATACAAGAGACAGGCAAAGCCAAGAATCTTACATAGTAAAATAAGCAGAGCAGCAGGATAAGAGAGCGTGGTAACAGCAAGAACGAAAGCAAGGATGGAGCGACAAATGAGATGCAAGGCTAGTCATGAACTATAAGACTGTTGCTGAATACATCTGGGGATACTCGGGGGAAGGGACCTATCGCGATAAGCGACTCTGTGAGCATAGACGGAAGTGAGTATGAAGGATTTGACGCACCCGCCCTTCTGCCATGAGCGCCCGTATTTTATCGGCGCGGGATGATTTCGAACTGCGCCTGAAGGCTGGAATGCGAGACGTGATCCACGCCCACTAGGACGATATCTTCAAATCGTATGTGATCTGGGCCTATCTTCCATTCATTATTCTCCGGGCCCCTGTTACCATGGACCTTATACGGGTTGTTAGACGCTTGCATGTGAAGCCGCGTAGAAAGCTGCTTACCTGGAAAAAGCGCTCCATTTCATGAGCTATGATGAACGCCAACTCCGCCCGGCTGATGAGTCCGTTCCTGATGCCGAACTGATTGCTTGGGAAATCAGGGTACGATGGCCACTGGAAGAAGCAGGCTTAAAAAGTACCCGACAAGTATGCTGCCATATGACACTTACATTCATGCGCAGCTGCGATTTGACACCCGGCAGACTTGGAAATGCCGGCTCGTTCATGCCCTCCATCCGGAACTCTTGAGCGAGACATGCACTCAGCAAAACACCTTGTGGCATTCCAGGGCGACGATACGAAATGGGTTCGTTCCCTCGGAAGTGTCCACGTTGAGACTTGTATGGTCGCTGTGGCACTGGTATCTGTCTGCGAGCCTAGTACAGACCGCTTCGTTCATGTGAATGGTGTAGCGTTCAGCACGATGGCTCACCGGTACAAGGGCATTGCCCATGCTTGTATAGCTGCTTACGCGAGCCAAGACAGGAACTGGATACCATGGGTGGCTTTGTTGGAGGTTGTACTCCCGGGTGGCAGCACTTCGAGAGGCTGAAGAGGAGGGCATCGAGGCTATAATAGAGAAGGGGGGGTGAAGAGAAAAGTATGACAAACGGTGTATGTCCGCGGCTGAGATCGACAGCACATAGAACACGGAAAAGCTTGTGAGACCTTTATAGGCCTCAGGAGGGCGGCGCATCATGGCGATGTCGCGCTATCGAGGTAGGCAGGTATCCGCAGTATCTCATTATCAGCTAGGGACGAGCATGTGCACGCCAAAGCCATGTGTATCGTGATGACGGTGAGGAGGAGGGTCTGCGAAGGGTATCATCACGAATATGGGACATCGGTGGATATCATGACAGTCGGCGGACAATTGCCGCTATTGCCTACATCAGGCAGGTCCAACCCCCGAGGTTTCACGCAAGACACGGGCAACGTTAAACCAGCCTGGCAAAGGCATGCTGTAATGGCGCAGCAGGACGACCCTTCTGACACGGCGAGTTGAGATCTGCGCCCGCCAGGCGCAGAATGTCGAGAACCCTATAGTGATAGACATTTAGACCCGGGATCGGCGGTGGAAGAGAATTGGTACCTCGCGTGCACTGGATATCGAGGCACATAATTGCCATGTCCTGTTGAAATCAAGGATATCTAATGGGTTCGGTATCATGATGCGAGCAACGAGAGGATCCATTGCGTCGCAGTTGTGCGTGCCTTCTGCGACGCACAACCGCATTTCAAAGCTTCACACAGGCTGTCGGGACTCCAGAGTGAAAATGACCCAGGCAAGACTTAACTATATCTTGGATATTACACTGTGCGTCAGTCAGTGTCTTAGAAAAGTCTCGCATGTAAGACGCTCGGATACGCACTGTATAGGTCAATATCTCTGCCCTAGTATACGCAGCAGTATGCATAGAACTTGCTAATCCGTCTAGGACTAGATATCACCGCGAGCGAAGCACAGATGAAACACTCGGAGATGTGTGAAGCCCATACAGCGGGTACGAATGGATTGGTCCGACGGGACTCAGATGTCTTTACACACAATGCGCTTTGGTCGAGCATCACAACAAGTGTGCTTTGGATAGGAAATCAGGAGCAAGCATCTGAGCGAGCGGTGACACACGCCGCGGCAGACGGCAGGACAAGGTTCCACGAGCAAAGATGGGGCAGACCTCCATATACTCTCTGGACCAAGCTGTGTAAAGAAACCGACGGGGCTAAAACGGGCTTCCATAGAATCCAGACAACTGGGAGACATGGCCATCGCTATCGGAAGCACCGCGCTGAAGACAGCTGCTGTGAATTCGACGTGCTAGACAGTGCGCTGCCATAGCATAGCACGCACCGCATTGTGGTCCGTGTAGGCTTCAGGGACGGACTCATCCTCGGATGTGTGCAGTTTCCAACGCCTAATCAGGCCAATGGATATACATGATAGCCATTGAAATCTACCGATTTGTTTCGAGGCCCCCCAATATTGCGGAGGGTGCCAGATTACACCACTGTCTCGCGCCTGCAGCGTGTCCGTCCTTCTCCATCCAGGGGCGTTCTTCGTGTGAAATCTTGAGGCACATTACCGCAATAACGAATTATCGAGATATCTGGCCTTCTGCGAGTAATCTGGGAGGAAGCTCGGCGTACATGGATATCCACAAGGACCAATACCATCGAGATCAAGCGGAGTGCGCGGAGAAGTTAGCGGGCGTGCGCGGACCTGGATCACGCCCAGAGCGGCACCGCCGGACCGCCCTTCCCCTCGGGGCCCCGTGGGGAAGCGCATGCGTCGCGCTCGACGACCTCCAGTCTCTCGACCACGATGAGGCCCACAGCCTATCTCCTTCAACGCCTCGTCTCTCAATCATCCTCGCGCCCGCGCAGCGTGAGCTTTATCGGTCTCGGCCGTATGGGCTCTGAGATGGCGTACAACCTCTTCTCGCGTACACTCGTCGAAAGCGGTGGCAGTGCGCACTTTGTCGTCTGCGATGCTCGCCAGGCTACTGCAGAGGCCTTCGTCTCGAACTTCACGCAGCAGTTTCCTGGGGCTCATGTGGATGTTGCCAGCACCCCCGCAGAGTGAGTAGTGCCCCTCCTGTGCAGTCGCGCGAGACGTGCGAACGTCGACACTGACAGGGCCCTCGTCGCTTCGCAGACCGTGATGACCATGCTACCATCATCGCCTCATGTACGCACCGTATACGCCGAGGCGAGCGGAGTCATTCCTGCTCTGCGCTCGCTCTCGGAAGAAGACGCTCAATCAACTATGTGCATCGATTCTACCACGCTGGACGTTGACGTCGCGCGGGGCATTGCAACAGACGTGCGTAAGGCCGGTGCTAGCGTTGTTGATGCACCGGTCTCTGGCGGCGTTGCGGGCGCCAAGGCTGGAACTTTGAGCTTCCTTGTTGGGGGGACGAAGGCGGCCTTCGACCGTGCGGAGCCGACGCTTGCGCACATGGGCAAGAAGATCATTCACTGCGGATCGTCAGGGGCAGGGCTCGCTGCGAAGATCTGCAACAACCTCGTGCTTGGCGTGCAGCAGATCGTGGTCGCAGAAGCCATGCTGCTGGGGCAGAAGCTGGGGCTGGAGGCACAGGTGCTCGCTGCGGTGATCAATAGCTCCACTGGCGCGTGCTGGGCGAGTTCGGTCAACAACCCTGTGCCGGCAGCCGTGCCGGACAGGTCTCCCCCATGTGAACGCGACTTCGAGGGGGGATTTGCAACGAGTCTCATGCTTAAGGTAAGCGGTTGTCCTGATTCACTAGTGACGATTCGGGAGGTTGACTCGTGGCTTCCAAGGACATGGGCCTTGCGAAAGATATTGCCGAGGCGATGAAAAGCCCACTACCTCTTGGTTCAGCCGCTGAAGAGATATACGCGGATGTGATTGAGGATGACCCTGAGCTTGCGAACAAGGACTTCTCGTCCGTATATCGCTATCTGCGTTTAGCTGCGAATCAGAAAGCGTGAGGTTGTCCCAATGCTCAACATGTACTATCATCGTTCCCTACGGATGCATATTCACAGCAAGGTACTTTCCGCTAGTAATGTCCGCCGGAGACGCCTTTTCCAGTGTCGTTGTTCTGCATTACTCGACTAGCAGCGCGCAATTCAAATACGAACTTCAAATGCGGATGCTGCAAACCATTGCTGCCTGTACACTATTCTACACCGTCTCAACATCGTGAGTATTTTCTGACACTCATGAAACGCTAATAGCCCCAGTCTCAAGTTTGGAAACTTGTACTGCCCACAGACAGGCCCACCCCTGCAAAAGATCGCGCGGAGTACGTCCCTTCTAATCTCCAATTACTGGCTAGATATGAAAGTAAATGTCTCGCACTCATTGCAACATTGTTTATACTTACATTGGGCATCGAATCCGTCGTCGACCGAAAGTCGTTCTCTGCTCCAGTCGGCTCACATCGTTTTGCAGGTTCTCTAGCGCTAACATCGTACGTCGGTGCTCTTCATCCATCCCATTGGGCCCGGATTGCAGGGTCTGCACTTTCTCAGTGAGACGCGCGATCTGCCTCTCCAGCTGGCTGCGTAGCTCTTTGCCTGCTGCTGTGCTTTTGACATCTAGTCTATCCTCGACCAGCTCAACCTGCATTCTCAGCGCCGTAGGATTGTTTCCTAGGAGTTGCATTACCACTTGCCGTGCAGATTCTTGATTGTTGTAGTGCCGAACCATCCGTGCGCCTTTGTCGATGGCATCCTTAAAAAAGACGGAGTTGCTAGCGAGCTCCTGCTCCCTTCGTGCTCCCATCTCGCCTGTGACCGCTTCCCACATCGTCGTAACGATGGAGACTACTCTCATCGGATTATCCCCACAGATCTTCGAGAACAGTCGAAAGCTCTCCCTGCCGATACCGCCTACTCGACGGTCAGAGATGCGATGCATATAAATCAGTCCGGAAAGGCGCTTGTTGTCCTGGTATCTGTGTGTGGGCTTGTATCAGCATTGAAGCCTTTGAATCCAAGAGAGTGCTTTCTCACGTGGCCTTCAGGTAAGCAGCAATCTCATTCAAGACATCCGCTTGCGATCGTGTCGTGTCATCAAAGCCTGGAGTGTCGATCATCACGACGTCCATCCCATTCAACCTGCAGGTGGCTGTCTGGATCTTGGTTGTGCAAGACTCAAGGCCTGAGCTGACGGCAAGTGCTGATCCGCAGACTAGGTTGATGAACTACGGTACGTAGTTAGTGCTAGCTCCCGCGCGAAGTTTCAACCTACTGATGTCCTCCCGACGCCAGTGGGTCCAGTGACTCTGTAAAGCAACGATGTCGGAGACCATTGGTATACATGCCATTGCTGCAATAAACATAGACATACGCAATGAACTCTGTGCTGATTAGGTCCGTCAACATCTGGCCTGAAGCGCATGCGACGGAAAAGAATGAAGTGAGGCTTTGTATCGTCTCCTCATGTACTCTCTGACAGGCCTGTATCTCTCGACCGCTGACTGGTAGACTATCTGTTCATCTTGCTACCGCGGTATCTACACTCGGGTTACGGCATCCATCTGAAGCTTATCCGCCCTGGATATGGCTTCTCGCACCAGAAGCGCATCGAGCACACCTATCCGGCGAATCGTCTTTGTGGTTCCACCTTGAGGTAACCTCGTGTTCAGTCTTGCTCCATCTGACTCCTCCCGTGTCTTAGGAAAGACATTCCGGGCCACTACTGCCGCAGCATATCAGGAACGCAAACATCACAAGAAGTACCCTCCATACAAGCCATCGACGCACAATAATGCTATGTACGCATGCGAGCAAACAACCTTTTGAAGCCGGACTTCAGCTTCGTCCAACGGTCTCCATCTCCCTCCAACCACTTCTCGAGTTGTGGTTCGAACGATTGCTGCAGCAGCAGCGCACGCAGGATAACAAAGACACCGTCTCGATCCCTATCCCCATTCAAGCTGCGGACATGGCTTTTGACCTCGGGATGTTTTTGAAAAAACTGGTTCAACGCTTCAGGAAGCGCGACGCCGTTGGAAATGTCATCTATAGCGTCCTGCGAATGTGTGACAGAGACTGTGCTCCCCGACAGTACGGCTTCTGCACCGGTCGAAGTCGCCATTTCCCCCGCGGCACTGTCACCCTGGGAGTCTCCTTTGTCGGCCACTGTCTCCCCGGTCTGTTCCACCCTGGAAGATGTGATTGCGACGAAAAGGCTGCTCATTTCCGTCTGCTTGTAGATCTCCTCCAGTGCCTGAAGCATATCCCGCAGTTCTTCAGTTAGTCGATCACCTTCACCCATGCTATACACCCAGATTACTCCCGCCAAGCTTTCAATGCGTCTGAAGGAGTGGCGTGATATGTAAGTAGTCAATATAGCGCCAGTCCTTATCTATTCACCTTTCTTGGAGCGTGTGAGCAATTTTCTTCTTGATACCTGCGACTGAAAGCTGGGGCCAATGGACCATTGTCCCACAAAATCCCGGAGTATCGATAATACAAAATTGAAGATTGTTTTCGTTGACATTATACACCTTGACATTTCGCTGATACGATCTGAGCCCCCGCATGCGATTTTGTTCGGCTTTTTTCGGAGCAACACCACGGGCAAGGTGAACGAGCTAGCGCCGTCTTCGCGTCAACAGTGATGACTTATAGAAAGGCATCAGTGTCCTTACTGTTGTCTTTCCGCTTTTCGCCAGACCAAGAACGCTGTTACCCAATGAGTACTGTGCAGAAGGCGCAATAGCTGGGACTGCATACAGAATACTATGCTTCTTGCGTTTAGGTGCAAAGAATCGCATCGCGAGTTGTATCAAGAGCACGAGGGATTAATATCCGAGTCGGAAATGAAGAAGGGTGAGGCTGCTTCGCTACTTCTTTGTGTAACGCGCTTACAGAAAACTTGGTTATATATGCGGTCGAGTTGATGCTGATGGGATTGAACTACATCAAGGAATGGAACAATATGGTGTATACCAGGATATCTGCCACCCAGCCACATCAGCCGCCTGTCGATAAGACACCTTCCATGAGCAGTGGACGCCGTCACGCTGCTACCTGACATTTCAAAGAACCGTGCGTGAGACTGCAGATAGTCATTCATGATCAAGGTAGCTCCTATTGACGCTAACACTACAGCTCGGCCCATGTATAGCGCGCGCTCAAAGAACTCAAAAAGTCCCTTCGCTGCATAAAAGCGCGATACGAGGAGAGAGTCTATGCGAGGCGATACTAAGTATCGGTATCCCGCTCAGCTGCTGCCTGAAGGCATATATATATGCACTTCGATGAATGCCGCTCACCATTATGAGGAGCTTTGCAATCGTCTGCCTATCCATATATTGTGAGTATTAGGATCATGTACATAGTCCTCCTACTCATGCTGTAGACGGTACTGTGAAGATTGATAGGTTGCACGGGATCTGGGAAGACCTCTGTCAGTGCCAGATCTGGTATCGAGCTGTATAATTTCGTGTTGAAATGTGCTGTAGTTCGTCAATCTTGCTGCAGGGTCTGGCCTCAAGACGGCATCAGGTCCACATTCAGCCACACATCAGATACAGCCCTCCGATACAATATATATTGAGGGCTCATGCATTACTATAGTCGATACCCCAGGACTCGACGACACAACGATGACGAGCAATGAAGCGTTTGGTATACTTGTGGATTTCTTGATTCGTCAGTGCGTCATACCCCTACACGTATCTTCTCGCCTGACCTTTTTCTAACTATCCCAGATTTGACAAGAATGAACCCTTTCATGGCGTTATCTTAATGCACCGCATCTCCGATAACAGGATCGGAACGTCCACGCGGCAGCACTTCCGAGTGTTCCAGGAGCTGTGCGGACATGATGCGCTCAGGAGCTGTGCGGTCGTTTTCAATATGTGGGATACAGTCAGATCTGACATCCGTAATGCGCGCGAGGCAGAGCTCTGTCACAGAGACGTCTTCTTGGGCCGCGCTGTCTCCTCTGGGGCTCACGTCTTCCATCACGACAATACCGAGGAGTCCGCCCGCAAGATTCTGAGGCACTTCGCAAAGAGAGACCCGATAACATTATTGCTTCAGCACGAGCTTCTCATGCACCCGTACAACACAAGCGTACGATTGGCCTTACTGGGCGACAGAATCAAATCACCCCGAGGAGGCGTGGCGGCGCGATGCAGCACAATCAGGACACCGGGACAGAAAGAAGGGGAGACAGGTCGGCATTTGCGGCCTTCATGGTGGGCAATGTTTTGTAATCCCATATGGAATAATGTCTTTCCCTGGTTGGCTGGGACTATGAGGCGCTGGACGGAAAGTCGGATATGAGGTACGTGTTTCCCAGATGCGAAAAGGAAAGTCCCCTGTGACCGACCGCTTCACTAGAAATTCACACAGAGCCCGATTATCGCGCGGCGCGAACACACAACCACATCCACCTCGCTACTGGAAATCGCGGATCCTTCACAGCATGGCCTCATTATCAGATTCCAAATGCCACGGCGTCAGCAGTACACGTGTGGTTGTTATACATACTTTCTTCATATTCCGACGAAATCTTTGCGGCCGGAGTTGTACCAGCAATGAAAGTGGTTGTACATTTTAGATACATCGTGCTTAGCTCTCCGAAGGAAAGAGCGGGTGTGTGGATATACACACGCAGAACAATGCGTAGGTAGCGCGCTACCGGGAGTGCAAAAGGTCGTCCACAAGCCAGATACATGAATGTCTTAGCCAGGTCCTGGTAGTCGATGGCGGCCAGAAGCGTTTCGGTTTCCCGCTGTATCCGAGCCGTTAATCATCCAAACTCTTCGCATCCATGCATACACTGTAAGTATGTTCCGCGCGCGCTGTCCCTCGCATCACAGAGCACATGATGGAACGATCTGCCAAGTGGTCAGGGTATGTGACAGGAGCACGCAAACGAGCGGCAAAACGTCCGATGGCGATGGAAGCAGACTTCGAAGCGCAGGGGTTGTTTTGCCAGTCGCGAAGGCTTGAGCTGTCATGAAAGAAATGGCCCCAGCAGAACTGGGAGATCAGTTTCCATGGACAGACCATGGTGGAGCAATTCCTCCATGTCCTCAAGTTCGCATAGAAGGGCTGCGGCATAGCAATAGTAGATGATGTAGTGGAAAGATTTCGTCACCGTTGCAATTATAGCATGTGATAAATAGCATGCCGCAGCGGCTCGGAGGAATATGCAAAGCAGATTTTGTACCAAATGGGGACCCCACACGTCGATGGCTGAGCTCAATTTTGGGCGTGAGTGGGTCCCGGAAAATTAAGGACGCCTTTGACAACACTGGCGTCGCAAGGGTTACTCACTGACATTGAACTTCTTTCTACCGGTCCCTTGTATCCACCTCAAGGGTAATCAGAGAGCTTCGCTCAAGATTTCACTTGCACCAACAATGAAACACTATGATTGAAATAAGGTGATTTTATGACCCGGCATTGACGCGCTGGAACTGCTGCCAATGCTGCCGAAAACCGGAGCAATGCGAACCTGCGGATCCAGAATACACGAGTCAAGAAATTGGAGGCGGCAACACTAGGAACGGTCCAGATAAAGAGACGGGCTTTGACCAAGATTCAACTATGAGCTGACTCCCAATGATAAATTCGAGAATATCGAGATCGGAGTGATACCGGAGTTGATCGACGCCGCTTGCCAACTCCGCCGTGGCCGTGGCGGCGGGTTATCACGACAATAATTGGTCCCACACTGGTACCACGATGGCACAGTCCCGAGCGGTGAACATTGTATAGAGGAGTTAAGGTACGTCTCAGAGAGCACATACATGAAACTGTTTTGCCGGGATGGGGAGACGAGCGTCAGCGAGATGGAATGACACAGAGCACAGGAGCGGTTCGAATGCGGCTGTACTATGTGGTTCAATCAGATATTTGTGACACTTATCATAACTCACTAGTAGCCCTGGTGTAAACCCTGGTTTCTTTCTCTCTCCCTCTCTTTTCCCGCATGTGGCCCCGCTTATCTCTTGGCTATGGCCTTTTTCGAAACTCACGTTGGAGGTCACACTCAGTCATTCAGAACTTCAGGACAAGGGTCAGAGGAGAATATTTCAGACTGTATTTCTCGACATGGAGGTGTCTGCATTACAACGCTAAGTCTCCGGCATAGGTCGTTGGTCGAGTTTGAACGGAGTGCGCTCCTCTGAGTCGACAGGGGTGAGTGTTCAGCAATGATATACTCTGTACGATCTGATTGAAGTCCCTTCATCGCTTTCATATATCATGTGTAGACAAACAGGAAAATTGAGGAGATGCAAGCAGATAGATATTGAAGACACGCCGATTTGAATTACCGGCGCAGGAAGATCAAGGCGGAGAGATGACTCTAAACACGATGAGATCGAGAACGATGGAGCCTCTGCTGACAAATTTTAGACTACACAGACCGAGATCATCAATTGTGGTCGTGCTTGTGCCATGTATACCGTCTACCCCCACTGGGTTATGCCACTACAGATATCGATGATGTGAGTGGCCATCGATGGATCCGAGAACAAGACACTGACTGAGATGATTTCCCGCAAGCAATCGTCGACCTTTCTTACCAGTCCTTCTTTTGTGACCTTGGATGGAATGTTCAGCTGCTTGGAGGCGAAATAGTATTTGAGAGGTGCCGAGGAGTCTGCACACTGTGACAGCACAGTCACTTCGATTGTTGACTGATTGCATAGGAGTAGTCTGACCTTCATTCGGAAGGATGGCTTGAAACCATTCTCGTTCCCCCAAGGTTGCACATCCTTATCAGACATTCTGTCTATGGCTGTGCTCAAGTTCTTGCCAAGCCGAATGTAGTCAGCTTGCCCCGAAGAAAACGTCACAGGATCTGGGAATTTGGGCCGTCCGATACCATTGTCGTAGGCATCCTGCATCGTACGTTGCACACTCTAAATACGACTTGGTGATTGATTACCACATAGAGATGGCTGAACAGACACTAACCTCATGCTGTCTGTCAGACTCGGAGTAGCTCTCCAGCGGGATATCCTCTGGCTTCTCATCCTCATAAAACGTGTCTCCGACATCCATAGCACCATCATGTGGGTCGACGATGAGATCGCCCTCCATGGCTCTGTTTGCCGATCGCCGTTCTGGATCCAAAGCCCCCTCGAGCGAGCTATACGCACTGATTGCTTCCTGTGGGACGGGAGTATGAATGGCCGAGGTAAATTTGATAGGTTCGTGTTCTCCCAGATCACGGCCATGGTTGTGGTTATCCTGTGCAACGTCTACCAAACGCAAGCCGAGCGAGTACTCCAGTGATGACGGGGAAGCGCCGTCTGAGGAAAGAAGAGCTGTGAGGAAGCAATGTTCAGCGCAGCTCGCACTGAAGGTGAGTGAGAGTGGAGTTGTTACGTCGGACATCACTGGTGGAGTCACTGACCTTGTCTGCTTAGCTTTAAATATTCGCGCTGTGTCGGTATTCTTGGAATAATTGCAGACCATATCGTGCGTACTGTGAGGACAACATTAAAGCAGGAACGCAAAGAGAATATCCAATGTTTTTGGTCGAATCAATAGAGAGTTGGCTAGATGCGCCTGTTGTGGCCCATACTGTCCAGGAGCGAATTACCAACGGCATTGTACAAGCGCTGGTACATCATCGAGAATTGAGAGGGCTAGCAGGATATCTAACGGCGCGGTGTGCATTTGATTTTCGATCTGTCTGTCTTCTCGGGTAACAGCATTGTGAGCACATACAGTGATGAGCAGAGTGTTATGCAGAGTCAGGGGCGCGATCCTAACAGACAGTCTACCTAGCAGAGTCAGATATCTGGTTGTTTGAGTACATGCACTCACCCAAATCTCAATTGAGTATCGATCGAGTCCAAGGCGGATCAGATTGAAATGTTCCACGCACGAGAAGGCGCCGCTGTTAATTGAGGACGGCGATACTAGCGTGCTGTCAAGACGGCAGACCATGTATGCGCACACATTTTGGAATAACCTAATAGGCTTGCCAGGAATTATCCAGTTGCTCAGCATCCATGGCCATAGAAAGTGTCTGATATCTAGATGAATGGGGCCGTCATACTGTTACGGTTCTTTCATTTCGGACGCACTACTTCAGACCACGGAACCCTATCTCTATTTAGTTACCATATGCACCTTATGTCTTCTCATGTCTATCTCGGACCTTACCTATGTCACAGATATGTTCTCTCATGTAACATGTAGTTACTCATGCAGTTTGTACAATATATAAGCAGGCTGAAGCTGAGGGCAATCCTCAGTCTTCAGTTGGCACTTCAAAGCTCAATTCTAGCCATGTCACATACCTGCCATTCTTAGCAAACGAGGATCATCACGAGATGACGCCATCAAAAACACGTAGTGATCATTTGGGGTATGACGAGATTTCATTCACACGCGTTTTCAGCTGTAATCAGATTCTTTGAGTTCGTGTCACCTGGCAGTTCGTGCTATAAGCGTCCTTCTAGATATCCACTCATAGCGATATCCACTCGTAGCGCCCTAAACACGGGTAGTGATGTTCAGGGCCAGGCTTGGGCCCAAAGCCCTACTTTGGGCCGGGCTTTTGGCGGCTCGGCCGGGCTGGGCCCTGCCGGCTTGGGCCTCAAAGCCCGGCCGTGGACAACACTAAACACGGGGAACGCCACATCAGCCGGAACCTCTATGACGGGATTGGAAAGGGATACGGACGTCCAGCGCATGAAAAGCAAACAGGAGTAAGTTGCCTTCAGAATAGTATCACACAGTGATGCGGACAGACCTCAAGTCTACAGGACGCAGGAGTGTCTGGAAAGGAAAGCAAGAGTGTTATCGTATATGTACCATCTTTTATAACCTGGTAATATGTGATTTGATATCGCGGTGCTAGCGGATAACACGAATGACATCTGATAGAAAGTGGGTTAGCCGCTTGTGATGTACCTCCTGGACGCATGCCATCTAGACACCTGGTATGATACCTTTGCGGGCGATGTTCACGTATCGCGCGTGTTTCAAGTTGCGCAGGCGCAAGCCATGATACCGGCGGAAATTAATGAGTCCTGCCCATCCGTATACGCAGGTACCGCCTTCAACCGCCGCTAAAATGCCTATACAGCTGCTGATAAGACATACCTGTCTTGCGACCGCCGTGAGCAACGGTCAAGCGCGAGCCAGGGATTGAGGCGGCGCTTGCTGTTCCGAGCCGTCGTTATATGTCACCGCCAAAATGAGTTGCCCCCAAACAATTTCATTAGGGTGTCGCTAATCACAGGAATATCTGTAAACTCAGAATCATATTCACTCAGCGATAGTGGGTAACGCATGAACTTTGGAGGAAAGTCTACCGCTGACTCCAGTATATGTCTTTGTGTTTAGCGCGGAACACAAAACGGTTTTCAGATGAATCACCGGAACTATGCATGCACTTCGTCGAGAGTCTGCAAGCAGTAGGCAGAACACAGCAAACGAATACGTTTGTCTGGGCTGAAAACGGGCGACAGACAGCTTAAGATCACGTGATGTGGTAAAATGTGTATGCGGCCTTACGTACAGGAATGTCCGAAGCATTGATGAGACGTGGCGACTTCCCGAACTACTCGCATATCTTGATAGAATTCCAAGCTAGCCACTGCTTACTCGAGCGAACCGACACCAGTACGGTACTGGATCATTCTGTACTGTATCGTAGACCATCAACGTTCTGCAAACAGTATATATTCTCACGAGACTACCCTGCAGCCAGTCACACGCCTTCTGTGCTCGTAGCTCGATTTTTCCGACCGCGATGAAGTGCGTTTCGCCTCCCCAAGATTTGTCTCAAAACTTGCCCCACACTCGCGCAGCATGGGCTTTATCAGCTCTACATTGCTTACAACTCCTGCTTGTGCACGCTTGGCGAGAGCGGCTGCTGTGCTCCCTTCATCGTCCGCGACGTCTGTCTGGCTGTTGCGGTAACCTGTATCTTGAACTTCGTGCAACATGTCTCTAAAGTACACGCTGGTTTCTCAAGTATCGCGATTGAGTGACACTAGGCGAAATCTCCGATGACGTGGAGGGGGCAAAATGAGCATTAGTGCGTTACACCATGCTATTTGCGGCGACAACCCTTGACCTGTGTCGCCCATTCATTCAGTAGCGGCGCCCAGCGCCTGCCCGTGAATGGTCCTTGCGCTCGTCCCCGATGCCGTACGGCGCTAGACGTATGTGATCAGACAGGTCAAGGATATTCCTCATTTACCTGGGTGTACTGCCACCACATGCGAGCTGCCGACACGCTGGAATGAGTCTCTTGGCTGATGATCCTCCTCTCGCGCTCCTATCTCCTCAAATACCTTTTGACTCATTGCTGTCAGGATGTCCGCATAGTATTGTCCCCACGCACCTTCAAAACGATCTTGAATTCCACCTCATAATACCTCCAAACCAATCATCCAAAATTTGGTGCGTGCATATCAGGCTGGCGAGCTTCTTTATCAAACGATAATACTATTTTCGCCAGCACTGATTTCATCGCATTATAGATGCCTTTTTGATGTGACCTTCGGGCCTTTTGCGATATATTTGAAGATATCTGCTGATACATGCCGCAAATGGCCGAAATGAAGACTGTTGATCGCCACAATTACTTACCTGTCGAATTCACCAGGTATCACTTCCAAGGGGTCGGCACAACCGTATGTTATGCAATCACTGTCATTCGCCAATTGTGTGACTTCTTATTTCCCGGAGAACTGACCGCTTCCTAGCCTCGGCAGGATCCGCTCCTTTGTAAAGTCGAGCTTCGATCTCGAAAGATGACTCTATTGTAGAGCATACACCATGAGTTCGCGAGTCAGCATTATTGCCAACGTGCTGCCACGTTTATGTACATGTTGCACCACGTTTTGAATGTACCTCACTAATGTCTACAAACAGGTGCCTGTTGTCACCTTAGCGGCACGTGAGATCAATATCGCAGAGCGTTGACTGACCTTAACGGTCACAAAGAGCTTGAGCAGGCTAAAATCAATTCAGATGGGCATTTGACCTCCGCTGTATCTATGTCCACCATGAGGCATCCTCACGATCTGCGCGTGTTTCGCATGCTGATGCTTTCATTTCAAAAATGAATACGGTTAGGCGCGTATATTGCATCAGGGATCCCCTAGGCTACCCTAAGCAAAAATGTCAGCAGAACGCAAGATCTTTCCCGTCTACAGTTTTGGTAGATGGCAGTACATACAGTATATATTTGTAGACCCGAGGCACGCGGCATGATGAGGGCCCAGCGTTTGCTTCCGCGTGATACTCTATCCGGTGGAATTACTTCTGTTATCCGTTGCTCCACTGACGCCTCTGTTGGAGGATATGGTGGAATGAGCCGTAGTATGGCTTCCAATGAGATCATATAGAAGCACAAAATATGAATTGCAGAAGCTCGTTGGTACTTCAGAGGGGCGACACGCACTGCGACTCAGTCGCGAAACTTCTGAAAGCTTATCAATTCATCCAGGCAAATTACATTGTTGGTGATTACCGTGCACGATTACGTATAGATCCCTGAGTTTGCAGCATGCCAGGCGTGGTTTATCGGGTGTCAATGCACGAGAAGAAGTAATAAGGCTAGACACTGACGCTATGGAACACGTTACTACCCGGTGTCTGGCGATTCCACGACTCCTGGCAGCCTAATCGTAGATCTCTGCCGATCCTGCCACCTGCTGCCGCGCGATTGAAGATTTGAAGATTAACGTGACGTAGAGGACGATCGCTGATCAAAATGGGTGCGGCGGGCTACGAATTCGACATGTTCACGGAGTTAGTTGGAGCTGCTGTTATCAACTTTCATATTAGTACAATTCGACGTATGCAGACATTGATTGTGCATCTCACGACGTACCTTCAGGCTCCATGCCCTCTCTGCGGACGTGTCCTCGCCAAAGAAGCCGAGTGGTTCAAACAAGGTTATTGCGTGGTGCCGGCACGTTGCAGTGGCACACTGGCTCATTGGCATACAACGGGGTGTGTAGGTCGGGGAGAATGGCGCTATGGCATGCGCTGAGGGCATAGCAGCCCTACAAGAAACTCCGACTGGATCTAATCTCCATGCCGCCATCACGGGAGTCGGGTTGTCGACCTGATCGGGCTTCAGATTCGATAGAAATGATCTCCGTCTCCTGTGTGCTCAGCAACGCACGCATGTTCTAGAGTCCACAAACGTCGTATCGCGTAGAAACAGACTGAAATTTACGCACCCCGCTACTATTCCACGGCATGTCTATCCTTAGTCCTAACGCAGTATCCAAAGTCAATCTTGCTGATGTTCACGAACGATGCATGCCCCAGATACCGAATGGATACAGCACTGGGTCGTCAGAGAGATCCAACACTTCCAGTCCAGTGGCAGAGTGGATATAGCTGACTTCGAGACTTAGTCACCAGAGAACGGTGACCACGCTGGAGGCTTTTGCACTTTACTGAAGGACGCGCGCGCCAGGCGATGCATTGCAGTGTCGCCATTACGGCAGTGTACAAGAATGCTTGAGCAAAGCAGGACGTTGACAGACTGCATGCTTGCGGACGAATAAGGAGCAGCTTACGCGGCTCCGCCCCATGGCTATTCTAATGGCGCTTGTGTGTGGTCTGATCAGTCTAAAAAGCGGTTCGCATACGCGTTCTCCCTTCTCCTTCACACCCTACACACTCTACTCCGAGCGAATGTATCTATAGCTGATGTCCGTATAGTGTCGCCTTTGCGCTAGCGAGGCGAGACTCGTGCAATTTCAACGTCGGCGGCAATAGTCAGCACGATCCTCACTCGGATGGATCTTAGAGTGCCGTCAAGGCCGGGAGACACTCAAGTTACGGATGCGCCATTTTATGTATCCAATGAAGAAAGAGGGGATTAGAACAGAATGGTACGTGGCCAGCTCCAGATGAGTCGGCGAGGGTAGCTCAGTCTACGAAGTCAATCCGTAATCATATCCCGCGAGTCATGAGGGACCGCAATACAAGATAATACATATTGTGAGTGTTTCCTGCGTATCGCAGTAAACGCGGACGAGCTAACTTTGATTATATATAATTAAGTAAAAGGTTGCGTAGGGTCTTGAAATAAGCCGATGGGTATCGATTCCGTCCTGAATCACGACCAACGAGATGGAAATGAGGCGATGGTGAGAGTTTTTGTAGAACTCAACACGGAGATCCTCATCTGAAGACCACGATGTCGGCCACAAGGGTGCCCGAACTGACGTATCGGACGGAGCGGAGGCCAATGTGGTCGTTCGTGATATAGCCGTCGCCAACCCTCCAGGCTGCGTTGGCGAATGTTTCCGGGTGCGCGCGCTGTCAGACCTCGTCAATTCTACAGGCGCTTCGCGGAAACAAGTCGTTTACTGACTTCGATAAACTCGCCTATCCACTCGTTGATCTTCCGAGCCAGCTCAGCTTTAGTGATCCCTTTGGGAATATTGCGCTGCGTGCTGAACGGGGAGTACTTGCAGTCGCCCGTAGGGTCTTGCCACTGTAGAGAGCCGCTCAGTCTTGATAGTCAGGAGAAAGGTAAAGCAGCCTACATTTATGCGAAATGACGGCTTATGGTGTTCATTCATATCCCCCCAGGCCCGTGAATTCCCATCCAACATGAATTGGATCCCCTCTAGGAGGTACTTGCCGAGGGGCAGGAAATCAAGGGTGCCCACACAATAGTCGACTGCGGTGGGCGATCTTGCCACTCCTCCTCCATCGCGGTACTTGTACTGAACCACAGGCTCGTATCGCTGTTAAAGTTGTCAGTGAGCTGCTGCTTCCAAACGCATTACTTGGCTAAAAGAAAACTGACCTGGAAGGGACCCCCCACAGGCTCCGCTGACTCGTTGCCCGACATGTATGAACATGTCTGATCGCTTGGTGCAACGGAGAGCGTTGCTTCCTCGAACGGCAAGATACCCTCCGGAGAGGCCTCCTGTACGTGCGGCGATCCGAGTGCACCAGCGAGGGCGGAAAATTCGCTTAAGATGGTGCCCTGCCACAACGACGGATAGGGACCCCCCACAAGGCTCGCTGACTCGTCGTTTGGCATGTCTGAACATGTCTGATCGCTTGGTGCAGGGGAAACCGCTCCTTCCTCGACCAGCGAGATATCCTCCAGAGAGGCTTGCGGCGATCCGAGTGCCTCACTAAGGGTGGAGTATCGGCTTAGGCACTCAGGTGGGATGGGCTGCTGACACAAGAACTGATAGGGAAAGCCAACGGCGGCAACGTCTCCGGCGGCGGGTGTGTGCCCGGGATGCGGCTGTTCGAAGTCCATAGCGTCCAAGGGGCTGCAGGCAAGTAGTGCTTTGACAATATCGGTAGTGTTGTGCATCTCAGAGTACGGGTGGCATACGAAAGGCACTGCGCCTCCTCAGCCTTTTGTACCCTTGCATCGCTTTCAGTTCACCGCAAGAACACACTGTGGGCAGAGGGATGGATATCCTGGCGTGTGCGTCGCGTTCTGTGTAACTCGTCCGTGGGCGATGCCTCAGTGGGCGGCGTTTATTAAGGAGCTGATCCGGTAACGCTGGGCTCGATCTCGCGTCGGATTGGGCAGCGTATACGCATTCTTTGTGTATCAACCTCGCTAGTGGATAGTAGCATCATGTCTGTCGTCGGGATTTACTGATATCCAAGGGGTCCGGGGAGGTGGGCAGCAGCGAAGAAAGCCGCGTGGATCTATAGACAATGATCTCGATGTTTGCGGAAAACCTACCACCAACCGTGGACAGTTGTCACAGGATACACGATATCCACGGACTGAGGGCCGGCGGGATGAGCTTTGAAATTAGATTCAGGCATAAAAGAATAGTTAAACCTTGAAGAGTCTTATCACTGTAATGGATATCTAGAGGAATCATCAGTATGCGACTCTTATGGCACATACATACAGACATGAGGCACAGTGTACTTCAGGCTACACCACCGGCGCGATTTCTGGATATCTATGCGTCGAGACCGCGCCGCGTGGGCTATACGTGAACACTGTTGGGCCCACATTGGCGTACAGGATCGAACAGCCAAGACTACGTTCCGCAGCGGCGGCGTCAGCAAGATACACGCACACGGATAGCTAATATCACTCACCGGGTCGTCTGAGGTCTTCACAATGTGACTACGAGGTGCTCGAGGGCTGTAACTCGGTAGCCAGCGTTACTGCGTATTGGGGTTGGTGGGTCAGGTCCTAAAACGCCTACCAGCCGCCCGCTTGCCTCGCGGCGCCGAAGCCTGATCCCCGCCGTCTGTGGAGGGATTCGAGATGTGCTTGAGCATCCGTACAGCTCCCTATCAACAGTAAGTAGGAAGCGTGTTCATTTCCTGTTATAGCACTGACCAAAAGCAGGAGCAGGAGCAAGCGCAGGCGCACTATGGCAAAGCAACGAATACATAGTGCCCTAGCTACATTGAGGGGGAGGGGGGGCTGGAGCGCAAGAGACGATGGGTATGTCATGAGCGAAAGTGAGTGGAGGTAGGAGGGAGCATCCTCAGAGAGCCATTCGTCTCTTATTATAGGAGATCTGATACCCGAGTATCAGTGTCCAGGTATCTATGGACAGCCGAGTCGGTGAGTACCGACCATGAGAATGCACCGCATCCGCTTCCAGTGGACGTACCTTGCACAGGTCGGGTAACAGGATAGTCAACTACATGATATCCGGGCCTACTCTGTTATTCAACAGGCGATGCGCTATGGTCCTCTCGTGAGGCCCAACAACCAGCTCGTCTTCATCGCCGGTACGCTCAGCGCAAACATATTTATCAGTTACGGCATTCATGACCACAGATCTTTGTTCATGACTGAACCTGATAGGCACAATTCTTGCAGTTCACCCAGTCCGAGTTCGACGGCTGGGTCGTCCCAAATGCTCGCTCGCACTAAATGCTGGTAAGTAGTCATCTAGGAGCTTATATCTACATGGATGAAGCGCCCTAATCCAGCAGAATAGAATGCCGCTAGCCTCAGGCTGAGAAGTAACAGATTGTCAGTGGCGTACTTCAGAGCGTCAGTACGCATCATCAAGGGCGCTCATCGCCATGAAACCACGTCTCTGCGAGGAAAATTGATGAATCGGCCAGGTGAGCGAATTGGAGGAATTGAGTGTGCCTCATTCGACGTTGCGAATTCGTCCTTCGATTGCCGCATACTTGGAAATGTGGCCCAAGAGCATAGCCAGTGTTCCAGGTATGACGCCCAAGCCAACGCGACAAGTGATCCTCACATGCTGCAAGGAGGTGTGAGCTCTTTTAGAGCGAACATATGCACTGATATGAGTTTGTGACTTTCTCGCGCTGTGGCGTTTGTGAAAGTACTCACCGCTCTACATCTGTCTTGCGCACCGCCAAGACAGAGGGTCGTATTCATGGTGCACCGGCGATGGTTGTCGCTGTGTTCATACTTTCAGTCGCGTATACACCTTATTGTTGCAAGCCTGCGAGGACGTTCTGAGCCCTGGCAAACACAATGTAAAAGCGGCGGAGTGTGTCGATTTCTGATTGGTTGATTAACCCATTACTTACGTAATCAAGTTCGCTCCAGGTCATTATAGCCAGCGTGCTCTTCTTCCACAAATCATAGCAGAGTCCTGTCAATTTAACGACCATCGAGCATTTGGACCTACAAATCCAGAGCTTTGAAGTAGCAAAATGGGAAAGACAATCCACGCTTGAATCACTCACAAGACTCGGCCTTGGCCGTCTACTATTCAGATCGCCCACGGAAGGCTGGGTATCCGTACCACTCAATGTAAGATGTGAATACGCATATGCTTACCAAAATCCGTTGTTGACTTGCTCCATCGGGGATGCGACGGAAAACATTGCTCTAAACAATAGGCTACTTTGTGGTACTATCGTTATAATGGTTATAGAGAGATCGAATGGACGCTCAGGTCAAGGATGCAAGTGGTGTACATCGCGTGATATATCGGTCTGACCTTCGCCATATGTTTCTGCTCACGGCGCACAGTGTGATTATCACTGGCTGTGTGGACGTAAGTACGTATTCAGCGCAGTAATCCTCAGACGTGTCAGCGTACTCACATGCTGCATGTTCTGTCTGGGATATAGGTGACCGGCGGCCACCTCCGATCTGGTTCCCTGAAAAATCTCCCCCACAGATTCCCATGCATCTTGTCTCTCCGCCTGGTGTCTGCCTTGATCTTTTTGACATCGCCCTGGACCTTCAACAGCTTGGCCTCAATCGCAGTTAATTGATTTCGGAGAGACTGTAGGTCTTCTTGATGCAGGAGCTCCTTCCTCGCTAACGCGACGTCGATTTCTTCCTGTAGGTCCTGCATTCTCTGGTGGTAATCCTTTGCCTGTCTCTCCAGTTCGCTCTGCAACTCCTCTCCTGCTGCAGTCTGCGGAAGGTCTTTGCATTCGTCGACAATCTCGTGCTGCATCTGTACCACTCGGGGAGACAAGCCGAGGAGCTCTCTGACGGTGTTCCTCGCGGAAAGCACCGTATTGTGATGACGACACATACGAGCACCGTGATTGAGAGCGCCCTTGAAGAAAATCTCCTTATTCATCAGCTCCCCTTCCCTCCTCTCTCCTACCTCCTGATGCACCTCTTCCCACATCGTTGTCACGATAAGGACATTTCGCATGGCATCGTCTCCACAAATCTTCGAGAAGAGCCTAAAGTTCTCACGTGCAATCCCGCCAAAGCGATCGTCCGATATACGGTGCAGGTAGATTAAGCCAGTCAGCTTCTGTCCATGACCATAGCTGCTGTTTGCGTGAGCGCTCTATTCGCAAACATTCGCAGTTGCGTCAACGTACCTAAATTCCAAGTAGTCTGCGATCTGCTTCAAAATATCTGCTTGTGATCGCTCCGAGTCGTCGAAGCCAGGGGTGTCTATCATCACGATCGTTTGCCCTTCGAGTTTGCACGACGCAACTTCGATCGCAGTTGTGCACGAACGCAAGTTGTGTCCGACTTTCAACTCGGAACCGCAGAACATGTTGATAAACTAGAGAATCCGTCTTATTTAGTCAGTCCGGCATAGAGTCCTGAGCCACTGACCGATGACTTCCCAGCCCCAGTGGGACCCGCAACTCTGCATACATGAGGTTCTTTCGGGGAGCAGTTCAACTTGCAGAACTTACGCGATGAGTTTAGGCGCAGACGCAGTAATCGACATACTTCCACAATCTTGGGAGGATGCAGTACGAGTATGTAGTCCCAACGCGTCTTTGGAGTCTGGCACTGGGGATGTGTAGGCGTTGCTCTATGGCTGCATATCACTCAATGTATACATACGGATACAATCCCGTTATCGGTCATCTCACACAGCCGATACGGGAGATTAAAGGCATTGAGTGATGAAAGTGATGATAGTCTTGGTTTAGCAGTCGCCCATCGGTATTCTATTGAAGCCGGTTCCACAGGATGGTCACCGTTGATCATACACATTCCCATGAGGCGGCCTTGCTGTCAAAGCATGTCTACCTGCTGGTCCCAATCTAATCATGGCCGGAACACGGTCCGACGAGGCTTCCTCAGACTTATACGGATCTACGTTTCTTAATATCACTGCGATCCCTCGGAATGAATGGATACCAGGGGGCGCGTGATGCTCCATCCATTACAAGATTCAACAAATCAGCGTCGCTGTATATACAAACCGACCCCAAGAGATAGTGGAGACTACAGGCTACTGACTTGGGCAACAGTTGGCTACGAACCACCTACGTCCCACTCAATCTCGATTCTCCTTACCCGTCTTCTCGGAAGCAAATGCATAACCGCCAACACGACCTCTACGGACTCAAACAACGACTAATAAATATTGATTAAAATTGCAATAAACGCAACGATTGCTTACTCATCTTTGACATCCCGCTAGAATAACCGATACTACACTGTCGAAATACCACGCGAAGGCCAGGTGACACGTCATGTATTCTAGCGTTTTGAAGATTTGAACTCCGGGATCTCGGCAACTGTCCTTTCTCTATTCACCCGGATGCATGTGGCTTCCACACTGCTCTTGTTCAAACATGCAGTGACAAAGTTTCCATAACGTTTCTTCAACTCCCACGTTTGCACAGACGACACTTGCATTAGTCTTTACGTTTAACATATATCTGCTCATCAGCGTTTCCAAACATGATTATAACGACAGCTGGTTCCGAGTTCCTGACCAATTAATGAGATGAACTTGTCAGTTATGATCATTACGCGACAGATATATGAGTAGTACGAGAGTCACAGTTTTGTTGAGCGTAGATATGTATGATATTGAATCAAGGCCTATAAAGTCCCATCTTTAGAGGCAACTGCGGCTGGCTGTTTCCCTCGACGGTTGGGTACGATACACCTGCGATATTCCACTGGATTACCTTCTCTGTCCTTTCAAATGTGAAGGTCGACAGCATGACCGCCAGCACAACCTCTACGGGGTGAGTCGCGGTAGTCAGTTGCAAGTGCTGCAGTGACGCAAAAGTTTCATAGCACGTACTCATCTCCATCTCTGAGAACTTGAAGCCACTGAAAGTGCGGAACATCAGTTTTGAATTATCGGCCATCTATTTGAATCAACCTACATGCATGCTCGCTTTCCGCCGAGGAACGTCATGCTGATTTGGTGAGCTCTATCAGATCAATCGCGTGCGAGGCGCACAGATCAAACGTACATGTTGGAATACACGCCTGGGATCGCTGCAGCCGTTACTGCACTAGGCAAGGGAGAAAGCCATCGCTCTGGTTTCCACTCAAGAGAGTCCTCTCCCCATAGTTGCTTGCGTACGTTAACTCCATATGTGCCGATGATAACATCTGTACCCTTCGCGACAGGAATTTCATTGATCACGCGCCCGTCTACGCCGTAGATAGGCTCAGATAGGGGGAGAACTGAGTCCTTCCTCGGGCTATAGCATCGATGAGATATATAAACAGAACGAGGGAAAAAGTGACATACACACGCCGGAGCGTCGTGACTGGTGGAAATCTGTATATTATTGCGAGTGAGTGACCTTGTGTTCACGTTACACAGCAGAATGAGAAAATGGCTTACAGCCTCAGAGTCTCGCGACAGACAGCGTCCAGCAATGGAAGCCTGTTGAGCTCTTCGTACGAGATATCGTTGCCACCTGCGCTAGATTGAAGGATTTCATCACGTAGCTTGACCTGGATTTCCTGATGTTCGGCAAGCAATTGCAAGATGCGCGCCAACGTGTTGGAAGTAGTATCCGTTGCGGCGAACACCAGTAATCTATCTATACTGAGCCGAGAACAATCAACACAGTTGCTATCAAGTACTCACGACATTTGTGCAATCAATTCACTCTCAGGAAGCCGCTCGTCCTCAGATGCCGCCGTGTTCGCCTTGACTTAAACACGTGGGAACATAGGATAGTTAGTTTTTTCTTTGGCTTATCTTGAGGGAAAGAAAACGTACTGAGGATGCTCATGATGTCTTTCCCTTCTCCCACCTGACGGAGCACGGCCTCGTCGCCACGCTTCAGTGCAACTTTCTTCTGGTTGAAGATCTCGTATGACTTTGCGCTCATCGTGTCGACGACCTCCTTGATATTCTGTACATCGGGATTGGGATACATGTCCACAACAGATCGGCGAAACCAGCGTGGGCCCATCTTGATGAGGTAGTGGGCGTATCGACGCAATATATCCACCTTCGATAGGGCGGGGCTTCACGTGAAACGCACCCAGTGAGAGTGGATCAAAATTTCAGAACCATAAGACTCACAAGCAGGACTTCAAGGCGTCTCCATACTCGTTTCTTGACTCCGAGTTCACCAACAAAGGATCAAAGGAGTATCCAAGACCACCCTGTCCAATGAGCTCCAGCGCCGCGCGACCACTCCACTCCAACACATCAATTTCGCTCTCCCCGGCTTTTACCTTAGCTAGAATAACCTCTCTGAGCTGCGAGGTATGCTTTGTTATGAGCGGTATGATACTATTTCCCTTATCGAGATGAGCGTACCTTAAGGATCACGTTGTAGAAGATAGGAAGCATGTGACGCATGTGATTGACAGAGAATACTGGATTTAACATCTTCCTCTGCCGGCGATGGTGTTCGCCTTGCCGAGTATACTGTCAGGCATACCACCTAAGGAATCACTTCGTACACACCTAGAGTTCCCACAAGACAGTCTCCGAACATCAACTGATTCAGACTGCAAATCCGATCAGTTCGTTAGTAAATGAGAACATCACTGCTGGCCGCTCACGCTAAGAATGCATCTGGCTCCTCCCAGGTATTCTCCTCTTTGATGAGGATCGTATGCAATGCTTTGGGATCCGCCACGTAGAATAGTTTGCTCTATCCTCATTGCATCAGAATCCATGACATCGCGGCTGGTCATGACATGAGGACTTACTCCGAACATCCCGTCGAGTTTAACGACTGAACCATAGTTGAGTGCCACCTCTTCGTGAAACGCTTGCCCGCGAGGATTAAAGTACTGGTTAATGTGACCTGTCCCAAAGGAATCAGATATGGCTGCTCCACCATCCGGCAAAACTTACCTTTGGCCCAAGAGTACGATGGAGGTCCAGGAATGTTACGCAACACACTATAGGCATCGCGCTGCCTCAGGTACCTCTGCAGGTACCAAGTGGCACCTAACGCGAGTGCGCAGTAGAGCCAAGCATAGGCTGCCATGTCCAATATTCCGTGTCAAGCAGTGGAATGATCGCTGTCTTTTGACTGGCAGCTTGCCGCATCCCAGTTCGCTTGCGCGTATCCCCGGCCTGCGTGTGATTACGAAGTCATACAAGAGCCTTGACGCCAAGGAACACAAATGATCTCCGTCTGTAGTTGTTTCACAACCTGTTAGCCCGTGAGTCAGTACGTATCGAAGGTCATGCACAAGATCGTAAACCATAAGGGCCTGTTCCGCATCGAAGTTTGCGCTCTGCTTAATATGCGCACCTCAGCGGCATCACGGAGGGATATTCATAAATTGATCAGTACAGTACAGCTGAGATTGCCATGAGCTATAGATACTAGCGATGAGCTTGTAATGGATGCCTTCCCGCAGGATCTGGACGGGTTGCAGATGTAAGTAGGACTTTGAATCATATCCGTTGTGTCGGTCCGTGCCGTTTAGCAGAAGAAAGGCGCCCGGAGGGCGGCCGTTACCAGCCGTTACCAATACGTTGCCAACGATTGACTACCGAGACCGCTACGTAGCGCAGCGTGCTGGGATTTTTCAGCAAGCCTTGCGTGTGCGCTTAAGGCTGAGCTAAGCGCAGCGCGAGCACCGTCGCCGAATAGGTCCTAAGCATATACAAGACTGCAAGGCACATCTTGCCTTGAAATTCCTCATGGGTGTTCGAAAGTGCATGGATAAAAGAGCTCCTGGTAAAATGGAAGTGTGAGTGGACTCTGATGATGATAACTGCTCAGGCTTCTTTAGCTGTCGACCGCAGTTGACGTCTTCGTTATGGAATTTGATGAGCATTACTACACTGACAAACCGGGGCCGAAGATTGCTGTTACGTATACAGGGCTGACGATTGCCACAACCGCAACACAACCGCATTCTCACGATTCTCAAACGCCGGGATTGATCGGGAAAATGCGAGATGAGCTAGATGGATAGATGTCGAAGTATGAACAACACCGCAAATACCATCTTGATCCCTGACCGTGCTGGGATCTCTGGTCAAGACCATATCGACCTTACTAATGCAATAAACAATATGGACACGCATAGGGTGTAGTGGGATGTATGGAAGTGTGTTGGGAGTGCGAAGCTCATCTTCGCGGCGTCTCAGGCGCGTTGTAGCATCTATTTTGATTGAACAGACTGATCGGCCAAACTCACACAGTGCACCACGTGAATCTCCACGTCTGTGCCGAAGCGACAGAATGGGTCTAACGCTGATTACTTCAGCCAGCGGCTGCTGATCATCTCCGAAAGTACGACATCAGCACCTATTGTTGCGCGATCAGACCTGGGGACGATCCGATTCAGAGAGATTGTCCAAAAGGACACGGGCGAATCCAACGCACAAGTGAAGTTTACAGTATCGCGCTGGTCTCAAGCTGTTTATTGTCGACGACCAAGCTTTGTGGCAACCATACGACTGGAGTACACTGCTCTTTGATGAGCCTCGGATTTACCCAGCTATGCTCTTGGCAAGAGGATCAAATCATGCGAAGGGAAAAGGAACGGAGAGGCCTGGAGAGGCACGCTCTGGCTAGTGCGTGGCCCGCGAAACTCGTTCAGGCATTCGCCAAGCGCCAGCGCGGCGCAAGGTCTGGCAGAGGCCCATGGGGATTGCTGGCAAGCATGGCACAACTATGGTTCGCGGGTGGGCGCAGGTCAAGATATGGTAACTGGATATGGGGTCCTGCCTCGTGTGGTACCCCGTGATAGATCTCAGCGTGACAGAACCCCAGACGGACCATTACGTAACCCAAAAAAGGGCTAGATTCTGCTCGACGGCATCGGCAGCATGGAAGATGGTGAGCTTAGGTAATCATAACTGAGTGTTAGATGCTTGGAGACCTAATAAGCCTATGCTATATTCTCAAGGTATGAGCATTGTTCGCACCATATGATACGAGCAAATGAGTTACTCGGCGCTCAGGAAGAATATGCGAGCACTGAGATCTGAAGGCTTGAGGTGCGACGGCACTAAGTGTACTATGCCAATGTCCGATTACGTAAGGTACGAATATGTCCTGCTGAATCGACTCTGTAAATATACATGACTTTCAACTCCATATATGTCGCCCTCTAGTCTTATATGTTCTGCTTCTAGACTACAATTTAAATAAATATAGCTACTTCAACACCGCAGTAATTGTGCATCATGATGTGCTCAAGAATATTAGTCAAGTTGCTCATATACTGGTTCCTTGCACATTTAAGTTATGTACTATGGTGAAATCACGCATTCACGCAAATGCACGCAAACCGAGCATTGCTTGATACCATATGCTCGGCTATCTTATCGTGGTAATTGTCTTGGGTACATATTCTATTTTTGTGTTCCAATGGATGATTTACCTGCCTAAGATATGTTACATAAGCATGATGTAGGCGCGGATATCACATACAATGTCGATAATGGAAAAATACATAGACCATTACTGCCACTACCGTTACAACTTAGTCACACTGAGGACCCCGGCAAGGACCGATCAGTGGTTGAGGCACGAAGTTGGACCTGCGCCCACCCGCCAACCGTACACAACTGGAAAATGGCATTTATTTGCGCCCAGAAAGAATATTTACAGTGCACCTAGAGACCGAGACGATAGCAGTGAGTTGACTCTTGGGCATCTCGGGCAAGCGTGGCTGCAGGCCCGAGCCACGCGCGTCGGTGTAGGAAGTAAGTGTTAGCGCCATCGGTGCGCAACCTTATCATTCTTTGATCCCCGTCCATCGAGGACGGTCTCCGCCGGCGGGATCTCCGGCGTCGTTCTCACAAGTTGTTTTCTCCCAGTCTTTGTGTATCCCAGCTTCCTCCGCTTCAGCACCCTTCCGAACATCACTTCACTACTTCAAATCACAGACCTAGGTTTTCGTCGGTCAGAGAACTGCGTGCTCCTTTGTTGATGGCTTGGGCATGGGGGAGACAACAAATGTTAGGTTGCGTGAGAGATTCTACCTCGAGATTTTTACTCCGAGTCTGAACCAGGCCTGACCTTTCCGAGTTGCACCAGCAATTGCCAATCGCCAATCGCTACGCCATAGTGGCGCGCGCCAAGATTGGCATGGCGCTTGGGCGCAGTTGTGCCAACAACGCTATAGAGTAACCATCCTCCAACCATCAAAACGGGCGCTCTATTATCGGCTGCCTAGGGGAGACTACAAAAACATCATAGCGCTAGCTCAGCCTCTATCTAACGCCTTTCAGCGTTTTCAATGCCACGTGATGGTCTCTTGAGAGCAAAGTAGACAATTCCTTCATGCTGCGCCGGCTCGGATATCCATGTCCGGCGACCCACGTTTGCGCAAGCTATTCAGGTTGGCTACTCCATTTTATCCGGAACATCTCTCACATTTATTGTCATGGAAATAAACCCTGCTTCTCGAGAATGCCCGATGTGAGCTGCCAGAGGCACGTAAATATGTCCCGCTTTATCACGTCTATACTAATGAACCAGATCCTCTACGACTGTAGTCGACCGTGTTCAGTGTGTCGTCAATGGCCTACACTATCGCCGTCAATCTCTTGGTTCACGTCACCGCGTGAAGTTAATGTGGTGCATCAAACTGCCAGACTTCATTTTGTCTGCGACCGTTTCCGCAAAGCGACGCGCAAGCATTAGTCCAACGTCTATCAGCTCTACAAGATTATCAGAGGCTGCGATGCACGTATCTCCTTCGATCGTCTCTATCAGGAAGGGCAATCTACGCTATATAAGAGCGTGCTTTCCGCGTTGAGTCGCTACCGTCCGTGATTCGGTCTTGATTCTACGTGCGCGCCCGCAAAATGGCCGCTCCCATCGTGCTGCTCTATGGCCTACTCGCATTGGGAGCAATGTGGTTCGTACGGAGGCAGTCCAAACACCGCAATGCTCACCATGTGATGCGTAACATTCCTGGACCTCCATCTCGATCTTGGATGAAAGGTAAGTCACAGGCTTATTAGAGTACCACTACTGACGTCTTTGTGTAGGAAACGTAATGCAATTCTTCACGCGCCATGGACAAGAGTTTCAAAGGGACGTGGCCCTCAACTACGGGTCGGTTGTGCGACTTGAAGGTCCTCTCGGGGTATGTTGAATTTGTGCTAGGCAGTTCGATCATGGACAGCTGCTTGACTGAATGATCGCAGCGCAAAATACTATACGTCGCAGACCCTAAGGCGCTCCATACGATCATTATCAAAGAAGAGCACGTCTTTGAGGAACCCGAACCATTCTTGGTGTGAGATAGACTTTGATCATTGACTGTGCGGCAAGAGCTAACAGGGAATGCACAGCTCCAACAACTTGATCTTCGGGGAATGTCTCATTGGTAGTCTAGGTACGCTCTGCCCTCGACAACGTATGCCCTTCTCATTTATACTTCACTGTCTATCTGCAGGCGACATTCACAAGCGACAGAGGAAAATGCTCACTCCGGTCTTCTCCGTCAACCACATGCGTCACATGCTGCCAGTCTTTAACACCGTCGTATTTAAAGTAGGCGCTGTTTTTGAAGAACTTTGATTCTCTCCGTACGTTCTCATGATGACTTCACAGCTCCGGGAAGTAGTTCTCGCTAAGGTGCGCGAGGGAGAGAAGGAGATAGACGTCCTAGAATGGACGGGACGCGTTGCTCTGGAGCTTATAGGACAAGGCGGCCTAGGGTACTCTTTCGATCCTCTCGATTCGGAAAAGGAGGCTAGGAACGAGTATGGAGATGCCATCAAGTCGCTGCTGTACGTGGTTCCATCATCCGTGGTTCTCCCAGACAAGCCGCTGACTTGTATATCTGTGTCACGCAAGCCCTGCCATGATGAACATAGAGCAACTACGCCAACTGACACCACACCTCGTCAAGATGGGCCCGAGATGGTTTCGCCGACTGGCCGTCGACCTATTCCCCAACGCGCACCTGCAGACCGTCAAACATGTGTCCGACACTATGAGCGAACGATCTCAGAATATATTCCACGAGAAGAAGGTCGCCTTGAACAATGGAGATGAAGCAGTGCTTCGTCAGGTCGGTGAAGGGAGAGACATCATGAGCATCCTCCGTGCGATTATCTCTCAGCACATATTCACCATATCACTGACGTTGATCGGTCTTTGCGGTAGTCAGGGCGAACACAACGGCATCAGAGCAAGACAAGCTTCCGGAGTCCGAGATGATCGCTCAAATGTCGTGGGTACACTGTCCACTTTCTTAGATTCATGTTTCGCTCACGACCTGAACACCAGACTCCTGGTTTTCGCAGCCACGGACACTACTTCCAACACCCTGGCGCGTATCCTGCAATCATTGGCTGAACACAGCGACGTGCAATCCAAGTTGCGAGAAGAACTGCTTCATGCAGGTGCAGACACGGGCGATCTTTCGTACGATGACCTTATGAAGTTGCCGCTGCTGGATGCCATCTGCCGAGAGACTCTTCGACTGTGAGCCTTCTCTTGGTGGCTATGTAGGCTCCGCTGTCTGATTGTCTGGCTTCTAGGTATCCTCCTGTGACGATACTGCTTAGGGTGTACGTGCAGATTCCGTCCCTGCTTCTACTTTTTTCCCTAAATGACTGAGGCCTTGAATAGGCCTAGAAAGGACTCGGTGCTTCCTCTGTCTGAGCCCGTCGTCGGACTCGACGGGTCGATAATCAAAGATGTCCCGGTTCCTAAGGGAACAGAGATCATCATCGGCACCTTGGGATCCAATGTCAATAAATCGCTATGGGGAGAAGATTCCCTCGAGTGGAAACCGGAGCGTTGGCTTTCCCCCTTACCACGCGCGGTCAACGACGCCCCTATTCCAGGTGTATACTCCAACTTGTAAGTCATGCGATGAGAGGAATGCGATAACCACTGACGGTGCGACAGGATGACGTTCCTCGGGGGAAAGCGCGCTTGCATGTAAGTTCATCCCGTCTCTTCGAATACTGTTTTCTCATAGGCATGACAAAAGCGGCTTCAAGTTCTCTGAGATGGAGATGAGTAAGTGTACTACACCTTGTACTCCGTTTCTACCGCTAACGTCTATCCATGATCTAAAGAGGTTGTGCTGGCGGTGATGGTGTCGAATTTCACTTTCGAGTTGACGGAGAAGGAGATCGGATGGAATGTCGCTTTGGTCTGGTATCCCACCGTCGGCAAGGACGACGACCGGCCGCAGCTGCCGCTCAAGGTGAGACTGTATAAACCGTGATGCATCTTTGAGGAGCGGGGTCTCGGTGTATGTTCGAATAGAGCAGCTCTCGCGTCACAGAGTAGTCATGAACCAGATGTGATTTACTGCGTAAAATGCAACTCGATCCATGAACCGGCTACAACCCTCTCAAGCAAGGTGCCCCATCAGTATAATCCAGTAGTATAGTATACAGCACGGTCTCGACAACATAAACCCGCCGCGAATCGATGAGTTGTAGCGTCAAGGCGTACTAGGAATAACTTTGTTAGCCAGCGATGATCACATAGCAGTGTTCTGTGGAGGACGTTGACGACCTGTCTCGTACCTGACCCACCCCCAGTTGTATAGGCGTCCCCTTGACTAAACGTCCGTAAAGCGCCCGCACTGTGACCGTTACATTCGGGCGCTTGGAGAATGGGGCGCCTATACAACCTTGGTGCGGATCCGGTGGGTCAATGTGACGGCAGGTATGTAAGATCGGCCGTTGGACATTCTAACGGCCTGTAGTGGATAAATAGTCATGCATATATACATCCAATTGGGAGTGGTACTTCCACAAGGACATAGAGTGCGACAAATGGGCCATTATGACAAAAAAGTCACAGTGCCTCGCCAGGGTAAGTAAATGTAAGAAAGGGAGTCCTATAAGGAATCTTGAGGCGCATGCTAGTTTCCCCAACCGACAGTATATCAGGACCCAATACAGGATGAAGGACATCAATAGACGTGTATTGGGCGCTGATACACCTTTCTTGAGCCGGAGAGTACTTATCCCGAGGACCACGAAAAGGTCTGCGCCAGGACGAACAAAAACGTTCGCCCTCCCTCGGGGGACTCACCTCGCTATGTTCGCACGATCGTACTTGATACGTCGGCAGCCTGCGGTCAGGAATCCCTTGAGACGTGAGAACAGGAGAACAGGAGGCGATCAAGGAAGCGGACGGCAGCAGAGACGTGAGGAAATACGGAGAGGGCGAAGGGGAGATACGATTCTACCAAGCGGAAGTGTTCAGTCTCGCGGTATGTTCGGCAATGCTCGACAACAACGCACTTTGACGGCGACTGGCCAACGTACTTGGCAATCGGCGGAAAGTGTGAATGTCTCCCTGAATAAAGCAGTAATTGAAGAGGCTGTGGACAGAGCAATCAGCGAGAAAGGCGCAACAGTCAAGAACACCTTGTCCCATCGCCTGGGCTTAACGCAGGCAACAGACAAATAGAACTAAGAACTTATAGACAGGGTTAGTGCACTCAAAGAATGATAAAACTCACCGTCTGTTGACATTGAGGACTGTAGGATTCGTATGGATCGGGCCGATCGCACCTGAAGACGGCGAGTGAGCTAGGAGGTGTATAATGAAGAAACACAACGTTTACCATCCACGCGTGGGTATAAAACATTTGTGAAAGTGTTAGCAAAGAACGAGTAGTGACCAGCCACAGAATAGCCAGGGATAAGCCACGCAGTAAAGCAGCGCGAAAGAAGAAGCAGAAGCAGATCAGGGATATCGGCAGCATACAAAAAATCTATCGCAGTCAGCCAGCCAGAGACAGAGTCGAGAGTCAGCGCAGAAGCCAGTCGCCGAAGCCCAGAGTGGTCGTGCATGTCGGTAGCGTAGAGCAGCCTCGGAGTAGCTAAGCACAGTACAGAGACGAAGCGAGAACGGCAAGAGACAGGCGACCAAGAAGCAGAGGCAGACAGTCAAGCGGCGGCCAGAAGCAGACGAGTAGCCAGGTTATCTTAGAAGTCGCCTGAGATGTCAAGCATTAGAGAGTATGCTCGTGTTTGACACAGTTCGAGCACTCACCGAAGCCTTGTACCCCAACATCCAGCCTCGGACCGCCGCATCTGTTGAATGTGTTGCCTAGCATATAGCCTTATTGATGGGTACTCGCCGCCGCCTTATAACTGTGGCGAATGTCAGGACTCGGTGTGCGATATGTGTGGCAACTGGCTCACCTTGACACAGCACACCGCCACAGTATGGAGCCGTAGTACTGAGTTTGAGGAGACAAGCCAGAGCAGACAGAAGGTGTGGCGGACAAGCGAAAGCACCCAGCACAAGTCCAGAGAGTATGCGAGTCAATCACAGCAGCAGAAGACGTCGTATACCGAAGCACGAGGTCGCCAGAGATCGAGAATGGACTTGTGGCTTGGACCAGGTCGGCGATGTGGCGCAGAGACGGGACATGACGGAGAACAGGAAAACAAATGGGCGAGCAACATGGTGAGAACGATAACACATGAAAGGAAGTTATACAAAATAAGCTGACAGGCAGACACAAGCATATGAGACAGCAGCCACAACGGAAGAACATGAAAGAGCAGACAACAAATGTTAAATAGCTTAGCGATAACTCGGACGACTTGAGGTCTTGGGTATAATTGAGGAGGGCTTAGGGAGGGTGGAGACACTGAAACGGAGGAGTGGGTGAGGGAGAGAGATGAGGAAGGGCGCAGAAATGCGGGTCGTTTTATACTCTCGGACTAAGGTCTGTTCGACCCACGAGGCAGCAAGTCGCGGGCCTTGGCCCTCCGGTTCTCCATTTACCCCCTGATGGCGGTGATGCGAAGTGCCATGGACATGAGGCTCGCGGAGTCTGAATCCGCAGAACAATGGGTCCAACTGGGTCCGAGTGGCGTCGAGGCCAAGTTAGGACAGCGACAATATGCGCCTGTAAGCTTTTACAACGTTGTGAGCCGCATGTGATGGCACGTTTTGTCATTAGAATCGGCTTCGGTGCCTCTCGGAGGGCCCATGAGGGGCGGCAGGCCGCGTGGCCTGCATTTGCCACACTTGAGACTGTTGTCCATGGAGAATGGGCGAACGCAGCTCATCGCCGTCGCCGTCGTGGACGTACAGACGTTGGAAAAAGACGGGTGCAACCACTGTGACTCCTCTAATGCCTCGCCAATCAGTATATGTAAACTCGTTGCGGTCTCCGGGCAGACTCGCATGCATGTCCCGGAGAGGGTGTATACCGACATGACTGTACGTCGCATTTGTTGTTTTAGTTTTTGCATTTATTTCGCCTAATTTTGGTCAGGTCAGCGTGACGGAGAGGTATGCGCGATGAGTCTCGTGGTGCTCGAAGTACGTACCTATCATGATTGGGTAGTCATAGCAAACTGTCAGCTGCAGAGTACAAATCAACCTAGACCCCGGGTTGCAGTGCTCGCGCGCGCAGAGGCGGCGAGCGCAGTCGGGTTGCCTGCATTCGCCGGAGGAGTTGCGCCATGAGGTTTGCATTGTCACCCAACGTGGCGGACGCCAGGAGAGACATAATAGCAGGGACGATGTAAAAGTCCGCGACTTACTGGTTGCAGGCCTCATCATAGTAGGCAGAGATGGTCCTCATGTTGAGGTTGCCGGGTCCACCGGAGACGACAGAGAGCGGATTGGCTGTCGCTTTTTGGTAGACCATGTACATTTGAGAGCTGACAATACGAGCCTTATAGAAGAGAGAGAATACCCACTAATAATGGCAGCCCAGACCTGCTCATGCAGCACAGCGGTGATGACGTTGTCGTTGGAGCTGGTATTTGTATCGCCACCGTTCACTATCAGCCACCCGAGTGTGGAGGAGGAATCTGAGCATACTAAGGTTTGCTGCACAGCAGTGACAATCCCGGTAGCTATCGTAGATTCATCGCGGCCTATAACCCACGCTCTCAAGTTGTGCTCATGGCTTGGCGCATATGCGAGTGAGGCCCAGTATATTGGGAGAAGTCCCCACATGAGCAGGACGAGGAGCGTGGCATAAATATAGTAGCGCTTGAAGTATTCATTACGATGTTGTACAATTGCAAGGTCAAAGAGTGGATGGGGGTAGGGGACACCGGGGGATTGCATAGTAGCCACGACGGGTGAGGAGACGGGCATAAATTGGGCATCTAGCTGTGTGACGGTGCTAGGATGGTCCGCGCACGGGGAGTAGTGAGTAGACACCACTCTAGACGATGACCGGTGATGTCCCCCTCCGCCTAGACGGTAGTTCGATTCTCCTGTGACGATATCACCTGTCAGTCGCTCCGTTACATTCGAACGGTTCAAGTTCGCTCACCTCACATGACAAGCGACAGACCACTGAGACATATGACATCAGCTATATCCCATATCCGCCGTGCTTACGTTCGACAGATAACTGTGTCGTCCTCCAACTTCACCTTGAAGCACCGTGCCTCTCTATCAGGCTATCTCTAGAGGGGAAAGACGTGGCAAAACATGACGGGAATGGTACTGGGCTGTACATTTGAGTGTGCAGGACCTCTGATCATTAGGGCAGCTGCCAGCAGACCTCAGCAGAAAATGGTGCACTCGACTCAGAAAGAGCGTGATCGAGATATCTTATTTCGAACTTGCGATCATTTTGATGGAGGAGGACCACTCGATCGGAGCGACCTCATCAAAGATGGGCTGTTTGCGGTTTGTCAGTGTGTCACGCCTGACCTGGTGGCTGGGCCCTATCTTGTTGACCCTCAATCAATCAGCGAGTCTCTACGTAGGATTCCACAAGATCACCGTCGTTTATCGATGAATCCCACCTAGTTATTCTATCTAATCATCGATAGTAATACAATCATCCACTATTCTACGGTTGAGGCACACAGGTCACGCAACCACTGGTGGAGCTCTCTTTCGCCCAAGACCTCCTCCAAATGCGTCCCGAATGACCCCTCTTCCAATGTCAGCCATTGCGCCCCGACTCTCCCATAGCGGTAATACAGACGTGATACAAGCGGCAATGAACAGCCAAATAACACAGATGATGACCCACGCCTTGAAGAACGGTAGAGAGAACACGTAATGAGACAGGAACATTGGGATTGGAATGATCTGTGGTACGAACATGAGTAGTCTGCTCGATAATCGACGATCATCACGCACGAATATAATGATAAAGCTCATCGAGACAGACAGCCACGTCGCAACCTTGAGGGATTTTCGCAAGGTCTCGTAGTCTTCGACTTCAGCATCATCTATTGGTGTCTCAGGTTCCTTGATAGACGACGTCCGTGTCAGCGCATCCGCCTTCTCGCTGTCCTTCTCGTGGATGGACCCATCTGCGCTCGGACCGTCGACATCCTTAGGGGAGGACTGCGCAGCCTTCATGCGTTCGACGTCCATCGCACGCCCGCGCGGGTTGATCTTCTTCGTCTCTGACCAGTCGAACTCGTTATCCGGCTTGATGAGTGTGACGACAATAGATATGAGCGCGCCGGCACAGCAGGAGCCCATGTTCCCCGCCAGAGTCGCGTAAATCTCGCCTGGTGGGTGATCTCACATGTGAGCGCGCGCAGTATGGACAGATACAACGGAGCGTACCAGTAGTCTCGATCGTCAGGGCGCCGTAGTACGTCTTCGCGACGACGAGCCAGCAGATAATGCCGATGCACACACCACCGAGCGCACCGCTAATAACGGCCGCTTTCGTCTGCTTGCGCCAGATGATGCTGAAAACGATAGGCCCGACCGCGGCGGTGTATAGCGTGCCCGAGAAGAGGAATAGCCAGTTGAGCGAGATGCCAATGCCGTTCCAGAGGCACGCCACAGCGGACATGATGATCGCCCACACGCCGACCATGATGTGCGAGACGCGGATGAGGGAGTCAGGGGATGCCTGTAGGCGTCATCAGTATAGGGAGCGCATAGATGAGAGGGCAACTAACGTCAGGCTTGATGTGGATTTGGTAAAGATCAAATGTTAGGATAGATGACGTCGCGATCATCTCCGAAGACGCTGCGGATGTAACGGCCATGAAGAGTAAAATAAGCTAGCGAAGACATGTGAGCACGACATGCCATGCCAGGTTGCGGTAACATTACCATAGCGGCAGCACCACCGCTACCCAACAGCGCAACGACGCCAGCCGGAGACGCAAGTCCAGCATCGGTCTGGGCTGAAGAGAGACCGCCTGGATATGGGAATGCCGGGTCTGCAATCAGGGTTTTACTTCAGCTTCACTACAATAGTTCCTGAGAATTATACAGTGGCGTACTGTTGGCGAGTGCGACAGCCGCAAGACCCATGATGGTGGAGAATGTGAGGGGAACGGCGAACCAGGCGACGCCCCCCATCAGGTACGCGCGCACAGCCGTTTTTGCTTTTGACGCAATTGCTCGTTGCCAGTATCCCTAGAAATTGTAAGAAACGTTTCTAAGGATCCTTCTTCAAAAACCATACCTGATCGAGCATCACGGTGCCCAGACCACCAAATACTTGGATCGCCATGAACACAAGTCCATCTAGGCAGACTCGACCATCAGAAAGCATATGAGACAGAGCCAATATTGCGACCTACAGTTCGACTTGAGAGTCATGTATGAGCCTTGCTCATTGCCAGCCACAGGTCGTTCTACGGCAGCTTGCTGCAAAAGACGGTACATTCCCTCAAAGCCGCCAATCAAGTCAGATTCGGTATAAGTGTAGAACCAGAAGTATAATATGATTATCATGAGGATGAGTGTATGTGAGTAATCGCCTACAGTGAAAGTGAGCATGGCGCCACAATTGATTATAATCAGCACTCACATAAGAAGGTAGCGCGAAGGCCACCAAGGATCACATAGATCCCGACCCCGATTGGAATAAGGAAGTTCGCGGCATATATGTTCATGCCCGTGAACGCGTTCACGACGGCACTTCCACCGAGAAGCAGCTCGCTCGACACGATCAAGTTGGTCACGAGCCCGAAGGTGACGAACATGAAATGTGCCGCGCTGCCATATCGCGCATGGACGATCTCGAGATATGTGTGGCAGTACGGCGCGATCATCTTCACGCGCACAGCGAGCGCCGCCATCAGGAAGATCTGCAGCGTCGCGCCCGCGGCATAGTAGTACCCACCACACAGGCCGTACTCATACGTCACTGTCGAGCTCTGCAGAAGCGTCGCCGCCCACGTCCACGCGGAGACGATGCCTGACGCAATAAGTCCCGGCTTGACTGAGCGCGATGCGGTGTTGAACTCCTCCGAGGTCGCGATCTTGTAGGACGTGTATCGATTCTGCAGCGTCGAGAGGCCCATCATAATCACGGCGAACACGAAGCCTATGCCGAGAACGACGCCATAGCCCGTGCCTTGCGAGAGAACCTGTGCTCCGTCCGTGGTCGACATTGCTGAGGCGGCAGAAGACTTCTGAAAGCAAACAAGTGCAGGTTGCGCGCGAGCTATAAGACCTTCGCGTACTCCGATGCTGTGTAAGCAGCCAGGAGCCTTATCGAGGAGGAGTGTACCGATAAGAAGTTACGTTAGCGAGAAGCTCGACTTCGGAGCACTTCTCCATCGAGGCTGCGGAACATCTCTGAAGCAGAGAGGCGTCTCGTAGTCTTGGCGCTTACAATGTTGACACCTATTCATTCTCGGAAGTGGCACTCCCATGTCACGAAGCGTCGCTGAGACGGAGAGACCGAGTTCTCACTGCCTGTCTGCGACCTATACGTCTGCGGCAATTTCTGTGATTCCATCATTGGAAGCAGCGTAGCAATCTACAGCAATCTACAGGTTGAACAGTTCTGTGAGCTCTTCTTACCAGCGAAGATTCTGATCGTACCTTCGGATATCCAATGGCGTGGGTGAGGATGCATGGAAGCGGGGCACCTACCGGGATGTAGACGCCGAATGGCAGTATATAAGGAAGTGGTGAGTGCTAAAGGAACCCCGGTTCCGCCCCACGGCAAAGCATCGAGATAACGGAGATAGCGTGGCGGCGACTCAGGCGCACAAGATATACACTGTATCACGCGGAATATTAACATCAGGAGACCACTTGTGCATCCAGCGGCTGAGAGCCTAATGTTGCCATCCGGCGCCACGAACCTGTGTTCTCCATGCAGCAGACTAATACAGACCGATATTTAGAATGCAAGCAGCGATGGGCAATCCGTTCGTGACAAAGCAGTCATAGTGACAGTATGAAACACTCAGATTAGATGCACCTGAAGCTAGCGATGTGTATTAGAGTTTAGCGCTTCCGTAGAAGTGTGCCGACTAGAAACACCACGATTCATGAGTACTTGTCAGGGAGTGACGTTGGTGAGTGCGTCAGACGGAGGGTTCCACGCAAACTCCACAAAATGAGGCTCTCGGAGTAGTCAAAAGAGACCTCTTGAAACATCAAGATGCGTCGACGTTTCGGCAACGTGAACGTCCATGCAATATGGGAATTTTCGGCGTGACTTCCTACCACCTATATCCAGGAGGCTCGAATTGCCGGTGTTAGTTGATACACCAATCATTATTTCCGCGAACCTGTACTTAGGAAAATTGTGCGTTTGGGTTTGCTCAGTGCTGGTGGTGGGATTCAACGACTCGGCAGTCGCCGCGACAACAGAGCCATGTCCCCCGGCGTCTGCCGACCATTGAGGTGGATCGAGATGCGCATCTCATGTCTTTCCCCACTTGCAATTGGTCTCACAAACTAGACTACATGTTGGCTTCAGCTCGGAGAACGATTCATGCAACATCTCGATGCCAGGGCAAATAGGAACGCATATTCACTCCACGATCCTGCTTCTGGTCATGGTCACGCAAAGTTGTACTGTTCGACAGCTTCCGAGTAGCTCGCCCACAATACCCCTTGTCACACAACAGAAGGCGCAGCTACCAGAATCCGTACAAAATGATGAAACGGGCTGTGTTTCGTTTCCTATGAGAACCTCACATACAGGCACAGCACCCTTAGTAGTCTTGATGTTTGAATCCGTACGGACTCGGAACAGCCGTGAGCGGGAGACACGGTCACATGATCACGCCGTGTTGCATTTCAACCGTTCAGGGGCGTCACAGTCGGGCGCGATGAATATGTGCAGCACGACAGGCTCTCGATACTCTCTGTTCCAGGTGTGAATCCATCTGTTTTACTACTCTTCGTACTCCTTGATACTCTGAACGAATCTTTGCGCCTGTGGCGAAAACGCCATTGCAGACGCCTCACAAATCGTCCGACCAAGACTCATACTGATCGAAGTCCACCGAAATGGCAGCAATCTTCTTTCTCATGACGACAACAGCGTCCTTTCCGAGGGGAAAGTGCAGGGGAGGATCGTGTAGTTCTGAGAGACGATACATCTTCTCGGCCGCCTTGTCGGGGTCAGCGCCAAACGGCGTTTGCAGATGGCCTCGCGTGATATTCGCCGGGAGTGTGGGTTTGATATATGCAGGTGGTTGTGGGAGCTTGACCAGATTGCCTATGGCGTTCGTGCGGAACGCGCCGGGTTCTACGAGTATGACCTAGCGATGGCATGGTAAACATACGGTGTGCGGCGTTCTGCGTAAGGGGAAGGCAACTTGCCTTGATGTTCCATTCGGGGTCCATCTCCGCTGCTAGGGTGTCGCTCAAGCCCTCCAGTGCTGCAGAGTCACTTCAGCATTGGACGGAGAATACGACGCGATCAAGCAGCAGGCTCACCATGCTTGCTGGCAACATAATACCCTAGTCCTGCGGTCGCTATTATGCCTGCCACCGAGGATATCTGTAGCAGACGTCCTCCGGCGGGCTTGTTTACTTCGCGGAAGACCTTGATTGCCTCCTTGCTGACATACATCGCCCCCCAGAAATTCACACGGAACATGTACTGAGCTATCTCGTCTGGAGTACCCTCCACTTCGCCGAGCGCGAAGTATGCCGCGTTGTTCAACACGACGTCGATACGACCAAACTTGGCCACTGCGCTGGAGAAAGCAGCGCTGACTTCCTCCGGTTTGGCGACATCGAGCTTCAAAACGAGCAGCTGGTCCGCGGGATACTTTGCGACGAGGTCAGAGAGGGCGTCGGGCTGGCGCAGGGTGGCGACAGCGATGTCACCCTTCTTCAGAATAAGCTCTGTCATGGAGCGCCCGAACCCAGTAGAGGATCCGGTGACTGTTTCCACGTCAGTACAGATCAATCAAGAGTCATAATTCAACCACTCACTGAACCACACTTTAGGAGACATGTTGCTTGGTGCTATGTTGGCGGTTGCTGATCCTCGTCTGTGTCATACGCTGGCATTTATACTCTGCGCTGCGCGCTACGATGTGAGAACATGAAGGATGCGACGCCACACTGGCTGTTACTGATATGCCGAGCATCGGAATGCTACCACTCGCCTTCGAGCGACTCGGCTTTGGGCGAATGAATACATGAGCGCGACAGCTCACGCAAACTTTGATCCTCGTGACAAACGCCGACTTCGTCGGGTATTGCTAAGCATTGTCGGTCAATGGGGATTGACGGCGTTGAAGGCGATAGAAGGAATGCTGACTCCGATTTACCGTCGCTGAATAGCAAACACATTTTGTTTGATCATTCACTAATGGTGCACCCTATGAGGAAACTGCAACTCTGCCTTGGATGGTCTAGGAAGCTCAAAAGCCTTTAGTAGAGAACGCCAAGGAAGATCGAGGCACAATGGACTTAAATCGTAATCGTGTTTTGATGCATCCCTAACCCATCCTTATATGTACTTGGTCTCCTTTGATCAATACGAATAATAGTACTAAGCCAGGTCGAAGCCAGAGCCGTGGCTTGCTTATCAATTCTTCCAGTCACATAACTTCCACGAGCAGGAAAACTCCTCCTGTGTCCAAGCTCTACACCGCACGTGGGAGAAGTAGCGACTCGATACGAGTCCATACGCCGTGAACAGCCTGGAAGATTACTATCATTCATTTGACTCCTTCCATACCCGTGCAAAATCCGCAATGTCAATTAGAGCGTCTCAGGGACGGACACCACCATATTCCATACACTAATTTGCGATCAGAAGCTGACTTAAAGATGAGTGTCCGGGAGTGCTGCAAGGAAATGATGGAAATCAGGTAGGTGATCCCCGGACCATATTGCTCGGTCATTTGTTTCAAGAATCCAATCTATCGAAGTCGCAGTCGCCAGCTAACACGAATTATGTATGATATACCATGGACAACATGCCCACGTTTCCCATCAGGAAATGTCTCAGTGGTACTCAGAATCTTATCTTTACTATAAGAGTAATGATTCCCGCATGCAGCGTGACAGGTAGGCCTCTGTTGAAACTTGGGATTGTGGCGAGCGCATGCCATCGTATTTGACATTGCTTGTAGTACATAGCAGAATTTGCGCGAGCCTCTCTGTACGTTCCTTACGCGTCTGACAGAGCTCAGACAAACGCGACATAATCTTTTCGATCGTCCTAGCTTTGGGTCTCAGACAGACTTCCACAGCCTGAAATTACATTCCAAAATCGAGCGCACATGGCACCAGACATTTTCGATCACGGATCAGCAACAGCCACTGCGCAGTCCGCGCTAGGCGGAAAGTAAAACCTGCACCGATCATGTGTTCCCCGGGTTGATGCACGTTGGTGCTCGTGTCTCGTGCGGGCTTTTAAGCGCACGCACCTATACTTAGACGTGAAAAAGCCATATGTAGCCAGTTCGGACATTGACCTACTGGCGCTCTTCATCAGGCCACATCCTCAGACCTGACGACATATATGCATAGTGAAGTGCACAGCTGCTTACTACGACACACGTGGGTACGGACATCTTCCGCGTAATCTGGGCAATCCATGTGGGGCGCACATTGCTCACACGATCATTCCGCATATATAGAACCGACGTAATGGCCCCTGTACTTGGCTAGTAGCATCGCTATAAAGCATTCTGCATTTCAAGCGCCGTGCATATTCCCCTTTGCTTCGACCACCTCCAGATACTGGACGGCACATGAAGCATCTAGCTTTACTCCTGTCTGCCGTTCTCTGCTGCATCCCGCTCCCTGTAGCCAGTCAGCTAGCGGCATCAGTGGCTTATGCGCCAGTGCTTACGCCGTGCCCGTCTGGCGTATCTCTTTTAAGGGAGGTAGGCACTGTCGACCAATCTCTCAGCGATGGAGAACACGCATATGTAGCAGGCAGACGATCTGAAGTGTTGCCTGGGGCATGGGGATCGTACCTGGCGGCAGTACTCAAGAGCATGACAGGTGTAACAAACCTCCCAGAATATGTCACAGATATACTGGGCGGCACCTATGGAGAACGTGGATACCCGCACTTCGGGATCGTGACCAGCGGCGGCGGCTACAGGGCAGCGATCTTCGGGGCTGGCGTGCTAAACACCCTCGACGGTCGCAATACCACGTCGGTAGAAGCAGGAACTGGCGGTCTCCTCCAAGCGGCCACTTACCTTGCCGGCCTGTCTGGGGGCAGCTGGCTTGTCACGTCGCTTGCTCAGGCAAACTTCCCCACCTTGCCAGATCTCATTTTTGGCCCCTCTGCATCCGGGAAGGACAGCTTTGGGGGCTGGCTGACGCAGTTTGATCTGTTGGCGCCCAGCGACGATCCACTCGTGGACGGCGTATATCTCCTCGATGTTGTTGCCGAGATCATGGGGAAGCACAGCGCAGGATTCCCAGTGACTATCAGCGATGTATGGGCGCGAACGCTTTCGCGACACTTCGTAAATGGAACCGACGCCAGCAATTTCTGGGACGACACTCTGAAACACGGTGCGGGACTCACCTTGTCTTCAATTGCTGACCTGTATGTCGTGATATCTCCGCAGCCTGCGTTTGAGGTGCTAATATCTGCGCACAGGAACACATTCGCGAATTACGCACAACCATTCCCAATCATCATCGCTGACTCACTTTCGCCAAACGGAAATGAGTCTAATGTGCTCAATGAGACCGACATAGACGTGCCGCTGACGAATCCTATCTACGAGATTAACGTCTGTGAGTACAATCTCGCGGCAGAAGGAATCTCATAATGTGAACTGACGTTGCGGTGAATAGTTGAGTTTGGCTCGTTTGACCCTACGCTTTCCGCCTTCACTCCAACCGAGTACTTGGGCTCTCCTAACGACAGCCTGTGTGCCACCAACGTTGACCAATTGTGCTTCATCGAGGCGATGTCATCGAACGCATATAACGTTTACAACACCTCAGTAAGCTCACAACGCACAGGGGCGCCTGTGGGTGATGCTAACCTAGCGTATAAGGCTGCTGCAGCTGTTATGGAACTTGTGGTCGAGGCGTTCTCGCAATTGATCCCCGAGTCTAAAGTAGAGCTCGACGTGGCGATCGTCCCCAATCCATTCCATGGTGTAGCTCCATCTACGTACATCGACAGCAACGAGACGCTGCTGCAGTTAGTCGACGGTGGCGAGGACGGTGAGACGGTACCGTTCATGCCGCTTCTGGTGAAGGCGCGCAATGTGGAGGTCATCTTTGCGATTGACGTTGTGAGTCGTCCACGCCCCATGCCGAAACCACAGATGTTAAGCATAGACGTCAGGCGGCGGACACCGAGGACAACTGGACGGCAGGGCTGTCCATAATCGTGCGTGATGATTGTGTAGGTGGACTGAGGTCTTGATCTGAACTCTAGTATCACTCCAGGCAACGCAAGACCGGGTGGCATTCTTCACCGACACATACTCCTTCCCACCAGTGCCGCCGCTGGAATCTACGTTCTTAGAGTACAATCTCACGAAACGCCCCACGTTCTTCGGGTGCGAAAGCACTGTGGAGTCCGGGGAGCCGCTCGTCATTTACCTCGCGAACGGCGGTCCGCCGCTGGGGCAGCCGCCGCTCACGAACACGTCGACGGCACAATTCACCTACTCCGCGGACGAGATTGACAAAATGCTCTCCCAGACATTCGATATCGCTACGCAGGGTATACCAGAAGGGCTGGAAAAGGACCCGTTATGGCCGGCGTGTCTAGCGTGCGCTGTTGTAGACAGATCCAGGAGGCGGGAAAGGATCGAACGCAGTGGCGTGTGTGAGAGCTGCATGGAACGGTATTGCTGGAGCTGAGATAGTAGAGACCGAACACGGCGCTGTACATGGCTAATGGACGTCTACTCACCTTCGTTGCGCACTCATTATGAACAATGGGCCTCCTGGTAGTGTATTTGGATCCGTTATTTCTGAGCCCAGCGGGCCTACAGAATTCTGTTTCCTGCGTCAGTAGTCTTTTTGCGTTTGGCCACGATGTTGATGTTCTGCATGAGCGTTATTGAAGACCGATTGCATGTCATTGGTACAACTCAAATCAAGATGTAGACCACACGTACCTGACTCATCAACCCGCGCCCACACCTACCCATGAGCCGGTCTCCCTTCATTTCAGATCACGTCCGACCTTCCACCCATCGCTCGCCGCATTCCAAGTCGTGACCTCAATGTTCGTCTGTTCGTCGAGGTCTTCCCCGTCTCTCTAGGCTGCTTCCGCAAGCACTGGTTGACGCGATGCCAATATCCTCCTCAATCTGGCCATTAGTCATGAAGCCATTGCCGACTCCTGCCGCAAGCTGCGAGGGGAAGTTTTCGTATCGTCACGGTGTGAGGTTGATGTTCCAGAATGTCTGACCTCCGGAAATTGACGCTGATTCAGGCTTAATTGGGCGTAGCGTGTTGCCGTCTGTGCTAGAAGTAAGCCAAACAAGTTCTAGCCTTTGCATGTCTTTGTTTTGCTCGAGGGATCCTCGAGAGCTGCTCGGAGTGATCAAGAGATGATCGGTGCTAACCAAGTATACAGATTCCGAGCGTGTCGAGTTGGCGCCCTCAGCCACCTCCGCACCCACATTGCAATGTTAGCCGTCTCTCTTCTGCAAGATGCACTGTGCCAGCGAATATATCATCTGAACGAGAAATCGACGAACTTCGCTGCCTAACGTTCCCACGGTTCATTGTATGCGAATCTTCATAAGCAAGGCCTGAGGTAAGACCGATGCACGTAACTGGCGCGCAGCTCGGGCCCGGTTTGTCAACACTGAACAGGTCATTTGGCCCCGTGGGAGGTGTGCGCACACTGATTCGTGTGATAAGAAACCACCGCACCAGGGATCTCGCCGATCTGATTCAATTTGTGAGTACTAAATCCCGTCATTCCTTATAATTACATTCTAGCCCCCGCATCTGATTGGAAAAACGTCTGGGGACCAACAGCTATGCCCGTCTCATAGAATGGCTTACTGCTCCTGAATCATTTTTAAGGCAGGCCCGTTGCGTTATGCAACTTATGACTGAAGTCCATCATCGCTACCAGTGATGATGGACTTCAGTCATGGCCCTACTGTTCACTTGAACATTTTCTTGAGAAGCGGGATCGCGGGAATTACAGATAGAAACAGTGATATGACCCATTAGGTAAGTGTTTTTTGTTTCGAAAGAACCACAAGTGGTACCGATGCGTGTGGAAGGAACTCGCTTACGCGTATTTTGACCACGTAACGTCAAATTCCGGCGTATATAAGAAGGCCATGCTGCACTCCCAGATTTCTTGTGCCTACCTCGGTGCACTGTGTGTGCACGTTGCGTAGGAAGACTGAGCCATGGCGGATTCTACCCTTCTACTATGTTGTGCGCTTTTCGTCAGCGCTGCCTGGCTGCTGCGAACACAATTCCGCCAGCGCAGTAGCTACCACGTTATACGCAACATACCTGGACCACCGTCAAACTCCTGGCTGAAAGGTGATCCCTTTCAACTCGATTCGAGACAGGATCTGACGTTTTCCAGGTAATTTCATGAAGTTCTTCGACCGTCACGGGCAGTTATTTCAGCAAGACGTTGCACTGAATTATGGCCCTGTTGTGCGACTCGAAGCCGTTTGCGGCGTACGGTTCATCATACATTTATGCTGCATGCCGCTAGCTCATCAAGCGCCTTAGCACAAGATGTTGTATATCTCGGATCCGAAGGCGTTGCACACTATGCTCATCAAGGAGGAGACCGTCTACGAGGAGACAGATGCATTCTTTGCGTGAGCCGACTTGCCCAAGTATATGCCGACAGATCTGATGGAACACGCAGATCTATGAAGCTGTTGTTCGGGGACTGCCTGCTAGCGACTGCAGGTATGTTCTTGTAACTCATATAGCGGAATGAAACTCACTTTACAGTGCACACTAAGGCGAACATCATCGTAAACAGAGGAAGATGCTCAATCCAGTCTTCTCGGTTAGTCACATGCGACACATGCTACCCATATTCTACAGCACCATCTTCAAGGTATGTGCTCATGATCATGATGACCTTCGAGAATAATACTTATACACACATCGTAAGCTTCGAGAGGTAGTTCGTGCAAAAGTGCAATCGGGTAAGAACGAAGTCGACGTGTTGGAATGGACAGGTCGCGCTGCGCTGGAGCTCATTGGGCAGGGGGGTCTCGGATACTCGTTTGATCCTCTAGCGGTTAACACGGAAACGAGAAACACATATGGCGATGCTATCAAGGCGATGAAGTGCGTGTCCCTCCGCGTCGTGAATTTCTTGCACGTTCTTACGTCCGTCGATGGGCAATCAGCACCAGCCTGATCGAGGTCGAATTTTTCCGCCGGTACCTAGACATCCTGATGGAGTTGGGACCGCGGCGCTTCCGCCGCTTTGTAGTTGACATGTTTCCCAACACCCACGTACAGCACGTCAAGGATGTAGTCGACACGATGGACGAGAAATCTCGAGAAATCTTCCGCAAGAAGAAGACCGCGCTGGCGAAAGGGGACGAAGCGACACTGCGCCAAGTTGGCGAAGGGAAGGACATCATGAGTATCCTCAGTACGTCCGTGGACATTCAGTCCCTATCCAACGTACTAATTTATTTCTAGTCAAGGCGAACAGTGCGGCGTCAGAGCAAGATAGGCTGCCAGAGGACGAGCTGATTGCTCAGATGTCGTCAGTAACTTCAAAATCATGCAGTAGCCCACTCTCACTGGCGAAATCAGTCTGTTGGTTTCGGCCGCTACTGACACTACCTCGAACACGTTGAGTCGGATTTTGCATCTGCTAGCCGAGCACAGAGAGATGCAGGAGAGGTTGCGCGAAGAAATCCTCAAGTCTAGTGCAGGAAACGGCGACATCTCATACGACGTGCTGAACAAGTTGCCTCTGCTAGACGCCGTCTGTCGGGAGACTCTGAGACGGTAAGCCATACTTGCGCTTTTGCTCCATATGCAGCATAAGATGGAATCCCTCCGTAGGTATCCCCCGGTGACAATTCTGATCCGAGCGTACGTGCAGCGTCATTTTCCTACCTTCAACCATTGACGTGTGACGCAGGCCGAGGAAGGATTCAGTACTGCCATTGTCTGAACCGATCTGCGGCATAGACGGGACAATGATCAAGGAGATTCCTATCCCTAAGGGTACTGAGCTTATTATCGGCACGTTTGGGTGCAACGTCAACAAATCTCTGTGGGGCGAGGACTCGCTGGAGTGGAAGCCGGAACGTTGGCTCTCCCCTCTGCCTCGTGCCGTGACCGAGGCTTCGATACCCGGCGTTTACTCCAATTTGTAAGTCGCGGAGAGAACCGGACTGCGACCTAGTGCTGAACACCGCGTGCACAGGATGTCCTTCATCGGAGGCAAGCGCGCATGCATGTAAGTAGATCCTGCAAGCTCGGTCGACTCGATATTTATTACCCATCAATGTAGCGGGTTCAAATTCTCGGAGATGGAGATGAGTAAGTGTCTTGTCCTGAGCTACAACTGGTTACGCTTCGTTCTTACATTTGAATTCACAGAGGTCGTTCTGTCCGTCATGCTGTCCAACTTTACCTTCGAGTTGACGGATAAGCCGATTGAGTGGAATGTCTCGGGTGTATGGTATCCGACCGTTGGGAGGGACAGCGATCTGGCCCAACTGCCCCTCAAGGTGGGGCTATATAAAGCCTGATCTACGACGTTCCCACAGGCATCGCTGTCATGACATGTACAGACACGGGTTGTACGAGATAACCATGGAAGTGACAGTACGATGCGATTCCCCCTTTTCCTACCACTCGGTTTGCCATATTTCTTGCTCTATTTGTATTCTGTGCTTTCGAAATGGTCTATTGTTTGACCGTGAGCTCTGTCCTTGTCAGTACATTGACCTGAAGTCAAGTGCCGCACTCAACACACAATTCAACATACGAATACAATTGGATGCATATGCCAGCCAGTGCAGCGTAGATTACAGAGATATTGATATAGCTGAATGAGACATGACTTACTTTAGCAAAGTATGTAGGACTCACGAGAGTAAGGGTGATGAAAGCAAGTCAACAAGCGCACATGGTGCGTGAGGCTGATAATGGCGACTTGAAGCCCGCCTGTCGCTTTAAGCAGTGTGCTTGTTTGCGAGCAGAATAAAAATAAATATTGAGACCCGTAGGTCTACCACTCCGGGAAAGCGTGTCATCCTTGTGCAGGGGCCATGCTAATCTTCTCTGTATCGTTCCAATTTTTTCGTATGTCACCCCAAAGGGGACAATCAATGTTGATGGAGTACCTTTGCAGCCGACATCATCTTGTATTGTCTGCAGCCCGCGGGTTGAGACGGCGGCTACCATTGATGTTTGCCTTAAGAGTTGAGGTCATTGCCTGCTAAAGCTAGACCCACGGCGTGATTCCATGAGCCCGAGAAGTGTGATATGGGCGTAGCAGTAGCATAATAGATATGAACACACATGCAAACGACTGTTTTGTATATTTTAAGTGTACAAGCGCCCGTCTCGATCGGTTGCCCCACGACTGGAGTTTCCCTACATTGTCGAGGCACGCACCGGCTCTCGAACAATTTTTGATCCTTCTGGGCTGTTATTATGCGGTACGAAATTATCACTGTCTGCCCCGGCGAAGAGATTGATATCGGTCTCGCGCGGAACTCAAATGTGTGCTACTTATCGGCAAATAGAGCAGCCAGATCTGGGATCTATATTTGCGACCTTATATAGGTGCACAACCTAATCAGGGGAAATACCAATATCTATAAGGTTTACAATTGCTCACCAGCCTGTTGCATTATCTGTTATCCTGCCTTCCGCCTATGGCTCTGGATATGTTAGTACGCCTATACTCAAAGCGCGCATTCAAGAAGGCATTCGGAATGCACGCTTTAGTCGCACATTAATGCAGGTCCGGATATTCATCGGCGTGTTGCGGCGACATGCGGTGCGCATGAGCCGCCTCGGTGGCACAACAACATACTAGGTGAGCACCCCCGTTTTGCTCAGACTGAGCTGAGGACCACCGAATGGGAGCTGCGTGCCGACGCTCGCCGCACTTTCGTCGCGACCTCGAGTGATCGTTTGGTGTTCCAATGTTCCAAGACGCCGCCACAATACGCCATGGAGGTCGGCGCTTATTCACCCCACTCGCCGGGCGAGGTGCCGATCCATCTGTCAGGACGACACTGCCTGTACTCAAGGCAAGTACCTTCGACGAACGCATCGAACAAGATTGGTTGTATACGCAACAAGAACCTGATCATGTCTTGTTGTCCTGGCCGACCATCAAAATGTGTCCAGCAGCCGTCGGGTATGCACACTGCTTTCCTTTCAATGTACTGAAAACCCGTGCCCGTGAGTACTGTGCTCTCTTGGCGGCCAGCAAGCGGTGTTCAATGCCTGAAACGCAAGCCGACGCCGATGCATCCGTATCATTGTGTATCGACAGGTGCTCCACTTTGACAGCGTCCGTCGGGGGCGTCTATGCCTCGGTCCACTACATAAATACTACCTTGGGGCTCCATGAACAGACCCCAGCTCTCAGCCTTTCTTTCGCAGAGCCCACAGGACTTCCAAGCACAGGTACTGGATAGTGCGTGTCTACAATCTTATCAATCGATCATTCGACTAACTTTGGGGATGACAGCCTTGTTTGTTTCTCTTACGACCATTCTTTACGACTTCAACTCACATCCGCTTTAACGACCTCCCTCAACTTTGATCAATACCTTTACCCCTCTTATAGCTATCATGCGTGCCGCCACCGCTGCCCCCGTTCTTCTCCTTGCTGCTGCCATTGCGCCGGCCATGGCTGCCCCCATTGCTTTGTACATCCTTCGATTATATAACTACCATTCCTACTGACTGATAACAACTTCCATGCACAGATCCTCGGATGCGGAGCTCATCGCACGCGAACCGTTTCATATGCGCCCAGTCAGCACGACCTGGACCTTCCCGAAAGGCCGCATCGGCACCGTCGTGAACCGTCCGCGCTCATTTGACGATGACGAACTCATGGCACGCTCGTTCGACGACGAATTGTACGCGCGGGATGCGCCTCCCGTGGCAGGCAGTGAAGCGGTCAACTGGAAGAAGGTCGGTAACGTCGCAGGCAAGATCGCCGGCGGTGTGGGCAAGGTCCTCTCCTTCCTTAAGCGCGAAGACCAGGAGTTGCTCGCCCGCGCGATTGAGGACGAGCTGATCGCGCGCGAGCCGCTGGTACCCGGCCCAATCAGCTTCATCCCGATGAACACTGGCCTACGGTGGACAAAAGGCCGTATGGGTACCGTCGTGAACCCTCTGCGCTCGTTCGACGATGATGAACTCATGGCACGCTCCTTCGACGACGAACTGTACGCGCGCGAGGCGCCCCCCGCGGCAGGCAGTGAAGCAGTCAACTGGAAGAAGGTCGGCAACGTCGCAGGCAAGATCGCCGGCGGCGTAGGCAAGGTCCTCTCCTTCCTCAAGCGCGAAGACCAGGAGCTGCTCGCTCGCGCGATTGAGGACGAGCTGCTTGCCCGCGAGCTGCCGCTTCACGGTCCAATCAGCATGATCCCGACCAACATACGGTGGACGAAAGGCCGCATCGGCACTGTCGTGAACCCTCCGCGCTCGTTCGACGACGACGAACTTATGGCGCGCTCATTTGACGACGAGCTGTACGCGCGCTCGGACTTCGTGCTGGATGAGCTTGACTGAGGGGTGGTGTTTATTTCATGGTGATTTCTCGGTACTTGATGAGGTTTGTATGTTGTGTAGTTGTCGTGATGCGAATGGGCTATGGCTGAGGCTCAATATGCGGTGGGTCCTTTAAAGAATATTGAAGATCACTACGTTTGCCACAACAGCAATGCAGGCGCTCAACATGCCACGAGACATCAGCGAAAAGGCATTATTAAGGACAAATTGGGCTTAAGCACGTCTCTCGGAATGAAAATCGAAGCATGATAAATAAATATGATCGAGGTGTGTTGAGCCGCATAACGAACAACAGTAGTTGTACTAGGTCAATAAGTCGCGCGTTCAGGCAGGAACCGTTGTAAGCCCAGTAGAACGTGTAGGGTCCATATCCCGCCTCTGCCGCCTATTCAGCGGTCAGGCCAGCGGCACATAAAATCCCGTGCCGTCCAGCAACTCCAACCCATCAATGAACGCACTCCCAAGGCAGCCTGCGCTCGCGTGCAACGCGATGTATGAGCTAGGCGTGGCTGAAGTAATTTGTGGATGCGTAGAACAGCGCTGGTCTGCCACGCGCGACCCACTAGAAATGTTGACACGCGTAGCTATAGTACGGACTGGCCCATGGACCATTAGGTGCTGTTTATCATTTATCATCGTAAAAACTGAGGGCATCCTTGTACAATAACACTCGTTAAAGATGCATGCCGCATAGTTTCTTCTTCAGTACTTTGTTCAAGATAGCGGCCTTGGTGTATGAAGGTAAAGTGCCAACCGCGCTGCTCACGCCATCATCTAGCGCGTAATGTCACTGGCACGTGTTTCGTTATGGGCGTTACAGCCTGCAAGGCCTTCACATTCGACTCTCACATGTCTGCCTCTTAATCGTCTCCCACTGCAAGTTTCATGGACTGTGTGACAGCTATGGGACATCATGATGTTTTTCCAATACTGTCTTCACCCGCTTAAGGTCAGGAAGGTCGAATTATATTTTAGTACATACCATCGAACGAACCGTGAAGCAGATCGTCATGTTTACATTGACTAAACCATGGCTGGTTCAGTGACATATCCGTACACAGTTGACCTAGGATCACAAATGTTTGAAGGTGGCAGTGTTAGGCACAGCGTCGCGTTGACTCGGACATTAGCGCGGCTACTAATGGGCAAGATTAGGTTTGTTATGCTGGGCACTTGTTACCGAAGTGAACTGATGTCAGGTTCAGGACGCACGCAATGGCCTGGAAAGGATGTTGATGTTGATGTGGAGTACACAGCCAAACGGCCTTCGAACACGGCCGTTGTCTGGCGTGTGCCCTAACACTACTTCTCGCTGGCCGACGTGAGTCCGCATTGTTCGTCAGGATATGCTGAAACACCTGGATTTGACGTGTGCAAGCCGTGCTGCTACGTTGTCATGAGCGGCTGTACGCGCTGAAAACATGTATTTAAGGCATACGTCTACGTTGACAGACCTTAGCTCTCAGCCTTTGTCCCTTCGTAGAGCCCATTTTATTGAACAAGTATTGGCACTGGCTGGTGAGTATTCCCTGCATTTGCTTGTGAAGCCTTCCTCACCGTTCGCTTGGTATAGCCTTGCTTGTTTCTTTTACGACATTCGTTGCATCTGCACCACGACCATTTCTGTCTCTACGAATCCAGCTGCCACCTCATTTGTCATTGATTGAATTCAGGATCCTCGCATTTGTCATGCATTCCTCCACCGTTATTCCCGTTCTCCTTGCCGTCGCATCGGTCTCGTCAGTTCTGGCAGCTCCTGTCGCTTCGTAAGTTGCGCATGGACAGTGCGCTATAACTACTCAACGATTTACTCTGCACACAGGTCCGCAGAGATGCTGGTCACACGTGAGCCGTGGGTCGGGCCTTGGCGCAACCCCAATGTTCCTCTGAATCCCTCCGGTTCGTCCGCGACGGCACGACTCCTCGGGATTCGTGACCCCCACGGCGATGTCTATGCTCGGGACGTTATATGGAAGAAGATCGAAGACCATGGCATCCTCAAGCCATTTGACTGGCTAAATGCTCACATCCACCAGCGTGACGACCAAGAGGTCTCCGCGCGCACTACTGGAGACGAGGTGTACGCACGCGAGATGGACGACGGGCGTATCGCGCGCGAACCATGGCATGAGCCCGCTCGCAACGTCAAATATCTCGCACTTCCGCCAGGCTTTAAATTCCACACGAACAACCTCGTAGCCGCGCGTGCGTTCGACGATGGCAAGCTCTACGCCCGGACTGTCCAGTGGAAGAAGATTCCTCTCGAGCAACCCGGCATCTTGGAACCTTACAATACTGCGTTCCATTCCTTTAACTTCGTTCCACGCCGAGCCCCGCGCTCCTTTAAAAGCAAACTCGAAGGCCCCATTTACAGGGTCGGGTCCTTACTGCAACGCGAAGACCAGGAGGTGTTGGCGCGGGCGAATGAGGACGAGTTACACGCGCGATCTGACTTCATGATTGAGGAACTCGACTGAGGGCGGCCATGCATTCACATTATTATTGTCGTATAGCTGGTACAAATGTGGTTTAGACTTTGGCTGAGGCTCAACTTCCGTTTGTTAAGTTGGGTATATCGAGGAGTATGTATACCTAAGGAACTCGGCTTCGCTCGTACACATTACATGGAAAGATGCTGCGAAACTGATGCCATGATCACCAAGAATGCAGGTACTTCCGGTCAGCACAGGCTCTGAGTTCCTTGCATGCGATCGAACTCATACCGTTGGATTTGCGGTCAGACTAATAATTGTCTACTTCTGTGGACTCATCCACTTCCTCAGGTGTTATCCGACCTGCAGGATCGAATGCCCAGCGAGCCAGATGGGGAGAGTTCTCAGACTGCGCTATCTGCCTTGCTCAAGGATTGCCGATCCACTCCGTACGATGCAGCGTATATCTGTTCGAGAGCATGAACCATCAACAATACTAGTACAAAACAAGCTCGCATTGCAACTAGCGACGTGATCCCCCGTGGCGCATCCGATGTAATTGTCGAAGAAGTTGAGCGTGAACACTACTTCTTGCCCGACCTTGAAGTGGGACGTTACTGTCAGTAGCATACGACTACGTATATAGGATCAATCACGTACTTCTTGATACCACCGCCAGGAGCTCCGCCTGTGGTTGACGTTTGGGATATCAATCAGACTTTTTGCAGATAGCAAAGTTGACATACCCTTAGAAGCTGGGGTCCACATAAGCATGAGATGTATGCTCTTGAAAAGTCTAATAAGACGCACCCTTGTCTCGAGCAGCTTTCAAAGCAGCCTCCTCCTGCTTCTTCCTCTGCTGGAAAGCGGCATCGTCCTCGTCGAGCTCTTTCTTCTCCTTCTTAGGAGCCTATCAAGACCATCGAATTGCATGAGCAAGTAGTGTGAGTCAGCAAGGTAAACGTATTGCATACCTTGAGGGGCTTTGCCTTACCACCCTGTCTGCCGGACATCGTTGAGCAAGTGAGAAGTAATTAATTGTATTTTACAGGTCGAGTGGTCAAACCGATCGAGATCTGACTCCAATCACACGTGACTTCAACGCGTCCGTCGCGTCAAGGGGAGCAGGTTACAAGTTTGAAATCCCGTGAATGCAAACTGCTCGAGGTCTCTTGTATTAGGACTTCTATCGAGCACAAACAAGTCATTTCATCTTGCATGGAACACACTTGATTGCAACGCTGTTATTAAACTTGGGGCTGATGCCGAAAACACCTCCGAACTTGCCAAGGCGATAGCAACTGCTGCCGATCACTGACAGGATTGAAGTTTCGCCCGTCGACTCGATCTCTTTGTATGTACGCTATGCGCTTCTTCCACAAGCCACAAAAATGCAAGACACGCGAGCTTACCGCAGTGGTGATTAGGCATTTATGAATTTATGGCAGCATATACGTGTTGGAAAACCGGATGTAAGAAGTATTTGTAGTGCGTGGTATACCCATGTGCGTCGACGATTCTTGCTTCCAGACCTGTCAGATGGGCGTCTCGGAGCACTGAGCGACCGGCTTCGTATATACAGTTGAAAATCCTAGCTTTTCCCGTCTCCTTTAGTCTCATGTCTATACCCAACACTTACTAAACTACACACTACTATACTGCCATTCATTTAAGACTCGACATGCAACGTCTTGTGCGTATCATATGGGCTTTCTATGTACCCTGGATAGTCGGGGCAGCGACGGCTGAGCAATGGCGAAGTCGGTCTATATACCAGTCGGTGTCATTTCCACGTATGCCCTACTACCCGCTAATGCAATGTCTAGAATAATCACGGATCGATACGCGCTACCTTCAAACGCAGAGTCAACCAAGTGCAACACGGGAAACCAGACGTGGTGTGGTGGGACCTGGAATGCGATCCGCGAAAACCTCGACTATGTCCAAAATGCAGGGTTCACGGCGATCTGGATCAGTCCTGTCTCGCAAAACTACGAAGGTCCACGCACGGCCTATGGAGATGCCTACCACGGGTACTGGATTGCCGACGCCACGAAACTGAACGACAGATTTGGCTCTGCTGACGACCTGAAAGCGCTCTCTGCGGAACTTCATAAGCGGGGAATGTACGTTTCCCTCGGGATATCACCAATACTGCTACCGTAATCACTGCGTTGCAGGTACCTCATGGTCGATGTAGTAGTCAACAACGTCATGGCCACTTCGACTACGCCAGACCTGTCGCCGTACATGTTCAAGGAGCAGGTGCGCGATCTCGAAGGAGGACACAATATGTGCGCTGATATACGGATGGCTCAGTCCCAATATCACCCGTATTGTCCGATTCAATGGGGAAACACCACAAGCGAACAGGACTGCTGGCTAGGCGATACTAATGTTACGCTTCCAGATTTAGACACTCAAAACCCGAGTGTTGTGTCCGGCTACAGCCTTTGGATCAAAGAGCTCGTGGAGGAGTATCAAATAGATGGCTTGCGAATTGATGGTAAGCGCACCGTTTCTGAGCCCATATCGCTGATAATACGACTGCATCAATATCTGCTGGTACCAAGCCGCAAAGTGAGTCGGTCTTTAGAGAAGGTGAACACTTCATGACAAGAATTCCTAGACATGTCAATACCGACTTCTGGCCGATATTCTGCGGAGCCGCAGGCGTCTTTTGTATAGGCGAAGTGTTCGATGGAAATATAACGTGAGGGGCGCCCTTCACTGCTTCGATCGTTGCTCAATGGTATTGCGTTCAGACAAGCTGCCCAGTACCAGGGCCCGAATGCTCTGGACTCTATTCTGAACTATCCCATGTACGGTGTTCTTGTGGATGCCTTCGCTATCCCCGGTGCACGAAACGTTTCCGCCGTCGCCGATACAATTGCGCAGTCCAGAAAGCTGTTCAAGGTACGTCAAAGATCGCATCTTTCTTTTGAGTAATTACCTCACGTTGTAGTATGTCCACAGGATCCTGGCCTACTCGGGAATTTCCTGGAGGACCAAGACGTCCCCCGCTGGGCCAATTTCTCCGTTGATCCACAGACACTGTACAACGCCATGGTCTTCACTTTCATGTCAGACGGGTGAGCGCCGATCGTCGAGGCATGTTGCTTACATTTAAAACGCTAAATCAGCATTCCTATCGTCTATTACGGCCAAGAACAAGGGTTCAATGGTAGTGGTGACCCTGTACGTGCTCACTTCGTCGATTGAGTGCAACCGCGGCCTGACACTTTTGTATCTACAGTGGAATAGGGAACCTCTCTGGCCATCCGGATACGCCAATTCGTCAATCTACCAATTAGTGACCAGTCTCAACAAGGTACGTTTTACTCTAGCTTCATCATACGAGCAACAGATCTCATCGGTATGGGATAGTTCCGGAATTTCTTGATTGCAGGGAATACTGGCTGGCTCCATTCTCCAGCTCAGGTCTTGACAACGAGCCCATATGGTTTGGGGCTGATGAAGGGGGACGTAGTATCGATCCTGACCACGATCGGCTCACCGGTAGGTTGCCGACCCCCTTCGAGTGCCTCTTATGCACCTCTGATGGGAGTGTCCGATAATAATTCCAGCCCCAAAACGTCAGTCTAGCAGTCTACACACCATTCCGGGAAGAGAGTGCGACGACCGAGTGCGTTGACATATGCTCGTCGCATTATTGGCTCGCGAACTGACAACTCCTACAGCATACTGACTTGCAAGCAGTATGCGGTCGGTAGCAATGGCACTATTGTTGTGTCATACGAGAAGGGAGGAAGGCCTACCATACTCATACCGGATAAGCTGCTGGCGAATTCTGGATTCTGCGGATACGAGCCACAGGTGGCAGTTTTCACCGGGAATGCAGCCTTATCGGGTGCTGTTGGTCGGTCCATGAGGTCCGGGATAACAACTGAGTTTGCATTGTTATTCTTAATAGGAATTTGTACATTCCTCGCGATGTAATTCATACTGGACGTCCTGGCGTTGTTCAAGCAACTCTCTTCACCTGAATGGACTGTGCTTGACTCGGACGCCACATGTTGAGGCGGAGCGTGAACTCCATAGGTGAGAATTGTTGCGGAGTTTGACAGAGATGCTCGTGTTCCCTGCTCGTGTCCCGTGCGCGACGCATTCGACGTCTTACTCGGCAAGGCTGGGTTTGCTTCCTTGCTTCCTCCCTTCATCTCCAAAACGGCTTCTGGGTCTGGCGGCGTAGGTCGACGCACGACCGAGGTTGCGACCCGCTTCCGGACTGCTGCAATGGACAGCCCAAACCCGATTTCAAACTCGAATTCCAATATAAACACCATCGTCAAAGCTCAGATCGTGTTCCTGCTGTCGACGCTCACAGAAGAGAACTTCGAGAGGAATCAGGCAGAGATCCGCTCGGTGAGTGCGATAACCAACAGCTTGCTACGCCTGGGGGGCAAAAGGGGGGCGCGGCCATGTCACATCGTCTGACATCCTCTCTGTATTCGCCAGTTGTCTGAGCAACATGGAATCGACACATACCTCCACTTCATCCGCCGTCTCCTTGTACACTCTCATAGCCGTCTGTCTGTTGTACCAACACCGACTACATACGATCCATCGACCGCGCTGACGTTCCGCCTGCTTGTTCAAGAGACGCAGCGTCTCGCGCGCGACCCCTTCCTCGCCGACCGCTTTCGAGATGGGGTCGATAAGGGCGAGGGGGAAACGTTCCGCAGCTTCGACCTGCAGCGCTTCGTTGACCGCGTGAATCTGCGCCCGCTCGAGCGGCTCGTTCTCGCGTCGTCCATAGCGTCGGGTTCGACGAGGGCCGACCTGCATCGGCAGGGCGTGCAAATCGTTCGCACGGAGTTCGAGGCTGCCGCTTTGGCGTTATGCGGACCCCTCCCGTCGTTTGAACAAGCCGACTTGTCACCGAACCAGATCGCGAAGCTGCTGTCAAATTTGCTCTGCGAGCCGCAGGACCCGCCCATACTTGACAGCATGCAACGTCAAGCTCTGATTGCTGCGGCGCAGAACAAATATGGGAGCGAGATCGTCGCACCCATCGTGCAGCGTCTTGTCCCCAGTCTAAGGTATGCTTTTTTCTCGATGCGCCGAAGCTCTGCCTGTGCTTACGAATGTGTCGTGTCCAGCCTCCTACCGGACGCTACGATTGGACAGTCACTTGCAGATCTGGGCCTCGACATGTCTAATGATCCAGAGGTCGTTCTTGCTATGTTGGCACGGTTCGGCGTATCGGCGACAAGTCCCCCTACAAATGAGCAGGTCGTCGATGTCGTGCAGGGTCTTGCCCTCATGGCCGCTGAGGGCCGGATGCTCCCTGACGTGGGTACATTGATTCGGGTCCTGGCCAGCTTCGTAAGCGGACGTCTCTTTCTTTTATACGCGCATGATTGACACCAAACTAGGACTCAAACATCCAATGGGCCAGCATTATCAAAGCATTTGACATGCCTGATAGGCAGGGTGTCGATACTGCAACGCTGAAACTGCTCATAGCGATACTGGTCAACGCACCTCGGGAGGATGAGGACCATGCAGTAACGGGTTTCTGGCAGTTGTGGAACAATCCCTTGTACCAGCTACGCTTGCTCGACGCCCTTTTATCTCTGCCAGCAGACACATTCAACTTCGTGTCATTGCCCGGCCATCGGATCGTGACAGTCGATGACGTCGCTAATGCTAGCCCGACTATCAAGTCCCTCGCAGCTAATGTTCAGGGACACACTTGGAACTCGTTGGATTTGTTCGAAGTGCTCGTGCGGCTTTCCGAGTCGGACTCCATAGACGTCAGAAATTTCGTGAGGGAGATGTTGGACAAAGCCGTGAAAATAAGCGCCGAATTGGTTCATATGGGACTGCTCGAGGTACCTGTAAGTATTTCACCTATACGGTATGCCTCTGCTAAATTCGCTTCCAGTCTGCACCATGGAGCGAGATTCGTTTGGACTATACCCAACGGCTTCTGTCGATGTTCTTGGCTGGACACCCCAATCATCAACTTGTGTTCATGCGGATCTGGCAGATTGAGCCTTCGTATCTGACAAACGCCTTCCGAGGTTTCTATGAGGAAAGCCCGTTAAATATCACAAGGATACTAGACGTAGCTCAAGACTTGAAGGTGTGTTGACTTATAGCTTGTGCTTTCATGAACTCAACAATATACCAGATCCTGGACGCCCTGTTGGAGGTGCGACCCTTCACGTTCGCCCTCGATGTTGCTGCGCTCGCCTCCAGAAGGGAGTATCTGAACCTGGACAAATGGCTTGCGGACAATGTTACCGCCCACGGCGCCGACTTCCTTCACTCGGTCATCGCTTTTCTGGACCTGAAGATGGAGAGTGAGAAGGCAACCAGAATCTCCGACCCTGTGGTGGATCACCGTACAATGCCCCTCAATCCTCAGACCATCACTATCTTCCTTCGCGTCTTGCGCAATAGGTATGTCGCAATTGTCTCCTACGACTTTGTTAACTGAGAAGCTGACTGTCTCAATAGCTCTAGTATGATGCACGAGAGCGACGTCGATTACTGCCTAGAAGTCCGCAATGCTTGCCTCCAGATTCATCCGCGTTTGATGAACCTGGTCCCTGGGTCAGATGTTGAACCTGGCTTCACGGTGGTTAGCTACTCCGCTGAGATTGAAGCTGAGGTCGACGGCATCTACAAGCAGATGTACGACGAGCACATAAGTATCGAGGATGTTATCGCCCTTCTCCAGCGGCATAAGACGTCCACCAATCCAAAGGACCATGAGGTCTTCTCTTGCATGCTACACTTCCTCTTTGACGAGTACAAATTCTTCCAGTCCTTTTACCCTCCGCGCGAGCTTGCCATGACAGGCTTCCTCTTCGGCTCCCTCATTCAGCACCAACTTGTCGACTACATCCCTCTCGGCATCGCAATCCGCTACGTTTTGGATGCGCTGAACTGTGCCCCGGAGACGAACCTGTTCAAGTTCGGTATACAGGCCCTGTCGCGCTTCGAATCGCGCCTATCCGAGTGGCAACCCTTATGCCAGGCCTTGTTGAAAATACCTCACCTTCTTGAGGCCCGACACGACTTGGCAGCGAGCATACAACGTGCCATTGCGAACGCCAGCGACGACACAAAGGGAAATCTTGACCTCCGGACACTGGGCGCTGGTCCTGTTCCGGATCCGGTCCCCGTCTTCACAGCCATCCAGCCAGACATATCCGAAGGGGATCCTGTTCGCCCTCCCGAAGAGGTTACGGACAAGATTCTATTCATTGTCAACAATCTTGCTCCCTCTAACTTCGAGGCAAAGCTGGCGGACATGCGCGAGCAGTTCCAGGATCGATTCTCGCGCTGGTTTGCCAACTACCTCGTCGATCAACGTGTCAGCACAGAGCCCAATAATCATCAGTTGTATCTGCGCTTCCTTGACGCTCTCGATGTCCAGCCCTTGAATCGTTATGTGCTGCACGAGACGCTCGTAAAGGCAGCCGCCCTCCTCAATGCAGACAAGACCATGCAGTTGACATCGGAGCGCGTCATTCTAAAGAATATGGCGTCGTGGTTAGGCAAGATCACTTTGGCACGGGATCGCCCAGTCAAGCACAAGAACCTGTCGTTCAAAGATCTGCTACTTGAGGGGTACGAGAATGGGCGACTCCTAGTGGCAGTACCGTTCGTCTGCAAGACGCTGGAGCCTTGCGCGCAATCAAAGGTCTTCCGGCCACCAAACCCCTGGCTTATGGCGGTAATCAGCCTTCTCGCGGAAATGTATCATTTCGCGGATATGAAGTCGATTTTGAAGTTTGAAGTCGAACTACTGTGCAAGGCCCTCGACATCGACCTGGACGCGGTACAGTTGACGGCAACACTCCGCAACCGTCCGAGTGCGCGAGAGTCGTTGGCCGGTCCTGGGCTTCCTGACTACGTCACCACGATGGAGTCCATGCCCATGAACGATTATGATCTTTCGATGCCACCGCAGGCAGAGTCTCAGGTTCTCACTATGGGTCCAAGCAGTCCATCGGACTCTCAACGGGTCCTCGGCGCACACATAGAAAATATCCTCTCCAGCATTCTTCCTCGAGTCACCATCAATCCGCAGCTTTCACCCCTTCATACCAATCAAACCTTCAAACGAGCGGTGCAGATGGCCGTCGACCGGGCCGTACGCGAGGTGAGGAACTACTTCCTATTTCCCTGAATCGGCTGAATAATCTGTCATATTAGATCATCGTTCCTGTCGTAGAACGCTCCGTTACCATTGCAGGAATATCGACCAGGGAGCTCGTGGCAAAGGATTTCGCAACGGAGCCCAATGAAGAAAAGATGCGGCAGGCAGGTCATCTTATGGCCCAGAAGCTCGCTGGCAGCCTCGCCCTAGTGACCTGCAAAGACCCCCTGAAGAGCAATCTGGGAGGCCATATTCGAGCCCTGTTGGTCGACTGCGGCTTCAGCGAGGTAATCTCTTTCATCTGCCAAGTGTCAAACAGACTGATCATATTGTAAATAGGTAATTACGGAGGGTGGCATCATGGTTCTTGCAAATGACAACCTTGACCTGGCGTGCCAAGCGATTGAAAAAGCTGCGATGGACCGTGCTGTCATTGACGTCGATGAAGGTTTTGCCGCTGCCTATGAGACTCGTCGCCGTCATCGTGAGGTATGTAAGTTAATTCTTGTACGACTCGTGTCTGACGGTACATGGGCAGCAACGTCCGACCCAAGCTTTCTGGGATCCCCAGATGACACAAACGGCTATAACCTCCACCTTCCCCGATCCTCTGCGCATCAAAGCTTCCGGTGTGCAGCCCATTCAAGCTGCGGTGTACGAAGATTTCAGTAAGGAAGATTTTTACTCGTTTAGAAATGTATCTCAATGTTATGCAGGCGCTGACCCTAGGAGACGGGCGTTCACCAGCAGACCCAGTTCGACCGCTTCGTTTCCCCGTAATGACCACCTCCCTGTTTCTGCATATGCACCTTCGCCTCTTCCTGAACAGACGATGCCAAATCAAGTGTTTCTGCGTCACCAAGAAGCTATGGAACGATTCAATGTGAGTTCATCAGACAGCGTGGCTTGCATCACCACTGATAATCATGTAGATTATGGTCAAGGACCTGGAGGCTCTTCTACTCCAGCTCCCCATCCAATCGTTGGCTGCATTGCCCCCCAACCATGATGTTCGCCAGCTTGTCCGGCAGGTCCTGTTTCTTGCGAATGAATCGGTGGATCGGCACCGGACACCGCTTCTCATGTCACAGAAGATCGTCCAGCTTCTGTACAAGACGCCCTCGCAGTTGGGCCGTGAGATATACGTCGCTCTGCTCGACCAATTGTGTCACTCTTTTGAAGATGTTGCGAAAGAAGCAATCACCTGGCTGATATATGCGGAGGACGATGTACGAATCCTCCTACAATCCCATCAATTATATATTAATTTCATGATTCAGCGTAAACTCAACGTCCCCGTAACCGTCACCTTACTTCGAAGCGGCCTCATCAATGTTGTACAAGAAGATCAACAGCTAGCGAAGTTCTTGCACACAGACCCTCGACCCAGCTTGTTGAACTTTGCGGCGGAACTGATTCGGGAATGCCTTACCGCGGATCCTCCCATCGCGTCGCAGAACCAGTTCACTCACACACTCGCCCAATTGTCTCAAGTCGGAAAGGGTAACGACGAGTAAGTGTCGTTCGTGCGCATGACGATCCTAATTCTCAACAATTGATGCTTGCAGGGTGATCCGACTGCTGGATGATTTGCGAGGCGTCAGGCGTCCGTCTGCCCAGGCAGTTATAGATGGTCAGACCGTGAGACAGCCTTCTGTGAAGCCGGAGACTGAGGAACTGCGAGAGAAGCTCTTCATCTGGTTCCAGCAGTGGGTCACCATATTCCAGCGATCACACTCCCCCGAGAAGGCATTCGTTCCCTTCATCACTCAGCTGACCAAACAAGGCATCTTGAAGGTAGAGGACGTGTCCTCATTCTTTTTCCGTGTTTGCGCGGAGGCCAGCGTCGAAAGCTACATTACCTGCATCAACGCTGGGGAGTACGGTTACGCGTTCCAGGCCCTGGACGCCATGTCAAGGCTGATTGTCTACATTATCAAGTATCATGGCGACGCCTCCGGTGTCAATAACGATCAGGCCAAGGTCCACTATCTGACCAAGATCCTCTCAATCTTCGTCCTCGTTCTCGCCAACCTGCACGAAGAGCAAGGCCCGCTGTTTCAGCAAAAACCGTTCTTCCGCTTCTTTTGCAGCCTGTTGAACGATTTACACACCATTGAAGCTAATCTTGGCACAGCATATTTCCAATTGCTTCTCGCCATCGGGTATGTTCAGTTCAAGTATTCAAACTGATTAGCTCGTTGCTCATGTATTTACAGTGATACCTTCAGTTCACTTCAGCCGACGTACTTCCCAGGGTTCGCCTTCTCATGGATGAGCTTGATCTCTCATCGTTTGTTCATGCCCAAGTTGTTGCTGTCGGAGAACCGGGAGGTAAAAAGATCCTGTAGTGCAATCCCGTTTCATTTGCTTACTATCCATGACAGGGATGGTCCGCGTTCTACAAACTGTTGGTGTCCCTGTTCAAGTTCTTGTCCCCGTTCTTGAAGGCTGCGGACCTTGAGCCTGCCTCGAGAGACTTGTATCGCGGTTCACTGCGTCTACTCCTCGTTCTCCTTCACGATTTCCCCGATTTCCTTAGCGAGTACTATTTCACCCTATGCGACGTGATACCCCCAGGATGCATCCAACTCCGCAACATCATCTTGAGCGCATTCCCACCCACAACTCTCCTTCCCGACCCCCATCTCCGCAACGTCGACTTCGACTCTATCCCAGAGATGGGCCCTATCCCTCCTATCTTATCCGACTTCACGTCGGGTTTGAAGGCTGGAGATTTGCGCGCCTATCTGGATCAGTACCTGTTGAACCGCGGCTCTCCCTCTTTCTTACCTTCCTTGAAGGAGCGACTTCGACTCACTGGTAGTCCTGAGGACGCCTCGGAGGCATACAACTTGCCATTGGTGAACTCTCTCGTGATGTACGTCGGCGTTTCGTCTGTCGCACAGGCCAAGGCTAGGAGTGGCAGCTCGTTGTTCACGCCAACTGATCCTGGCGTCATTGTCCTCCAATACCTCGCTACTAACCTTGACATGGAAGGTATGTGAGAATCCGTGCTTTGGGATAGCATAGTTCTAAACGAAATAAATTCTAGGCCAACACCATCTTCTCGGCTCTATGGTGTTGCATCTGCGCTACCCGAATGCCCATACACACTGGTTCAGTTCGTTAATGTTGTATTTGTTCCAAGAAGTCAAGAACGACCAGTTTAGGGAGGTGATGACGAAGGTCCTACTGGAACGGTTCCTCGTGCACCGTCCTCACCCATGGGGCGCTCTGGTCACATTCATTGAGCTTCTCCGCAATCCAAAGTACGACTTCTGGAGCCAGGAGTTCATTCGTGTCGCACCCGAAGTCACTCTCCTTCTTGAAACCGTCAGTGACCTCTACTTGTAGATACGTTCTCTGGCTGACACGGTGACTAGGTTGCGCGATCCATCTTCCAATCCTAGATCGTTTTGCCTGCTGTCGACCCTCGCTATCTGTGATATATATTACGCCTGTCATGTCCTCTTTCTCTGCGGGTTTTGTCATCATTGCGCACTGTATTGTATCAAGAATTTCCTCATCCCCGTGTTACAAAAGGCATACGTGACGACTTGAACTTTGCTTACGGTCGGCTTAACGGATCCACGCACATACTGATGACTACGATTACTCTGATTCTGTATATTGTCTCGCTGTATCGCATATACATACCACCCTATAATTTAGAACCAGGACATGGCCTCGTCCCAGTCCCAATTGTTCCACACTCTGCAAGGTGTTCATGAGCCTGTATGTCGACCGAGTCAGAGAGAGGACTTACCCAACGCCTTGAACTGCTGCTGCACCAACAACGTCTGCTGCTAACCCCAATACAAGCCAATCTGGCGCAGGTACACCGGTGCGTATGGGAAGTATTCGTAAAGCCCTCTCCAGTGCGTCATCATTGTATGCATACATGAAAAGCATGAGAGAATCGCCATCTCCAGGATGAGGGTGCAGGAACAAAGATGAACTTGAGATATCTAACGATCGACCGTTCAATTGAAGTGATTCCTTGTAAGTAAACGGAGTACGCCCGTCCACCAACATCGACCGGGAAAGCGTGTTATTTGGACTACCAAGGACAATCACGCGGGCTGATTGTTGTGAAGGGTCCTTCAGCTTCAGCTTAGCTTCGTCTCCGTCCAAGACTGCCGCATCAAGCTTGTGATAAACGTTAAGATTATGTGCGATGCGCAACGCTGCGGAGAGTGATTGTTGTGAGGTCCTGTCGTCAATTACAATCATGAAAGGTGCGCCAGTGAGCAGAATATTGGACATTCTGCCCGAAGGATGGGGCGCTTTCGCCCCAATATATGATGCCGGCTAAATACAGCATCTCAACTACCGTGAGGAGGGAGACACAGGTTTATATACACACCTTCCAAGAACCTTCCCGTTGTGAGAAGTAAGCATTGTCGGTTGAGCTGTTTTTGATGAGATTCGACAATAAAACATCGTCGCCATCAATGTTAAGGTGAGACACGGAATTGAGTGCCCGGTGGCGAATGGCGAAGGAGGCCACGTTTGCAGTCTTGACAACCACACTTGCTCCTTGTATTGTGACCATGAGCTTTGCTAATCTGGACGATGAGGTGACATCTCTCAGTGCCTACCAGCACCTTGCTGATCACTTCTCGCACTTACCTGCCAGGAGTGACGAGCTGGTATATCTGCCATCCGTGCAGCGAGCCACTCTCGGTTGGGTTGGACACGGTAAGCGTGAACGAAATGGGCTCCGAGGGCACAGGGGGTTGCAGATTTGCAGGTTCTCTCTCGAGGACGGTCCTTATGAAGTCCCTGACTTGCTCGTTGTTGAACACGGACGGGTACCAATGAGGTTGGCCCGGATCCTCGCGATACCTATGCATGGACACTGGGATCAGACATACAGGCTCACACTGACAATAGCGTGAACTAACGTCACATTCGCGTGTGGATACCACGTCTTCAATACGCTCACGGCTTCGCGGGTATGCCAGACTGGTACGTTCTCGTCATCTCCTCTAACAAACGCAATCATTTAGTTGACGCCTTCGGTCTGTCATATGTATTGCGCACCCATGTATTGCCAGGATGGGTAGCTCGCCCAAATTAGAGAGGAACAGATCATTATCGTCTGGGGTCAGCGATGACTCCAAGATCGCTCGGACCGCGGGGTCTATGTAGTGCGCTGATCTGGCCAAGCGCATTTTCAGCGATACCACCAGGCGAACACAGCCAAATGGCGTCCTACCGAGACTGCATCAGCGGGACATACGCTTGCGACTTTATATATGCTGCCGCTGGGATGACTAGCGGCCGATGAGCAAGCCACATACTGCATTGAGCGCATATACGCACCTCCGACGACCCTATCCGGATATCGTGATGCGAGATACCACGCGCCTTGGCCGCCGTTGGAATGGCCGAGCACCAGTACTCGTGTCTCTTCAGCGAGCGCGTAGGGCTGCCAAACTTCCCTGCCTTGGAGAATGGCATATAGGGCGTCGACAGTGCCCCATGCGTCTCGTGCGCTGGGGCCGTGCCAATCCAGGCCCTGTCGAAAATGAGCTCATACATCACGTTCGGATGTAGAGGAGAGACAAGACGTACCCAAGCTGTACGGCCGGTCGGAGCGATAACCCAGCTTCGCTCCTGTCGCGGGAGCGCCTGTACCCAGAAAGGCATGGACAGAATATCCACGCCCGCACCGTCTATTGCACAGTCAGCCGTAACCTCTCCAACAAATCCACAATTCGACCTACGCAATGCTAGAACCGGAGGGCGTGGCGCTCCCAAGTTCTCGCCTTGGGGAGGGATCACCATGAACGAGGTAGGCATTGACGTCGCGAAGAAGTACGATGCCTTGATGCCGTCCTCAGGCGAATCCGATGACGTCCACTGCTTGTGATATTTCAGCGGAAGAGTGATGTCAACTGTGGTCGACCTGTCTTCCGAGATAAGGTGCAAGCTGAATTGGAGCTCTGGGTCGTCAAAAGATGCGTTCTGCGTGAGGCGGATAGGGGCTATGCGTGTCTGCGTAGGTGCAATACGGATCTCATCCACCAGTTCCAATGTGATCTAAACAAACGTGAGATTCCGCCTTGCGGGTTTGTATCGAAAACCCTACTTACTCCAGATCCTTCTTTGAAGAGAGAGACGTTCTTCACCATCCACCAGCCAGACTGACTTCGCAAGCCGACTCCCAGTGCATCCCCAAATGCCCAGCCATTGACGAGGTCACACGAGACATCATGCGAGGGCATCCGAGTGACAGCGGGGATGCTAAGTTCCGGCTCTACGTCTACCTTTAGTGTGAGCGAAAGCACCGGGACGCCAGTGCGGCGGCGATTAAACAAGGGATCTCCGAACAAGCGGATCTGTTGCGGGATAAAATTCGATACCTGACAAGCATGATTGCTGCGTAAAACATACCTCGTAGTCTCCGCTGACGAAAAGATCATACGTCGTGGGCACAGTTGTTGATGGAGGTAGTGGCAGCTGGACAGCCTGAGCCGGTGCCCTATTCATGGCATATATGTTGCCCATATACCACTTTGGGGTCACAGAACTGGCTATATGCGCGTCATCACCCCCGGGCATGATCGTGAAGAAGGACCCTTGTAGCAAGTCCACCAGGAGGCGTGGCGGATCCACTGCGTCGCCAGCCAACGCTGACGCTGTTGGCGGGTATACAGTGATTGAGGTACGCAAGATCGTGTGGTGCTGCAACGCAGCCCATCCTTCAGTCGCGCGTAGCGCCGCCCACCTTCACGCATATGAGACGGCAACACAGGACGAGCCGGTTGCAGACGTGCCTGATGTTAGGAAACGAGATGTCTAGAGTGCCGTCCGCGTTCGAGTGGGCGGTAGTCCAATTGACGTCCCCTCCATCTGCGTATGCGGATGGATACTTTGCGTTAAAGTCTAAGGGCTCCGACACTACAAGCGAGGGATCAGAACTTTGGATATGCAACAAGTCGCTATATGTATTACTCACAATTCAGCGGAAAAGAAGGTGACAAATAATGCTGTTCCCTCGCTTGTATAGGAAATGGCCCCAGGACCTGTGCGCGCAAACATTGAGATCGACTCGAGAGATAGTCAAAAGCAAGTTGTGCAACGCGACTCACGTCCCACTGATCGGACACCCCGACGCGCCAGTCACGCTGCGACGCGTCGAATACGCGCTGTGCACCATCCGCCATGACCGCGATGATCGCACTAGCCGACAGAAAACACAGGATCAGTAGACAGGCCCGTGCACAGTAACTCTGGTTCGGCATCTTCAGGTCATGCGTCGCTAATAGCGGCAGTAAAGGCAACGAGGAACCCAATTCCACAGATGGCAAGAGATGGCGCTAAAAAGCCTTGGAACTTGTCAAGGTAGATGTAGTCAACAATTGAGGGCACTATCTAGGGCCAAATAGAAGGATTTCTGACTTACAATTTATCTGATGTTTATACTAACAAGATACCTATCATACAGAGTGCCCACCTCACGTATCCTCCTGTGAGCAGACGTGATACTCTCTTCAACCTACGCAGTCCAATCCTCTCCTTCACCTTTTGCTTTGCACAAGTGAATTTGGCTTTCTCATATCCCTAGAGATCTCGTAAAGGTCTACAGGACCCATGTATGTTTGAAGTACAACAGCATGAGTTACGGATTGTTCTATGCAATTTGCTCAATTTGCTCAATCAGTTGGAGTGCGTATTGTGGACTTCACAACAAGAATTTCGAAACTGTTGTACTTGCGGATATGATGACATTAGGTATCCGGATCACTGACAGCAAACATCAGGGGCAATTACGCTAAATATAAACCTAGGAGAAGAACCCCATGCGGCGCCGAAACAGCCTGAGAAAGCATGCAGGTCTGAGCAATCACGGAGTTCCTTAGTATGAACACCCTATTTTGCCTGACGTACCCATATGAATGGATAAGGTAGTGCATCAAGTACGACCTGACCACGATAGACACGTTTCTTGATACCTGCCGTGAAATCGAATCAACGGAGCGTCAACACTGTTTACTATGGCGGCAGCCGCTGGACCGGTCCCTCATAGTTTACATCTATCTAACAGTTGAAGGAGCTCTTCATTCATCCATATGAACCAGATGATATGATGTCAAAGATGCTTTGGGTTCTGCTGCGATTCTTTATGTTTTGTCCAGCGGCGCCCGGCGGCATCAGCAAAACCGGATCCATCCTGCAATCTATTACATGACGACACAATCAATATAATTGAGCGCCATAATTGTACATGAGAGATATGCGATTATCGAGGCGAGTCCGCTTTGGCAATTTCCCAATCCATTGCAATAGGTACAATATTGGCGGCTGTTGGCAAGATGTACATTTCTTGCATCACCTGGCATGAATGTACCACCATTATCTTCCTACACATGATATTATAATGTTACACTTTAATGGTGAATGTCGATTGCCTGAACAGGCTTCATTACTCTCGCCTGGTCACGGTTCCCTGGCCCCCGGGTCCTCACAAATAAATCGTGGCAGAAACATTACAAATCATGTTTATTTTCTTGTAATTATATAGGTACTAACTACTATTACAGGTGCGCCAGTCTACAGGTTCTCGCCTGATCCAGCTGCCTGATCCTGTAGACATCGAGCCGCAAGCTGGGCTCCTGAGGCTGGCCGCTGGTGCTACCGCCGTCTCGATGTTCTGCCTCAATGTGACATCAGCAGGACATTCAAGTCGCAGAGAGTATGAAACTTACTTGTTTTACCACTCGAGCAGTTCGGCCTTGTGTTGAGTTATGCAAATTTGCAACCTGTAAATCACACTATGTGAGTGCAAGATTAGAAGCATGATAAAACACAGCTGGAAAGAGGGATCTGAAAAGGCTGTAACTTACCAACTTAAAGAGCAAAATTGAATGGGATATTTGAGGTCCTCAGGCTGGCAAGGACTGTACTGTACTCATATGCGCTCAGATGCGCTCTCTTATCTTCAGTTGGCAAAGGAATTTTCAAATAACATGTGTCTGGCTCACCAATAATCATGAGCCTCACCATTCGGCGACTCACTGAATATAGCCGCTGACAGACAAACCGGCTAAAAGCAAAATACAAATTTGCCTTGTATCCAGACCCACCGTATCCACGCCCCAACACTGCGAAATGGGATATGCATACTGTGGGTCTGGGTGCGAGACAAATATCATATGGCTGCGTGCGTGATGGGCGTAGTCATTGATACAACGGTCTTATACTCCTATACCGATGCCTGACTCGTAGACAACGAGCGAGGACTTATGGACAGTACGTCGTCCTGAAGATCGAGCGAGGAAGTCGAGAATGACCACTACCCCAAGCGAAGAGGAGCAGAGACCTGAATGAATAACCAGGTCGAACTTAGGGTTCGACTGACTAATGGTACAACTACTTATACAAGTACCGACTACGCACGGACCATCGTGTCTATGTGGTCGTGTTAGTGAAGAAAGGAATGTAGTGGTACGATGCCGAGTACGAAGTGCGCACGGACCCCATTATGTAAGCTACATAATGTTCAACCTGCGGGTGAGCGCTAAGACAGGCGCCAGTATGGGCGCTAGTAGTACAAGGAATAGAACGGAAAGACAAATGTTTCATTACCCCCCTGCCAGAGTCGAAGTCCCATTCGACTACTTACTGCTCACCATCTCCATACAACTCCCAATCTACGCCGTCGTCCTCCTCTTCGTCGAACCACTCCTTGCGCGCGTTT